GCCGAGGCGGAGGCCGTGGTGCCCCCGGTGGTCGTGGCCGTGGCGCACCTCGCGGTGGAGGCCGTGGTGGAGCTCGCGGTGGAGCCAGGGGAGGAGCCAAGGTCGTCGTCGAACCCCATCGTCACGAAGGAATCTTCATTGCACGAGGCAAGGAGGACATGTTGGTCACCAAGAACCTTGTACCTGGTGAAGCTGTTTACGGAGAGAAGCGTATCAGCGTCGACGTAAGTGTAACTCGCTCAAATCGGGAAGAAAGTCCGAATTGGGGTGTTCACCAACTTTCGACAAAATATAGGGCGCTGATGGGACGAAAATCGAATACCGTGTGTGGAACCCTTTCCGATCGAAGTTGGCCGCCGGTGTTCTTGGAGGAGTAGACAACATTCACATTGGCCCCGGAAAGAAGGTCCTTTACCTCGGAGCTGCCAGCGGAACATCAGTATCCCACGTTGCCGATATCGTCGGTCCCACCGGTCTCGTATACGCCGTCGAATTCTCGCACAGGCCAGGACGTGATCTTATCAACATGGCCAAGAAGCGCACCAACGTTATTCCTATTGTTGAGGATGCCCGTCACCCACACAAGTACCGCATGCTGGTCGGTATGGTCGATGTCATCTTTGCCGACGTCGCTCAACCAGATCAGGCCCGTATTGTCACCATGAACGCACACATGTTCTTAAAGAACGGTGGACACGTTGTCATTTCCGTCAAGGTGAGGAATTATTGAAACCACGTCTTCCCTCCCTCAAATACTTACTGTTCTGCATCCTCGTTCTAGGCAAACTGCATTGACTCAACGGTTGCTGCCGACATCGTTTTCGCAAAGGAGGTTAAGAAGCTCGAGGAGGAGAGGGTTAAGGCACAAGAACAGCTTACACTTGAGCCATATGAACGTGATCATGCACTGGTTATCGGTGTGTACCGCCGGCAGAAGAAGGCCAAGGCATCAGAATAGAAGGACATAGCTAGCTGTTACCTCACAAATGCATCCGTAAGTAGGATGTCGCGGTGATGCCACTAGGGCGTCCGCAAGTGCGACACACTCTCCTCTAGATCGCACCCTCATCTGCACTCGTTATCTTTTTTGCATCCCTTTATGTATTTGTACGTATCTTATTTTTTCGATAGTTCTCTCAAAATGTGTTGATCCTCTCGTTTGAAGAATAAATTCCGAGTCCATTCCCACGTGATCTTCAAACCCGACGGCGCGTATAGGTGTTGTCGACCTCGAAATGGCCAGCCCACCCTCGGCTGCATTCGGATTGCGACCATTGTTGTGAGAGCACTTCCTTTCCGATCTCCAAACACAGGTATGTGTCCGTGGGCATAATAGTACTTGGCAAGGCCTATATTTCTTCAAGTACAAAGTCTTATCCAGCACCCTCGCTCTTCTTTCAAAACCACCACCCTTTCTGATTCTCCGCATTCACCCGAAACCCATTTCGAACGTCCTCCTTCCGCAACCGAACATTCTCGACGAACCTTCAACTTCAACGCACTCTTTTGAACGACCGACATCTTTTAGACAAAATGGCACAAGCTCTTCTGCAATCGCTGCGCTCCCTCCGTAGCACGGAGGTGGTGAAAAACCTCTCGGAGTGGCATCACAACCTTATGGGCTACAGGAAGATGGGTGCGTTGATAACAAACAACATCGGGGCGGAGGAAAAGCACTTCAATATGAGCTTACAATCCTCTAATCGGGGGAAGTCTGGGAGCTCCGAGGAGGATAGCGAAGGAAGATTGGTACTGAGACATTGTTCCCGTTTTCCGCCGATTCCAGGCCTGCGGTACGACGACCTGATTCCTGAGGAGAACGACCTTGTGCAAACCGCCCTCAGCCGTCTTCCGCCCAAGGAGCACTACGGTATGGATCGGCGTTTAGTATCACCTGGCCGCTAGGTGGAGCGGAGTTCCCAGGCGATGGGTCTGATCCATTTCCTTTTCCGACCGCTGCAGACCGTATTTTCCGTCACAGGAGGGCAATCAACCTCAGTGCTCAGCACGCGCAGTTGGAGGCGAACGAGTGGACAACGGCTGCTCAGGTAAGGAATCGACAGTACCATGGAAGATGGAGATTTGGAAAGCATGTAACAGGCTCTGACAATCTTATCCCTACCTAGGACGTTCCATACTTGACGCCCTTGATCAAGCAAGTCGAGAACGAGATTGCCACTAAGGAATACTTTGACACCCTTACCACCATCCCCGCCGCCCTAAAGAAGCGTAACCACAGCACTGCATAAATGTACTGTGGCTAGATATCCAATACTGAACTCATCTTCACATAATATTGCGAGTTCTCACCTGTTGCTGGAAGAACAGATTAGGTCGATAGCCGAATTGCGCCATCAATTTGGTCTGAGGGGGCAGACTTATCACTTGGTGATTGGAGGATGCTGGGGGACATTGCAGCGGGAGCGTAAAGAGCATGGGAGGAACCATGTCCTTTGGAATGCCCGAGAAGGGAAGGATATTCCCTTCAAAGGTCTTTTCATCTGATGTAGTTTGACATTGCTGGACAATGAGAGCAGTTGGCAAGATATCGCAATCTGATGCTCTGATCCCAAACTGGCACGGGCGACTCTTTGCCAGGTTCCATCAACGATCTTCATATTGCGATAAGGATCCTTGGGTTTCGCTGACCATCTGATGTACCCTGCATTTGTCCCGCAACGCGGCCTACGATGCTTTCCCATATTCTCGCACTATCGTCTCTCACGATGAGATGGCCATTTTCCCCATAGCGGGTTTGCATTCATCACCGGTTCGAAGTGCAAAACACCCTACATCTCCACACTGGATCATCCCCGTCTAATAACACTTTTCGGACCGAAGGAGCAGCCTCAGGAGCGTTTTTCTTTTTATCCTTTTTTTTTCGATTTTATTCTAAAAAGCGGTATACACGGTCGTGGCGGGGTTGCAGAGGAAGTCCGGTGTGGTGGGGTTTGTGTTTTTATTCGCTGCTGCCGGCGGCGATGGATCCACGGATGTCCTTCCATTGACGCTGAAAAACAAGAAAGAGGCAATGTTAGGGACGGACCAGGTTTTGACGGAGTGTTGAGATCGGACTTTCCGAAAGCCTAAACTTCGTCCAACATCGCTGCGATCTCTCTTCCACGTCCATCATCCATGATTTCCCGAGCAACAGTATCGCAGCCCCCCGTAAGTCGTAATAAGTCATTTCCTGCTCCTCAGCTCCCACTCTCCTCCCGTCCCCCGTTTCCATATCGATATCGACCCGTAACTGCCTATCCGTCTTGCCGCATCGACACTCACCCCCTTGTTAAGCCTGTCCCAAATCAGGTCTGACGACTCGTCGAATGCAATTTCGAAAGCGAAAGCCGAGGCGAAGATTCCAGCCATGTAGACCGACGACTTGCGGAAGAAAGCTGTGGGTTGGGAGGTACATAAGAGACAGATCCGCGAGCACTTGGCAAACCAAATGACGTGGGAAAGCTTTCCTGCCGACGCATCACCGGCATTGAGCTGCTTCCTTGTGCCCTCGCACGCACGAATTCGCCGTCCAAGGACAAAATCCTGGCAATCCATTATGATATCCACCGAGGCATGCTCTTGATACTTACTGTTGTAGATCACCTTGGAGAGCATCCTTGCTATATGCGGGTGGGTGTTTAAAGCGGTTGATGTTCGGGAACGGAGTTTGGCGCAAGGTGAGAATTGCAAGGGTTGTTCACAGCGGGAGAACCCGGTTTGAATTGATGCGAGGGCTACAGTTAAGGATCACGTGTCTTTAGTCGGGTTTATACTGTACATCTTCACTTCCTTCCTCCAAGCCTCCATCTGAAGTCTCTTCTGATGACGTGTGATCGGCTATATCCGCCGTATTCCGCTATATCCGCCGTATTCCAGGTCGCATGCAGCCTCACAATCGGTTCCAGCAGTCCTACATAAGCACGCCACAGCCCACTGGGAGCTACCAGAACAAAGTTGCAAGTCTAAACGGAAATGTTCGTTGCTACCTCCTCTGTCATTGAGCACGAAAAAAAGGCCAGGCCTTTCGCAGAAACTTTTAAAGTCCCACGCGTCTCGCTGGAGTCGCTGCCCGCCGCCAGTGAGGGGTCCTTGCAGCTAGTAGCGGAGATCAACTCTCGCTCATACAACTCGGCCCGAACCTAGGACTGCATATTCGCTCCTTTGCGGTCGCAGACCGCCGTTTCTTTTTGGCAAGGATGTCGCTCTCAGACGAAGTTTTGCGAACCCTTGGCAAAGGTGTCGTTTTTGTCGTTTCCTTATGGATTTTCTGGAATGTCGTCCTGCGTCTTGTCAGCTACAGATTTGGACTGGGAATACAGCGGTTGGGCCTATTTTCTATAACTGGCTTCAACTATGTGCGGAGACTCCCGTCGGCGGCAGAGGAGAGGTGGCGAGGGATAAGGCATGCCTGGGGAAAGAAGCCGGCGGCCCTAATGCTGTCGCGACTTAGTTTCGAGGCCGTATGGTTGGATTTTCATCGTCCCACCCCGGAACGACCATCTCGAGTGAGCCTCCGCATTACCAAACCTACCATTGTGTTCCAAGGGAGAGAGGCTACCCCGCTCGCGAGAGGCGTGGTGAAGAACACAACACCTCACAAAGCGATAGATGTCAAGCGAACGTTGACGTCCATGAGCAATCTGGCGCGCAACAACTTCATGAAGGTCTTCTTCCGCTTCTTCGACGTCCAGGTGGATGACCTTCAGGTCATATTCCAAGACCCTGCTGGTCAGAAGGTCTTGCAGTTGAACGAGAAGCACATTGGAGTGATGCTGCATTCTAGCGTGAGATCTGAGAGGCTAGAAGCGTCGACCAAATCGGTCAAAGGGCCGAACGTTCGCGCAATCATCACCTTAGATCCGATAGAGGTGGTGGCTCCGATGAGCCCATCTGAAGATCCACGGATCCTCACAGTGGAAAGCATCGGCCCGATCACGCTTGCGTCGCGCATCTCTGTTTTGGGGAGGGTCGAACAACCGAGCCTCGATTTGAGCATCACGGGCTTGTCGCTGGCCGTCAACGACTTGATGCAGGCATTCAGTACTATTCTTGGAAAGGGTCTGCCACGCTCCAGGAGTGCAACCGATGAACCGCAAAGCCGTGAAGCTGACAGCCGTTCGCCTGCTTCGCCGACGGATGATCCTATCGTGGAAGATATTTACGTGGCCAAAGCTCAGATGGAGAAGGCGAGCCGACAGATGGCAATGATTTTCCTGGTGGACAGGTTCCGGGATGAAATAGACCACCTACGGCGGCAGCTGGAATCTATCATTGACTTGAAACCGACGGTCCGTGTATCCTTCTTCAACACATCGGTCACTTTCGACCCTTCCCTCAATTCGGGGTGCGCCCTGGATGCCTCTTGTCCGGCTGTGATGTTCAACGTCGACGAAATGACATTTCAAAGTCAAGCAGCAGATAAAGAAGATGGCCGAACTTCTCTTGGTTTTAGCGTGGTGATTGGCGAATTCCACGTTGACCTGTGCCGGATTCCGCACTTTGAGTATAGCGCATATCAAATCTTTCTCGTGCCGCGGACCTTTCTCGATGTTGAGGTTACCGTGCATAAGAAGGGGCACAAGCGACAAAAGGAGGGCTCTGGAGTTGATGTACGCGTCAATCTCGATGTGCACACCCCGCGACTCAGCGTTACAGACCAGCTGGTGGTCATGTTTGGCGAGATCCGCTCTCACAAAACGCAGAGTACAGAACGAGGCCATGAGACACCGCAGGGCAGTACGACGTGGCAGGCACGATTCCACATGGCAAAGATACTGTTCGGTCTTTTATCGTCGCGGCTGAGTGTGCAAATCATTAGCCCGACAGTCATGGCACATGTCGTGGGATATGATGGGTGTGATACAACCCAAGACGCCGATATCTTTGCAGTCTCTGCCGAAACCCTCGCACTGCAGGCCAAAGTTGCTTCCCAAACCCCGCAGGGAGCGTTAGGCAATAAGGCATCATTTCATGGAGCCGACGATCCATGGACGGTGGAGGTTCTAGCAGAAGTGCAGAATCTGGAGGTTATTGGCGCTCGCGGACCATTGGATATCATCCGAGACGAACTACCCGAAAGGCGGGATTTGCTATTCAGCTTGGAAAACGTAGCAATCAACAGTCACGTTCGGCCAACAGCGGACAAAGGTAGCGACGTGTCGAACATGGGCCATATCAACGTCGAATGTCATTTCGGCTCCGCTTTCGCCGATTTTTCACTGCTGCCGCGAACCGACCACATTGACTACTTCACCTTCATGGCCAAAGTCGGGGCGGCTGTCGTGAGATTGCGAGAATTCACAAAGAAGCCGCAGGCGCCGGTTGCGGCGAAATTCATAAGCTTCCCCTTCGTGAGCACGTTACAAGTCGCATGCTCGCCAATATCGATTCTCCTGGTGGGCGAAGATTTGCGGAAGGCGATACTGCTCGAAACTAAAAGCGTGCTCCTCCAGCTTACCGGACGACCGAAGGAGCTGTTATCTGCAGAGGGCGGATCGCGCCAGCTCTCTGCGCGTCTCGAAGCGCAGGATATCGGTGTTCACACTACTGGGACATTCTATTCTACGGAGGAGCCGTACTTTGCCAAGCAGGAGGCCATGTCAAATGGACTTGACACGGAATCTTCCCTCCGGATTCGTCGGATTGAAATGCTCCATGTGCGCGAGTTTGGCGCGACGGACCGAAACGAGCTCACGTTGCGCTTGGATGAGGTCGTAGTTTGCTTCAGTTTGCGGATGTTCTACGTTACCTTGATGGCGTCGATATACTGCTGGAAGCTCGTGAAACTGCTGGATATCGAAAAAACTGAGAAGAACAAAGGAAAAGAAATCGGAACAAAATCGCCGGTCGTTCATGTGGAAGTCCAAAGCTTGCTGGTCGACATCACGCTGCCGGGCCATGTCCACCTGCGTGTAGGCATACAACCAATATTCATCGACACCGGCGAAGGACTCCTTGTGCGAGCGCAAACACAACTGGCCACCGTCGATGTCCTTACAGACGAAGAGCAGCTCATATACGAACGCTTGACACAAGTCACCGAATTGACTGTTGAGTGCCGCAAACCTCCCGGCACGTCGGCCACGAAAGTCGAAGCTGAGGTCATGTCTGCAGAAGTACGAGTACCATATGGCTTCAAAATGGCCAAGGTGATTGAGAATGCCATCAGTATGCAGAAGGCCATCAAACGGCTTTGTGCCGCAGAGCTCGGGCTTCGGCTGAAAACACCAAGCACGACAGGCCATTCGATACCAATCTACGACACGATACCCATCATCAGGGTGCAAATCTCCACGCTCTGTATACGCTTCGCAGATGACCCATTCGAATCCGCACTGTCACGGAACTACTTATTGGGGTTCGAAGAGCAGGAAGGACGTATAGCCCGCGACAAGGCCTTTCAGACTAAAGCCGCGGCTTTGCGCTCGGTTGATGAAAGGAGACGAGGTTCTGTGCATGACGAGCATAAGCAATCAACTGCGGTCGAGAACGCCTGGGGGCTCTTGCAGGAGTTCAATGCTAGGGCGTGGATCGACCGTTTGCGGAAAGCCCATAAGGAAACTGAAGGGCCCCCGCCGCTTATGCACACCACCATCACCAACATACAAGTAGCTATAGATCCACCTGTTTTGTTAGCGAACTCGATCGAGCAGACGCTGCATATTATTGATCCCGCAACGCCAGCAAACGCTCTGTACGACGAGCAGATTCCCCGGAACGTGACCATCAGCATGCACTCCCTGAAGATGCAGATTAGAGACTACTCGGCGCCTCTCGTGTGCTTACCGGCAGACGGGAGTGTAAAGCTGGAAACGAAGGGGCTGGTCATCTTCGCAGAGCAGGTCTCCGCCGCCGAAGCAAACCGCACAGTCGTGATACCGGTCGGCCTACCCACGGGAGAGGAGGTTGTCGTTGCACGAACTGTTAACCCGAACAAAATGTACAGCTCCTTGACAACTACCATTACCACGTCGTCTACGATACATGCAGCGTGGGGAGCGTCGTTAGAACCTGGTATATCCGATATGATTAGCGTATTCGACACGTTCACCAAGCCAAACGTGGATCCTAGCCAACCGCTAGGTTGGTGGGATAAGCTCCGACTGATTATGCACGGCACGCACACCTTGATCATCACGGGGGGCGGTGACATCAGCTTCCGTGTCCTCGGCTCCACTTCTCCGTACTTCGATGGCCACAAGCATTTTGGCACCGAAGGCATGCAGGTCTCGATGCGAGACGGGGTTCGAATCGAGGTCAACGGCAGTCAAATTCCGGGCGAGGACGTGACGATCGAATGCGGCGAATTGGGCTTTGCGCTCCCTTTCAATGCGCGCGCAGGGCATCATCATCGGGCAAAGGAGGAGGACACTGTTGCGAGGATGAGGGGCGGGGTTCGACTGGTGTTCGGGTTTGGCTTTGTCACGGAAAGGAATAGGAGAGATCCTGCGAGTGGTTTAGTAAAGAGCCATGCGGACATTTGTTTGAGAGCTCCGGAATACATCGACTCGGATCAATTGCGAAAGGTGCGTTTCTCTACATGTACGACTTGGGACGAAGAGAGTTTGATAACCGTCTCTGGCTATAGTGGGACTCTTTCCGAGGATTCCGGTCCAGCAGCATCAACATTACCGTCCGCTTAGAGTCGCCCAAACCATTCTACGCCGGCCTCTCCGAGCCTTCCAACTCGGTCCATCTCACTCTAAACACCATGTCTCGTTTTTTCACCTTCCTGCAAGTTTATCAGTCAGTTCTGACAAGCTTACCGGTACGGAAGGGGAAGCTATTCCAGGAGGACGGCCCAGGCCCTTCAAAGCAAAAACTGGGTCGCACAATCGGCTCCATCAGGATTCAAACGTCGCTACATCCCTTACTGCTCGGCTTCGTTGCCGAGGCGCAGGATAAGAGCCTCGGCGTGGGGCTGAGGTGTCGCGCCGCGCAAGTCGTCATGGATATGACATTATTGCAGAGGGTGATTCAGCAGCGACGGCCCAAAGAGGAGCTTCTCAAGCGGAAACCCACGAGCAAATGGATTTTGCGCGACTCTGAGCTCGAATTGACAGATGTGGAAGCTAGGGCTTTAGCATTTGGGGACTTCAGCGAAGCACGTCCTGCCACGTTGGAAAAGCCTCTATCAGTGGACGAGCTCGATCAGCCAGGGGCCAGTGATGATAAGGACTGGATCTTTCCACGCGACGCGCTTCGAAAAAAGAGACCGACTTTGAACCTCGTTCCGTTTGCTTGGACGCCCAAAATCATCTACACTAAATCGAACGACACGAAGGTATCCGGCGCGCAGGATAGCACACGGTCTAAGAAGGATATTTTCGAGGTGCAGAAGCATCTGTTCAAGAGCCGACTGCGGGAGATTGAAGCGGCGATTCGTCATTATCTCGAAATGCAGCGTGGTCTGGAATACCGTATGGCTGTCTTCTTTGACGACTCGTTGCGGCAGCAGTCGCAGATCATTGTTGAGAAAATGGCCATACTGCACGAGAAAAAGGTCGTGATTGAGCGTTATATTCGCTCGTGTCAGCAGAAACTGGAATGCGACAATGTGGGCGACAAAGCGGCGGGCAGAGCCGAGCGCAAGCTTCCCGCGGCGGCTGTTTTCCAACATCACTTTGTGGTCCACAATCTCAACTTGATTTGGAAGAAAGATGTGCGCAACATTTTGTTCCAAATGGTTTCGTTGCAGCAAAAGGCCATGGCGATCAAGTTCTGTCTGTCCCATACGGCAACGAAATTGATGGCGCAACTTGTTACGTCCTTTGCGGAGCGGAGAAATCGTACCGATGCGCCGGAGACTGCTCATGATGTTCTGGCAGATACGGCAAAGACAGCACCAGCTCCAAAATCAAGCATGGTTTTCGCCGAGCTCGACGCAAATGCAGCACATCGTTTGCTCAACAAACTTGTGGACGAGATGGATACGGCGTTCTTTGTCTCCAATGAAACAGAAGTGGAGCAGGATGACGATGCGGCAGAGTCCAACAATCGAGGGGCTGCGCTTGCCTTCAACAATCGCAAAGTGTACTTTCCCTCGAGGGACATTGAATCGCCGGACTACATCTCCGACTCGCAAACGTATGAAAGCAATTTTATGATGCAGCTCGTGTACCCACAAGTCAACCTTGAAGCTGAATCAAAGGACAATCCGTCACATCTCGAATCAGTCGTGCTTGCCGCGGAAAGCATGCAACTGCGTTCGATCCGCATTCTGGACGCCCAAGCCAGTACTTCATCGACCGCCGATGAGAACAGCGATAGGAATGAAGAGATCGTCAAATCCCGAATGGTGGTGAATATTTATGACGCCCAACTTTTCGTTGCTCGCAAGACCGACATTGAAGTCGCCCCTGAATTCGATTTGGACAATATTGCCATGCATCAACCTTGGGACAAATCAGATACCCCGACGGCGGCTGCCTGGCCCATTTGGGTCCCAATAGAATGCATTGCAGATCACTCATCGCATCCGGGATTCCTCGAGCGGGTGGTCGAACGCGTTTCTGCGAGTCTTCATCGCGACGTCCCTAATCCTTTGTACTTGAAAGGCGATGTAGCGAGCACCCAGCCGGAGACAAAGCACACCCTGCAGATCAACATCCCGACATTCTTCATAACCGCCACCGCTATGCAATATATGGTCATATATGACGTTATCGAGAACCTTCTGGTGTATCGAGACCCAGGACGAGGCGAACAGGTGGAGAAGATGACCAAGATGCTACTCATCTTGGAGCAGATGGAGGATTTGCGGAAAGTGCAAGAGACGGTCTTGCTACTTCAGCAGAAGATCAGGCAGACGGAAGCTATGCTGCACACCGATATGGACAACAGTGGGTTGACAGTCGGAGCCTCTTCCCATCGGAATGCGGAGATTCTTCGTCATTTGCTGCAGTGCCAGGATGAGTTGATCATTGTCGTCGATGCCATCAAAGCAACGCAATCGCTAGAACAGAAGAAGAAATCAGCGGCGATCTCTTCTGAAATCTTGATCAAGATGGGCAAGATGGTCTGGTGTATGCTGACTGACGAGCAAACGCCCCTCTGTGAATGGACGCTTGATAAAGCGCAGTTTGGTGGGGTCCATCACGAGGATCAGACGGACGTCAACACGCTTCATATCGACAAGCTTCATCTGGAGAACCATATGTCGGCTATGAACTCCTTCAAGGAGGTCATTGCGCCTTATTCGCCCGACATGACTGATGTGGACTTCACCCGGCACAAGATGATTCGCGTATACTGGCGTCAGATGGCACCTGTTGCTGGCATCAAAGTGGTCGATCACTTCGAAGTCAACATATATCCCCTTCTCATCCAAGTAACTTACGATATGGCGAAGGAGATTGTGTTTTATCTCTTTCCGGAGAAGAAAGCCAAGGCCGCCGCGAAAACCCATGCTCAGCAGTTGCATAATACCAGTGACGATAAGCAGAACCGAAGATTCCCCCGCTCCGAATCTGCGGATCAAATCGCGAACAGAAGCTCTCGTTCTTCCGTTTCAGACCTCAGTTTGCGAAGAGTTTCCTCCACGAGCGCCGATAATGTAGCTGTGGTTGATGACAAGCTTCGACCGAGTTCACCATCGGAGCCCGATATGTCTCCCCAGACTGAGAGAAAGCGACGGTTTAAGAGCGGGACTTTCTCATACAGTCACGGGAGAACCCTCAGCAGTAAAAGCGAGACCAAGGAGGAGGCGTCGTCGTCTCCGAAATTGCGACGAAAGGAGACGCGAGTGAATGAACTCAAACAAATGCAAGCCAGAGCCTCGGAAAATCGATCGTTCATCTACATCAAGATGCCCGGAGCCAATCATTGTTTGAGTTATCGGGTAAGCACCTCATCCGCGTTCATTCCGGTTCGTTCTGGTGATGACAAATGGGGCCGAAGTTCTTACTTTGCCATTATCATCAGGGGTCGAAAGAGAAAAACATTGAGGATTTGTACATGTTCGCGTTCAAAATGCCAACGCTCGAGTTTCGCAACAAGACTTGGACGTGGCTTGACTTCTTGGACGCTGTAAAGAAAGGTGCGTTTTGGTCATTCGGAACAGAATTAGCGAAAGTGTTCTGAAGGAATACTTTCGAACCCCCACAGAGGCACTCCGGGCGGTCCTGGCAAACACCGGAGCGCTAGTTAGAGAGAAGCTCTTCGTCAAGCGGAAACCGAGCACGGCTTCAGACGAACATGGTAATGCTACTTTGCAAGCTCCACCTGCCCGGCATAACAAATTTCCTGGGAGAGGCATTTTTGGAAGCCGGAAAGACGGTAGCGACAAGGAGAAGGATACCACGAAGGAGAAACAGAAAGAAAAGGAGAAGGAAAAGGAGGTTGGGAAGGAGAAATCACAGAGTGGTTTGCCATCGAAAGACAAGCCGACGAAGGAAATCAAGAAGACACGCATGCCGCCGTCCACAGAGCTGTTGTTCGAGGTTAACGAGGAGGATTGAGTTGATAGACCGGCCAACCGCAAAAGTTTCTTATGCATTTATGGTTATTTTCGTATACCACATTGCTGCACCATTCGCTGTACATAGTTCAGTTTTTCAATCTCACTTGCGCTTGGACTTTGAAATGCCATCCGAACGTTCGCAGCCAAAGCTGACTTGCAGCTTGAGCCCCAGATCTTCTCATGCCTATTCGCTAACCTCCATACTGCTAAATGCATCGTTACGCAAACTCTGCCTAGACCTTCTTAAGCGGCTGATGCTCATTCGTCATCATCTTCATCATCAGGGCCGAACTTCGTGTAATCGATCTTAACGCCACGGGTACGACGTCCACGGTCAGGCAGGATATCCGATGTGTCCAAACCTTCCAGGAGGTCGTCATCTAGAGAGAGGAAAGAGACGTTAGTTGTCATCGCTTTCCATGCGCGCCAGTCGAGTCAGTTTCCTACCAGAGATTTCATCAGGTTCGTCACCACCAGAACCCTCATCGTCGCTTTCAGCCTTCTTCTTCTTTTTGGCCGGTGGTTGCTTGCTAGAAGCTTTGCCGGAGCTTTTTGATGGCTTTACGTCCTTCGCCTTCCGCTTCTTTGGTCGTTCCTCTTCCTCCTCGTCTTCAGAGGGAGATTCGCTTCCGGCATCGTCCTCTTCAACATTATTCCGGAGTATCTTAGTCAGACTATAGTCATGATACTAACTTGATAACTTTCGTATGCTCCCCCATACCTTCTTCCTCCTCATCATCGACCAGGAATCCGTCCTCGTTATCGTACTGGTCAAGGTTCTTGTGCTTGGACAGCTCACGCTCCTTCTTTGCAAACTCCTCCTCACGAGCTTTGGCAGAGCGCTCATCAGTGACTTTCGGTTTTGGCTTTGCTGTCGCGGCCGATCCTTTCGATTTCGTTGCTGCCTTCGTACTTTAAGATCGCGGAAGTTAGTGTCGGAACACCCCCGAGGGACTGGAAGATCACTTGGCGTAGCATTCGGTTCCAACCTTGGCTTCTCCTCTTCTTCCTCTGCAGCTCGACGCTTTGCGGCAAGCGCCTCCATTTTGGCTTTCCTGTCGCCCATTTTGTTGTTTGTTGATCGAGGTTCTGGGTGTTGATCACGGATGTTGTGTTCAGCAAGGCCCGAGGACGAAGTGGAAACCGCGAACTTGCGCATTTGGCATCATCTTAGGTACGCGCCGCGCTGTCGCTTTTTGAGTGAGGCATGCTACATACAAGTTGCCTTCATCGGCGACGCCTCAGGCAGAGGTACAATGATGTGGATGGCAGATAACCACCACGGAAAATGGGATGGGGTGAAATCTAGACTACCGGTTACGGGAGAATGCGTCTGGTCTGCGGCCATTGCCAAACACCACCGAACGCACAATCGAGAGGAAATTCTTGGTGCTCAGGATGTCCCGATTGTGCACTCTCATCCGTAGTCGTAGTGGTCGTCTTCCAGGAATCTCATATGGTGTCCAGTCTTGGTTGATACATTCGGGGTTGGGGCAACCCACCAATCCATGGACGTATTCCATTCTTCCCTTTCTAGCTTGCCATGGCCGAGATGACAGCCGCTGACGGATGTTTTTCTTCACACGGCCGTGGCAGTCGGGGCACACGGACGACGTTCGATACTCATCCAGCAAGTAGCATGGAATGCTGTTTCTTGCAAAGAGTGTGCGAAATCTGATTTCCATGATGGCATACTGTAATACATATTACCAATGATAGTCACTCACCCTTTGGTCTTTGATGACTCCTGAAAGCGCATGGTCTTTCCAGCGTCGCTCCAATCACCCAAGATGGCCGCAAAATGCTTTCCATACAGGTGTCGCATGTTCTTGATGAGCTTGCTCTCAGACTTTTGCCGCAGTGAGAACGCCTTGAATCTGCAAGCTACATGAATCTCATCCTGGTAAAACTCATCCAGGGCGGGATCTGGGATATGGATGTCAGCCCATGTATTACCAAAGTTGAAAATCAAAGTTGAAGTGGAACATCATACCCGTGTGTTCGTAATCCACGATGAACGCTGAGAACGCCTCGATGTTCATGCTCTTGTGCAATGGAATATGTGATTCCATCTCAGCGATGCCGGCATTGATCTTTTGCTCTCTCATGTCTCTTTGAAAGTACCGAGACTTTGTCTCGACCGCCCGTTGATTGGACGTGTATCTGATATGGGGTGGTGCATTGTGAGGACGCTGCAACGGAATGTCGCCGCAACGGGGATGGCGGAGACGGGGGGCTGGCAGGCGGAGACGGGGGGCTGGCGGGCGGAGATGGGGGGCTGGCGGGTGGAGACGGGGGGCTGGCAGGTGGAGACGGGGGGCTGGCGGGTGGAGACGGGGGGCTGGCGGGTGGAGACGGGGGGCTGGCGGGCGGAGAGGGGGGGCTGGCGGGCGGAGACGGGGGGGGGGGGTGGGTAGCCGGGACAGCAGGGCAGTAGTAATCAACTGAAACGTACCGAAATGGCCGCTCCTTCTTGATGTCTCGACAGAACAAGAGGTCACGCTTGCCCGGATCACTGCAGACGATGTTTGGAGCCTCCCTTAGTTGGGCGATGTGGTGCTCAAAATACAGCTGCTGGACTTCTTCCTGCATTTCGGCTTTGCTGCGCTTCCGAGCGCGATGGCCGTACTTGAGCCCTGGCTTCTTGAAGTGGATGGTAGCGGAATACCCGTTTGTGCTGATTGACCCATCAAATTTGAGACCAAGCTTCTTTCGATCCTTGAAGACCGTGTCCTGCAATCGTCATTCAGCGAGGTGATTGAAATAAGCGCAGAGGGCTACAGACTTAACTTACATTCACATTGAGAAACTGCCCCCACAGCTCCCGCTTGCGTTCATCGGTAAGTTTCCCCATGTGATGGTGGCCCAAGGCCAGGATATGAGTGGTTAGGATCTTCGTGTCAATCAGAACAGATGACTGGATTCGAGATTTGCGCAGCGGGATAGCAGGAAACAGGCGCATTCCACGGCGCTCATAGAGGTGCGAGAGCTCACAGTAGGTGCCTATGAGGAGGCAGGTGCAGACCATGATTAGACAAGAGAGGAAGCGGGGGGGGGGGGGGTTCCGCTTCCTCTCGGCCGGGGGGGGGGGACCACGTCGGCCTGGGTCCCGGCGCGCAGCCATTTGCCCAGTTCGGCGTACCAAGCAAGGCTCGCTTGCGTCGCTTCCCAGCCACGCACAAGCTGGAGGGAGGGGGGGGGGGGGGAGGGGGGGTTCGCTTCCAGTCGGCCCCGGCGTGCAGCCATTCGGCCAGTTCGGCATACCAAGCGAGGCGCTTGCTCGCGTCGCTTCGCAGCCACGCACGAGCTGGAGGGGGGGGGGGGGGGAGGGAGGGCGGGGGTGGGGGGGTTCGCTTCCTGTCGGCCCCAGCGCGCAGCCATTCGGCCAGTTCGGCGTACCAAGCGAGGCGCTCGCTTGCGTCGCTTCGCAGCCACGCACGAGCTGGAGGCGGGGGGGGGGGGGGGGGGATAAATATACAGGATGCAACTCACCTAAATATGGCATTGCGTCCACCGCAAGGCTGTACGCAAGGGGCTCATCCTGGGGAGGAAACAGAGCCCATAACTTGTCAAGGAGAGTCCGCTCAAGTCGCGTGAGGCGGGCAAACTCCTCTTCAGTTGGGTACTCTTCCAATGTCGCGTACTTTGTGAATTGACGGACACGCCGATAATACTGTTGGCGCTGCGCTTGGCTAACTCCGGCTCTCCGAAGATGCAGTACGACTTGCTTCAAACCAAGCCTTTCATTGACATAGCGCAGAAACATTTGCATAGAATGCTCCTGTACGTTGACTTTGAGGTTGGTGAAGATGCTCGTAGCTGTGTACGCTGCGGTCTGTTGGCTATTTTGCATGCGGATGGGGGCGAATCCGTGAACATTACAGTACTCTTGAACCCGTGGACGCAACTCTTGCGCGATGACCGGATTGCCGTTGTAGCCTGGATTGTTTAGCAGCTCAAATATCACACTAATGTGCTTGTCGGTGATGTCCGGGAACTCGTGTAGAGGATGATCAGCTGTGGTGGGGTGGGCAGATGTAGCAGTCAGGACATTGCTTTATGGGAAATATACAGTATAGTGTACCTCAAAAACTCACCAAGGTAGTACTTGATAAAGAAGGTGGTGTGGCGCGCAAGGACGTGAACATCGGCGATGAACGTTGCCAGGCGCTCCCTTTGAACTTGATTTTGATTATGGATGATTCGGTGAAGCGAAACCTTGGTGCTGGCATGTGTTTGCGGGCGGGGTCGTTGAACTGGTGGTGGTGGTGGTGGCGGGGGTTCATACACCAGGGATCCACCCGGTGTGCTGGGAAAACGGAAAGGGATGGGCGCGGGGAGGTTCAGTGGGCGCTGCAGACCCCTGTCCACGGGTGAAAGCCCTTGCTGCTGCTGGTGCTGTTGCCCGTCTTCATTGCCGGAACTCTCGCTGACCATGTCTGCAATGGCTTCGGGCAAGTGGCGTTGGACAGACGGTGGGAACTGGAATCGCGGGGGTTGCAAAGGTGTCTGCACAGTTGGCAGACGTATGGGCAACCGCGGGGTGGGGTAACCGGAGCAACCTTCCTCCTCTTCCGCCGTGGTGTGGTTGCTCCAGTAAATATGCCACACCACAGGTACCCCTGGAGCGCTTGGTGTGATGACATGTTGGCTGTGCTGTGCTGTGCTGTGCAGGGAGGTTAGATTGATCTGTTTTAGGTAGTGTGAGGGATGGCGGCGGGGTAAGGGATTGCTGTTGTTACCTGGAGGTGGTCGGCGGGATGTGTACGGTACAGAGGTGTTTGCAATTGCGTTAGGAAGGAAGGGGGTTGGGAAGCAGGTTGGGAAGGAGAGAAGGGCCTCCGTCCTCCCCACTCAACGGCGTCTTGATATATGAATGTCCATGTGTTTTGTGCGATACAGAGTGTGGCTCGTCCCAGGGAAGAAAAAGGCCCAGCCAATGGGGGGAAGCTACGTACGCTTGCTTATGGGAATGGGGGGAAGCTACGCTTGCTTATGGGAATGGGGGGAAGCAGGGGTATGGCACTGACAGCACTGGATATTCGACAGCTCAGCGGAGTATGTACGTATGTACATTTACAGTACATTGCAGATATAATCGCGCTCAGAATCGCGCTCAGCCTTACACCCTTCACGCTTGGCCTTACATATACAGCTTCACGCTCTCAGCGCCGTGGCTGGCGCGTGGTTTGCGCCATCAGCAGTGCGCATTGAGTAAAATAGGCCGCAGGGTCGAACGATATAGAGACCAAGAGGTGAGTGGGAGAAAGGGTGGCCAGCGAGCGAGTGGGAAAAAGGGAGAGTGGGAAAAAGGGTGGCCAGCGAGCGAGTGGGAGCGCGGGGAACTTGGAGGGAGTGGGAAAAGCAACAGAGAGAACAGAGAGGGCGGCTGATAAAGGGAACGCACGGCGGCTGAAGGGAGTGGGCAAAGTTGGAGGGCAAGCTTGGCAACCCGACATGGCACCCCATTGACCCACCCCGTCGTTCCCCACAGTCTCCTTCAATGCACATCCTCTACCACAACAACGGCACCTGCGGCGAATCCACCTTCGTGGACGGGTTTGCCGTTGGCGAGCATCTCAAGCACCGCTGGACCTGGTTAGGGTTAGGGTTAGGGTTACAGATGGATTCGGTGTTGGAGATGGACATGTTGATGCAATGCACCCGCTGACGCTGAAGTTTGAGCCGCCGTTGGCACCGCTGCCACTGTCATCTGCCGTAATGCGGAGTGTCCAGTCTACCTGGGGAACAACACGTCGCGTCTGCGACACAGCCCTAGTGAAATATACCGGTATGTGCAGGGCGGGTATACCGGTATCTACCCAGCTATTTGCGGATAGATACTCATCTCACCCACTTTGCAGGAACTGAAAATCAACAATATCGGGGGAACTCAACGGCCTGGTGATCACGCTTCACACTTCCGGTCTAGAACCCCTCAACAAGCTCCCGTTGACGAGCTCTACAGTTGACAAGCTCTACAGTTGACAAGCTCTACAGTTGACAGGCTCTACGGTTGTCGAGCTCCGGCCGATGAGCTATGGCCGATGAGCTAGCTCACAGCCAAGATGTCCTCGACGTCGCTACGGTCGGGCACGCCATTGCCGCTCGCGCCGTTGCCATTGCCGTTCGCGCCGTCGCCTCCCGTTTGCACCATGGTCACTTCCGTTGCCGTTGGCACCATTGTCACTGCCATTGCCGTTGGCACCACTGTCGCCGTCGCCGTTCGCTCCACTGCCATCGCCGCCGTTACTGTTCGAGGAAGCTGCAAGGTTGCGCCTGGGAGTGCTGCTGCGGGTGCTGCGTTGAGAACCCAACCGTCGCCGCTGAACGGCTCGGGTTGAAGGGCAAGGCTTGACCATTGTGAACTGAACCGAATTGGACTCCAAGAGCGATGTTGGTGATTTCCCCAGATCCCCATCGAGATGGAGCTGTGTGATGTGATGGAGCTGTGTGATGTGAACCGGGAGGAATAACAGCAAAAGGAGCGCGAGGAAAAATGGTCGTGGGTCGAGCTGTTTGAGAGCGGGTAAGGTTGCTTTCTGTTGTGATACTTAGGTGTGCTGCTGTTCAGTTAACACCCCCGAAGCGCCGAGCGCGACAGTAGTTACCACGCCGCACCAAGTGCGACAGGGGTCATAATCTGAACAAACAAAGAAGAAGTTGTCTGGGAGTGGGAATTGAACTCGCGACCTGCACGTCTGCAGGGAGAGCAAGATTCAACTGTGCCAAAGCGCCAGTGTTATCAGAGTGCAATTACAGTAGGTGGCCAAAAGAGCGTCCGAGAGAGCGTTCCATCACGTGGGTTTCATCACGTGAGCGTTGCGCAGGCTTTAATAAGTCTGATACAAAGCAGTGTTTATAAAGACACATCTCTCCCACCCATTCCATGAAGACTTCCCCACCATGGCCACACTACTCTCTGACATCAAAAAAAGGCAAGACTAACTAGCTTGATAACAGAAAGCCACAAAAATATCTCCAATCCCATATATCTTTTCCTAATCAAGCGCTCAGCTGGCTAACATCGACCGCTTCTCCCGAGTCCGGCCGACGAATCTGCACTTTTGGGTTGTACCCGTTCTGTTGCTGACCGTATGTGTTGTTCGCATGTTTGTACGTGCTGTCCCCGAAGTTTTGCGCGTGTTGATGATGCTGATAGCGGTGGTTGTGGTGGTGACGATGCCGACCACTTCCGTTCCCATTGCCATTCACGTCAAGTTCGGTGATTCGTGGTGTCACTGTGCTATTCGGGTTGACGTGCTGGTAGGGCATGATATTATGCGGCGCGTGCATGTGGGGCATGTAAGGCCCCGTTGACCCCCCCATCTGGTGATGGAACATTGGCGGCGGATAGTATGGCGCGGATACCATCACCATGCCCGAAGCGGGGTCATGGTACATTGGTGGGCCGCTGAAGTACATTGGCTGTGGGTGCTGTTGCGCGTAATACCCATTTGCATCAACACCTGGTGCGTACCCAGACTGGATCGGCCCTTGGGGTTGTGATCCGTCGGCCGCGTACCCGGCATACTGAGGGTATGGACCGGGGTACCCGTATGTTGGACTGTAATTGTCCCCGGGCACCATGAGTCCTGACTCGGTCATAAACACAAATGACCCCGAATTGGTCATTATCGGTTGCATGTGAGGAACTTGCGGCATCTGCGATTCTCCGTTCGCCATGGCCTCCTCCGAAGGCACGTAAGGAAGCATCGAAGCTGCGGCAGCGCTGGTGAATGTCGGATATGCGGGCGCGGTTGTATAAATAGGGTAGTTGTCCGCGCTTGTGTACACCGGGTATGTCGGCGACCCGTCATATTGGACCAGCTGTTGATGATCCGCGTACAGCTGTGGACTTGAGCTGTTGGGAAGTGGTCGCGGTTTATTGTGGCGCTTGCGCGGCGACGACTTCGGGCCACGATTGATCGCTGGTGCGTCAGTCCCTTGAGCGGATAACGAGCTGAATGCAGACGACGGATGGTATGTGTTGAATTCACGATGGTTGACCGGTCCAGCGTGCGCTGTTGGTTCACGAGCAGAGTAAGAAGTTGTATGTTTCGCGCCTTGAATGTGGGTTCCGACCGGGGATCTCTGTCCAGGCGTAGGCGACATCGTTCCCGTGGGAGATTTAGTTGACGAGGTCGGGGCTTCCTTGAGGTCCGTCGGCGATTGAGTAGATTCCTTCGGTGATTGGGAATCAGCCGTGCGTGACTTGGTCTCAGCTGCAGGAATTTGCTGCTGTTCGGCAGGTGCAACTGGGCTGGTCTGCTGCAAAGTCGCAGAACCCAGGTAGCGCTTGGTTGTACGAGGCGCCGCCGTGTCTTGCGACACAACTGCAGCCGGTGGGGCGCCTGTAGTAGCAGTGTCAAAGTCCTTGGTAACGGCCTCGTTGCTTTGCATCTTGGCAATATCGCCTTCGTTGCTGCGACCGGTGTGCGCGGAACTGATGGCACGTGCGTTCATTGTTGGTACGGGATTTACGGCAGGAGGGGAAGGCTGTGTAGTAGCCCGCTTTGATGCCGTCGGCTTGGCAATCGCATTGTCGGGGTTTGTCACGGACGGCTTCACAGTGTGGTCGATCGCAGGAGTAGTTGGCTTCTGAGCTGGAGCCGCGTTGAGGTCTGGCGTCGATTTCTGTTTTACAATAGTCACTGCGTGGGCGCCGATTGTAAATGATACTCGCTCGACTTCAGGTTGCGGCGGTGCCACCTTCTGGTTTGTCTGCGGAGCAGCAACCTTGGCGACAACCACGGGGACCTTGGAAGTCACTTGGCTTTCGACTGGTTTGTCGGCAGCGGCGATAGAGGTTTGAGGTTTCTGCACAACCGTTGCAGTGGCAGTGTTCAAGCGACTTCCCGGTGACTGCCGGTTGGTAGGTGATGGCCGGGCTGGAGGCAATTGTCGGCTTTCAGTTTGGGGACGGGTTTGGTGCTTCGCCGGACCGTTGTACTTCCCATAAGGCCTGGTATCCTTGGAAACCTCCTCAAACTTATCGTGGACCCACGTCTTGTTCATCAAGTCCTTTGCAGGATCCGATGCCGTGTGGTTCATGGCGAAGCCGTCGCTCTTTGGGGATATTGCACCTTGACGGCCGCTGACGGTATTGGCGCTCGCTGTGTGGTATGCTTGATCTTGCGTGCGATGCTGTTGATGTTGGTAATGGGAGTCCCGCGGCGGAGCAATGACCGGGCGGTTGGCGTAAGCCCAGCCACGGCCACGGCTGCTGCCACGGAAACCGCGGGATCCGCCGCGTCCGGAGAAACGATCGTCGTGACCCCAGAATTTGCCGACATTGGGAGTGAATGCTGGGTCTTCTTTGAGCTTGCGGCGGTACTCCTCTTGCTCTTGCTGCCGTTTAGCGTAGGAAGGCGCGCTGGCCCATTTAGTGTCGCGCGAGTTTGATGCGGCCTTCGCTGATGCGGTAAATGTGACAGCAGCGGACTTTGTAGATTCGGTGATAATTTGCGGTTGAGCAATGTCGTTGTATTCGACTACCGTTTCGGCTTCATCGGATGTCGTATCGGCAGGAGCGACCGGAGATTTGGCGGATGGTTTTAATTGAGCTTTGCGTCCCTTATTGTTAACACCCGCAGCGGCAGGGGCATTCGCACTCTTTACAGCTGACGGTTTCTTATCGGTGCCACCGCGCACGGTCACTGCTTTGTTGTGCTTTGCCACCGCTGGCTTCGAAATAACTTCCTTCGCATCTACGTTCTTATGTGCTTTCGATACAGATTCTACTTCCGAATCGCTGGTAATTTCGAGTTCGTCAGCGGAATCGTCAGTAACGGAACCGATGCTGGTATCGTCCTCCGAGGAGTCTGTCGCTTCCTCGCGACGTTGTCGCCGACGACTCTCTAGACGGCTCATAATTTGTGGCGTATCGATTTTGTAGATTAGGTTTGTTTCCGAACGACCGAGTGTCTGAGTTGCTGTCCTGCGCAGTTCCGAAGAACAACGAGGCGAGATGGGACCAAGATAAACTAGCGCTCGGCGGACTGTGACTCTCGAAGACTCGAAGAGTGTCTTCGGCGGTTGTCTGAGTGTTGCGCTGTGGTCGAGACAGGCCAAGTGTAAGGGAATGTCTGTGGGGCAGCTCTCCGTTTAGCTGAGGGCGGAGCTATGGAAATTCGTTGGCCAAGGTAAGCTTCCAGCTGCTTACTAATGGAGGGAGGAACCGTATGTGGCGTCTGGCTGTAGAAGGGACGCGTCCAATGACAGGAGAAGCGAGATGGAGAAAAGCAGAATTCAATAGCACATGTGTACAGAACGACAAGATGATATAGTACAGAAATCGACACTACATAAAGAGTGGACTACCTAACAACCGGAGGACCTGCCGTTTATTCATTGGATGATATGTACTCTCGAAGGACAGCGATTTGGCTCTCCATCGACCCGAGTAACCTCCGTACATCTCCTTTGCCCATGGATTGAAGTTGGGTTTGAAACTGTCCGAGGTCAACCTCATGCTCGTAGGGAGGCGATCCTTCACGAACTTCTTCATCTTCACGGCGTCCCTCGCATGAGGTGTCGGCGATGTCTTCGGATTTGACTTGCGTCGTACCTTCGTCCGCGGGGCTCCGAACATGATGTGGGACCGAAAGCTTGCGCTTCCTTCCCTTTGTGAGGCTGCCAATGGACACAACCTTGACCGTAGCTTGTCCTCCGTCTTTCCGCAAAGCCGCTGCACTTGGCATGACAACCGCATAATCAGTGCCGTTAGCTGTAGAGACGATGCTCAGCTCGACTGCGGATGATGTCTTTTGGCGGATCGTGGCTGGGCGATGGAAGCCGTATTGTTTGTGGTACAGCCCTATGGACCGCAATATTTTAGTATCTAGAAGTCCCGGCGAAGCCAGCAAACACTACCAACCGCAAGCATTGCAAAGGTTGTGCAATCGATCTGCTGTCCGCCTCCAGAGGGGAGTACGACGCGTGCCACAGTTGAAGCAGTTGAGATTCCGCGTATTCTCCCTAATCTTCTTGCGCTCGGCTTTTGTGAGCTTGTCCAAGCTGTCCACTTTCACATTGATTTCAGGAATCAGGTCGACCATGGATGTCTTCCGCTGAGCTTCCCGTATCTGGGAGATCGCATGATGTTGATCGACAAGCTTTTGGGCTGCAGTGACCGCGGCGGACGCAGCCGCGTCGCCACCAAAGGAGCCTGTATCCAGATCGTGGGGTGCAAACATCGGACTCCCTTCCGTAGCCATGAGTTCCCTGCCCTCCACATTCTCATCATGGGGCCACTGATGTGGAAAGAAACCGCCAAATTCAGAACCGGGTGGAGAAAGTCCAAAAATGCTGTTTGATCGAAAGTGTCGGGTACTGAAGATCGAATGGTCAGGGACATTCCCAAACAGAGGGGCCTGCATGCCGTGTGTTCCCTCCGCCTGCGGAGATATGAAGAAGGCATTGGACGTTGGGCTTATGGGGTCGAAGGCTAACGAACAGAGAGCGTAAGTGTAGGCACTCTAGGGAGTTCAACGGACAAGCAACGTACCTAATGTAGGCAGATCCTTCTTCATGGCGCCGGCCGGGCCAGTGAAGGGGCTCGATTCTCCCGTTTGCTGATTAAGCATCTGCCACTGGGCAGAGCCGTAATCCATATCCATAGGGAAACCTAATCTAATACGGTTTACGTGTGTGCTGGTGATAGAGTCGATATATCCTTATGTTCGTATCAGTCGCAATCGCAGCCAACGTGTTTGCCAGAAAAAACAAAGAAGAAGTACGCCATCGAAGAAGGAAAAACGGTCTCCTTTCAAGCCGTTGCACTCCCTGCGAGAAAGTGTGATTTCCAGACGGGTGACTCTACGTGACAACCAACCTACAAGTATGTAGGAGCACCAGTATTGACGAAGCAAGAGGCGGATACACCAGGTGCAGAAGGTTTTCCGAACGATGGACCTGGAAGTGGCGGTCTTCTCGTCGACGGTAGCGGTTCTGGGTGCGGGGTTCGAATGCCCCGACTTTCGACGGTAGTGAACCCACCGGATTGGACGAGGGGCCAGCTGCTGCTCGTACGTTGGTAGTGGTGCGAAGGAACAACCTTCGCTCGGGGTTTGAAGCAAAGTTGCCTGCTCTGGATCCTGGAGGTCGTTTTATATGAGGGCCCGAGTTGCGTTCGGGCTGGGATTCTGGGACACGTAATAAGCATTCTGAATTTGTGGTGAATCATCGCCTGGCGACGCGTCTTCAAGTTGCTTATCTGCCTTATCGCCATGTCGTCAAACGCCCCCAAGTGACCCTCCGACTCGGAGCCCAGTGGACCCTGCTTTACGCCTTTACGGATTTACCAAATTACAGTATGTACACAGCTGTGAATATGTAGGGTGGTTTCAGCTATTCCACCGTATCAATGGCGGACTTGTTCGTATGATTCTTCGCTTCCCACCTGGGATCCTCCCTCCATGTGGTCACGCCTCGTGTTTCCCACATCCCACCTGCAGTCGTTTGTCGTAGGATGAGCCGTTCACCTACTTCCTGCGTTCCGCGCCCTGTAGCGTCGTGGCACATAGTGGAAGGGTGTGTAAACTGTTTAGTTCCCATATGGAAACTCGATACGCCGATTTTCTGTGGCATTTGAAAATTGAGCATCGATCAAGACAGATGCTCGACTCGGAGGAGGAACCGGATGTCCCAAGACATTCTCATTATTGATCTGCTCCGGAATAAACTGCGTTTCGATAGAGTTAAATACACTGATTGACAATGCGTGTCCGCAGAACATTCTGTACATTCCCCGCTTACCTCCTACAAGAAAGATGTCATTTCCCGACGTAATGCGCAAGAAAGGTAAACCTATGACCCCTTGACATCCCGTGGAGCCCCCGCACCAGACACTCTCACGTACCAGCCATAGCCAAAATCTGCTTCGTTATTTCCAAATCTGCCGCAGTGGCATCCCCACCTCGATGATGTGAAACCAGCCCCGACCGTCTCGCCGCGTCTCGGGCATCAAAGTCCCACTCTCGGCGTTGCCTTTGGCGCGCTTGGGTGCCTCCCAGTCCGAACACCTCCAAGTCGTCCACGTCGAAGGTTATACCGCTCTCCTGTTTAGCACCGCGGGGTCCAAAGTCGTATGTGGGCGGCCGCTGGGCCTGGGTGGTGACATTTAGAGGTGATGTTGAATTGAGGTTTAATGTGGCTGTTCGGAGATCCGTGGAAAAACTGCAGGAGCAAAATTGATGAGCGGCTCTACGACTCTCAGACACCGTACCTAACAGTTCTTACTTGAATGTTCCAATCTCCCCGCCAAAACCAATCACCCCACTGTCGGCGCTGAAATACACAAAATGATCGAGCGGCAGTTTTGCATGCGTCGAGCTCTCCACATTTGTGCGAAAGAGATCCACCACGGGATCCAGTTGGAATAACATGCAGTCTGGCGTCCCCCAAAAGCTTTTGCTTTTCTTCCATGGGCAATCCACGTACGCGCCGATCGTGATGAGCTGAGGCTCGCCGTTGGAGGTTTTCGAGGCAGGTAATGAGCCGCTCACCAGTAGTAGCGACGGCTTCGGGTACTTCAATGTGTGGTACTCGAAACGATTGATGCTGTATCCCTGGAGAACAAGGAGTTCGGAGAACGTCGATTACAACGCTGCACGCAAACCAAGCCTTACATCATTCCGAGCGCTGAAGAGCAGATCCCACTGGGCAACTGTTTCTCCCTGCTGCGACTCAGCAAGCGCAAGGGTATGCTCCTTCGCCGCCGGGGCTGGCAGTTTCAAGAAAGAACTCAAGATCCATGTCATGGCGTCCGTCAAGATCTCGCTTTTGCCAACCACAGGAATATGTTGTGGAGGATATAGAGGAAGTTGAGCCTCTTCATTTAGAGTCAGCCAAGTCTGAATGAAAGCGAATCGGACCGGCTCGAATATGAACGGCATGTTGCGAATGAACCATTTTTGCAAGTCCTCCACTGTGATAGATTCGACGTCGCCGCTAATGCCGTTGGTCTGATTTGCTCGCAATATCTGCCCGCTGAGCATCTTTATGCGCGGAGAATCCGGTTCGAGCGATTCGCTCCCTAACTGAGGCCTGTCGGCGCTTTTGTTCAGGGCTCTCAGTTGCGTGATCGCCACATCCGCTACGGCGCTGAGAAGCTCGCATAGATCAGCTCGGGTGAAGGCTCCAGTTTTCAAGCTCAGACACTGCAGGAGCTGCAAGTCTGCCTGTCGAAGCTCTTCGGCGGTGTGGGGAGTGACATAGCAAGCATCATCTCGAACGAGCAGCTGTAAGATTCGCAGGAAGCCTTCGTAATGAAGGATCTCTCGCTCGCCGTCCTCACATGCGCTTTTGAATAAGCGGGCAGAAAGCCATGTTTGGAGTCCTCCCTAACAGGATGGTAAGTCAAACGGTCTGACAAGAGAAGTTCCTGCTTCTTACCACAACCACAAACCGGGACAATCTTATCCCGCCCTCTTTTTCGCCGTCTGGCTGGACATCCCGAAGCTTCAGATACGCACTCCGGGCTGCGGCCAACGTGGGTGCGGAAAAGGGATGCTCTGATACCAAACTTGACCTCGAGGGATGTATCCCATCCGGGGGAATTTCCGAGGGTGAAGTTGCTGCACTTCCTCTCCTAGGCGGACTTTCCTCCCCGTGAGACTGGGATGCTCCCATATCTATCCTTGCCCGCGCAAGTTCAGGTAATTCTTCCAACGATGGTTGATGGTGTTCAGGTTCAGTTCAACTACATATATAATAGACTCCATCGTTTCGCAAGTTGACGTTGCGCAGGCAATCCTGTCACAACCCGCTGTTGACAGTTTCTGAGGACTCCGCCCTCCTGTGACTTGCTCCGAATAATAGCGTCCCCACTGGTAAGCGCGGCAATGAACCGCCTTCGCATGAATGTGGCAAACTATATGAAGCAGGGCACCCCGCTCATTACACAGTTTTACGGTAAGAACTTCTACGTTGGCACGGCGCTTCAGTTCCACACATCGCCTTACAGTGCAGGGCCACAAAGAGGGTTGAATGTTGAAGCACGAGAGCTAAAGCTCCGGGTGAAAGCTGGGACAACAACAGTGGAGCTGGGGTACAGAGACAGTCTGCGACAGCACGCAGTTGATGGGAAAGTGGAGATAACTGGAGCGTCCTCCAACATGTACCGCATGGAGTTCCGCCCACTATTTGCAGTGCATTTTCCACAGGACAATGCGATTTGTGGGACTTTCTTGGACATAAATATTTATCACCGATTTATTACATCGCCGTCAAGCCATGGAATTCAAGAGGGAGATACCCTCCAATCGAAGAAGCACAAGACACCAATGAAAAAGCCCTCCATTCCACGTGAACCCTCTACAAACCCAGTCCGTCAACACTGCGACACATCGAACAGCAGAGACTGGATACCATTGAGCATAAAACGGGGTTCAAACCCTGGCGATTCCATCCTGACTTTGACCTCCGGGCATTCAAAGGCCTCGAAGGTATGGGGCATGTCTGGTTCAACCGTGGAGCCAGACGTACGCAGTGGGCGAATGTCCCCAGTCCCAACAATCATAGCCCTCGGTCCTGGTATCAAGAAGTTTCTGGTTGGCTACCATCGCACGGACACTGTTTTCAATTCGGCCTGGCCTCGCTACTTACATCACGCCGATATTGATAAAAATTGACGACCTCGAGGCGAAACTTGACCAAGCTCTTGCCAGGAGCGATTCCGTCCAAGAAGCTTATGCAGATGCTGTTGGGCAGCGAAAAGACTGGACGATTGAAGCGCTGAAACACTTGTGCTCCAGGGCAGACTCATCGTCGACCACCACACCTGTTATCACGGCCGCCGAATCCCACGGAAATGTGTCAATTTTGGGAGCTCAACTCGAAAAGGATAGATTCGGACATCTTCGCCGCCAGATTGAAGAGAATAGGCGTGAACGTCAGGAAGAGCTTGACCGCCTGCATTCACATATGGCAGACTTTTTGGCAAAGTTCGATCACAAGGCCTTGGTGAAACGGAAACAAAAGGTGGATCAGATGGACAGAATGAGCAAGCCCATTCGATGATGTGGTTCGCTGCTATTCCGTGCTACGTACGTAGAAAGGTACTTTCTTAAAGGAATAGAAAACAAGCTCCATCATCTCTTAAGAGCTCCTGTGTCATGGCTACTGAAGAACAATTCGGGCGTCTGTCAAAGGCGAAGACAGCAGGTGAAATTTTCCCAGACATAATCTTTTATTTCTTACATGGCGGACCTCCTATATATATACTAACAGACAAGTTCTCTTTGATCTCGAATTACCTAGTACACAAGTCAACCCACTCTCCCTGCACTACCGTCGACAAGTGGCAAGTCGCAGAGTCATGTAAAACGCTCGTCAAGCCATGATACAGTACAACCCCGTGCGGCCCAAGTTTTAAGGGTAGATAGATCTATCACGCACGTAAATACAACAGGATAGACACAATGGCCCGCGAGTACTTCACTTATGTGGGGTATGGGCTCGTCGGTGGTTTCCGTACAATCATTGCAGAAAGCCATACGTTTGTAAACGGGTCTGACAACAATCTGACTTTGTTACGAGTAATATCGCCGCCTGGCTGGACAGCTCAAGTTACGCAATCCTGTCACAACCCGCTGTTGACAGTTTCCGAGGACTTTACGGAAGAGCTTGAGAGAGGTTTCAAATTCGCAGCGAGCAAAACGAGCGCTCCGGGCTAATAATTCAGTTGCATTGATAAAACTGCATTGTCAAGTAAAATGTCTAAAACTCCATCTCAAAGCGCCGCTCCGGATTGGTTTTTTGTGCTTGCCGAATGTATTACGGAAGCTTGCTGCGCAGAGGTCGTTGGGTTCCCTTTGCCCCTCTGGAGACTCTTGTTGGCCTCGATGGCCTTCGCAAACTTGGTTAGCATGATGTAAAACACATCTGGGAGAAGATGGATGTCAGCATTTGTGGCTCCGAGACTCTATAGTCTAAGCGCGAAACAAATACCTTGCATGTTCGCCAGTTCGTTGAGAAACGATCTCTTATTGGATTTACTGGAGTTGACGACCGAGAAATCAAACTTGGTGGCGGCCTGCATGACGGTGGAGAGATGCTTAAGAGGCAGGACAAACAGATAACTGACTACGGCGGCTAAAATGATCATCCCAACAGAGACGACAATGGCGGTGATGATGGCAGCTTTTCGAGCTCGGATCTGATGGATACGCGGAGGTTTGTTTGAAAGGCAAGGCGTCAATTACGTGCGGCGGTTGTTAACGTCTTCAAAGAACATACCATATCACCGATGAGGTCGTCTTCGGGGATGGCAATGACTAGCATCCATGCCAGGCCCTGGTCAGTTGTAAGGGCTTTAGTGCTTATCAACACATTGCCTTGCGACGTCTTCACTGTCGTGTCGAGCGACGCGGGTAAGGCAGTCCAACTTTTGCCATATCGCTCGTAGACGGCCGTTGCAGACTCCCGCAAGAGAGGATCGGCAACGTCGGCAATGTTGACAGTCGCGGACTCGTCGGCGTTCATCGTGAGACCGGCTTTGCTCACGCCGACTAATGCCCCATGAGGAATGTCAAACACGGCGAGCACAGCGTTCTTTGTCGGGACCACCGTCATCAGGTATTCCGAAATTGACGCCAGCCGGTACACCCCGGAGAACATTGCAGTGTAATTTCCCATCCCGGCATAAAAATCGGTCTGCGGGGTTCGATCTAGGAAAGACGGCGCTTTATAGCAAACCTTGGTGGGTATGTGTTGCCCATTGTAGGGAAAAATCACCGTGGGCAGCCACAACCCATTTTCGCTCGCTGGGAACATCTCGCTCGTCTTCGGTACTTCAAAAGTTGAGAAGGCGTAGAAGTCCACGGTCCGATTCCACACGTTGCCTTTCTGAGAGAAGGCACCGCCATCACATATCTGGAAGGTTGCATTGAGCTCGTTGCAGCGGCGGCCTTCGTAAAAGCCCTGAGCATTCTTTGCCCCGAGTAACAGATTCTCAGCGCCACCGATACCCGGCAGTCTTGTCGCAACATTGAATGCCACGGTAAAATTGTATCTTTCTGCAACGGTGATGAGGTCATTAATCAGGCTATCCGCGTAAGGAGCCTGAGTGATGCGTTTTGATTTATCTAAGTCATAGGCCGCAAAGTAAGTCCCGACCGATTGAAGATTCCGGATGTCATCAACTGCCGCAAAGCACTTGTCGCTAAGACGCAGCACGGAGTCGGATGCCGTGGCCACAAGTCGGCCACGCAGGGCGTCAGTCATGGTATCGGTTGACTTGGTGGCTCCGCTGAAGGATAGTACCCCCAGGGGTGCGGCGATGGCAGCCGCCGTTGCTATAGTGACGCCAAGGAGAGCTACAGCGAATGGAACTTTGAAGCCGCCTTTCCACCAAGGCGTCGTCGCCCGTGCATCACCGTCGCCTTTGCCTTCAGCGTCTGCCATTCTGCTCATTTGTGTATGGGAGGGTAGGAATTATGGGGTCGCTTTGAAAGTGGCCAGGCGAGTCAGACAGAGTTGTGAGTTTGAGAGGCCTGCACCGGGGGACAGCAGACCCAGCTCAACTTATATGGAAGCCGGATTCGGACTCGCTCCGACAAATAGAGAGTGGCATCCATGTTTATTCGACAGCCGATTTTAGCAGTTGTCTTGGACTGTGCCTGGACTGCTTTTTCAATTCAAGGTGTTTTGACAGAGCGGAGGGAAACCAAAAAAGCGACAGCGCGTGCGGGGTAGGATCACTACGCGTTGTTGGCACCCTATCGCATATGTCGCCAACATGGCACAATGACAGACCATCAATGACCCCGAATTGTCATTGAAAGTGGATATCCCCGTCAGCCAAAAAAATCACGGTGTTGATCAATCGTCAAAAACCATACAAAAACCATGCAGTCCTTCCTGGTAGTCGGGACTCGGGTGGCCCTCGTAGTCTCGTAGTACTCGTACCGCGCCGCCGTCCAAACGAGCCGCTTACGGCCGACCAGACTTTTATTAGACGGAACGAGCGGCGCTTGTGACAAGTACCAGGTCCCAAAGACTCTTCCGTGAACCAGGACAATGGAAGATAATATGTGTCGAAGTTGCCGGCATAAACAGTTTGATCCGCCGCGCACAACCACATCAGCGAAATTTTGCCATATGGGTGAGAAATTTGCTTTGCATGCGGGCGCACCGCCAACAAAGTTGTGGTTGCTGGTCTGCTTTCCCACAAGGAGGAAAGCGGTATAATCACCTCCCATCGCTTCCTTTGGGATCCAGCCAGCCGCAGCCTGTGTACGCAGCACGGTCATAGGTGGTTTGTAGCCTTTGGGGCGGATACCTCTCGGAAGAGGCGAAAAGGAAAGGCGGTGATGACCATGTCATCGACAGCGGCAGGCACGAAAAGCATTAAAGAGAGCGGACAGCCTCGCCCCGCCTCTTGTACCTCACCTAACATCCAAGAACAGTAATACCCAGCAGGTACGTTGGTCAACTCCGTTTTGTCAGCCCTCGGGCTCGCCGTGCACGGTATGATAGCGAAGGTCGCTTCTAAATCCGCGTCCTGTGTGCACATGCACATGTACTCGTCGGTGTGGGCAGCGCCTCATCGGGAGGCGGTGTGAAAGAACTTTCTCGACTTTCGGCGGATCCTCGCCAAGAGTGGGAAAGCCTCTCAGTCGCTAGGCCGGGCGGGGTATAAAGAGAACGACGCATCTCGCAAAGCTCACCGTTAACTCTATTTCCTCCCCATTATCATTACCTACAACAACAGATTATTTCAATATGGTTGCCCGCACTGCTCTCGTTGCTTTGGCTGCTCTCACGGTTGGTGCGCAGGCGCATCAAGTCTTCAACCACCCTTCAGTCTGGGGCCTCAAGACGTCACTCGAGAACCCTCTGAACCAAGGCACCAAGAATTGGTTCTGCGCCGGCCAAAAGCCTCACACCGGAAAGGGCAAGCTCCAGATTCGCGCTGGTCAGACTCTCTCTGTTCCAGTCACCTGTGGTGAGGCCGTCGGCAACCCCGACAACGCCGTCCAGATCTGCTCCAACGACATCAACGGTTTTCACGGTGGAGGTGGATGCGCTCTGTCTATCACCTCCAAGCAAAACCCCACCATTGACGACTTCACCGTCTTCTCCGTCGCCGCCAAGTGCCCCGACCTTGGACGCAAAGTCCCCTTCCAGATCCCCGCCAACCTGCCCGCCGGTGAATACGTCTGCTCATGGTCGTGGATCCCCAACCCCCAGAACGCCGCCGCTGAGTACTACGAGAACTGCTTCGACTGCTCGGTCGTCTCCGACGTGAAGGGTACCGTCACCGGTGGAATCAAGCTCCGCGACCACGTCTTTGGCGTCCCCGGTTTCCCCTCCGACAACCAGGAAGGCCGTCTTTACAAGAATGCCTTCAAGAACGGTGCTCAAAAGATCGAGGTCTCTGGCGGTGGTGCCCCCGTACCCCCTGTCACCACACAGACGGGTCACTCCACACGGAAGCCCCGCTCCTCCTCCACCAAGGCCCACTCCTCCACCAAGGAACATTCCTCCACTAAGCCCACCCACACCGCTGAGCCCACTCAGGAGCCCACGGAAAACCCCGAGCCTACTGCCGAGCCCACCGTCGAGCCTACAGCTGAACCCACCGCTGAGCCTACCGCTGAGCCTACCGCTGAGCCAACAGCCGAACCCACCACTCCTCCCAAGAAGTGCCACAAGAACAAGGACCGCGCATGAACAACCCTGATCAACATTCGCTCGTGAGACCGCTCCCGGGACCTCTCGTGATACCGTACGGGTCTGGGGCTGCTCCTACACCCTCTGTGACCAACATCATCATACCAGTACATTAGATTTTGTTACCCCCTAGTTTAGAATCGTAGATACTCTTTTTCCTTTTCTTAATCAATCTCCTGCAAGTGTGAATACAAAAGACATCATCGGTTAGGCAAAAAAATCCTGTGAGGCCATATTGAGTTTGATATATCTTTTGTTCTGAAATATGCTTGTGTCAGTGAGCCAGACCCGAGTACAGCAAAAAACGGAAAGTGCAAATTTGAAAACGGCCACGTTGAACCCCGTCCTAGGTCAGTCTCAAGGTCAGTCTCAAGAGGGAGAGAAGACGCAACTGGCTGCTGGAGTCCGCTCGAAGCCTGAAAGGTCTTGCATCAATTGCGACCTCAATCGCAGATTTCTCACGCCGAATCCCGCACACCCAAGGTCGCACGCCAAGATGGTGAATCCCGAAGCCCAGCGCAAACCTGCTCACCGACATCCAAGGCGTAGTCCGTGCCGCCAGCGAAGAACGGCAACCCAAACTCAAGTCGCTCAAAACCTCGCTCAAAAACATCGAAACTCGGCTCGCTGAGCTCGAAAACGCGCAACGGCAGCGCGACGAGCTTACCTTGCAGTGGATTAGGGCCAAGCATCCATCGGCAGTTTCAACTGGCGCAACGAGGATGGATAATGCGACGATAGCATCGCGCTGCATCCTGGGCTGGTTCGTGAGGGGGCGGCGGATGCATTTACCCGATGGGTCGCTGGAGAACAACGACGACGACGCGACGATAGTATTGAGGCATTTCATGAAGCTGTGGCGGACCTGATTGCCGCTCTGACGGGGTTTGAGGCTAAATTAGGCCTGAGTGAAAATGGGAAGAGAAGGTGTGGTTGTCCTGGATGACCGACGACCTTCGGGGCCTCAGACTCTATTGCCAACTTGCCGTTGATGACGGCCAAGTCATATCTTTGCCCTTCCACAATTGAATCCCGCTAACTGCTGCTGACCTGCTGGTCGAAGGTTCTTTATCAAGATCAACTGCGGGCAGCAAGGGTTAGAATATGAAGGACTTCTCGTCTCGGGAGCCTCGCTAGCGTCGACGAAAAGCGCCAGGAAACACGGGATTTGCAAGAGAGCGCTGAGCGAAGGATACTGGGCATAAACCAAAGTGATAATATTTATACAGACACTATGTACGCTGGTACAGACACACACTCCAACATGTGCGAGAGAGGGAGGCGGGGCCATGAGGTCGGGAGAGGAGGACGACATAGGGCGGACCTAAACACGACGCTGGTTACAGAGAGGGCGGTACAGATATTTCAAAAATAACGTGGGGATTACGCCGGCAAATATTACGGAGGGGATATAGTTCAAGACGTATCTAAATGGTCCGCACCCAGATTAGGTGGATGACCTACGGATAATCCGACGTTGTCGAGGTAGCCATAGTATGCGACTCTGTCCCTGACTGCAAGTCCCTCGCATCGTCTCCCACTGACCCATCCGGGTGATTTCTGGGTAACGACAGGTTCCAGAAATTGCCTTCCTCGTCCCAATATCCCCTGTGCACGGTCCCGTCAGCTTCCTGGAAGCCCTGGTGGAACCGCCGTTGGGCGTCCCAGTAGCCGAACTCGCAGTGTTCTGGTGGGGATGGGTAAATGTCGGTTTGGGTTGTCGGTGGTGGGGGTTGGGGGTAGTGGTAGAGGTCTGCTGCTGGGGCGAGGGCTACGGCGGCGTACGGGACCGAGGCCGAGTTGTGATGGTGTGGGTGGTGTGCTGCAGCAGGGAAAGCGAGGGCGGATGGTTGGTGCGTGTGTGCTTGATGTGAATAAGCGGCGTTGGGAGGGAAGTTTTCGAGTGCAGGGGAGTGTTCGCTGGCGCTTGGGTTGTGAGATGGGTCGAATGGGGAGTGGCGGTCAATGTGGGAAAAATAGGATTGGCGATAGGCTTGGGTGCTGTTTGGTGTGAAATGATGTTCTGGGACGAGAGCAACGCCGCTGGTATTGATGGTGCCAAAATGTGATGGTGCGCGTGAGAAATCTAGGCGTTGCTGCTCCCTCTCCAATTTATTGAAACTTCGGTTGTTGAACTGGGACGAGAGGGAGGGATGTCTGCTGAAGTGGGCGGAACTTCGGTGCCGATCGCCGAAGCCGTCGTCTTCCGCATCCAGCACCTGGGCCTTCCCAGCCGCCGCAGCTGTCCGAGTCTTGTTCTCCTTCCGATGCTTGCTTCGGTGAGCGAAGCAGCAAATGTTCATGCAAAAGCACGTCACCAAGCCTAGGGCCGCCGACCCCAACACCGCCGCTGCAACTATCATCACGATCAACGCCGTCGACAGACCGCCTGATGCTCGAGTTACACGTTCTTCGGGTGTGAGTTGACAAAAACCGTTCACACAGGCATTCCCTGCACCACATATCGCGAGGATAGCAGCTGCAGGAGCCGTAGAGGTGCAAGGTATTGCTGTTGCCGTTGGCCGAGGGCTAGATTGCGTCCTGACCGGGAACACCGTGGTGATGCCAGAGCTACTCCCTGTTGGTGTAGCGTCTCGTCTGCAGGTTCCCAAGGTCTGCCCTGGCAGTGTTACACACACGGTCCCCGGGCTCACGGAACACTGAGTATTATCCGAACAAGGGCCGCCTTCTGGGAAAGCGGGTACGGGTGCTGCGGGGGGCACAGCGGTGCTGAGGGTAGTCGCGGCGGGAGGCAACGGCGTCTGTCCGAGGACGAGCAAGGGGAATGCGGCTAAAGCCAACCATGAGAACTTAAATGCCATGTTTGACCTTTGTGGGAAGAAAGCTTTGTACTTCTGCGCCGAGGTGGTGAGAAGGGCGGGCCTAAGCCCTTGCAACGTATCCTGCGGTTATGCAAATACTAGGGTCCGCCAAATCCTCTTCTCTGCTGGGGGTGCTCCAATCCTGACACTGTACTGTGGGGCTGCCGACGCCTTGTTGATCCTTTGTCGAAAGAAGCGCGGAACACACACCGGAGCACCGAAGGCAAGACACGGAAGGGCGACGAAACTTGCACACAAGTCAGCTACGAGAAGGCTGGTGACAACTAGCGGCTGGAGGATGCTGAAGACTGTATCGTTGCTGGCTTCCCACGAGAATATTCACGTACTGTACTGTTTCCCACCACCAAGAGCCGGCCGTCCGTCAGGTATCACGCCGAGTTTCACGGGGCCTGCAAAGAAAGAGATGATGATGTGAGAGAGAGAGACACAGCGGCCCGTTGTGGCGGTTGGTTCCAGGCGCGCGCCCTGGAAATTTTTGCTTCTCGCCCTCTGCAGAGACATTTTGATTAGGCCTGCTAAATCTAAGAGCGTGCCCCCCAAAGTCAACGTTTTCAAACGACGCCAACGAGCACATTTCTGGCGTTCCCGTCGCTTTGGACATTTTCGGAGGCGCATGTGGCTTGCGTGGCTGTAGTGAGTTGCTGATTGGTTGCTTTTGTTGGCATGATCAGCATCTATTTACCTTAAGTACGGTATGTACGTACATACTGTATGCTATCACCAACATATGGACGCGGTTGTCGTTCGTCGCCACAGGGAATTTCACGCCGCCCAAAGGTCACCCGAAAGCTGCCGTTCGTGAGAGCTTCTGCAAACGACAGGAAATCACAGGTGCTCCACGCAGCGGACCCCAACACTCACACGGACCTGGCTGACAACTAAGGTGAGGCTGCGGTAGAGAAGCAGGACGTGCACGGTCCAGGGAGAAGCGTCTCTTAGATCAGCGAGTTCTTGAAGGCCGCACTTGCTGATCAGCGAGCGTGGGAAAATCAGCAATTAACACGTTCTCGCCCTCGCCCTATTCTCCCTTTAGTTTCGCAAACATGGCCGGTAAGTTAGCGGATGCTGATGGGCACCATACGGGCGAACTTTCACTGCGGGATACGGTCGAGAGAGGAGAAGGGGTGGTCCACCACTTCGTTTTGACACCACGGACGGACGAACCGGGAATCTCCACTAACGTTTAACAATCGCTACCTGACGAACTTGGAAATTGTAGACCTTTCAGTAAGCGCCGCTCTTCCAAGGCTTTCCGTTGCCATAAGGTTGGATGCTGATGATAGTCGCACAATTCTCGCGCGCCAGATCCCCATCGTCAAGAAGAAGCTTGCCGGATATGTTGGTTTCCACAACCTCCCGAACCAGGTTCACCGCAAATCGATAAAAAAGGGTTTCCAATTCACCCTCATGGTTGTCGGTGAGGAAGCTGATTCATTTGTGGAGCGGGAAACTCATGCGACCGGCGAAACTGATGGGTGTGTACTCTTGTAGGTGAATCTGGTCTGGGAAAGAGCACCTTGATCAACACCCTTTTCAACACCTCGCTGTATCCCAATAAGGAGAACAAGGAACCCACCCACGACACCGCCAAAACCGTTGATATTCAGGCCATCAGCGCTGGTATGATTGGGGGATTCCGAACTTCGAGAGGGAGCCAGGGGACTTTGGTGGGAGGGTACTGACGGACTTGCGTCGACGTAGACATTGAGGAGAACGGTGTTAAGCTGAAGCTCACCGTGATCGACACTCCCGGATTCGGTGACTTCGTCAACAACGAGGAGAGCTGGCGCCCGATCTTAGAAAACATCGAGGCCCGGTACGATGCGTTTTTGGACCAGGAGAACCGAGTCAACCGCAAGCGGGTCGTCGACACCCGTGTCCACGCCTGCCTGTACTTCATTGCACCAACGGGACATTCTCTGAAGCCCTTGGACATCGAGTTTATGCGCCACCTTGCATCGCGTGTCAATCTGATCCCTGTCATTGCAAAATCTGATACGCTGACGGAAGATGAGATCAAGGCGTTCAAGATCAGGGTATGTTGTGGATTAAATCGTTGCGCGCGTAGCTATGGTTGTATTGCGGAGGTCTGATTTTGACGATGCGACCATCAGATCCTTGATGACATCAACCAGAACAAGATCCAGATATATCAGCCACCAGTTTACGACAACGAGGACCCAGAAACCATTGCCGAGAATAAGGACATCATCGTATGTATAACCTGATTTCGTGCTCGGAGGAAGCACGCCCTTCTGATTTCGGTTGTCTCGCAGGCCCGCATTCCGTTCGCCGTGGTTGGTAGTGACAAGGAGGTCGATGTCAACGGAAGGAAAGTCCGTGGACGCAAGTACCCATGGGGTGTGATCGAGGTCGACAACGAGGAGCATTGTGACTTTATCAAGCTGAGGCAAATGCTCATCAGGTCGGTTTTCGCAAATCTGAGCTTCGAGGCCAATCATGTGTTTGTGGTACTGATCTTTCGTTGCGCTCAGGACTCACATGGAGGAGCTCAAGGAGTTCACCAACGAAGTTCTGTACGAGTCTTACCGTATGGGCAAGCTGCAGCGCGGTGGCATCGACGGTGGATCATCTGCACCAGGCTCTGGGTAAGTTGTCGGCGTGCGGAGAGTTCGTCATCATATTCCGGAAGCTAAACGAACGGAATCCGTTCCTCTATCTGCAGCTCTAAGTTCGATGACGAACGGGCAGCTCACGAGCAAAAGATGGCGAAGATGGAGGCCGAAATGAAGGCCGTGTTCCAGCAAAAGGTGGCGGAGAAGGAGAACAAGCTGAAGCAAAGCGAAGAGGAACTCTACGCTCGCCACAGGGAGATGAAAGAGCAGCTCGACAAGCAACGCATTGAGCTTGAAGAGAAGAAGAGGCGTCTGGAGGGACGGCCCGGAACGCCCGAGAAGGCAAAGAAGAACAAGGGACTCTTCAAGTAGAGAATCAGAAATCGACGTCCCATTCCCGCTCAATAATCATCAATCCGTTTTACGTCCCCTCATAGACCGCTTCGTTCCGCCCGGGTTGGCGAACAAGCTCTCAATCTTGGTCTTCCTTACTTTTCTAGACACGCTTTCTTTTTCTTCCCTTTTCATTTATGTATTTTCGTCTCACTCCTGAGAATATACATACAGACTCGAATTCAATAGATATAGTGATCTTTATTCTTCCCAAATACGTTGTCGATGGGTTGGTGGTTCGATGGACTGCGCGGAAAGGAGGGCACTGGAGAACACGCGAACGGCAGCTTGTACAGTACAGTATATCTCAGAGTAAGTGAGTGATGCGCCTTCCCACAAGCTGTGCTCCCAACGCTCTTGTGCATGCTGCACACTCCTTTCACAAGCAACGCTCGCCCCAAACAAAGAAAAACTACCAGGGCTCGTCGCCGTAGCGAGGCATCGCAGTACCTGTCTGTCATTCCCTCCGGTTGATCCCTCGACACTGAACGGCAGGCGGAGTGACCTCTTCGCGTCCTAGGCGTCCGAAGGTAAACTGGCACACTCCAACGGCGTCAACTTACTCAAAACGGGACAGGTACGTTGGAAGACAGATGAAGTCAAACCTTTTCGGAATCCTCTGGAGAATCCACTGCTCCTTCAACAGTCTGGTGTCTATTCTTTTTTCTGACCTGTAACTTGTAGGTTTCATGTTTCCCGTAGAAATCTACTTCCCGAAGTCATATCCCAAAAAAGTGGAGATCAAAAAGCATGTCGGATTTCCCAGCACTAGGAGGATCCCATCCAACGAGAGAGCTTGGCAGCGTAGGAGCAAACGGGCCGTCACTTCTGTCGTTCTCAAGTATAGCGGGTGGACGAGTACCCGCCGGGGCAGAAGGATCACGGAATGGGATTCCGAATTCGTCGTCCGCTGCTGACTTCACCATCGACGATTTCCCAGCATTGACACCTGGCGGCGGAGGCGGGGGCGGACCGCAACAACAGCAGCAGTTACAACAGGCCCAGCAACAACACCAGCAGCAGTCATCGCAGCATATGCTATCGTCGCATCCTCCAGACTCGCAATTCATAAACCGACCGCCGGGTAATATGCCGACGCCACGCGTTGGTGGGGATGGGGGTGCGATGGTGAATGGATCATCTGGGCCCTCGTTGAATGGTAGTGGAGGGCCAATGTCGCCCATGGGCACCGGCATGGCGTTTGGTGGACCGTCGGTCATAAGCGGGCTACCAGCGGCAGCGAGTTCCGGTGGTGGAAGAGGGCAGATGGGAGGTCCCGGCGGTGGCACGCCTCAGCAGTCGGGAAGTGGGACGAATTCGACTACTCCGTCCAAGCGGCCAATAGGATCCGGCTCGAGTTTCACGAAGGGTCAAGCGTCAAACTCGGAAACGCAGTCTGCGGGGTCGGTGTCGTCACGAGATCCCACCCCAACGCCGCCCGGTGGACCAACGCCCATTCCGCCGGCAGGTACCTCCGACAAGTATGGATTGTATGGACTCCTCGACGTGATACGGCTGACGGATCCAGACGCCAACATGATCCATCTCGGATGTGACCTGACATCCTTAGGGCTGAACCTTTCCTCCAACGACTCCCTATATTCCACCTTCATGTCCCCATTCTCCGAACACCCCACCCTCGGATCCGAACCGCAATTCAACCTCCCAGGCTGCTACAACCTCCTTCAGTCGCCGCCTCCATCGATGACGAAAGTCTCTTCGTTCAGTGACGAGACCCTGTTCTACCTCTTCTACGCACAACCACGCGAGTCCTTACAAGAAGCCGCGGCGCAGGAGCTGTACAACAGAAGCTGGCGGTTCCATAAAGAGCTGAAGCTGTGGGTGTCGAAAGACCGATCCCCCGAATCCCTCGCAGCAGAAGCGGCCATCGCTACGAAAGGTGTCGGGTTCGAACGCGGGATCTTTGTCTTCTTCGACCCGGGCGTGTGGGGCCGCGTGAAGAAGGAATGGGTCGTCTACTACGACCAGCTCGAAGAGCGCGGCGTCCTAACCGGCGGCACATCCACCTCCAGCGCCAGTCCCGTCAACGGCGCATCGACAAACAACGGGGAAGCCTTGTCAAAGTCAACGACCGCCGCAACAAGTAGCGTCGCGGCAACCGTGAACGGGGTCTCGCCGAGCAGGACGTCCGGACCGTCGAATAGTAACTGGCCAGCAGCATCCTCCACATCCCAACCGCCAGCTGCTACGGAAACCCCAACGAAAGCGGTCAAAGCTGGAAGATAAAGGCCCTAAACAGGGCGCACTCATGCGTTCTTGCGGATGTACAAACTACTTAAAATGAGAATACGATATCCCTCCGTTTTTTCTTACTTTTTGCCGGCGTCTTCGGTTCTTTCATTGTTTATTTTGTGCTTTGGTTGTTATGTCAACGCACCGTCTTACACTCCTCACTGGGTTGGGACTGGCGACGGGCGCGGCGCCGATGCATGGTGGTTACTGGTTCTGGTGTTTCACTATTTTGGACGGGACGCTCTCTGCTCCTGTACCCTTATATATATTTTCGTTGCGCTTTCCTGTCACTCAGAGCGACATTGACCGCATTTCAGCGATTCACTGTTGGCAGTAACCAACTGTGGAACCAAGGCCACATTCGGTTTACACTTGATTGCCTCTATTATCGAAAACTCGGTGACAATATATACACCCAAAAGAAGACGCCCTCTCCGCATCGCCCACGTACGGGGAGGGATGCGATTTGTGAATCGTTGGGCGGAGGTTGAGGAAATGAAATCGGAGCCCGTGGTTTCCCACGGAGTGCTGGTCGGTACTAAAGAATGTTGTCCATCTTTGTGTAGACGCTGAACACCCTGTTGAAGTGCGACATATGGAGGTTTGAGTGATATGGACACCTAGCGACGTTTTTCGAGCACGGTTATAAACATACCCAGCCATAACCTCCGTCGTCCCACCCGAAATCGCCTTCTGCGTCAACGAAGCATGTTCCTGCAGCATCTCATCCACCTTCTGAAAACACGACTCCCTCTGCGCATGGCTCAGATGCAACAGCGCGTTCTCCAGCACGTTCGCCGCGTACGCCGCGCAGACCATCGCGACCGTCCTGCGATCTGGGGGCTGAGGGCCGCGGCCGAGCAGGCAGTCTACCGTCCGGCGGATCAGCTCCTCTTTGACGGAGTGGTCGGCTACCGGGTGTGTGGCCATGTCGAAGAGGACGAAGTTGCGCTTTTCGGTTCGCAGGACGCCTTTGTCAACTAGGCCTTTGGCGATGCGTTCGCGTACTTGTTTGAGTTGGTAGTTGATCTTTAGCAGGTTCCATGTTTCGCCTAGTGTGCGGTGAGCGAGTGAGCATCGAACTTGTCGTGACAGACACCATTGCAACCCAGAGCAGCCACAACATGCTCGCTGCATACCACTCAGAAGATCAATCCAACTCGCGATACTCTGCTGATCAATCTTGATCAGCTTCAGGGTCTCGTCCAGAAGCACCTCCCCTGTAGGTCGCTCGTCGATAACTTCTAAAAACCGATCTGCATATGGCCGTTTTCTTATTTCCATGACTGTTTTGACGCGATTTCGTAACGATAGTTCCATGAGGATGCATCCTCGGAGGACCTTTGTGGGAGGACAAACGAGGGGTGCGGTCAGTTTTGCGGAGGTGTGATCGCGAAAGACTTGGGTCTGGAATTGGGTTGCTGATCACAACCACAACGTCGGTCCATCCCGAGTCGCCGCCTATCATATCCCCCTGACTCTCTAACTTTCAACTCACATATGATATATTATCGTTCCAAAACGACAGGTACCCTTGCGCATCCTTTAACCCCATCAACAGCACCTCCTCTAACAGCGTCAGCTTGTTGGACCCCTTCCCGCCCTTATCATAGTCGTCAAAGCCGTCATCGTCCACATCGTTGTCCCCCTGGCGATCGTTCCGCGAGTCGCTGGGCGCCGGGTTGCGTGTTTCGGAGGTCCTGCCCTCTGGGTGATCGTCGGCGCTGTCGGCACCGGCGTTGTTGCGCCGACGTTGCGTCAGACCGCTGGACATTCTTTCTTTGGATGACAACAGTTTGACGGACTTTTGGCGGGGGTAGGTGAACTGACCGAGAATACCACTTGGAGCCTTGCAACGGAGGGGGACTCTATGGTTTGTTCCAACTCATTTGCTCAAGTTCCAGCCAAGACAGAACGAGCAGAACGCGTGTGGGTGCCGCAGGACCGCGGCCGCATTTTTGACATCAAACTGACGCGCGCAGCTTGCATCTCACTCAGCATCTCACTGGACACTTCACTGGGGCGATGGGACAACTGCTTCAACTTTGCAATAGAGATCAGGGTGGAGTCTGGTCCTGTGGAAAGCTGACGAGTAGTCGTCCTCGGCAATCCAAAGGAGATTTTGAACGCGTTGAGGGCAGAGGAAGCAACTTTCATTTCGTATATAGTGGTACATTATACGCCGTACACCCTCCTCTCCATCACAACGACACGTCCTAGTCGCTCATGTTGAACGTTTCTGCTGCCGTGTGCAACTATGGGGTATCTAGGGCTAGAGACTTTCGTCTAATCTAAATGGGGGAGATGTCAAATCCGACGATGCGGGTGAAGGGAATGGTCCGTAATTTGTGGATGGACGGGAGATCACGGTAGGAAACCGGGAAGGCGGAGAATCTGCAGCGGGTTCCACCGCTGTTGCTGCCTCCCCTATTTGAGGCGCGTGCTGGCAATTGAAAGCCGCCGCGGCGGCCGCGACTCATGACGGATAAGCTCAGCGTTCGCTATAACGGGTATTGATGATGTGGAAGCCCCGATGGGGCAGGCCGGCTAGGCCACTGATTAATCGGTAATCGTTCCAAGTACTGTTGCTGATGCAGTCTGGCGTTCTCCGTACTACGCCGTGGTTCAGACATTGAAAGCTCCAGCGCGTGATGCTGAACTTGCCGTGTATGAGGTGCTGGGCCGTGTAAGCGGTGCTGGGCCCTCATCAGGATTGATTCCTCGTCCATCGGCTGGACGTGAGGGGGGATCGAAGATGGCATGCTAGGCCCTGATTGTACTGGGGGGATAGGTACATGCGGGGATATGAGGGTCCCAAGCTGTCGCTCCGTGCTCATTAAGCTGGGTTGGCCGAAGCCCACTTGAGGGTGTGGTGTAGAATGAGTGATCGGAGTGGAAGACGGTTTGACGGTTTTTACTCGTTCCCCTTGCCGTTTGTTTCTGAGATAAAGTTCCGAGGTAAGTTTCAAGGGGCATTGGGAAGCTGGAAGTCAAAGTTCAAGGGCTCCCTATACTCACTGGAACCAGATTTGCACGGCCCTTGGGGTCATGCCAAGTTGTTCGGCAATACGGATGCGAAGGTCGGTCGAAGGAAAATGGGTCTGCGCGAACACGGCGTTCAGGACATGCAACTGACTCGGTGTCGCCCGCTTCCGCTTTAGTTTCGGTGCATTGGACATATCTTGTTCCGGCTCTAGTTCATGCTGCGCCGGTTCATGATGCGCCGGTTCAAGATGCGTCGGTGCTTGTTGACTAGACGAGAACTGGTGATGAATTTGATGCGGCGGGCCTTGTTGTCTGAGGAATGATGGGCCATGTGGCATCGTTTGCTCCACCTCCATAGGATAATGTCCCCGCGAGAAATCTCCGCCGCGTACATACATTTGCGGGTCTCCGATTCCATCCGCCTTGTGCGGAGACGGTTTGTGCGATTCCGTGGCCGTCCGTGAGTGACCATCCTGGAGAGAGAAGTGGTCGGTGTATCGGGCGGTAAGGCGGGTTGGGGGCTCAGGGGAACGTGCTGATGGTGGCTTGAATGGATCGATATATGGTACTGCGGGCCATGGTGGTGGAGCTCCTGGCAATTGCGCAGACATCGATGGAGGGTATGGTTTTGGCAGTACATTTTCTTCCAAGGATTTGAACGAGGGAAGACCTGTGGTAGGGCGCGAGAATTGACTACGGGAAGACACAATGGTAAATATCGAGTGCGAGCCGGTCGTATCGAAGTACCACTGTCTTCAGGACTCACGGCTCTTCGACGGCTGTTGGACTCCGCGCTCGACGGGGCCGGGGCTTCGAGTTCCCAGCGGGCCCCGGAGCAAGGTGGGCGTTCGGTCCGCCGTATGCAGCCGACTCGCCGTTTAGAAGATTCTCGAGCTTCATCCTCTTTAAGCTTATCCTAGAGTGGCAGGGTTTTAACGTTTTCGGGAATCTCGGCTGGTGGGTCGGCGACGAATGTCGTAAATACGCCGGAGGAGGAGGAGAGCGGTAATGAGGGAGATTCTGGGTAATTCCTATCGCGCATATATGGAGACGTCCTTTACTCGAGAATTGATTCTTCAGAACTTTCAGACTCCTGCGGGGTGGTCCGGCCCGGGGAGCGCTATGGATACTGAAAATCTAAGAGGCTGCCAAAGCGTCTGCAGGTACTGTACTACTAAAGGAGTCCGACGAGTGCTGCGGAGACTCTCAAAAGCTTTTAGCCCATACACCTTCGCGTATTCATTTTCGTCGCCTTCTCGTGTTTTGTGCTTGTGGCCGTACGCCGGACGACAATCTGGACGACAATCAGCTAGAAAGGCAAGTCGCCTTTCCATACATCTACAAAATGCCGTGGGTGACAATCCATTGAGATTCCATTCGTTCAACCTTGTCGAGGTGCATGGCTCGGACACTTTGCAGCCCTCGCCTGCCAGTAGCTGCATGGGCAGCATGTCAGGCCGTGGCAGGCATTGGCAAGGCTTAAGAAAAGCAAAACGCCCAAGAGAAGAAAAAAACATACCGAGGCGTTATAAAACTCGAAAGCCCCAGTCTTCGCCCAAAGATCTCATCTTCTCAGGCCTTTTTATGCACGGTGTTGTGATTCCTCCGAGTCATCAATTCTTTCGCGCAGCGCTGGTTCCAGAATCCACGTTGGCGGCGCTAGGGAATCACTGGCTGCCCACATGACGGCCGTTCGGCGCCATAGCTTATCTTTGGTGCCAATCAAGGTCGCAATTAATGTAGTGAACGGACGGTCCGGAAGTTACTGGGATGATGATCGGAAACCGAATAATCGGGTATTACTGGCTTTCGCTATACTGTAACTGGTTGCCCCGATGGTGCAGGCCAGTGGGGGCTGCGGCTATCAACCCCATCGGGCACTGCCGTGTCTGCATCATGCTTGACTTGAATAACGAATTCTCTGAAGGTTGCTGCTCCCGATCTCTGTTGCAACGACTCTTGGAATCTTAGGTGGTGGCTGATGTTGAGGGCGGAGGCGTTCGCAATTTCACAGTCGTACACAGCTTTCGCTTTCACAGCACTGTGAGTACCCTAGCTGAGTTCAAGCTTCCGCGTGCCTCGAGCCTCCCTTGAGGAAGCAGGAGACAGGCAATCTCGGCTGAAGAGGCCTACCGGCTGCAACGCTTACAATCCACAGGACCCAAAATGTCCCTTCGCTCCATGCCCGAATCCGCCATCCGGTCGTTGGCCTGGAAGTATTTTTTAGGCGGGTTTCTGCTACTCCCGTTCTTATGGCTTGTCAACTTTGCATACATGTACCCCGAGACAAGGCGACGAGCGGACCTTTCTGGGACTGTACGACGACGTGAGTATTGCCTGGCGGAAGTTTGTTTGGCTTCTCGCTGGTGCCAGCCCACGTCGGGGGGTTGCCGTGGTGTCACTCCAAAAAGCACGTTTACTGATCAATCTCCTTCCCCATACATGCGCATGGAAGTTGCCCTGGCGTCTTTGGCAGGGTCGATTGTATGGCTGGCCGTGGTGGTGGTGTGGATGTCGGTGTATCTGACACAACGGACAAAATGGGGGTATACGGGGGATCGACTGGCTCAGAACGTTCCATTAGGGACTTGATGCTACGTACCGGCAGGACAAACCTTACGTGGACTATTGCGGGAGGGCTTCGTTTGCTGGAAGTCTGTGAATGCGAACGCCATACATGTCCTACGCGACGGACCAGATACAGCAACAACGGATGCTTGCGAACTGGCGTCAGTGAGCAAGAAGGGCACTAGGTTACTTGCCTCCAGTGGACCTGGACGACGTCGCAGTCCCATACCCGACGAGCTTCTCTCCCTAGCACAACTTATACCAGTGCACCTGCCTCAACCCGTCTGTGCGCAGATGCGACTCCGCTGAACGGGATATTTGAGCTAGGTCCCACGACCCTGACTGGACATCGGCAAATCCCGCGATGAGTCGGTGATTTACATCAGTTACGTTTCGATAAAAACATTTACAGTTACTTTGTCCGTGGAAGTATGCTCCACAGCTCTTCCTATATACATTGTCCCCTCAGAATTTAATGTCCAAGACCCATTTTGTACATTTGAAGCTCGCGGATTTTTCGGTCCACGACTGAGATGACATCTTCTGCTGACCCGGATTTCGTAGACTTCATCCCGTGCTGCTCATGACAGACTCGGAGTTGAGCTTCCGCCGACATCTGGAACCCGGCAAATTGTTGCAGGAGAGCCTGATGTTCTGCAGTGCAACTCTCCAGAATACTTTCGTACGCATTTCTTTCCGCTTCCCAATGCTCTCTCTCGGCTTCCCATTCAGACCGCTCCGTATTCCACTGTTCCCTCTCAGCTTCCCATCCGTCTTTCTCTGACCTCCACGTATCCTTTTCCGCCACTAACTGCCTTATCAGCTCACTCAAAGACCCGTCTTCATCAGCTATTCTTCGCCGTGAAGACCCATTCGACAGCAATGTGCTGGAGGTGCCGTGACTTGAGCGTGCAGGTAAACTCCTAGAGTGGCCGTCCTCCTGCCATGCCAGCGCCCGACCTTGGCTCACAATTCCAACTCTCATAGCCCTCAGTTCCCGATTCTTCTTCATGAGAACCCGCAGTTTTTTCTGATATGCTTCGCGCTCCCTCGTCTGGCTCTCCAGTCGATCAACCTGCAACGATTGCCGCTGTACTGTCAGGTAGCGCACGTTCTCTTTCAGAGTTTCCTCTATTGCTCGAGCCACCCCAACTTCTCTCATCAGCCGCGCCTCGGACGCGCTAGCATCGTCTGCCTTTCGATAGGCCAAGTTCCTTTCCCTCTCGACTTGTTCCAACTTGCTAGTAAGATTCGCCACCATGTCATTTTGGGACGCGTTGGCGCGAAGTAAACCGTTGTGCTGTGCGGTCAAGGCTTCGAGCTGCGATGCGAGTCGAGCGACTTCCTTCCTCGCATCGTCACGCTCGGAGCGGTTTGCTCTGTTGGTTTCAATCAGAGCGTTATAACGAGCGTTGGTCTTGCCGTAAGTTGCTCGCAGAGACTCAAACTGCGCTCTACCATGCTCAAAGGATTGTTTCAAGCTCTTGTATTTGTCTGTCAGTTCTCGGAATTCCTGGCGCTCTCGAGAACGCGCATCTTCTGCTCCGTTGATCCGCACAGCGGCCTCCTGGAGACCTTTCCGCGCATCCGTGAGGTCGCTTTGTAATTCAGCTACTTTCGCATCGGCTTTAGACAGCTTCTTGGCGACATCAGAGTGTTCAGCCGCTTTGGCGACCAATGCGTCCGATCGGTCTTGCAAATCACTTTGGCATTGCGCCAAACTTTTCCGCAGTTCTTTGTCGTTTTGCGCGGCGTCATTGCCCAACTGCTCAATCTTCTTTGCCATCATGGCGATCTCTTCTCGGAGTTCGAGCGTCTCCACATCCTTCCGCGCGATTTCCGCCTGCGAATTCACCAACTGGTCCTGCAATGATTGGACTTGGGCGGTCCAATCGTTTTCCACTCTTTGTAGTTCCGAGAGCTTTGTATCCATTGCCAGCAGCTTTGCCAGCAAATCTGAAACCTGTCGATTCTTCGCTGCGATACTCTCCGTGCCAGTACTGATTTGTTGGAGCTGCTGAGCATTCGCGGTTGCCAGCGTAGTTTTCTCTTCGTTCAGCGTAGAAACAAGCTCCATTCGATCAGCAAGGGTCATCTCCAGCTCGGCAATGCGAGAGTTTTGCGCATTGGTGATTTCTTTCAGCTCATCAAGCTGTGCTGATAAGGCATCGACCTGACCGACAAGATTAACCGCTTTCTGATGACTATTGCGACTGCTCTCATCGTATGACACTGAAGCAGAAGTGATAGCGCTTTTAGCCTCAGTAAGTTCAGCTTCAATCGTCTCTACTTTTTGCTTTTCCGCTGCGAGATCAACTTCTAGCAACTGAGCCCTATTTTGCTCCTCACGAATCTGTGTTTTGAGGGCCGCAATTGTTCGAGTTGCTTCGATACTCGCGTCCGGCTCGCCTGAGAGTCGGGCAGGTTTATGACGCTCATCATCTTCGTCGTCGATAGAGACGGGAGCAATATCGACGGCATCATTGATCTCCTTCAATTGGATTGTGATACCGAGCGGGCAGACGGTTCGATAGGCCTCCAGCCATGCCTGCTTGGCTTGCAGCGATGGCATCAAAAACACGAAACGGTCCAGACCGGGGCGCGTGAAGTCCCTGTTCTTCTGCTCAAATTCCAGAAGGGTGGTAGCTGTGGAACATGGAATCAGATCATACCTTCTGACTGAGCACTAGCGAAGCTTACTTACCTGCTTGAGTGCTCTTATTGCGTACATCGGCAACGGTACAGTCTTTCAGAAGGACGTTTTCCATGAGGTGATATTTGTCCCTCCAATCTTTCCGCGCAAACAGCAGAGAGTCGTTGAAAAGGAAAAGCACCCTTGCCTTCTTGGTATCGCCGAATGCAACAGACACCATGTCCTCACGAAGAAGGTGGCGTGTCGGCGAGACGAGCAGAATTTTCTCTACAAAGTCTTGCTGGATGTCTTCCAACTTGCGCAGATTTTCCACCTGACCCGAAGCTCCATTCACAATATTGAGAATGCATTGAATTCGCTCCAATGCCTCGGTCAAGACGGTAAAGTCCAGAGACCTCTCGGAAGTGAATCTCAATATTTCCTTGATGAGCAAAGGATACTTGCATATACGCTGCACAGGCTTGATCAAGAAACCGCCAAGATCCAAGCGCCGCGTTATCCCTTGCCGGTACATGTCCTCTAGATAGGAGCGGTATGGCCCTTTTGACTGCATCAGACTTTGATGCTTCGCTACCGACGTTTTCTGCTCCCGGCAATAAACCGTGTACGTAGTCAAACGGTCCATGATCTGAAGAAAGATCCCCCCAATTTCGTCGACTGTCGGTTTGACGGCGCATAGATCTTCCAACGCAGTCAGCAATTCCTGGCTAACCGGAAGAAGCTGCTCGACATTAGCGAATATAACATCGACGGTCTTCGAGGGTATTATTTTCCGTTCAACAAGTGGCCTCTTGAAGAAGGAAATTATGATATGAAGGTCCCGAACATAGTCCCGCTCAGTATTCATGAGCTCGTATACCGCCGCAATCCGCTTCTGTTCTTTTTGGCTCATTTTTAGGACAGCAGCATCGCCAACTAAGGTTTGCCATACGTCCATTTTGGACGCCGGAAGGTCCTCCACATTGAATGACGTGTGAGATGCCGCAGTAGCCGAGAATCGATCGCTGTCACTCAAGGCACGAGAGGATGCCTGGAACATGCTCAACCGATTAGACGCGCCTTTCGGTAATAGAAATGACAATCGCTTGTTCGGTGACGAAGAGTTCAATGAAAGGTTGGATTCGTCGGGCACGTTCCCCGCGCCAGGAAGCGTTTTGCTGTTTCGCGGCAGGCTGTTACTGTTTCGCGGCAAGCTGTTACTGCTTGACGCGAGGCTCGTATCGACTGAAGCTTCTTCAACCGCGGCAAGTGTCATGCCAATATCCATTGGACCAGAACTGTCTTCTGTTATATCTGTCGCCACAACTGGTGAGGGCGCTGACTGGGACCGCAGTCGGTTCTTCTTTTTGGCCGAATTTGTGGAAGGTGGCGTTGAGGTACCAGCGGTTTGTGGCTTTTTTGTTGAAAGTCTCTTGAGACTGTACCAAGACTTCCTTTTAGATTGATCCCCACCTTCTACCTCGGTACATGCCTCCAGTTCGGTTGAAGGCACCTGCAAACTCTCTAACTGGTCCACAGGCTCAACGTAAGAGGCTACGAGTGTCGACGGGAACCAGCCACTTTCCGCATGTTTGCTCCCAAGATTCTTCATCCCTTTCCACCATCCGCCTTCCGGGGCATCGACGATCACGATAATATCTCCGACACTCAGATCCAGCTCATCTGCTTTTGTCTTCGAGAAAGTGCTTCTCGCAATGACCTGTGCTCCCCGATGAACATTCAGAGGTGGTTCCCACGATTCTTCGATCATTGGTGACCTCTCTGGCGGTGCTGGCTCTTCAATGCTCAAAGAATATGTATCGTCTTCGACCGGGCTTTGTATCTCCTCCATCGCTGTCTCGACCACAGGTGGTGGTTCCCACTTTTCAACCTCCACACACGACGCAGGAAAGAACCCCTGCCGCCCGTTATTCTCGCCCCAGGATCGGTTTGTGCCAAACCACCAATATTCGTCACTTGACGCAGGTTGAAGATCAAGGTCCACTACATCCCCGACGTCCAGCTGAAGCTCATCGTCCGTTAGAGCAATGTGAGCGGTCAACACCCGTAGGCATGTACCCTTCGCCGGCCCAGGCGCCTGGGCTGTATGGGCCGTGCCATTTTCGGTTTGTTTGTCGAGGTCATCAGCGGCTCTGCCAGCAAAATTTGCTGATGAAAAAGAGTCTTCGGTGACATTGGTGGGCAACGCAGTGATGGGAGACTCCGGTTCGATCACGTTATTCGGTGCAGGCGGATGCTCCTGATCAGCAAGACGAGAGGTTTCGTTGAGGCCGGTGCTCACTCTACCAGCGCCTTCCCCGGATATTCTGAAGTTTTTCGTAGTGTTGTTATCGATTGGCTGTTCCTCACCCTGTTCCTCAACTTGCGATTTGCCCGGCTCAGCAAGATTCGCAAACTCGCTGGCACCTTCATTCACACTGGCAGCGGGTTCCTCACATACGCTATAGTCTTCCGCCGCAGTGTTCGTGGCTCCAGTCGGCCGCGGGGTCGGATCCTGACTCTCGTCCGGCGTTTCCCTGAGACCAATATCCGGTTTGGCGGCGGTCTCTGGCAGGATAGTAGGTGCAGGCTGCGCTTCGGTCGCTTCTAACGGCTCACGCGTAGGTGTCTGATCATCAAGATGCGGGCTTTCGCTGGGCTCTGCTCTCACTGTAGCAGCGGCACCGCCGACTGTTCCCAGCTCCTCCGTCACAAGTTCTAGCTCTCCGCGAATAGCAGACTCCCCTTCCTCAGTCTCCACAGGCCTAAGCTCTTGATAACCCACTTGGAGTGCATCTTGCTGATCGCGATGGTGGGACGATTGCTGGGCAACGCGGGGATCGGTTTGGGCATTCAATAACTCGGCTATGATCACATGACCGTCAAGAGCGGCGTCATTAATCGGAGTTTCGTGCGTTGACTCGTTGACAGCACTAAGAGGGCGTCCGGTCAATGCAGCAGGAGCACCGCCGTCCGCATTGAGGCCTTCGCCGTCGTCCTGATGATTGTTGCTGAATTCGTTCTCCCCTTCCGACGAAGTTTTTGATAGTGGGCGTAATGTTGTGCCATGCGTCGATCCTTCATCCCTAATATCAGCGTCCAACTCAGGTATGGTCGGAATCGAAGCATGCGCCGAGTCCTCCATCGATCCCGGAAAGGAGTAATCGCTGCCAGGAGTGCTTTTGGGAAGTGCATCCTTTATCGAGGACAACGTGGGCAATGACATTCCGGTCTCTCTCTGCCTCTCTTCGAAGGGTTGTAATGGTTCTGACGACCTCCTCGTCCTGGCGACGGCTGCATAGCTGAGGCCTGGTTTCACCGCCGTGGCGGGGTTCCCCGTCGTTTTGAAGCCCGCCATGCAGTCCATTGAGCTTCCGGATAGCTTCTTGGTGATGTTTGCTGATGAGCCCAAACTCGGAAACTCATGCTCCGCGTATGGCTCCATTGTTCCGAGGTTTGCGAGAGGAGCATGGATCTAGATCTAGAGTTTGCTTCGCGACTCACTAAAAGAGTTCAGTGATTCTGTTTCGACGAGAACCAGAGATGGGAGGGCATGCCAAAATGTATTGCAGCGTCGCAACTGACACCTGTGTCGGCAAAGAATCTAGTTCAAGGAGGAGGTAATGCCCAACGGAACTTAAGACCATTTAAAGTTACGCTAACCATCAATGCCTATGAGACTGACACCTTCAAGCAGTGACACTTCTGCCGAAGAATGACACATGCGAGAGGCCGGACTTGGAGCCGCGACAAGTCTCGCAACAGCAACGACAACCTTCGAGTGGCTCGCAGACGCAGACAGTCGAGCATGCGGAACTGGCATCTCCGCCTGCAGTGTCATCCCAGCAGGGACGTTACACTTGCGCAGAGGGAACTTGACCGACAGAAAAGTGCAATGGGACGACGACATGGTGGATAATGAGGGGCTAGGGAAGAAGAGCAGTAAAGGTATGCTTGTCTTCCACAAGGACCTGAATCTTTGGACTCTCCCCAATGCAACCGATATACTATACTTCCCACACGTTGCATAAAGTATGCTGCATATTCCCCAAGCCTCACAACCCAGACAACACATCTTCGGACTCTGAATTATCCTCCGGGTCAGAAGCAGACGATCCGAGTAAACCAAACGCATATGAGAGGGAGCCAAAGTCCGTGAGAAGGCATCCGAAACGGAAAGGGAAGGCCAACTCGTACCACCATCATGAGCACGTGGAAGAGTGCAGCCATAACAACGGACCCTCTGGGAGTGGATCGACGTCGGCGGAGATGCAAGAAGGGCCGGACGGTTTAGGATTGACGCCGCGGCAATCAGCTAATTCCCCTGCACGCATCAGCTTAGAGGTGTTTGTCAACGAAGGTTCTCTTCCATTTTTGGCTTTTGGCCCCGCACTCATTCAGGGTTAGCATTGTATCATAGACTGAAACGTATCGATATGGACTCTCAAAATAATGTTCATGTGATGAAGTGAGGTGTCTTCATTATTGATGGGGTTGCTGCTATTGCCAATTTCGCGACGATATTCATCAAATAGAGCACATACAAAATCTGCCTAGTTTATCATGAAATTACGGTTCAAAGAACCGGAGGGCCAAAACAATGTTGACGCAGCCAAATTCGACTATTTCCGGAAGGAAACTACTAGGTCGCCGCCTCCAACGATAGCTAACTCGACGACGATGCGGTTACTGGCGCGGGTAGCGCCCCGCTAGGAAGCATTGGCATCCCCAAGAACGGCGACACGGGCAAAAAGTCCCACACCCGTATCGAGCCATCCTCTCCACCCGAAATGATCTTCGTGTCCGTCATGCAACAGCAGTTGACCGCCCCCCGGTTTCCCTCCAACTCCAGCATCGCCTTGCCACGCTCTATGTCCCACACAATGATCTTCTTATCCTGCCCACCGCTGACAATCCGCAGGGAGTCGACGTCAACGCACCAAACCCCCTCGACGTGACCAAACAGGGTCTTGATTTCTTTTCCAGTGGTGAGACACCAGATTTTGATCGTATTGTCGAGAGAAGCGGAGACAAGGATCCCGCCGGGGATGGTGATGCCGTTGATACGAAGGGTGGAGTGCGGCATGAGGGTTTGGATGCTCGAAATCTGACCGACGTGGCCACTGAACGTGCGAACCTCCTGCCGCGTCTCAAGATTCCAATGCTTGACGGTCAGGTCGTCTGAACACGAGAACAAATTTTGTTTGTCCAAAATTTGGACCTTGTTGACCCAGTCGGTATGGCCAGTCAGCTGGAAGCAGCAGGCTGCCGACAGATCCCAGACGCGGATCGTGCCATCGGTGGACCCCGTAGCTAGCAGTTTGCCGTTGAAATTCAAGCAAACGACGCCGGCAGCATGTCCCTCCAAGACTCGGACACACTCGAAAGTCTGCATGTTCCATATGCGGATGGTGCGGTCCATGGAGCCTGAAACTATCTTGGTGTCATCCATCTGGATGCCGCGCACACACCGGGTGTGACCCGAGAGTATTTTGATGCACTCCATCGTATCAACGTTCCACACACGGATGCTGTAATCGTAGGAGCCCGTCACAAGTAGCGAACGGGCCTCATCGTAGTACATGCACATGACGCTGTCCGTGTGCCCAGTCAGCTCGGTGAATGCGTAATTGCCACCTCGCCAATTCCGCTCGACAACGAGCCGTTCAGCGTATATCTCCTTCCATGGCCGCTTCCGCTTTGCAGCTGGTGGCGGGGATAGTGGAATCAACGCTGGGAGAAGTCCCGTCGAGGCTGTATGTCGAGAAGGATTGAGGTAAGTACCTGCGATGAAGTTGGGCTCAAACAAAAACAGGAACATACATGACTCGTCCTCAATCTTTGTGCACGCATCAATCTTCCTCCTTTTGGTGTCCGGAACACTGTCCGAGGCCTCATCGTGCGCCGTATCTTTGATGGGTGCAGCTTTCCTCTTCTTGTCCATCAGCGGTAATCCCCAACCGCATTTCTTGCACTTTTTGTCGATATGCTGCTCACACATGCGATGCCATATTATGTCGTCGTCCGCCAGTTTCCGCCATGAATGCGAGACCTGAGCGGCATGGCATAACGCTTTCGCATCCAAATATTGCAAGATTCTGATAGACAGCTCTGCCGGCAGGCTAGCAATGATGTCTACGCGCAAAAGCGGCCCGAGAGCCGATGATATGTGCGACAGTTGGGGAAGACAGCAATGGTCCATCAACCCGTCAAGGATGAGGGGCCGCAGTATACGTGGCGCCGCAGTAAATTGGTCCCATATTCGGGTCACAAGATCTCTGTCGCCGATGGACAACGCTTCCAACCGCTGCAGGAAATGGCGAGTAAGATGAGATCTCCTTCCCACTGAAATATCACCTGAAAGGCAACCAACCTTGCGGACATTTTCGTGCATCACATCGCACTTGTTCGAGTTTGGCCGGTGCCTAAGGAATAATTGTTAATGCTCGGTAATTCGAGCCGGAAGGGAAAAGCGCCACGAACTGTACCTGTAGCAGAAATGTGGTTTGACGACCTCTGTGCTCATCTTTGCAGTGATACGACGTAGGTCGTTGGTATAGTTTGGATATTTTGCTTTCGAGAGGAAATGGGGGATGCCGGCCACCTTTTGTCTTCATGCACCTTTGAAGACAGGACCCGAAGCGGGACAGCAGAGGTGGGGTCGATCACTTGTGCGAGATCATTTATGGCGCGTACTAGTGGCGCTAGTGAGAAGCATGACGTGATCACCGGCCCCTCCCACGATCGTCAAATTGCGCTCAGGTCAGCAGGGCTTTGAGATTAGTCGGGCGCGTCCGACTCGCTTGTCATCGCGCAACTTTAGGAGCCGGATAAGAAACGGCTTAGAAATGCTCAATGTAATACATTTGACATTTGACCAAACAGCAAATGAGCATGGAGAGTTGAGCATATAAGAACCCGGGAACCCTTGCATCGTATTGCGCGGGGTGCCAGTCGAAAGACGTGCTTTATCCCTGTGGAAATGGCTTGCATGATGAGTCTCGAAAGGCGTACATGCATGGGACATATTGGAGAGTGCATTCCTACAGTATGAGTGGTGGTTAGTATATAATCCGGGAGACTCTTGTTTTCGAGTCTCCATCAGGTCTCCATGTCCTATGTATGTATGTACAGTATGGACGATATATGAAGACTCGAAGGCGCCGAACGCGTTGGTTGATTATGTAATCATCGTGGTTAGGGTTCGGGAGTCGGCGTGCCCACACATCCGTCCCAAGCGTCGCTCGAGATTTGATTCTTTCACACGTCTAATTAACGAGGAGTGGCATCAGGTAGGCATCCATCCATCCATCCATCCACACAGCACAACGAACCTGCGAAGGTAGCGAGGACTGCGGGGCTGGACGACGAGAGAGGAGGGGGCTAAGTTGGAAGATGGGTCAGCAGGCACGAAATGTCGCAGGAAGGGAGAATTGCTGCCTGTGGGAACAGTGATGGTGGACATGTCGACATGAGAGGCCTCCCATTTGGCACGGAATCGACCGAGGGCGAGGAGTGTTGCAGTAGCCACACAGAGAGTGCAGTTGGCCCGAACGAGAAACCGAACGTCGACATGATAACTGGGAGTTGTGGGTGCGAACATGGGAATCCAGCATGGATGGGAACGACTCTGGAAGAGACACAGGGGGTGGAATCGCCGTTTGGGAAGAGACTAGAAACCGAACCCTCGAAACCCCGGTGTCGGAAGACGTGGAAAAACTTGGTTTCGTTCGGAATCTGATCAGGCATTTCTCTCGCATCGACAGCAACCATGCAGATCTTCGTTAAGACCCTTACGGGGAAGACCATCACCCTTGAGGTGGAGAGCTCCGACTCTATCCAGAATGTCAAGGCTAAGATCCAAGACAAGGAGGGTAGGTAGTCTGAAAGTGCGATTTTTCCCGCCATGGAACTCCGGCTCACGTTATTCTATTCCTGCAGGTATTCCCCCGGACCAGCAGCGTCTCATCTTCGCTGGAAAGCAACTCGAGGATGACAGGACTCTGAGCGACTACAACATTCAGAAGGGTCAGTGTCGTTCACACCACATGTGGGGAGTTCGGGTGGAAAGAATATGAGGCTCACATTCAATTGTTTGCCCTGTTTTCAGAGTCCACCCTTCACCTTGTGTTGCGTCTTCGTGGTGGTATCATCGAGCCCTCCTTGAAGGCTCTTGCCTCCAAGTACAACTGCGAAAAGATGGTTTGCCGCAAGTGCTACGCCCGCCTTCCTCCCCGTGCGACCAACTGCCGCAAGAAGAAGTGTGGACACACTAACCAGCTTCGCCCTAAGAAGAAGTTGAAGTAAACATTTTGAACCCCGGGGGATTACGATATTCGCCGAGAGAGTTTGTTGGCGGGATTTACAGATCGTCAACACTCGGGAAGCGGAGGTCGGTCTACTCATTTGGAGAAGGCGGATGGTTGGGCCGATTTCACCACTTGTCATGTATACAATTTTTACCAATCAATTTCCTGTGCTTCAACGTTCTTTGGATAATTCTTGGGGACGGGCGCAACGGCAGGGTCGATTGTGGGATGGCAGCAGATTATTGGGTGAGAACCATAGCCGACAACAAACATTCGACCGCGAAGGAAACTATGGACAGAAAGTGGGATACACCAGGAAAAAGCATGTACAAGGGATACTCGACACGCGAAGAAACAGAGCTCTACAGCCTACTATGCAAGAGAAAACACCGTGATATATACAAAAGGCGATGGAGTCATAGAGCGGCGGTTGTTACCCGGCTTCTTTCCCGTTCCCTTTCTCTCTCGCGATCCCGTTCACCCACTTTAGGCCGCGATGAGACGAATTTGCCAGTAGACAACCACTTTGCATATGCCTGAAGGAGGGAAGAAGGGCATCAGAATCTGTCAATGACCGCACTCACTTGAAACTATTAACTACGCACCGTCTGCTTGGGCACGTCGCTCCTCGCAACCCCTGGCCCTACATAATTCGCCGTCCGTGACGAGTTGTCCACATAATGCACATACAGAGCCTCATCCCTGGAGTCCACATTCAGCGATAGCGGCCCGCTCGATCCTGCAAAATGACTCCGCGATTTCGATGTGCCTCCTCGTGGGGTTGTGCGACTGACGTATTCCTCAAATATGGGGTAGTCGGCGTGCGAGGCTTGTGTGTGCGGGGCAAGGTCCACTGTAGGGGTGAGCAGTGCCGACGCGGCCTTGAACTGGTGAACATACCTATCCAAAGCAAACGTTAGAACCGTATCCCTCGTTCGACCTCGATTCGATGTTTCTCACCGTTTATACTCCTTCAACTCAGAAGTCGGAACTTGAGGATCCACAAGCCGCGTAGCCAGCGCACTCGTGGTCCACCAGGGCGCCGAAGACTCTTTGATGACACCGGTTTTGCTTGACTTCCCACCTTCTGCATTCCCAATGTTTTCTTTGTTACGGGCTTTTTCGGATGCAGCATCCTGCCGCGTTGTGTGACTATGGTTGTTTGTCAGTTTGAGCCAGCGCCGAACGCCGCCGATATTCAAGCTACGTGAATTGCCGACGTGAGTCTGACGAAGTGTGCTTAAGGGTGTACATGAGACATGATTTTACCTGTATATCATGAGATACCTATTCGATTGCGCCGGATTGACGCGCACTGTGAATGGGCTATGATCCAGCACATCATCCCTTGTAGGCAGCCTTGAATGACGTTTCTGAGTTCATGAATCTGACCATCGTAACGCCAGGTCCTATGCGAACTTCCACTCACCTCGTACTCGTACTGATCATGTTGAACGCAAAAAGCTTGCTGAAGGATGTATACAGTTTGATTCGGTAGTAGTCCACATAGAACGCATTTCCGCGGACAGGGGCAATGGTCATAGCGGCGGAGTGCTCTTGCTGCAGCTTCATAGCGTCGTCGGTATACCAATGAGTGTAACTATGGGATCATTATGCTTAGATTCACAACATTCCGCTGAAAAGTCCACGAGCCTGTGCTCACCTTCGCTTGACCCGTCGTTTCCTTGGTTCTTCGTGGTGCAGGTAGTAATCCGAGCTCAAGTCCCAGAGCGCAGCTGCAACATTCATATGCGGTACAAAATGGCCCAAGAACAAGTTGATCGCCTCTTGTTTCTCAGCATCTGTGAATGAATTGCTGTAGTATCGACGGATACTCTCAATCATGTCTCGAGAGTGGCTCGTCCAAGGACTGATCTTCCGGTACGTCTCCATCGTGTTGACCAGGTGCGATCCTCCGTATTGCAGCGCAATCGTGTCTCCATGGTCATGATACATGGCATTTAGTAGGTTGATAGCGTCGGTATCGAAGGGTACAGACGGGTGTTCCAGCACCCCTAACGCGTAGAGCTGATAGCCCAACGCACATTTGCCGATGACGAACTGAGCAGCATTCGTACGGTCCAAGCAATCGATGCAATTCGTCCGAACGACTCCGTGCTGTCTCCGGCCCATGATGCGGACCACGTCGTCCGGATGGTCTTCGAGCAAAGCACGATGTAGCGCGTTCTGGTACGGTTCGGGTCCGCTGTGGAAGAACCCCGTCGTCTCCAGGACTTCCTCTCCCAGATTCTCCAGCACGCCTATCACATCCTGGTCATGGCTTTTGGATGCACGGGCCATATCCCACGCAATGTACTTGATCTTCTTGTCAGGTGGCAAAAACTGATTCAGATACGAGACCGCTTCAGTAAACTCGTCCAGAAGAATCGACTCTCTGCGGTTCTTCTCTTTGCTTTTCACGAGGTTCAGTACGATAATTGGTCCCCCGTACCGGAGGAACATATTGTCGAAGTGAAGAGCCGCTGCCGAGAAGTACGGATCGATCACATTGAGTTCGATGGGTGGCTTCGCCACCATGCCTGCGGTCTCCTGGCTCCAAAAAAGTGGAATAGATCCACGATGCTGCACAAATGATGTATAGCCGGGTTTTGTTCCGTAGCGACCAGGAGGATGGTAAAAGGAAGTGGTCGTAGCGTCAGAAACAATTTGCTCCGTTTCAACATCATTCGCAACATATCCTTGATCGTTGACACCCCGTTTGAGAAAGCGCGCCCCGGCAAAGTAGCGCGACCGACGTGCAATGAGGGCTACATATATGCTACGCCCGTACACAGAGATCTCTTTTCATAAAAGAAATGTCAGATGTTGCAACGTTCCTTGCAGATGTGCGGAGATGTTTGACGTACTTGATTGATCCACGAATCCGTGGATTATAGGTAACACCCAATCCGATTTCATGGAATCCATGCCCTGTCGGAGTAGGTAGCTGTTCCACACGAACATATCGTTATATTCAAAATTTTCCTTTCCATCGGCGGAGCTCAAATTCCATTGCAAGGTCCGCGTAATGTCGTATGTGTAGCTGAAGTAGAAGTTCTTGCTGAGGTCGACATGGCCGAAGACTTGAACATATCTGTGGGTACGTCATTGAGGGCAAGGCCGTGCAATGCCGTGGAGCGTCGGGCACTCTTTACCTTGCTTCATCTGCCTTCTTGTCCAACTTGGCTCCAGGACCAGGCACGCTGACCGCCATGGTATCATCAATATGGTAGATGTAATGTCCGCCAATAAGCGCCACTGGACTTCGCTTCACGATGAGAATGATATAATATCCCTCCAAAAAACGGATGAAACCTGAAAGCAGACGAAGCGCGATCAGCCCAACCTTCGATGTTGTCACATTCCAAAAACCAATGCCAACACACACCGACAATGCCAAAAAAAGAGGCAACTTTATGCAGACCGCCAGAACTCTTATTTCCGGTTTCGATCATGGTCAAGAGCTCCTGGATTTCAACCTTTGTGTAAACAACTTCATCGTCGATGATGTTCAGTTCATTCCCATCCGTTCGGTCAATTTTGAGCACACGGAAACGCTCATCACTCTGATTTGAACCGACTATGAAGAACCGCTGTGGACGGGAAAAAGGTTGGTGTCCGTCTCGGAAAAGAAGGGTGGCATAACACCCAACATACCGTACGGGTTTCGTACAGAATGAACTTGCTGGAAAATGCAATGTGTCAGTTAACCATAGACTAAAGATGGCGAACGACAATTTGGCTCTCACTTGAGAACTAGATGATGTTCACCGTCAGGCTGAAGGTAGGGAGGTGCGGTTTGCGCCGCCGACATGGTGTGAGACGACCGGTGGTTTGGCTCCATTTGCGACCGTCACTGCCACTCATAACGCTTATCTAGCTCCTGCGCCTTGCAGTATAAGGCAGCGTTTGCAATAATCAGCTCGTTGCTATTCTCCGTCTGCTTCTGCTCGTGAGAAAGGAAAGTCTCGATTTACCTGAACCATCCGTATTACTGGGTTAAAACTTAACAGGTAACCATACAAAAGTCCATGGTGGCCGAGAGAATGACGGCAAGCACTTGGATGATTCACGCGGAACTCTGTCAATGTCGAACTCCGACGATCAAGCCCTCAAAATATTGGCAAGCGGGGCTTTTCCAAGTATTTTGAGGGTGGGTTTCATCTTCGGCCACGCCACACACACTTCTCGAGGTCCAAAGCAGCGAGCCGCAGCTGGGATCATGGCTGCGACAGCGGTTTCTTCCGTAGGAGACTACTACAAAGTCCTCGGCATCAACAGATCTGCTGACGATGCAGCTGTGAAGAAGGCATATAGGGTCAATGCTTTGAAGGTAGTTTGCTTGATAGACGTCGTAATCGCAAGTATGACATGACTTCATTCTAACCTGTTCATGCCCATTGCCTGCTAGTATCACCCTGAGAAAAACATCACGCCAGAGGCAATCAAGCAGTTCCTAGCGATTGGCGAGGCTTATGATGTTTTGATCGATTGTGGGTATACGGATTGCGAAGCGATTTCCCACGTTCAAGATATTGGCAACTAGACATAACCATCTCTGATCCCCAGCAAAACGACGGGCAATATACGATCAATATGGTCCAAATGGACTAAGGAACGGCGTCGCTCCTCGGGATGGTATGTTTGTCTTTATTCCGAGAAACAGTAGATGCATTACTCACAGCCTCGTAGGATTTGAAGGATTTCCCGGAGGATACAATTACCATGGCAACCCAGAGGAGACCTTCTCGAAGTTTTTCGGCGGGACAAATCCATTCTCCGGTATGCCTCTGTCAAATGGTTCTCTGGAGCCGAGGAATAGCTGACGTTTACGCCACTTTTACAGACTTCTTTGCGGTCCATACATCTGCACCCGCGCTCAACCAGAAGGCTGGAGCTCCTCCAACTTTTGGACCAAAGTTCGGTGGACTTCATGGGATGAATCGTCCGGACGGCGCTAGTGATGGTGCCAGTGGAAACCCTCTGAATGGGCCGACGCAGGACCCTGCGATAGAGCATGATCTAGTTTTGACGTTGGAGGAGTTGTATTTGGGAACGGTGAAGAAGCTAAAGGTTTCTCGGAAGGTACAATTTGGAAATCCATTTTCCCCGAAACCATATCACGCAGACCTGAATTGATGGACGGCTCAATCTAGACGTTGACTTCGGATAACACCACAACAACTCCCACAACCAAACTTCTGACGCTTGATGTCCACCGCGGCTGGCGGGCAGGCACCCGCATCACATTTCCCCGAGAAGGCGACCAAGGTCCTAACAAAATCCCTTCCGACCTGACCTTCATCGTGAAAGAGGCACCACACGAGTTCTTCAAGAGGGAAGGAGACGATCTCATCTACACAGTGCATATACCATTATCGAAAGCGCTTGTAGGATTGATTGTGGAAGTCAAGACCTTGGATGGACGAGTGTTGAAGGTCCCCGTGAATGAAACCGTCCAGTAAGTTCAAAGATCCGAGAGGAGTACTCAAGCATTATGAGCGGCTGATTCCATGTTTCTTTCAGCCCGGATTACGTGAAAGTGATATCAAACGAGGGAATGCCCATATCCAAATCCCCCGAGCAAAGAGGGAAGCTGTTGATCAAGTTTGTGATTACTTTTCCGACATATCTTAGTGAGAAACAGAAGGGCTTGATACGGGAAGCGTTGCCGGGGTAACAGAATAAAGTTGAAAACATCTACACCCCTGCTCTGTCCGTGGCATCACAGAGCGAGCGAGCATCAGAAACGCTTTATGGCAACGCTCTACAAAACAGATGTAAAAAGGGTATATTGAAAGAGTTTTTGGAGAACAAAAAAAAATGTCCAGACACTTCCTTCAAGTTCATACGCCGATCGACTCTTCCACTCTATATCTACATGACAGGTCAGCAGCTACATGCAGACGGAATTATCATTTGAACCATTTGAACCCCTTGTTCTTCTTCACGCTATGTTTTCGGACGATGGCGGGTAGGTCTCGCGCCTGTTCTTGCTGGGGGACCTTTCGCCAGTCCTGTGCAATATCATGCAGCAAGTGCTCAATTCGCTCGAGGCGAGTCGAGAGTTGGTGCGTTTCGCTTTGAAGACGTTCGACGTCTCGGATTCGCGCAACAGAGGCTTTCGGCTGCAATGAGAGAAGCACGGAACGCGTGATCAACATTTCTGGGCTTTTCCGAGAAGCAATCGTCCGATTTCATAATGCTGAGGGCACCAACCTTCAGGGTGTATCCGGGGATATAGTCCGTCATGCCTTCGGCGTTCAAGTGGATTCCCGATGCTTTCGTCTAGATGTGTGCAATTGGAAACCACACGTCAGATGGCAGTTTTCCAGACACAGTGGCATACAATACGTACCCTCAAAACGCTTCCAGAGGCCTCCAGATTTTGCGGTGTTGTAACTTGCGGATCACCTGGAGCCACGACAGTGACCTGTTTCTTGACAGAAGCGGCAGCTGCTTGGTCCATTTTGGCTCCGGCAGTGTTTTTCACTTGCTCAGGAGCCGCAGCGTCCTCCTCGTTCGTTTCCTCTTCGTTTGTTTCCTCCTCGTTGTCGGGGCCGACATAAATGGCGTTCTCTCGGTGACATCGGCTGATCCACTCTCTAAACAGTCCGTTGCAGTAAAATCGCACTTCAAACAGCGGGTCCTTGCGTTGATTACACCTGCATGCATATGCACCACCAGGTGAGCATCGAGTCATCCGAATCATTGATATGACGACGTCAATCTCCTACCACTGGTGATAGATAAGGCCTGCCTGGGTTCGATATTGTCCGAAAACTGTTTTCAAGGTCTTCCGCATGGCGAGGAAGTGCGACGTGGGAATCAGACGTTCTGGTTCGGCGGTGACTTCGTCATGGAGCTGCTGAACAACGATCCTGCAGCACAGTAAGCATAAACGTCAACGCATCACTGGCGGGCACGACTTACTTGATGATAGCATTCAAGCTCTGACATGATGAATCACCGAAGGGCTTAGCTGGATTACCAAATGATGTGGAGAACAAAAGCGGTAGCTTACCCCATAATGCGTGTCTACGGGGTCGTTTCCGCGTACAGCCAGATACTGTTCGGAAGTAATTGCCCATCCATGTGCCTCCAGGAACCTCTTTAGTTTACCGTCGCGCGACCGCATGAATTCCACTATCCGCCCCGCGAGCACCTGATCCTTGAGACAAATATCGTCTTCTTCTGCTTCTTGGGGCTCCATATTGTCCAAATCGTCGTCAGAATACTCGTCTGAATCAGCGTCAGCGTCAGCGTCACCGCCTTCCCCTTCGTTCAGCGTCCCATCCTCGGAACTGCTAGACGAGTCTTCCCACCCCTCCTTCTCGTCCGGTAACACGAACTCCTTCCCCAAGCTCCAGCACCAAAGCCTCCCAACCGCCCAGAGGTTCTTGTCGATCTTCTTGACGAATCGTTCCAGGTTTCCGGCATTTATTCCTCCTTTCTTCGCGTGTTCATCCAGTTTGTTCATGAGCTGTTCGGCCATCTGAAAATCACTGATTACGTGGATCAGATTGTGTTCCTATGTGCTTATCAAAGACGTACTTACTGCAGAATCCTGATCTTATCTCCAACGCCTGCGTAAGCGAACCACGATGGAAGCGTCCAGCCGGAAGGGAGGGCGGAAGTGAAGAGGTTCAATTCTTTGATACCGATGTAACCACTTTCATCAACATCAACACATTCCGCCATCGCTGCCCAGTGCTGAGAGGTAATCCATCTTGCGCAGATCGCACCAGCGGCGGTTGGGTATCGAGTGAAGAAATCCTCATAGAATCCGCTCAGGGCCTCCATGAACACATGGCGAGGCACGCTTCCTTTCCAACGCTCCTGGCGCCAGAGAGCCTGCATGTCGGTGTGTTCAATTTTCTGCCAAGGTCCCGCCTCGACGGCCGTAAGGATCTTATCGATCCCTTCAGTGATGAGCTGTGTTTGCGAATCGAACGCGGTCATGAAGTCCGCGCGGTTTCTCTCCAGGAGCTCGTCTACCGATGCGCCCAGCTCGCTTCGGAGTTGTCGGATGTTTGTAGTGTTGTCATTCATCTCGACCGCGAGCCTTCTCAGCAGATTTTCGGACTCAGCAACGTCCGTCAACTTCACTTCGTGACGTTCCGCGAACTTGTTTGCTGCAATCTCTTCTGGGGACCGCTTCCCCAGAATGGCGAGGATATCGTCCAGCTTCTGGTCTTGGCTGTCGAGCTTCTTATTGGCTTTGATCATCGGGAGGTTAATGTCAGAAGGAAATCCTGAATCTATTTCCGAGGTCCTGCATACCTTCGTCAATCCCAAGCACCGCAACACGGCCCAATGTCTCCGATAGCAGCTTCTTGTCGTTGTCGAACGTCACCGCCAGACTCTTCATCTTGTCATTGTATGACATAGACTTGAGAATGCGGACTGAGAAACACGCTGACGTCAGAGTTGCACATAAGCACGAAACAGCGAAGTCTTCTTACGCATGGTCCCTTTGGTGGTGTAAAGCTAAACGGGAGAGAAGAAGTCAGCCAAAGGCAGATGTCACTACACCACATGCAAACACGTACAGTCAAAAATTCTTCGCATTGCTTGATGTGATCTGCGATAATCTGCAAGACTTTCTTCAAACCACTCTCGTCCTCAACCTTCTTCAGGTCCTTGAGGATGGAAACGGTGTCCGCGACTTGATTACACAAGGTAATCGCCTTCGCATTGTTCTGCCGTCTTTGCAGTTCCAATTTGAACAAAGCCTAGAGAAAGAGGAGACGGTTAGTTGGGAATGCAAAGAAAGGCTTGCAGAATCCCAGGTGGAACCTTACCGTGAGGCAAGACACAACGATGCCTAATTGAGTCAAGATTGTTTTACATTTTCACGTTCGATGAGCGATGGATCGCCTATGCCCCACTTACCGATGACAGGATGGGTAGACGCCACAGCAGTTAATGCGGAAGTCACTTGCTGCACTACTTTGAGCGACGGCGCCAGCTATGGGAATGTTGAAACATCGAGGACAAAAATTCTCAGTGTTTGACGCGTTTCTTGACGTGGCTGCAGATGCAAGGGCCTTCCTTACCTTTGTAACAGCCTCGGCGGTGAGCCCAGATAGCTCACCGCCAGCGCCAAACATCGGGTCCTTGAGCACTTGCGATGCCATGTCGCTCGTGGTCTTCACAGCGGTGTTCACTTGGGTGACCGTTGCTATCATCGCATCCTCTGCGATGGCAAGATGATGTCAAGATGACTTCTCCCTGTTTGACCATTTGCGCATGTTTGCCATTTGAATTCACACTCACCGACAGCCTCAATAGCAACCGTAGTCTTCTTCTGCGAAATGCTGCTGACTAGCGCCTTGGTGTCCACCACCGGGACGTGGAGCTCGCCAACCATCGTGAGAAATGTCCTGGGATCGGAGAGATGGTCCGAACTGCCAATCCACCATGGAACTTTCTCAACGCAATCCTCACAGAGGCTCTATTTATACGTGCCACTTGCCCACCCAAAAATGCCGAATTCGAAAAGCGAGCCTCCGTACAGTAGATCCTGGAAGCCTCCCTGGGAAGCCTCACATCGAACATCAACAAAGGTTGTTCGAAGTTCATGCAGGTCAACCGCATCTCGTCGTACATGTGCGAGTTAACCTTCGAGAATTTGTTCTGCGTTGTGGCTTATGCACGATGGAATCGTGGAATGGTGGACGTTCCTGTTAGTACCTTGGTCATAAAGAACATGTTGACGTGGGAAAAGTTGTATGCAATCATGGACTCCGACCGTCGGACATCTTGTGCAAATTGCAATTCTCCATGTGCGGCGCGGACGGTCGGACCTTCAGACGAGGCGTATATATTACACATATATAGTAGACGTCTCCGAGTCAAACGACAACCAAAAGCAAAAAACAGATCCCCACCGAGCAGGAAGAGAAAGGTCATAAACAAAGCCAAAGAAAAAAAATAAGAATACATCGAGTACGTATCTCCTCTCTGATAATCAAAAATCTGTTTCCGGCTTCTCAAACATCCTTACACCCCCAATTCCACTCCGTCCTCCACTTCAACCCCTCACACCTCTCCTTCGACATCGGCAGCCCATACGTCAGGGGACTAAACGCCACAAACACGGCGATTGTGACAACCACCACCGCCAGGGCCACGACGCATTTAAGGGCGAGCACCCGCGGGTCCGACGCGATGCGCGCGCTCAGTTCCGTTGGTGGGGTGATGACCGGCGGTTGCTGTACAGGGACAGGCTCGTACGGGCGGTGATGCAGTCCCTCCTCGCTAGCGGTGCGTTTCCGGATCTTATGTGTCGGTGTTTTCGGTGGGAGGGATTGTTGGCCACGAGCCCAGTTGCGGAACCAGAGGGGAAGGCGGTATTGACCGGGCCAGGTGGTGACGAGGGCATTCCAGCGGGAGGCGAGGAGGGTGGAGAAGGCGGTTGTGAGGCCCTCGGTGAAGGTGCCGAAGAGGAGGATGGAAAAGTAGAGGGAGGGGAGGTAGTGGTGGAGGAAGAGCTGGCGGGTCATGAGGAAGAAGGGGAGGTAGTGGAGAAGCCAGCCTGTGAAGATGAGGGCTGTTCCTGGGCCTGTGGCTTCTGAAATGAAGTCTGAAAAATGCGAAGTGTGTGAGTGGGGATACTCGTTTATCAGCAGCGTATCAGGAAAGCTTATGGAACTCCACACATACCAGCAAACCTCCTCCACTGCCTCTTCTCCGAAACAACCTCCACCGCCTGCAACACCAAAAACCCCACCAGCGCCGCACCCGCAAGCGACCACACAACCGGATTCCCCACCAAATGCATCTGCGCACTCCCCCCATCCTTCGCCGTCCAAAAACTGATCCCCCTCTTCATCCCCGGCCACGAATCTGGCCTCGACTGGAACGGGTGCGACGCGTCCAGACCGGAATTGATCTTCCACATCATGCGGTGGGCTTCGACGAATTTGGCGAAGAAGCCGGGGGCTTGGTACCGCGTTTTGAGGGAGGTGGGGGGTTGCAGGTCGTTGGTGTTGGATTCGATGCGCCAGGTTGTGAAGGACTTTTTGCCGTTTTTGGCGCATGTTACTTCTTGTTGGCCGTATGCTATCGGTATCATGATACAGTGAGACGAGCGTTCGAACACCCATGACGTGGAGGCAAGTATCACATACCCCACTCTGGAAGTTTGACCTTGTGTGAAAACAGCGCACATCCGGTGTTGACGTGAATAAGCCTAAACTTATGGGTAAGGGCTTTAAGATACACTGGCTGCTCCATCTTTTCAGCCCCGAGAACTTCCACCCGCCAGTGGTCGTTGGAGTCCCCAATGAACCCCACAGCGCCATATGCGGAGACTTCTTGCTGTCCTTCAGTGTCCGTGACGGGCGGGCTTTTAACAACCAAAAGACATCAGTATCCGTTTTCTGACACGGTAGCGGAGACAGACACACATACCGATGATCATGACTATGCATCCTCATCCCCGTCTTAACATGCAACAACCTCACGCTGTCCCCATGCTTAACCCTCTCAAACGTCTTGACATCCGGCGCAAACGCCGTCCCATTATCATATTCCAACGCAGGTTCCACCTTGAACCAACTATTCTCGTCTCCATAAGGGTACAGCGTAACCTGCTGCTGTTTCGATCCGGTGGGATACTTTGCCGGGTGGGAGTGGATGTAACCCCCCGACGTGCCTTCGTGTCTGATAAGCACCGTGGCGCCGAGCCCGATTTCCTCGTAGGTTTCTTTGATTTCGGTGCCGCGGAGGGTGGATTGGAATTCGGGGGACATGAAGCCCGCGCCGGAGCCGGTGTTGGGGAGGGCGAGGAAGTGGAGTTGGAAGATGAGGAGGTAGACGGCGATGGGGACGGCTATTAGGCATAGAGCGAGAGCTGAGAAGCGCTTTGCGTATTGCGTCTGGATATGGATGAGGCGACCAGTGTTACCAAGTGTAGGTTGAGGCGTGATTGCAACAGTCTCACTTACGGGGGTCACGGTCAGGTCAGCTAGTAGCTCCCAGAGATAGTAGACGGTGGAAAAGCCAACCCATGCAATCACGAACAGACCTGATGGACAGAGTGGTGTCAACTCACGCGAGCAAGTGTCGGATAGAAGAACTCCGTTTTACATACCGACCCACTTGACACTGGAATGGACGATGCAATCAATTCATCTGTCAACTTGCTTGGAGATCAAGAATATCTCTTACCTCGCCGCAAGACCTATCCCTAGCCCGGTTAAGAACAGTGATGTCCACCATCTCAGACTGAACGGACTGATCGACATGGCTAGTTAGCATATGATATGTTTTCGCACTCATTCCCACAATGCTTCTCACCTCTCCCGACACGCCTGGAAGTCGGTCCAAGCTTGCACCGCCCAAGCGGTGAAGAACAACAGGATAGAGTCCAGCAGAATCAACCGCGACTGGCAAGTCAGCGCGTTCTCGAACACCACCAGTAGCGCAGTCATAACCGCGATAGGGTGAGATACGGATAAGTTGCGCATTGTTGCATATGCCATCTAGAAAGTGCACATCCGTGAGTCCGAAGCAAAAGACCGAATCTCACACTTCCCCAAAAGCGGTAATGCGCAAGGGATACGTACGGGAACCATAAGAACTCCCATAATCCCCGGAAGTAATCGCATCGAGACGTACGGCACTCTCGGTGCGATGTAGTCCATGCCGATCTCCTTGAAATCAAAGGAGCCATCGAAGCCAGCCATGACTCCACTCGCAGCAATCAACAGCTTGCCCAGTGGTGGGTGGACGTCCATGAAGAACTTTCCGCTGATGTATTTGCTCGCGAACCCTCCGAAATGGACTTCGTCGAATACGACCTGTGGTGAGTAAATCGTGGGTGAGAAAGGATTGCGAGCTTCACCATCCAAACATCAACCACCAACAATCGAACATCCACCATCAAACATCGAACGTTGACCATCAACCATCAGTTGACAAACACGTGGGTGAGGGAGTATTGCGCCTTTGGCGCAATGTGGTGCTCGCTGAGGCTTGCGAAGAAACGCGGTCAGGGGGAAGCATTGCGCCTTTAGCGCAATGTGTGCTGTGCTCGCTCTGGTCGCCCTACCGGTCTCCCAGCCCGAACCAACCCCCTTCGCTTCGCTCGCGACCATCTCCCTTCGCTCGTTGCAGTACAACACCCACGCCCGCTCCCGCTCGCTTTGCGGCCGCGACATACCTGACTAGGATTGGAAAGGCGAAACAGGCGTACCAAAACGCCAATGAGCGTCAACGTCACCATTACACCCATGCTGGCACCTTTCCTGGGCAAGTTCTGCCACTCGCGTCTCGGCCGCAGCTCCTTTGAGTTATTATAATCCTCATCCTCGTCTTGCGGCAAGTTGAGGGCTATTTTTGCCTCGTCAGCGTTGTTGTGCGTCGCGGCTCCCACCCTCCACGAAGCGGCAGCAGTCAGGTGGTTCTCCGTCAGTGAGCGAGAACCGGCGGGAAGTAACGAGTCGCCCTCCATAGAGCTTCGTGGGTTGTAAGCTGTTGGAGTCCGCGGTGGCTGCTGCTCATAGTTCCTGGCATCATAACCACCGTGGTGAATGGGCGAGTGGACCGCGTTTTGCTGCTGCTGCTGTTGGTGATGCTGCATCCGTTGCGTTTGTTGCTGCAGTTGCTGCAGTTTCGCGGTTGCACCGAGGGAAGAACCACTCTTCCGTGTCCTCAACAAATCTTCATCTCCTGGCTGCATGGTCGCGGACAACATCGTCTATTGCGATGAGGAGTTCCAGAGAGGCTCCGCAGCAGAGTGCCCAGTTGGTTGCAAGAACGTATTCGTAGATCAGTGTAAGTACTAAGCACAGGAGGATGTGCGTGAGTTGCTTCTCCGTCCCGGGTGGGAGAGCGAAGTTGGTTCTACTGTGCAAGCCGGAGACGGTGTGTGTTGTGTTGGAGTGAGTGCCAGCAGCAGCCCGCCGCCACGATCAAGGAGGCCAATAAATGATGAGGGCCAAATTCTATCCTAAGAATGACTGCGGGAGGGGCACAGACGCGTGGGAGGGGCCCAACTATTAACAAACAGACATCTTCCCCCGACGACTGGCGACAGACTGGCTTCACACCCAATTATGCTTTTTCAAATCAATGTACAGTATGATGAGAGCATTGTATGTATTATGGGAGCATACATGCAAGCAGCAGCAGCAATTCCAACCTGCCCACACTCTATTTATCATCTATCGTCTACCCAACCAATGGCCCGACATCGCATTAACGTCCTCCACGCTGGTCGAGGGCCCCTATTCAAAATTTCAAAAGTCGCCCCCTTTACCCGCAGCCAGCTGATCGGCTGGATCTTTGACATGGTCATCTCGGAAGGAAGTGATTCGATCTCCCTCAATCCGCAGGCAGGGTGAGCAACAACGACCCCACATCCACCGTCGGTTGAGGGACTGCCACCACCGCACCAGCGACATGAAAACCCGCGTCGTAGGCGCAGGACTCCTTCGAGGTTGGTTGGCCGACGATGTCGATACTCCTTTGCGTTCGCCACCCCGCCGTCCTAACACCCTCATTTCCAGTGTCGCATCTCAGTCCCAGTCCACGTTCCACCACTGCTCCGGCTCCTATATGATCCCGCCGAATGAAGTAGCTGGTCCGTCGGACTCCAGTTCAGGGCGCTGGGCGGTCGTTGGGGAGACGATGGGTGAGAAGCCTAGAAGAGTGTGTCCGGCGCATCCAGGTCCAGCTTGCTTTCGCGGAGCCAGATGTGGTGCAGTTGAGTTGTTAGAAAGGACCGACTCATGTCGATATCGATATCGTTGTGCAGTTGCGTTCACTGATCCCTGCATCAATTGTCCCACGCCGAATCCTCATTGTCCAGAAAGCTCAACCTCCAAATCACACCCCCAACGAATCCTTCCCCTCCTTCCCCTCCTGCACCTCCCCCTCCCTCTCCTTAACCAGATACCCCACTTGACACTTCCCCAACAGCCCATCCACATTAACCCACGGATGCACCTTCATAAACAGCTCCGTCGCATCCTTCCCCGCGCCCCTCAAAAGCTGCCCAGCGCCTCCCGGATGAAACTTGATATAATGCGTAACATTATACACATTCCCCTGCACAGCCATCCAGCAATCATCTCGCGAGCGGTGTTGCGCAACTTCGGAGGGTGTGAACCGTGCGAGCTGCTTGACCCCGCCGCGGAGGTCCCGGCCGCTGAAGAGGAGGCGGGCCCAGTCGAGGGGGGAGTGGCCGGGGGCTAGAGGGACTTTTTTCCGGGGGGTGGAGGGGGAGGAGGCGCGTTGGGGGCCGCCAAGCATGGGGAAGGCGTTCAGGTGGGAGTCGGATTGTGCGGAGGCGGGGCGGGATATGGGCAGGGGAGTTTTGAAAACACTCGGGTCCGGCAGTTGTTGGGTGGCGGATGGCGGGCGGGATAGGTAGGCTGAGGAGGGCGAGAGGGTGGAGGTCCCGGAGAATTGGGTAGTTCGTGGTGCTGGTGGTGGTTGTTGCTGTGCTTGTGCTGGTGATGGCAATGCAGATGGGACCGACACCGACACCGACACGGTAGGGGGTGCTGCCGGGGTCAGGTCAATCACATCCCCTTCCTCCTCCTCCTCGTCGTCGTCGTCGTCGTCGTCTGATCCCTTATCCTCCTTCACCCCGTTCTGCCCAGCCGACACAACAGACAAGTGCCCAAGCTCAATCACATTCCCTTCAACCTCCTCTGTCTGTGTACGAGTTCCATTTGAGGGTTTGGACGTCCCTGTAGTGGCAGTGGTGCTGGGAGCCAGAGGCGCAAGCTCGATAATGTCACCGTCGTCGTCGTCGTTGTCGGAGTTTGTAAATGATTTATCCGAGTCGTAGTCGAGGAGGTCGGCGGCATTGAGGGTGAGCGGTGGGATTGAGGGAATCATTCTTCTTGAGGGAAGGAGGGGAGGTATCGAGGTATGCGACGAGACGGCTAAGCAGCGTCGTTGGTGTTGTGGGTATGGGTCGCCCGGTCTGTCAGGCTCCTCGTGACGTTTTCGCTTGCGTGGGTAACCAGCTTTGTTGTGTCTGACTGTACCAGCGGTCAGGCTGCGTGGACTGTACTGTACATACATACAATATCCTCCTTTTGTCAAAAGTTCAGTGTTACTGTAACAACAGTAATACGCTTCGTTGCTGGAGCCCTCCGCAGCTTTTCTTGGCGAAAGTCCAAACATGCACGCCCCACCAGCACCGAGCCCATTGTCGGAAAGGGGCGCTGGCCTCCCTGGCAACTCTAGTTCCGGGAAGCTTAAAAGTGGTCTGAAGGGAGACAGGGTGGCCAAGGCACGAACAGTAAACCAAAAGGCTGCTGCACAATCCGCTGCTTTGAAGGCTGCCTGGGAGAGGAAGATCTTTGCAGTCCAACGCCGCTTGTTTGAAGGGGCCGTTGCACAACAGCACTTGGCAGCTGCGGTAACCATTGTCCTCTTGTTAGCCATGTTGCGTGTTACCCCTGCTCACTCTCCCTCCCTACGACCACAGGCGAAATACCTATCCCAGTCCGATTATGATGATGTGGTCACCGAGAGGGTGGCGGACAAGCTATGCGGATACCCGCTTTGCGACAAACCAGTGACAGAGATCAAAGGCAAATTCAGGATATCGCGCGCCGAGCAGAAAGTCTTTGACATTACAGACCTTAAAAAGTTTTGTTCATCCGCTTGCATGGCTTCCAGCGATTACTTTCGTGGTCAGCTGTCTGAGGAGCCCGTATACATGACGAATACGAGAAGGTACGCGAGCATGGGAAGCGAGGCCCGCGAGCCTCAGCGAGGAGATACCTTGAGGTTGATTCGCGCAAAGGAGCCGCTAGGCGACCTGGAGGCGAGTGCGGACTGCGCCGAGCGAAGCGAGGAGCAGGTAGGCTTCAGGCAGGCGAGCCACATTGCGGCAAAGGCGCAACGCTTCCCCTAACCACGGTTCTTAGCCTCAGCGAGCTACCGCTTCTCGCACTGCAAATGGTGCGATGGTGCGATGCGGTGCAATGGCGAGCGAAGCGAGCCCCTGTCTTCAACTGTGAGCGACAGCAAACGGTCGTTCTTTCTGTGCGGGACAGCGAGCGGTCTTTTTTTTCATACGCGCATCGTGGTTGATGATGATGGATATTCATTGATGGTCAATGATTCCCTTTCCTTTCAGAACCGCGCCTGTCGAAGTCATACCGGTGGCGTTCTCATCAAGGTACATTTGCCATTGATCGTTGGATATCGCCTCGAAGCATTTCACTTATGCCCTCCAATCTCAGTGACGCTGAAAGCATTGTCGGCATACCAGCTACTCCGCCATCTCGAAATAAGCTCGTGTCTTCATACGTGCAGCATCTGTTGGCAGAAGTCACTACGAAGACGAAGGAAACTGTGGTGGTCAGCGAAAGGAAGGTGGAGGAGATACCCAGCGCTCCGGTGGCGATAGCGGATGCCAGTAGCATCGCCGCAGACATAGAAGGCTACACATTTCGCGTGCGAAAGGTTGCGAAGAGGAGAGCGAAAGGAAAGGCTAGTGATCTAGAGAAGGTGGGACCTTCGACAACCCCAGTTAAAGAGCCGGAACATGGCAGCAACGTGGCAGGGACGGAATCTACTCAGCAGAAATCCGCGGCAGCATTCCCAGATCAAACCCATCCAATCATCCCCACGATATTAGTGGACGGCGAAATCCCCGTCGCAACCGCGAAAGGAAAGATCCGCACACCACGCAATGGACCAACCGCGCCCCACAGACCTATACATCCGACCGTCTTCAAAAGCGATCGAGTGTTAGAGTCATTCGCACCAACCGACAACACCAACAGGACAGGGCAGCCTTCTCGAGACCAAACCAGTGCAGCACTGCCACCAGGACAGCGTGGGAGAAAGAAGCTCGACCTAAAGTTATCCCTCTTTGGCAAAACGGTCACTACCCTCGGACGCATCATCACGCGGGAGACGAAAACATATGTCGCCTCGACGGACGAGAAGCCGGTGGCAGCTCCGGAGACGGAGGAGACACGCATACGCAAACAGATCTTCTGTCAGCGGATAGTAGCCATGTAGGTGCTTCTATATTATCTTTCATTCTCGCAGGTGCGTACACTGACGGTGTTCCCTCCAGTCTCTCTTTGATGAGCAGAGAGTACCAAATATCGACAAACATCCACCAAGACCTCTCAGACCTAATCGCCACCTTATCCCTCACCGAGGCAACAGTCATGCTCCCAACACTCGAAGAATGGGTCCTCGGCGTCATCTTGCTAAAAGTGTGAGTTCCCCCCTTCGCTTGCCTGCGATATCCCTCAGATCACTAATGTCGCCACATCCCCAGGCTGTGCAAACGATCCCCGGTCCTGGCGGGAGAAGTCGACTTTGATGCGAAATGGGAGATGATGCTGGCGAGGGCGGATATTAGCTTGGTGCAGTTTGGGATCTTTGTTGGGATGTTTCGGTGAACGGAGCACGTTGCGCGTATGTAGATATGTAGTGAGGCACAGCATAAACATTTTTGGAAGGAAGGCGTAGTGGTCGGGGAGGCATACTTGTACATCACATGTGCTCATAGGGAAGATTGTATAAACCATTTAGGTGTGATGCATATAACGTACGAAAAACATCCACCTGCTGTTATTATTGATTGTCAACATGAACGGGCGCACTGGATTTGGTCGGGAAATTGAGTTCCATCCCGGATGGGCGACGGATTGATAGTTAATGGTCCGTTCAGTACATGATGCTGCTATGCTACAATGCTACCCGTCCCCATTCATCAGATGTATACATGGCGGAAGCCAGCAAACTTGAAACGGGTACGGCATGTCCTGTACCGAAAATACAGTACATACGTCCATGTTCAGGCCGTTGTCCGAGACGAGTTGCGGGTTGACAAGTTGGGAACAGAAACGCGTGACGCGTGCAAGCGGGACTTTCTGCAATCCGGACATGGTTCCAAATCTATAGAGACCGCCAGCTCTCTCCCATCTACGACTGAACACAACACGACGAAGAACTGATATTTATACATAGCTACCCTTATCACGGTCGTCTAGCTTTTGTGAAGAGTAAAAAAACCACCTACATCATTGCTACGCACACCTGATTAAAGCTATGGAGGGTGCCGCTCCACCCATCCGGCCCGTGCCGCCGAGCGCTGCAGCCAAACGGAACCTGAAAGCAGGAATAAGGTAAGTCAATAACCATATGCTGCAACTAAATTCCCGGGGGAATCAGCCTCGACTTCCTCTCCACCCAACCTATCTCACACCCATCCTTCCCCAAAAGATCCAGCGGCTCTCGCAACAACCTCGTAAACGCCTCCCAACGCCTCGACTCCGGCTCCGTTTCCGTCCGATCCCGCGCCGGCCCCGGCTCCATGATGTCCCACTCCCGCGGCTCTCAACAACGTATCCGCGCATCCCAGGAGATGCAGCGCGGACGCGTGCCCGATAAAGTCGTGCAGGTGCTCGATGAGGATGGGAATGATGTCACGCCGTTGAGCTTGTTGGGTGGGGGGCAGCCGCATGCGCCGCATATGACGGGAGCAAGGAAGGGACATGGGACTATCAACTTGGAGGGGAGTATTGCTAGTACCGCTAGGGTGGGTTATGCTATGTTATGGCGTTGAATCGTGAGAGGACGTCATCTGAGATCCGGTCAACAGGAAACAGTGGCGGACGTGCTCAACAACCTCGAATCCATGACGCAAGCATCGTGGAATGCGTCAATGTATGGAAGGTCAGGGACAATGGGGATGAGCTTCTCGAACGCGAGCCGGATGTCTGGCGCTGAGAGCATGGATGAGGACGATACGGCGTCTGCGGGGAGTGGTGATTCGGGGGATGAGAATGAAGGTGAGTTCTTAGCGACGTGTTGTGGATGGGCAGACGTTCCACCGCAGCAACGTGGCGAGATCGTACCAATTGACCCCATATCCGGCATCCAGCAGGGAGGAAAAACCGACCAGAAGGCCTCGCCACTGCGCACACACCTTCCCACAAACCAGTAACCGAAGCCGACCTCATCAAACCCGTCAACATCGAGCTCACCGAAACTGCCACTATCTTCCTTCTCGACATCCCCTCCACGACCGTCTCCACCGATTTCTCCGAAGAGGCGACCGCCGCCAAATCGGCCAACGAGCGATACGCCGCGATACTGGCGGCCAGGGAGGGCAATGAGAACTTTGTGTCGCGGTCGCAGCAGACGTTTAATGATCCGGTCAAGACAAAGGAGGTGCAGGCGGTGGGGCCCAAGATGGTGCATGCGGAGTGTATGGTGACGCAGTGGGAGATTTTTGATGCGACGGTGGGGAGTGAAGCTGCTAAGAATGATGCTGACGGGTGAGTGAATGCCTGAAAGTGAGCGTGCGTAAGCGTATGCTTAAGGCCATGAATATCCTACAGGGGCAGAGAAGCAGACATCGACTCCCTCGAGATCTCACCCTCACTAGGAACTCAAACTAGTCTCCCATCAAATCAATCCGCCACCTTACAGTCATCCGTCAGTGGATCCGCCCTCCTCTCAAAACTCGGCTCGTCGATGATGATGTCCGAGCCTCCCGGTGTCTCGCGTTCTGTTTTCTTACCAGAGGGGGAAACAGTGAGCGATGTCTTTGCCAGTGTGGGACCGGGCGCAAGGCGGACGAGCGTCAGGTCTGCTACGGGTGCACGGAAGGAGGATGTGGTGGAGCTTTCTGGGGAGGCGGCGGTTGCGATGGTATGTATGCATATTCATCATCTGCACTGCACCCTCGTCTGCAGAGTTCACGCTGCTCAGTTGACTTACAATCGTTGGCCTCCAGCTGAATCAAGAGTCGCTCCGAACGAATTTGCGAATAATGGAGCGCGCGGTGGTGGCAAACAATCTGGACAAAAAGCTGTTGCTGTATCGCGATGTTGAGGACGCTGAAGATGTAGCGAACAAAAAGGCAGCCGCGCGGCAGGAAGAACTTGGACATGGCAGCTTTGATGACTTACAAAATGTCATGCGCGGGGAAGAAGAGCGAGGTACGACACTTTACTTCTTCTGATTCGTAGGGAGAAGACACTCATCTCATTCTCCTTAAGCCAAGGAGTCCCGCGGAATGGACATCCCAACCGTCGACTTCCTCTGGTCCTACCGGTGCGAGCTCACCCGCGGCCGGGCAGTAACGTTCATGGAAATCAACAAAGAAAACGAGGACATCATCGCCGTCGCCTACGGGGACCAAAAACCAGGCCCAAACCCCGTCCTCGGACTGGTCCTTTGCTGGAATGTCAAGAACCCAGAATGGCCTGAACGGATCTACCGGTCAGCTTACGCATGCACATCGCTATCGTTCTCGAACGCGACGCCCAATCTGTTGGCGTGTGGGTATATCAATGGCGCGATTCAGATCTATGACATCCGACATCCTGAGCCGGATTCACCGCCTCTGTTGACGACCGCGGAGCTGCCGGGGAGACATAGGGACCCCGTTTGGGAATTGCAGTGGGTTGAGAGAGAGCGGGCGGAGGAAGGCGGTGGGGGTAGCGGCGCTGGGGAGTGGTTGATCAGCGTCGGGACTGAAGGCCGAGTTGTGGGGTGGACAGTCAAAAAGGGGCTGGAATCAGTTGGTAGGGTCGTCCGTAGACTGGGACTCGCGATGAGTGTTGAACTCAGCAAACTTATGCATTTCGTCTCGGGTAGATCTCATGAGCCTGAAACGAGTAGCGAAGCAAAGCGACGTTGCAACGCCCGGAGGCCCATCCGGTGGACCAGCGTCTTCCGTGAAAGCTGCTGCCAAACCTGGGTCATTCATTGCGCGTCAATCTGGAGGCCTCTGTTTCGACTTCTCCCCCAAAGATCCCACAACGTAAGTGTGCTGATATGTACCGAAGCCACAAGCGATTATGATTGCTCATCTGACCACACCATTCCCCTCCAGCTACATCGTCGGTACCGACGACAACAACCTGCATCGCTGCTCTCCATCATACAACGAACAATACCTACAAACATACATGGGCCACACCGGGCCCGTCAACCGAGTGCGATATTCTCCATTCCTGCCCGGCATCTTCCTCAGCTGCAGTAGCGATTGGACGGCCCGGCTTTGGAAAGAGGATGAGGGGGATGAATGTATCATGCGGTTCCAGGGAGGAAAGGTGAGATCTTATGAGCGGCGAAACAGCATTTGGAAGCGGCAAGCGAAACTGATCCCCACCCTCTGCTGCAGGACACGATCACGGACATCGCGTGGTCACCGGCATTCTCGACGGTTTTCGGATGTGTGTCTACAGACGGGCGCATGGAGATATGGGATTTGCAATTCTCAGTGTAAGTTTCGTCCTATCACTTCTCGCCTTCAAAGTAACGGCCATGAAACTCATTGCCCACTTCATCGATCATATTGCAGTTTGGATCCGGTTATCCTCCACACGGTCCTCGATCGCCAGCTCACTACCATTGTGTTTGCGCATACAACCCCGGTCGTACTCACTGGAGACGATAACGGCTCCGTAAATGTGTACAAACTGAAAAAGCTCGGGCCACATGGCACCGATTCCATCAGGTCCACAACAGAACCGATCTCGCAGGACGCTGGATTCAACGCAATAGCAGCATCTGGTGATCTCAGAAGCAAGGAGACGGGCCCCGGTAAAACTCATGGCTGGCGGGTAGCGCCGAGCGTAGACGTTGAGGCCCAAGCCTCGCTACTGAGAGATGTGATCGCGGCGAAGAATCAAGGCAGTGGTGCGGCTGCGGCCAATGCCAACGGGGCGGCTAGTACAGCTCCAATTGGGCAAAGTGCGACAGCGTCGCCTGCTAAGGAACAGTAGAGAAATGCGTGGAAGTAATTCCAACTAGAAAGACTTCGCTATATTTTACGCTTGTACATTTCGGATTTTTGGGAATAGAATGATGATGGGTATAATACCGTGCAAAATAAAAAACGGCCAAGCCGCGAGCAATCTCATGATTTTGAAGCAAAAGGGAGATGGGGTAAAGTACGCCGTGACAAGGATGCGTCGCGAAAACCAAAGCGGAGTGAGGTAGCCGAATCAACGCCGTTCGAGCTGTGTGTGATACGGGTCGGAATGCTCGCCGGCGTTCCTAGTGTTTTTTGAGCATGACTCATCCAGCGACCCTCTGAAAGAACACATCGGATCCGGGAGGTCTCAGGTACACCTCAGTCGGCTCTCGAGCGGCGGTCATTGCCTCAGCGACATAACCTGTATTCCCTGCTCCGGCGCGATATTCTGCCGTGCCTGCAGTACCTTGTCGTTGCGACGTGGCGGTGACGTAAATGTTGCACAGGAGGTCGTGCAAGATCCAAGGAAAGCTGTAAAAACGGCCGTTCATGTCCCAATCTATGTCTTGATATTCGGCAGCTTCTCGGTCAACCATTGTCGCGCGGCGTCGTTCTGCAGCTTGGAGTTCTGCCGGGTCAAGCTGCGTTGGCAAATCGGATACCGCAGTCACAGGAAGGGGCGCGGCTGGCGAGACACCAGCGGTGCTGACTTTTGTCGTTATCCGATCATCGTACGCAGCCATGTACCAAGCGGAGGCTTTCCGACGGACCTTCTCCGAGAGCGGGAGGCGGTCATTGACTAAACCAGACCGTTCGTTCCTGTTGAGAATGTTCTCCTTGAATGGTTTCATCATGGGATCGGCCAAAATGTTGTCATCAAAGAACAGCTTGCGATAGTGCCCTTGAATGGTAGAGACCGCTTGCATGACTTGTTCCTTCAATTCCTGCGGACGCTTTTTTATGCCGGCTTCGTCAAGCTTGAACATGTATCCAGAGACCAATTCGAACTCGGAGCTTTGGAAGAGTACATTGTTAGTTTGTTAGAGACAATATGCGACTTCATCAAAAGCCATACTTGACATTGTACTGATTCATCAACGCTATGATCTGATTGTCATAAGCCTTTTTGTTCAGGATCGCATCCTCCAAGTATTGTTCATAGCCAGCGACGACCAATTCCGGACGAGGTTTGAATTCTTTGACCAGCTGTAGTTCGACACTTATACTTCGGTAGATCGCTCCGACCGCTTTCCTACTGCGGTAGGTGTTCTTGGACTCTGGTTTCTCCATGAAATCCGGCCACTGTTTGGGTTTTGATTCGGGATCCATGCGCGCAGGAACTCCCTAGAAGAATGGCCGAGATAGTCAGGTCAAGACAGGCCAATGATGTAGGGACGGTGTCCGAAACCCACCTTTTTAGCGAAGTCAACGGCATCCGAGTGCAGCTCCGCGAGCCGGATAGCTTTGGGATCTCTCGCGCCATCGTCACTCAAGTCAGCCCATGCTTTCCAAGCATTGTCGATCTTCCCTAGGTTGTCCTGCTGCAGGAAATTGACGAAGTGCCTGGTGTCGAACGCGGGGGGTCAGGTGAATGCACGTCACAGAAACTAAACCTCGCACTTACTCTTTGACTTTGGCAAGCATTGCTTTATCTGGATGTCCAGTAGCTCCCGTAGCATAGGTCATCGGTTCATGGGTTTTCTTCGGAAGCAGTCGTTGATCCCAGCTCACGAAGAAAGTGTCGCCATCCAAATCCCCGCCGGCGAGCATGTTTGGAAGAGGCCTTTGACCGTGTTGAGAGAATACTACTACGTCAACCAAGTGCCGAAGACTTTCTAGATTGACGCACTCAACCACCTGCACGTCACCAGGATGCAGACACGGAGAGCGGGTAACGAGGACAGGGCCGGTAACAATTTCCTTCTTGTTCGTTGAAGGATTGGTGTACTGAAGGAAGAGCTTGTTCTCCGGCAGTTCGCCGGTTTCATCCATGACTCCCAGCAGATTGCATCCTTTCCGAATGTGGACTTTGGCTCGCCGCTTCATGTCCCTCAATTGAATCGCTCTGAAAAGCTTCAGCAGGTTGACGAGATAGGGTTCGTTGATCTCGAAAAAGCCCGCTTGAATCATCCGGATCAGCGCCTGGGCTATCTCGTTTGTTTCGTCTGAAGTTTCAGTCAAGGCCTTGATGGCCTCATCGGGCTTCTGCAAAGCTTCGTCGAGCTGTTGAATAGCCTCGTCGCGCAGTTTCAGAAAGACCTTCGGGAGACGAAGCACAACGGACATCATGACCCGAATGAGACACTGCGACATCCGAAAGACAACAAAGCGTTACGTACTTCTTGTTTGATCCCCAGGGTCTCCAGCAATATGACGTACTGATGGTTTAAAAACCCCGGCGAGTAGAAGCTCGTCCGGCAGACTTCGAACGCCAGATGTGTGGAAGGAAACCTGCAACAGAAAGTATAAGAATACCAGTAAGCTAACGCACGCTCCAACGTTCTTCGTGGGCCACAGTTGCGCAAGAGCACCACTTACTTCCTCTGACTCTTCCGCAAATGCACTTCATCTTTCGGAATCCTCTTATCCAGAGTCAAGACTTTCCAACAGAGCGATGGTTTTTAGTTATGAACGGTACAAACGTCTTGCTAAGCATGCCTATACTCACCACCCTTCGCTCCACCCATACGGAATTGGAAAGCCGATGGAGTGCTTGGTTTTACACGCATGTATCTGTTTAGGACAAATGGCTTGTCAGACCTGATTCTTGTCTCCAAAGCTACGCATGCGGAACCCACTTCCTGAGCTCTCCACAATTGTTATATGCAACATTCTTTCCGATTAGGCCGACCCCATCACTGAAACAGTGGCCGTTCCTCTCAATGTCGTCAATGTTCTTGACATTGAACTCGCGGAGCCTCCCCGTTACCGTTGTCGAACTGAAGCATTGCGCCATTCTATGGGAGCATGCGAATAGAAAAGCTAGTAAGATGCACGAATGCTTGAAAAGCGCCCGAAATACTATAACACCATACCGTGCGCCGAGGGTTGCGGGGTTGGAAATGCCACTAAAGTCCCCAATAGATATGCAGATCATTTCAGCATCAATCTTCTTGCCTTTCTCCGTGAACGGACAGATGAACCAACACCCCGCCGTTTTCATGGAGCTGCAACCGAGGGTGAGTCAGTGGGAGGCCGCCGGTCCCCGTCGAGAGCTGTCACCAACCTGTTGGAGTAATGTAGGAACTCAAACCTCCTTCCAGCCACAATGACACCCGCATCCATGATGGCCTGGATCCTTTTGAAAAGCATATCGGCGTTTGGTCCATTATTTATTTTGCCCAAATCATCGTCCGCAAACGCTACTCGCATGAAATCATCTGCATGGTCTTTATACGTTCTCAGAATCCGATTTGCGAGCTCAAGCTGAGGACCTTGATAATAGATCTTTGTCGGAGTGATGATGATCTTTCGGATGAGGCGTTGATTGTAGTTTAGCCTCTCTCTGCTGAGGATCTTATCGCGAATGGCGGCAGTGTCTGCGAGCTCCATTTGCAAGGATTCCGATGGGTTCCAGATCTGTTGTTTGTGTTTGGTCAGTTTTTCGAGTGCACCCTCTACGATGTCATGAGGGGCGCTGTTGAGAAGAGCGATGAACTCGTCGTCGATGGAGAACTCGGAGACAATGTTGTTCGACAACAGGTTCAGAAGTTTAAATTTGACGTTGCTGTAAAGTAAGCGCATCAGAACACCACTGCCATGTCCGTTCTCACGAGATTACAAGTCTTACTACGGGATTGGGGCGTCTTGAATGTTATAAGGCGTAGGCACGTCTGCAGGTTTCAGAAAGTCGATTTCGGCGAAAATCCGGCGGTCTGTGATGATTCCATAATGCACAAGGCGTGCCATGGTATCTAAAAACTTGCGCTCCGCCACTCCAGCGATCCCCGCAGCGCTCTCGTAGGTGACCTCGTAATGATGATCCATGAATCTTCCCGTGTCCGGCACGGCGCGCACGAGGGGTCCTTCGTACTCTGGGTCATTAAAGAAAGCATTGAGAGGAAGCTGTTGACCAGCAATGTAAGGGAACGCGATGCGCTCCCTTTCCTGGCCCTTCGCTCTCCAGAAGAACGGATCTTCGGCAACATAGAGCACCTGGGGTGGAAGACTTAGAGACGCGACGATGTGGTAGGTAACCTGCGTGCCGTTCGTCCGTTTGTCCACCTTGAAAGTGTTTCGTATGCTACCAGCGTTGCGAACATGTGTGAGCAGTGAGTTTCGATGCGATTGCACGTGTGACATACTTTTTGAACTTGTACACCAGCTGATACGTAGTGCCATTGCGTACAAATGACACCGTTGCGCTTTGCCAGTCTGAGTACTTCGTCAGCAATATGCTCATATCCAAACATCTAGTCTACGGATCACTCACCAGAATACTCGAACTCCAGGCTGATAGCTTGACTGCACTCCCAACACTCGTAAAATGTGTTGGAGTTCATCAAGGTGCCGACCGTAAATCTATCCATCTCTAGTACATCCGTTTCGAATCTTGGACGGTGTCTGTTCGGATGTTGACCGGATCTTTTCCTGTCTCGCTGAATATTGAATACCACCCTGGGATTCTCTTTGTACACCTCGAACTGCACATGATCGGACAGGATACTATTCTTGAAGTCCCGCTGGACGTCGATAAGGTCGACTGTAGCAGCCCCAGTATGAACCCCATCACGGTTCTGCACTTTGGCTCGCACAACGGTGCCAAATCGGGAAAAGAAGTGGACGAGGTCCCTGGCCGTGATCGCTTCCTCCTTGGGAAGGCCTCGTACAAAGAGTGGGAGAGAATCGGAGTCCCCGTTAAGAGTTGTTTGCGGACTCGGCGAGCTGTTTGCGCGAGCGACTGAGGGAAGGTTCACAGCTTGGGCGCGGACAGGTGTCTGCCGACCCTGGCGGGATGATTTTGGAGCGTCCATCTAAACGCAGTTTGAAAGAAAGGTTCGGAGACCTGGTTGAGCGTCATTATTTAGTGTATCAGGTATATGGAGGGTTCGCCCTAGGACGACTGAGCGTTTATATATCGGCAACAAACCGCCAGCAAGGCCCACAAAGACATAGACCACTCTGGCTCTTACCGGAGAGAGCTTTTTTGTATATATTGATATATGTAAGTGTGTGGGGTCGTCACGGTTCCAGAAACCTTGGACGTGAGCTTGAGCCTGTAGCTGCCGAAAAGCGAATTCAGGTCCCAAGCACAGGATTCCCGAGGACGGCAACTTGGGGTACGGCCAGTAAAGCTCAGTTGGTGAGTGGGCTTCTCTCGTCAAGGCAGGTATCGGTTGTATAGTGCAGAATAATGGGCAATCTGTAGGAATGTCAATTGAATGTCAATTGACGACAGGAAGATACGTAGAGGAAGATATCTGGAGGACTCAAAAATGACAGCCTTGAATTGAGCGCGTGAGACAGGTCCGACCAGATCCGCCTCTACGATTATTTAAACTATTTACAATGAAATAAGGGTCACCTTATGATCAGTTGCCTAAAAATATGGGGGCTATTCGGCGCTTCTTGCTCTCCGGCGCTCCGCTGTCCGTGCGGGCAGGATCCTCTCTACTGTGTTTTGATGCCACTGGGATGTCAGGTTGAGCTGCCAAAGGCATGCGAAGGGTGGCCGTGCTTGTGTCTATGGCTGTAAGAGTCCGTGCAGTGGGCGACGCTGGTGGTGTGCCGATTGAGGGATCTATAGCCGCCTTGTGTGGCGCCTCGATCGTCTCCCCCAACTCGCCCTTCTCGAAAGAGATTACGGAACAAAATCCGTCCGTGGAGGTTATCAGAAGCGTGCAGCCGTCCGGAGACCATGCCAAATCTGTGAGTGTCGCGTAATGTAGTCCGCTCAAGTAGGCGATCGGCTCTCGTTGCTGAGTGTCGTAGATGAGAAGGGCATCCTGGCAACCAACGGCAAAGATGTATCGATGCTCTAACGCAAAAAGTGATGGTGCTGATGGTGGCTTTCCGGGAGACTGTGATTTGCGAAGTTTGTATGGAACTGGTGAACATCGGATTGCTATCGAGGGCTTCCCATGACCGGGGAGATATGCCAGTGGTTGTCTACTAATGAGGTTCAGTGATATTGTTCGGATGCGATCATAGACGCTTTCCAAACTTACGGAGCCTTTCCCCTGCCATAGACATAAACGCTGTTTCGACTCTCCGTAGCCTTAACTGCACTTTTGTGGACGCCCGCTGGGGCCAATAGTAAGCTTCCGTCGGGGGTGTACGTTAGTCTTCGGAAGAAGGACGTCAAGGTCTCATCATGAAACAGGCGAAAGTTCTTTGCGATGGCCTTGTTTGGAGCCGATGTGCCGTCAGGTTTCGAGTTGTCAGCAGTGTCTCCAGCAGCGCCTTTGTTGTCGGATTGTACAGACTGCTCTTGGCTCTCTTCTTTGGCGAAAGCGAGCTTCGTAAGGCGTCCTGTTAGCTTTGCTAACATGGTCGATTTTTTCTTCTCACAGATGTAAGTGTTGACAGATCTGTTGTAATTTGCCGTATTAGTTTGCGAGAATGTTGAGCTTTCCTGGCAAACCTTGTTAACGCACCTGTCACTGCTTTGCGTCGCCAGATACTGCCCTAAAGGATCCCACGCAACGCCCTGAACAAAGTGACCATGGTCCGTGAGCACCTGAATGCACTTTTCTGTAGGAAACTAATCAATACGCGTGATCACACCGTGAACGACAAGGAGCACTCACGTTCTGAGACACTAAAGATTTGAGCCGTGTTGTTGATGCAGGCTGATATGATGTAGGCAGCATCGGGCGACCACGCAAGGTCGTAGATCTCTGCCGTCGCGCCGCTAAACCACGGATGTTAATCCCTCTGCCAAGGGTAGTGATGGGCAGCTTCCCATACCGTAGCACCTGCGCGATGCGCCAAGTTTCTAGTGTTCCGTCCTCCTCGTCAAAGGTGACTCCATCTCTATTTTCAGCTTTTTGCCATAAGAATATGGTCCCATCTATGATCAAGAGTGTGCATCAGAAATTGTCGCCCTTCCCTACGCAGCGCGCCAAAGGGGCGTACCGTCTCCTCCTGACGCCAGAATTCCGCCTAAAAGAGTTCTTTGTAAATACATATGAGAACATAGCACCAGCTCCCCGCACTTTACGGACCTTTGGGCGACCAACGAACGCAATTCACCGCTTCGGTATGCCGATTCAGACTTGACACAAACTGTACCACAGGTGGTTCGTTTTCCTCCTTCTGCAGGTTCCATATCTGTTGGGAACAAATTTTAGCCCTCTAATCGCATCAACCACGAAACGCAAAGAACCATACCCTGACGTTGTAGTCCCCCCCTGCCGTCGCAAAACGACCGTTCCCATTCGGCTCAAAGTCGACTGAGAAAATGGGCTGTTTGTCGTGCCATAGAATTTGAAGCGTCTTCACACGCATAGTCCGCTATGCTAGTGTCCGTTTGAGCTGCTTGCTGTTACAAAGCGCCGACGGCTGAGAGGTGATGAACGAGTCCCTCCGACAGCTCAGCAATTCCCACGTTGTTGACTCCACAAGAGCTCATCAGATTTACGGGTCCGTCGAGTCCGATGGCGTCGGACAGAAACGCGTTCATGGCGGGTCCCATTGTGGCTGGCATGTCAATCAACGTCCAGATGACGGCTGAGGCTGCCGAGAGCGGAGGATCTCCCAACGCCTTGCGTTGACAGAAGTTGCCGACAATCTAACGTACAGAAGCCACAGCACCACCGCATTTGAAGCTCCTTACTCATGACTCCAGGCCATACCTCCGAAGAAACCTGGCTGCAGCATTGGCCAAAAAGTCAGCATGAGTCGGAACGAAATTGACGTAGCTCCGGTCATTTCCGTTAGAATTGTTTCCGTCGATCACTACAGCACCTTTCCCAACCCGCATGTTGATCACACGACAACTCAATTCTCAAAGCCAGTGTCCAGGGGATTCCGAGTGCCCGTAATACGCATATTTGGGGTCACCGAAAACGGACAGAAGGCGTGTGTTCACCTGCACCGTGTGAGTGTGTGAAATGGTGGTTTCCGACCGCACGGGATCTGAGAAGGGAGGAGTGAGATTATATAGTCGTAGGACATCGCCTGGCCTGGAAGCTTCGCGACTCCCGGAGTATCACCAACGGTTGTTTTGGGACAGAGAACCTGACGCTTGTCCCATGTTGTAGGTCTATCCATATTTTTATGTGCCGTACCATGGATTAACGGATCCTCATCAAGGTAGCGCCCCTATTGTGGTGTTTGAGAACGAGCGTTTTCTTATAAGCATGTCATTTAGTGCGCCTTTACATTCATAAATTTGGAACCAGCTTGAATCATGCCATTGCGCTTGGTCTTGGAAGACATCCCGATGATGCAGCAAAGTGCCTCTTCATCGCCTCCATTGCTCTCGTCAAGGGGATTCCCTACTATGGCTTCCATTCCCGTTATCAGCCCTTTCTCAAGATCAGTGTCCTCAATCCAAGCATGCTCAACCGCATCGTATCGCTGGTGGAAAATGGATCGGTCATGGGAGAGTCCTTTCAGCCGTACGAGGCGCATTTGCCATACCTGCACCAGTTCTTCATTGATTACAATCTTTACGGAATGGACTTCATCCATTTTGCGGATGCCCGGTTCCGGTTGCCTATCTACGGTGCGTTCAAACTCGCCGAGGCGTGCGGATTGCAAGTGGCGGCTAACATTCCGCCATCAGAGATTCCACGCAATGAACAAACCTCTGACTCAGCAACACAGCTATTCACGGATGCATCGGTATTGGATCAGCGCAAGTGGCCCTCTCGTTTCAAAATCGAGCGGCAAAGCTATTGTGAGCTCGAAATCGACACATGGGCGGAAGACATCATGAATCGCTCCTTGATTGATGAACGCCCACGTAAAGCACTGATCGATTTACAGAACGGAACTCTAGATCTCGGGGACACCAAACTGGTGCCCTCGCTGGCAAACCTTTGGGAAGTAGGTACAAGATGAGGCCATGGACTGGATTGAATCTTCGTTTCTTATTCGCGTTGTAGGACGAACGAGAAAGGAGACGGATGAAGGGCATATCCAAAGCAATGCCAGCCGGTGGTACAATCACGCAAGCGAGTAACCGCTTACCTTACCAGCCGTGGGGAAACGAGGAGAGGTTGAGGAGAGAGTTGATGGCTTCGATGCAGCAGGCAAAAGGGGTTGCAGGGGCAGATCAAATGGATATCCCTTTCCAAGAGCAACTAGGCGTGTGGGAAGATGACGCTTTTCAAACCGCGTTTCAGTCCGTGCCGGCATGGAAGAGCCCGCAAGAAACGCATCAGGTTGATACTGAGGCCGAGATACAAAAGACTACCATCGAGGTCTACGGTCCTACTGAATTGAGGCGCGCATCGACACAACTGAATGATCAGGACTTAATGGACCTAAACGGGCTAGTCGACGTGGAGCTCGACATGGAACGCATTACCCAAGCAATTGGCTTTCAGCAGCAGGTGCGTTCCGTGTGAATAGCGTCTCCATGTACTTCGTTGCCTCATGTTGAATCAATGCTACGCCTGCCGCAGTCTCAATCTAATTCCGACATCGCAGAAATTTTGGAATGGATGGCCGATAGCACTCAAACGTCAGAACCTCCATCTTCATCTCTCACACCGAAGGAAGTGAGAGTGTTCTCACCTCTTGGAGATCCGGCAACGGACGTTGACGAGAGCGCGGACGAGGGTTTCGACGATACAGACGAGGGTTTAGCCAATATGACATTGCTATATGATGATCCACTGACACCTGCGTCGACGGTTTCCCCGAGGTCCGTGCGTTCTGTGACCCCACAAACGCCGACTCGGAAGAGCTACCCTGCAGGCACACCTTCGTCTAAGAGCAAAGTTGACCAGCTTCGTATGAGGTGGGTACTTGTGGAGTTCCCCCTCGCACTCCATTTAAACTGCATGATACTGAAATATCTTCAGCTCGCAGAGCTCCCCACTTTCACCGTTGCGCCACGAGATTGCATATGAATCAGAGGACGGCGAAGATCTGAACTTACCACCTCCGCCCCAATTTGAGCGTATGCTCCCAAGGGACCGAAATTTGGACGCGATTGATCAAACTCACATCGGCTCACCATTCGTCGCTTCAACGACTAATATGTCTAACGTCGATAGCGACGGTACCCCACAATCCAACGGGCGAACCGCATTGGACGATCCGTTTCAAACCGAACAAGCCGGGTTCCATGGAACCTCGCGTGGTTTTAGCACGAACAAGCCTACTTCCAAAACCCCATTTTCGAAGCGTGTGAAGTGGCGTATCCCTCAACTGGACGGTGCGGGTGGCGACACGCCACCTCCCAAACGGCGCCGTCTTCACGAGCCTGATCGTGCTTCATCCCACACTTCAGTAGTGCCATTCCCGCATGAAACTCGTACTCGCGAATCGCACATGGAGATCTCGTCCGACAATGAGCATACCCCGGATCCGCTCGTCAACGTTGACACCCCAGTTTCCCGCAGAGCGCAAAGCGAGCCACCATCGACGGGATCCCCGACTCCACTCCCTCCTGGCCATGGCCGACGGCGTACGCTTGGGTTGCGCGTTCCAAAATACCCCAGCGAGTCGGATGATGAAATTCAGCCACCGTCGCCTACTGAAGAGCGTAAAGCACGTCTTCCAGCTATACGTCGGCAGAGATCTATGGTCTATGTTGAAATCCCTATGAAGCGGCAACGTGGAGCGCAGTCTTCTGGGGGCGTCCTGAATTCCGAGGTTTCTGGAAAGGTATCTACTTCGAGGAGTACGTCGTCCAATGGGGACACCGCCAAACGAAGCACCAAGCAGCGTTCCATCTTGGATGCAGAGAAGGTTGCAAAGTTTCAGCAGTTTCTCGTCAATCACGACATTAGTGTGCGTTCGCTAGACAAAGTGTCAAACCTTCACCCTCCTGATGCGGCTCATCGCTTCCTTTCGGCAATGAATATGGTTTCTCCCGAACGGAATCCGGACCGAATGCAGGAACACACCGCTTTGCACTCATGGCACGGGAGACCGATCGCAGATTCTCCTTCTACTCGCCATCCAACGCCAGCGCCTACTTTCGACTTACATTCCGACGATAAATTTGGAACACCCTCGAAGTCTCGTCCACTTTCAGACGTGTCCGCGGAAAGGTCTGCTATACATATCGAAGCGCCGAATCCTCCCATCTTCTTAACCTCTGACGTTCCGACGACCCCTGAAGGGTTTACGCCGAGCCCAGATATCTCAATGGAAATTCAAAGCAATCCGTCGCAAAATGAATCAATAGTCGATTCATCCTCGGAAGTCGATGCCCGAAGCGCCGTACCCCACTCCCATTCGTCGCAGAAGGCTTCTGAAAACTCTGATGATGTCTTGGAAACCCCGTTTGCGTCGCCTTTTACAACATCTGCAAACACATTACCCACACAACAACATGCTGAACCAGTAGTCAGCAACGCAGCGCCCGGACTCTACCAGTTCGCCTTTCCACCACCCTCCAAAGACGAGCTGCGTGCCACTATGGACCTCTATGGAATCCCTACTGTCGTGTACCGCGAGCCGTACTTCAGTGACCCCAAAGACGTCCCGGCTCGTGTCAGAACTTTTGCGGGTCGTAACTATAAGTTTGAAGCGGACGACGCTCAAAGCTTGAGCGAGTTTGACACGAGTGGATGCTCGGTGAGGGCCAACGTGACAATGACTCAGGGTGGGTCGAATAAGTCCCTGGCTAGGGGGTTGGAGCATTGGCAAGAGACGTGTCGGAAGTCAGATGACCAACGGTGAGTACAGGACCGTGGATTCTTTTGAAATCCGTCGAGAAGAGGTTTCTGATATTGTTCATGGCTTATTGTCTGACGTCCGTTCAATAGGACACGGGCGCCCTCCAGCATTCGCGCCTGGACTGTACCTTTTTTACCGCCGTTACGCGCGGAGACCGTAAAATGGTTGAAGGCGCATGAGGCAGTTAAAGCCGAGGTCAAAGAGCAGCCTGGCCCCCTGGTGCTCAAAGAATCGATGCGCGCCTTTGAAAAAGGCATACAAGAACGGCGCAAGCCGGTGCTCGTTTCCCAAATCGAAGCCCCAACCCCAAAGAACCCGTACGGCTTCAAGTACACGCAGATCAGCACCAAGAATGTGTCGGTACAAAAACAGTACATGTGCTCGATGAGTATGGAGCTGCATGCCACGTGCCGAGGCGATCTTCTTCCGGATTCACAGCATGACGAGATCCGGGCACTTTTCTACTGCCTGCAACATGAGGATGAGACGAGGTTTAGGAACAACGGCACCCGTCCCGGATATTTTGTTGGAATCATCATGGTGCAAGATGAGCATCCACTTGCAAAGACGGGTGTCGGTGGATACGCTATCGATATCGTGCCTGACGAGAAGGCGCTGCTAGAGTTGCTATGTCAGAAAGTGAGATTCTTCGATCCAGACCTTCTTGTTGGATACGATGTACATCGCGCATCATGGGGATATGCCGCTGAGCGCGCGCGCGACGAACATGGTGGGTGTCTGACTTTAGTTGAAAGATCTCGTTGTGAAACGAACGCAACTAATCTGGCTTAGGTAGAATTCGATCTGTGTGCCGAACTGTCCCGAGTCAAACCAGAAGATGCCAATACGCGCTTTGGCCGAGACGAAGATGCCTGGGGAGCTAACAAGCAATCTTATATGCACACCACCGGGCGCATCTTCCTCAATGTGTGGCGACTGATGCGTTCGGAGATGAATCTGACCTCTTACACCCTGGAAAGCATTGCCTATCACGTTCTGCACATCAGGTTAGACATGCGTGCAAGTTGAATCCATCACGCACGTCGCAACGGGGCTGATATCTGGTGATATTTCACGGCTAGGGTCCCGAAGTTTACACCCAAAACTTTGAACGAATGGTACGAAAAAGGGATGCTGTTCAGATGGCGAACCGTCAAGTATTACCTTAGTCGGGTTCAGTACAATCTCGATCTGCTCGATGACACATCCATGATCAGTCGCACCAGGTACATCCGACCTCTGAGTGCAATTATCTCACTTCCGAATAACCAACTTACCATGCTTGTCTAGCGAGTTCGCCCGTGTTTTCGGTATCGACTTCTTTTCAGTTATTAGCCGAGGATCACAGTACAAAGTTGAATCCATCATGGCACGGATCGTCAAACCGGAGAACTTCATCATGGCGTCCCCAACAAAGAAGCAGGTTGCAGCTCAACGCGCCTGCGAGTGCCTGCCTCTCGTCATGGAGCCACAGTCACGATTCTACAATAGCCCATTGCTCGTATTGGACTTCCAGTCTCTGTATCCCTCGGTCATGATAGCCTACAACTTCTGGTATGTGCTCCATCATCCCGTCGCTATTCGCACTCTCATCTCAATAGTGCTGGCTCTGTATTAGCTACTCAACATGCTTGGGTCGTGTACAAAACGTGGGCAAGCCACAAAAGTTCGGCATCTTGGATGACTACGAGGTGCCCGCTGCGTTTGTGGAGGCATTTAAAGACGACTTGAATGGTAAGGTCGCCCGTACGCTGTTGGCTGTCAAGTGCAATGAATGCTGATACGCCGTTGCAAATGCAGTCTCGCCAAATGGCATGGTCTTTGTCAAGCCGCATATTCGGGAAAGCACTCTACGACGCATGCTGACTGAAATTCTTGATACCCGTGTGATGGTGAAAGAGTCGATGAAATTGTACAAGGATGACAAGGTTGGTGCGACTTATATATCATTTTCCGTTCACACTAATCTCACTCCCATCCAGTCGCTTCAGCGGATCCTGGAAGCACGCCAGCTCTCCCTCAAATTCATCGCCAACGTCACGTACGGCTACACGGGCGCCAGCTTTTCAGGCCGTATGCCTTGCGTCGAGATCGCAGACGCGATCGTGCAAACCGGTCGAGCGACCCTGGAACGTGCTATCGATCTCATTCATCAGACGAAGAAATGGGGTGCGGAGGTCGTGTATGGGGATACGGACTCGTTGTTCGTGTACCTCAAAGGCAAAAGCAAGGACGAGGCGTTTGTCATTGGCAAAGATATCGTGGATACGGTGACGAAGATGAATCCGGAACCTGTCAAGTTGAAATTTGAGAAGGTGGTTGCTGGACTGATTCGATGTCTTTTGCGAAAACGTGTTACTCATGGTCGTTTTGTCGAAGGTCTACCATCCATGTGTCCTTCTCGCCAAGAAACGATACGTAGGCTTCAAGTACGAATCTCCCGACGACGTGACACCAGAGTTCGACGCAAAAGGCATTGAGACCGTGCGCCGCGATAACTGCCCTGCCGTCGGCAAGAGCATGGAAGACTGCCTAAAGTGAGTATCTTGGAGCCGGTTTGTGAGTTAATACCTGATTGACTCTAACGTGCTAACTTCTGCGAAAAACAAAGGATCCTCTTTCGAACGCAAGACCTATCGGAAGTCAAACGATACCTTTATCGGCAGTGGGGCAAGATCTTGAGTGGCCGGGTGTCTCCACAGGATTTCATCATCGCCAAGGAGGTCAAATATGGCACCTACAGGTGAGAATGTCCTCTCATCGCTCCGAGAGAAGCGATTCAGGACATATGCTGAAGATAATGGACAGTGAGCACGGCCGTGAACCACCAGGGGCCGATATAAGCAGGAGGAAGCTGAAGAAGGATCCGCGGGCGGAACCGGAGTACGGCGAAAGGGTTCCTTACGTTGTGAAGTATCGTGGACCTGGTCATTTGTTGGTGGATTGCTCGGTGCCGCCAGAAGAGCTGCTCAACGATAGGTAAGTCTTGGGGCTTCTTGAGCTTCTGCATGTAGAAGGGAGCAGGCATCTCTAATCTATGCCCGGTTTACCATCAAGAACGGCGCGACTACACGGCGAATACTACATTCGAAATCTGATTATCCCATCACTGGCTCGGGTCTTCAACCTCGTTGGAGCAGGTATGAAATGATAATAAAACGCCCTCTCCTCAAACACCACCGAGTATCCTTACTTCCCTTTCTGTCTATTTCCATGAAGATGTGGAGAACTGGTTTGACAAGATGCCCAAAGTGCAACGAGCCATCCAATACACTGCGTCTCAGTTCCGGCCCGACGCCCCGTCAAATCAGCAGGACGATCACAAGCAGAACAATCTTCTAGGGCGCACTATTGATCAGTATTACACTGCTAAGCATTGCATGGTGTGTCACGAGATGACGTATCAAGGTAACCCGCATGTCTTTGTCTCGTTATGTGGTGATGGACTGCCGACTAATTGCGCGATAATCCACATCCGTCCCCCAGAACTCTGCACAAAATGCGCAAAAGATGCCCAATCCTCCTTGACGACCCTGTCCCTCCGGCTCAACGAGGCAGAACGCCGTCACATGCAGCTGCAACGCATCTGCCGCTCGTGTTCGGCACAGAACTCGGTCGTAGACGGTACTTCGGTATGCGTTTCACTCGACTGTCCAGTCCTGTTTGAGCGTGCACAGGCCAATCAGAAGGTCAGGTTGGCAGGGAAATACTTGCAGTCCAAAGCGGTCGCGGAGCTATCTCAAGACTGATTGGCGCAACTTTTTGGCGTAATCAAATCAAACTCCTTGGGTATGAGTTGACCTTCGAGAATATGAACGATCGCAGCGTCTTTGTCGGGATTTCGCTCTTGAAACCCCCAGTCTTTTCCTGCCAGTATGCCACTGTAGCGGGAACATCAGTCATAGTGAATGCCACTGTTTGACGTATGTCAAACTTACCCCACACGAGTTTGTTCTGCCTGCCCCGGCGGCTTTGCGTGAGCGTCAAGTGAGCTCTAAACGTGCCCACTCTTTCACTACTTCGCATATGCAGGAAAACATCTTTCCCCTCCAGAGTATATTCTCCGAGCATATATCCTTTTTGTTTGACCTCATCGGCAGCTAGAATCTTCAAGGCAGCAGCCGGGTCAACTGTCGTTGTCCAGAACGACACTCGATCGCGATGGAAGCGGAGATACCGGTAGTAGGTAACAAGGTGGACTGGTGCGTAAAAACCCTGACCTTCCCCTTGTCGGACATAGTTCATCCGAGAGATATATACGCCATCTCGCCTTATCCGAGGGCGGTCCAGCCACATGTCCATCCAAGAGTCTCTGTAGAGGGGCAGTTCGCTAGACAACGGGATATCGGGGTTCGCCAAAGGTCCATGGACCTTCTCACACACGGCCCGCCACACGCTCTGTTCAGCAACCAGAACGCACATTTTCTTTGACACCAAGGAAAGGGAGCATGAGATGCTTTGTCCCTGCAGAAGGATCGCCCATTGGATGATATGCGAAACGACCTCGGACGGTAGACGGTGAAAAGGTGATTTCCTATTTTCGTTATGCGGAATGAATTGTATGTCCATCCTTTGCAGGGCTTTCGCCAAAGTGCCTGAATCGCTCTGAGATGATTTGCTGTCATCGGCATGAGCGACCTCATGGAAATCATAGTACGTGTAAAGACTGGCGTTCGGGTCCGGTAGCGCTTTCTGCTGCTTGTGAAAGGGATGCGATGGTTGCTGCAAGATCGCTCGATATTTCTTCTCGACTTCCGGGTCCAGTCTATGCGCCTCACGATACTTCTTCATGGCCGCGGATAAATCACCCATCCTTTCGTGCTTGGTTGCTTCCACATAAGCCGCCAGTCCTCGTTCCGAGTGTGAGCCGTCAGCACCTGCGAGTCCGCCGGTTGGAGTAGGACGCGCGGCTTCATTGTCGGTCTTCACGAGCTGTCGCTCCGCTGCTGCTGGAGACTGACCGACTTTCGGCTGAAGTTGTGCCAGCGGCTGCCTGTGAGCAGCTGTCGTCGCCGCAGGTTGTTTGCTCGGACTGGCGGGTGAGGCTGCTGCTGTGACCTGGCGTGCGGGTGAATTGCTGGAAGTGCTGCTTGTGGTTGAAGGAAGAGTGGTGGGGACGGGCTTTTCCTTGTGCAGCTCCTGCTGCCATCTCTGGCGGAAGGTAGCTAGCTCGTCTTCTTCGACGGGTACTTGAACGTCCATGGCTCCTGTCCCAGGCGATTGAATTGGTCTTACGGAGTTCTAGTTGGCAATGCACACCGACAGATCGAGGGGTGACAAATCGAGATCGTCCATGTTCCCACAGGAGAACACGCTCCTTCCTCGTACAGTACGTAATCGCCATCACGTACGCGTTCGAACTTCCAATAGGTGCATTGGCTACTCGCACTTTCAATCAAAAACGCGCGACGAGCTCATCCACCAAAGTGCCAAACTCGCCCACAGACCCACAGGATTTTTTTTTGAACCATCAAGCCATCTTATACATAGGAGTCGAACCAGCTTACCAGAACCCTCAAAGTCCCTGACAAGGTAGAGAAATATACAGTAGACATCCTTAGAACTTTATCGGTTAGCTCGCAATGGCTCTCTCTTTTACGCCATTCAGGACCGCTCTTGGTGAGCTTGTTTCAAGCCCGTACTTCAGAAGAGCGCTGCTCGCCGCCGTTGTCCTCCCAGTTTCCCTTCCTCTTCTCCATCAATTTCTACTTCGCTTTGTCGACAGGCGAATTGGGCCACGCTGCGGCCGCTTCCTGAAGTTGAAGGACGGATCCGTCCGGCGCATTGTCGTGCATGGGGGCGACTCTATCGTAGGACCCGCCAAAACGAACGGGACAGTCGTGATACTTGTTGGAGGATTGGGAATGCACGCAACTTCGTGGGCACCCTTCCAACGGGCCCTGGAAACCGCCATCTCAACCCGCGCCGCCACCACCCTCGTAGCCTCTGTTTCGTACGACCGTGCTGGAAATGGCTGGTCTCCCGCGGTCGAGTCTGCTTCGCACATAACAACGATTGAAGAGATGGCTTCGGAGCTCTACGACGTCATGGAAAGCTTAAATCTCGTGTCGGGCAACCTCAACCGCCCTGTTATCTTGTGCGGGCATTCGATGGCCGGATCAATTATTCAAGCGCGACTCTACCAGCATCCGGCTCTCAAGGTGAACGCCATCGTGTTTGCCGACCCCATGGTGAGCGACATCGATAACCAAATGCGTATTGGGCAAGAGAAGATTCGGAACTGGATGGAAGCATCGGCCGCGAAAGAAGTCCTCAAGTTGCAACTGGGATATGGCCGCTTTGTCGCCGCCCCGAAGATCGTGTCTGGAACGTCGGGTGACGAAGTCGCAGCACGTCTTACACTCCCCGAGCGATTTGACTATGCGTTCCAAGAGCTTCAACCGGAGGGCTATGCTCTATTGGTGAATGAATATCGCATGGTGGGCGATGCGACTAATAAACTCATGAAGCAGCGGGAAGCGCGCACGAAGACCGGTCAAGCGCCCTTCGTATTGATTGTAGAGGCGGACCAGTTCGAAAATTTCGAACAGGTGTTTGAGGTCCCGGACGATGTATATTCCGCTATGCGCTTGAAAGCGTACAACGCTTGGGGGCGGGACCTTTGCAGCGGGACCTTTGGAGGTGTCTGGACGGACAAAGGATCTACACACCTTCAGGTCATTTTGCGACCCATGCTTGTGGACGCAGTGTTGAAAGCGGTGGATAGTGTTAGGTGTTAGAAAAGAGTTTGGAAGAACGGTCTGTGTTCATGCATATCCTGTCATCATCTCCCGTCGGCGTACCTCCTCCCTTCTCCCTTTCCGAGTCGAATAACGAGATCCCTGATCCTCGTCAATCAATTGAGAACCAGGTTTCACCGATAATATTGACAAGGATTCAAGAGACTGTAAAATACGAAATGTAAAATACGGTTTCCTGTGGAGTAAAGTTCTGATGGAAAGGAATTATGCTACCCGTTCCTATGAAGATTACGAAATGGGCGATTTCCAGGCCGACGCAAGCAGAGCACATCCTGCGCGGCAACGGTCAAACAAGTTTCAAGTTACAACCCAGACCTACACAGTACGGCTGGTAACGGCCGAACAAATGAACAAATTGTTACCGAAGTTGCAAGTGGTAAGTTAATTAAAACGGGGACTTCGCTTGCGCGAAGTTCCGGCGGTGGATCGAGTCAAACTAAATACTTTTTCAGCACATTTACATTTGATAATGTTTCAGTAGAGGCCGTTTTCACATTTCATGCCTGGCCCAGCTTTGACTTTTTCTCAAGCCTCCTGTCGGCGTGCTGCGCATAGCAGACCTGCTTGGTGGCCGAATCTCGGCCTCCGATATCTCTGCCCCTGTGAAAGGGTCCAGAACTGGCCCGCTTTCTTCGTCAGGACTTCTTGTCAAGAACTCGGGCTGCCTCTCCTTCTCTGTTCCACCCGTCATGTCGCTGCTCGTAGGCAGTGTAGCGCTGGCACTGCGAGCAAGCTTAGAAGACGATCGTCGTCTACTCGAACGATGATTGAAATCGCCAGAAACTTCGGACCGCAACAGTACCGGGGAATCCATAACTGAATCATCCGCCGAGTCGTCAGGATGCTCTTCCGCATGTCCGGACAGAAGTATCATGGCAGGAGACTTCGTGCCCGAAAAGGAAGACCCTCTGTTCCGCGCAACGCGGGGTTTTGGCTTGATGTCCGAAAAGCCGTTATGCTGTCCGACTTCTGCTGCCACCAATGCCAGGTCCGCAGCGCGACCATTCCGCTGTGTTGGTAATGATCCTATGTCGGACAACGATCTAGTTTTCTCTATTGTTCTGTTTTCGGGGGGACTGTGGCGAGAATTTGGGCCCTTCGGAGGTTCATCAGCTTCTTTTCCCTCCGCGGATGCCTGTTTATACCAAACTCGGTCCATGAACCTCTTGAGTGCGGACTGTTTCTCCATGTCGGCGATCGACGAAATGATCTCCAGATCGATCGCAATTTGTGGCGGTATCATCAAGAGTAACTTTTGCGTGCTCCGTTGGTCGCGATTCAGCATTTTCACTAGTTTCCGCAGCACCCGGAAATAAACATACAGGAACACCACGAGCATGGTGCCGAGAATGGCTCCCGCCACCTGGTGTGCCCTGTCCGCATAATCGTTGAAAACCTCTCGTAGGCGTTGCCCGGCGTTCAGCATCCCTTGCTGGACCAGCATCGCCGTCGCAAGAGACCTTTGAAACTGATGGGCAAAATAGTTCAGCTCTCGTGAAATGACCATTACTAGCTGAAGATCAATACAAACCTCCGGATCGGCGTGAGTGACATTCTGCGTGGTGGTTCTGCTCAAAGTGGAGGAGGTCATCTCTCTTAACACAAAAAGAGCATCTACCAAAGAGTAGGAGACGCCCTCGTGTTCCAGATTGGTGTCGAACAGCTGATCTCTTAGGGCAGGCTCTAGCGGTGAGTCGACCGATACAAGGGAAGTGGCGGTTCCTGTCAGCAGAGTGGCCCTTGAAAGCGCCGAAAGATAAAACGCAGTTTGCATCCGGTAAACGTAAACGTTGATACACAACACTTCATGTACCTATATTGATCCTGAATGCTCAAGTCATACATGATTGTGCCAACCAAACTGGCTTTGTTCGTGAATGTCTCATAGTCTCCGCGTATGATCTCCTCTAATAGATAAGCGACTCGCATGGCTCCAAATCTCATGCGCATCGCGAGGTTGACTCTCGTGGTCACATCCACGAGCGGCTTCGATGTGGTTTGCATGCCCGCAAAGTAGCCACCAAACATAGCCACCAGAGCAAGGAGCGTTATCTGAGTGCGCGGAAGGGATTAGGCCTCGTCATGTCCGTGTATAGAATCACGCTTTGAAGTGGTACCGTACCGCAATTTTGCGCTGCATACGGCGTTGAATTTGAGAGTGTGAGGACTTGATCTCATCGCCCTGGGTTAAATCTTCGTCCTGATCATCTTCATCCCCAGAATCGTCTAGCTCTTCGTCGCCGGAATCGGGTCCCGTTCCGTTCCCGTTCAAGTTCCCATACCGCATGTAAATGGTCTCTGCCACACCGCGAGGAATCCTAGTGAACGCGGCGAGTGATTTGACACGTTCCTCCTGGACTTTGCGCATCGTTGGGAAGAATAGGAACAGACCCACAAAGGCTACGAGAAAGGCGACCGTGGAGAGGATAACGATCTGTATGAAAACCAACGTTCTCGTGTATGACACGACGGATGCTACGTAGGAATAAGTTGCCTCGGAAAACGCAGACCCAATCTAGGAATGACAGTGAAGTGAGGAACTCCTCAATTTGTACCTTCTCGTGTGTTTCGTCATTACCGTTATCGCGGAATTGGCCATAATGTAATACCATCCACCCAGGGTATGCAGCAACGCCGGGGAAGCGTACATAGGCATGGTAACTCCGTGTGAATATATCGAGGCATAGGCTTCCAGTTCTGTCGATGCATCAAATAAATTGACAAATTGTGACGTTATACGCGAACCGGTCGTTGGGTCGCGCCGAAGACTGATTGCCCAGAGCAAAGTCGGTCACCAAATTCAGCCAAGCTTAGTCGAGCCCATCACCATTCGCCCAACTTACTAGGTTAAGTTCAAAGTGGGCTTCAGCCAATAAAATCTCTAAGGGAGAAAACTGATCATCAGCACTGGTCGACGAAGTCGATTGGACACAGAATAATTACCGCCTGCTCGTCTGTCATTTTGTTGTAAAACAGGTCCTAAATTATCGTGATCCGCCATCAGTATCACATATGGACTAAATGAAGCTGTCTTTGATGAAATGTATCCTCCGATATACGACCGTCGCGTGAACTCACATTTTGGAGGCCCAGCAAAGGGCTTATAATGCCTTTCAGGGCTGCCGCTTGTTCTGCGAAGCTCGTATCATTTGCAAGCTGCGCCGAATCTTGCATAGCACGCATAGTTCGTGGGATAAGGACAGCTGCTTCGCGCCGGTATCCGCTTTGGAAGACCGTGTCGATTTTGCCTGCGATAATTCCTGTCATCTGCTTCAGATAAATGAACTCCGCAATAGCGGCGACAATCAAAACCTAGGGACACATGACATTAAGGTGGCTATGTATATAAAGGATGCCGAAAAAAAGATTCAAGGGAACGTACCATAATCAGGAACTTGTTGATGAGACCCATCCGTTGCAAAGCCGAAGATTTCAACGCGGCGATCTGGCGACCGTATTCTCTGGCGACGATACGCTCTCTGAGGTCGTGGCCCGTCAGTTTTTTCCTCCGTCAGTTTCTTTGGGGGCTCCACCTACTTCTTGGTTTTCGGAGCGATACGAGTGATCTTCCCGCTGACAGAGGACGGTCTTCTCGCAAGCCGCGCAGAGCTGCCACCGCCAGATGAACTACGACCCTCGCCATCATCATTTAATTCTTCCGTAATGGCTTCGTACTGGGTGTACAATTCATCCGCGCGTCTGGTATCGTTTTGCACTTCCTCCACGAAGTTAGCATAAGCGATCCTAACACCAAAGGGTATCAGCATGGTTGTTCGTTGCATGCGGCGCGGTTGTTCGTTGGAAGCAATATCAATTGCCCACTCACCAGTGACGGCCCACAGGAAATCGATTGATCAGCTGTTCGTATGTTGAGGCTCCTCGACGCTCAGCTCGGTTGATCTGCGAGGCCAGATCGTTCAAGATGCGGACCTTGTCGGGGACTGGCTGACTCGTCAGAAGCTGCCGCCAGAAAAGACCAATTTTCCGCTTGGCCTCATCGTGGTAGCGTTTCGCCCGCTTTGTGAGATGACGCACATCCAACTGGTCAACCAAGTCTAAATGTGTTTTGCCATCGGCTGCCTCGATAATGCCTCCACGACGAAGGTAGAAGATCGTGAACTCAAGGTCCAGGGCAGGCCTCAGCTTCAAGGCCTTTTGGCAAAGCATGATAGCCATAGCCGAATCTCCTCGGTACGCCTAGCCGGTAAAGAGACAGTTTTGATTGGCCACAAAAGTGGATGTTCGTGCGTCTGCCTTTTTGCTTACCGTAAAAAACACAGCGGCAGAGATCAGCAACTCAACGTCTTGAGGGAACAGCTCCATGCCTCGTCGAAACAAAAGCTCCGCGCGATGGATTTCCTCTCGAGTACTATCGACTGAGAGAAAGCGCGTAGTGCAGACGACGGTATGGGCCCATCGAAACCTCACAGTACTCAGACGTTTTGCAACCGGGTCTGCCTTTTCCCCTGCATGCTCCAAATCTTTCCCAACAAATTCATCCGCCCCTTTGTCGTCCGATGTGCTCGCTGATGGGAAAATTGATTGAAGCGATCGCCATCGCAACCAAATGATCAGGTAGCCTAACCCTACGACTACGGGTGTACCAGCGAAGAATGCGATCATGGCACTTCTGCCATCAACGTCATTGTCTCTGGCAGCGACAACCAGTAAGCATGCTCCCGACCACATCAACTAGCAGAACATCAGCGTCCGAGAACATCGCCAAAACATTATCAACAAAGAGACACCGTACCTCGAAGCTCAGGACAAACTTGAGGAAGTTCATTTTCATGTTGTAATACGGCAGGTGGATGAAGACGAGCGAGGTGAGGGTGGTGACGAATACAAAGTACAAGATAGCGCGGATAACTGGATAGTCCACCAAAAAATGGAGAGCGCTCGACAAGACAATCTTCCCCAGAAGCTCGAAAAGTTCCTGGCGTGCAGATGGGCGGGCGTGCCATGAGGGCGTGCTGCATATAAGCAATGATTAGCTGGGCGAAACACCTAGGAGTCGGGCGATTGTGTCAGAGTCTAGTACCGCTGGTAGAGAGGAAAGCAATGAAAGACATTAGCCCAAGTACTAGGTATACTATAACCCATCCTCACTTACTGAGTTGGGACAGAAATATGTCATGGTTGCGAGAGCAGTAAAAGGGAGGAGAATGACGATGCCGATAGACGCGAGGACCATATAGACAATATTTATACTCGAGGTGCATGGTGGATAATCGTCCATTACTTCATGTGTATGTCGACAGTTGAACACGGCTAGGAGCTGCATGAAGATGGGGTGAGCACAGATAATGGGTGTCATCCGACTGTATACTGGAGGCATCCGCAAAGTTACTTACTGGGACATACATCGGGATGAACCCGACGGTAACTGGAAAACCAGTGGGTGAGTGAAGATGTCATACCCATAGACGTCTTCTTACGGATGAACCCACGCAATGCGGAAACCCCTGCTCGCAATAAGCGGACTGGGCCGATGCCCGCCTTGAAGGATCCTTGGAAGAATCCCCGAAATACATAGTACGCCAAGCCGATCAACAGCGCTTCAACAGGCAGTGCTTTAGTCTCGATGCACACACAAGAAGAGCGGTGTCGAAGGTGCTTACCTATTAGGAAGAGGACCACAGAAATAAGGACGATCAAGCCCTACGACAAGAAGGAGATTACAAATTCACCCCTCCCAACGAAGTCTCGTTTCTCCCGCTTTAATCGCTTTACCTCCCAAGTTATCGAGTGGATAATGAGATTTTCGAACTGCAAAACGGACAGAATATTCTGCCATGTCTTTCCGATCCCTGCGCTGTTCACGTAGATTGACGATCAAAAGCTAATCAACGCAATATGCGTGTTGATGCTTCTAGGACTCTAGATCTACTTACCCCCATTTGAACTGGTCAAAGGCCTTAGAAAAGGAAGAGAAATGAACATCAGCTCGTTTGACGATTATGACGGTGTTGTAATGACAGGGACTCACGAAGTCCAGTAGCTGGAGCCATTCGGCGATCATCATTATAAGAGCGGTAACATTGTGTTCCCCGCCTTTCACGAGGGTAACCAAAAGCGAAAAAAACGGCGTTTTGTATTTCTTCTCTAGCCGATTCAGGAATCCATTGCCGCGCACAGTGCCCAAGCTGCCAGGAACGGACAAGGCTTGGGAGCCCGTCGTGAAGCTGCTACGATCTGAACCTGGCATGTCTGAGAGGTCGATGACAACCACCAAGATGATGTTACTTCGGCCAGAATGAACTTTGCTTGCAACACCTCAGTCCTGCTTTTATACTATCCAAGATTCTTCAGCTTTTGGCTCCATTAACGAAATGCAGCTGTCTCCGCCGTGGGGGAAAGGTTGAATCCAGGCTTTTCCAAACCAGATATTTCTGCTTGAGATTTGACTCTAACCTTGTTAAACCTTTTTGACGCCTGCTGACGATCCCTCTTCCTTTGCCCTGGCTCCTTCTGGATGGGCGGAGACACAGGCGGCTCTCAATGTTGATTGTCTGCGTTGGGAAGCTTACCCTTTTTCGATCGATCCGCAATGTCATGCAAAAGTGAAAAGTCACAATATCGCGCTGTCGAAATTAGCGGAGACGATTACGTGTTTGCACACAATTTACGATCCCGTGTAACACCAGGTGCAAGAAATTGTTCGTTAAGCTGGAACGTTGATGTCCTCTATTCGATCTTCGTTGCAGCGTTTGCTCTTCGTTAGCGCTTTCAGTTGGAGGGTCTATATAGTCAGTTACATACAAAAAGTTACAGCCCCTGCCACTCTGGTCCCTCCCTTCCTGGCCCCTTTAATTATACTTCAGCAGCGCCCGCGTCATTTGCGTGAGGGATATCCAGCTCCCCATCCATCTCTGGAACATCCACCAGGTTCGCCGACAGCGGATCAATCTCTGGAGACGGATGCGTGGTGATCTTCGAAGTGGGGTCAAGAGGCGCTGAGGGAGACGGTTGAAGCAAGGTGGCATCGGCAGCTTCCTGTGAATTTGGATTAGCGCTGACCTGCAAGACATCGGGCGCTTTCGATGCCGTGCCTGATGAGGGCACGTCTGTGATTGCAGTGGCCGCCGATGCCGAATCCGGAAGCTGGGCTGGGAATATATCATCACCGAGAGTACCGCCCAATTCAGTTGGCCGTAATTCTGACGCGTCATGGCTTTCGACCTTGGCTTGCGGTATTTGCGCGGCCGTTGTATATTTCAACATGGGTTGCGACAGTTTTGCCCACGGGTCTTGCCGCTCCTTTACGCCATTTACATCCGCAGTTGCCTTCTCAGACGTAGCTGGCCGAGAAGAATCTGGGTATATCCGATTGAAGCCGTCCGTAATAGCTGGAATCAGAACGTGGCACCAAGCGTCGGCAACTATCATGACAATTTGCCTCACATCTGCCGTTGTTGAGGATGCTCCTGAGACATCCGAGTCCCAAACGCTTGCGACAACGTCGCTCAACCCCTCCGCACATAACGCTAGTCGTGCTTCGATGAGCGTTTCTATACGGGCCCGAAGGGACAATGCTGGAAGTGCTCGCAAATGATTAAACGCATTGAAGAAGGTGTTGAGAAGGTAAGCTAACGGCGGGTGCGCCAAAAGCGAGGTTGGGGCAGATACGAGGGGTTGAGCCGCCCCGCTCGGGCGGGAAGGATTGCTGGGCGCTTTCTCTGAAGCTGTTGAGGAGTGTCGGAGATATACGCTTTTGATAAACGGGTTCGATGCGACTATCGCCGACTGCCGGGAACTGTTCTGCCTCGAGCTGCCAAATGCTGGCACAGCAATATCTGCTGATGCAGCGGCCGTGATGGCATTGGCAGCTTCTGCCGTGGTCTCATGCAGCCAGTGCAAAAACTGCGTTGTCCCGTCCATGATCGTCCTGCTCACGATGGTTTCAATGGCATCCTCAAACACGTGTCGGACCACATTCCGAAAATCGATGCCGATCCGGCCTAGACTCATGCCAAAGTACATAGTTTGCGTGCAGATACTGGCCACCTGCGCTGCGTCTGTCATCTGTAGCAAATGAAGCCGCAGGACCTCTCGCAGATGGTCCATCCGGTGCATCACGTAGGATGAGAGGATAGAGTGCGTCAGAGTGGAGTGGGATGCGGTATCGTACAGTAAGGCGGATGTGAAGTTGACATGTGCTGCACTATCGATGCCAGTGTCGCCGTTCGTATTCGCGGTAGCAGTAGCATCCGAGAAGATGGCCCGATATTGCGCGACGATATCGAAGAAGCATTCGCGACATACGTCGATGTACTTGCGGAGGTATTCCGCATGATCCCGGAGAGTGCCCGACCCTACACCTTCTTTCCCACACACATCATCCACGCGTTTTCGGAAGAACTTGTCGCGTTGCTGCAAGAAGATCAACCGCAGCTCCGGCTCTGCCACTGCCTCTATCCGACGAAGGTAGCCCATGACGCGTATGCAGAGCGGAAGCTTCACGTCCCCTTTCAGCAAATTCACGAGTTGCATTAGCATCACTTTCGTTGTCGCTTCTAATTCGTTCCCGACCGACTGCAGAATCTTATGTTGTGGGTATCTGAGTAGCAGCCTTTGTACATGTGTTTGCAAGTCCATCGCCTCATCGTAGTAGCCGTTTCTGATGAGTGTATCCATTAGCTGAGGGATCTCCAGAATCTCCACCAGTTTCGAATGCTGATTCAGAACGAGAAGCTCACGCTTCCTATCCTTCAGTATGCTCTCAGTCGAAGACGTAGCGAATGATGAGCACGCAGACTCCACTTCCGGCAGCGATGCTTGAAGAGCGTTCAGCTGCTCGTCCATTGTTGAAAAGGTGCCTTTGATGTCTCGCGTACACTCGTTTGCTCTCAAAAACGATCTGTACTCGGTGTATGCGAGATCCGCTAATTGCTGCTGGAGCCTGGCGGTTTCCCTAACTAACACCGCTGGCTCGGATTTCAGTGTTTTCAGAGAACATGACGTTAAGTGATCCAAGTAAGCTTGGTACTCTTGATCTTTGAACACGTCCTTGGTCAGGGTGACCGTCGTAGATGGCGAAACGGGTGGTGTTGCTGGCGAGGTCGCGGAAGAGTGTCGTAGTAATGGGGCTGGAGGGGTGCCGTGATGCGGTTCCGTTGGTTCCTGCACTATGCGAGACACCTTCCGCAGCAGATATGGAGGTGCCCCATCGTGTCTGGTTGCGGCAGATATCTGAATCGAGGCCTGCCTTCGGAGCAACGCCGTCGAAGGTCGCCGCGATCCCGGGTGATCGAAATATGCACTGTGGGGTCCGCCTGACAGGGTACTTGGTGTATGAGGTGTATTTGGCCAACCCGGAACTGGTCCCTGAGCTGAGGTTGTTCGTTCTCTCTCTGCTTTCGCCGTCTCTTCCAGGAGCGAGATCAGGACTTCATGACCGTACGGCGCAGGCGCCAAGTGGACACCCAGCTTTGCTGCTCCTTCTGCTGGAAGAGCAGTATGTAGTGACGTTTCCCGTACCGCCGCCATTGCCCCGACCGATGGCCCTGTGTCGTCTATGTCCAGTACTGTGCTCGTTGTCGAGGGTTCAGGTCAGCTTGAATATCCAGATGTCAACGTCCTTCCAGCGGTCATTCTTAACGCTCGCGTCGCGGTCTTCTCAGCGGTCAACACTTTCCCCCTTCTTTCCAGGCCGATGGACATTCGGAAAAAGCCCAACTACCCACCATTCGTTTTGCGCGGGGCCCGCACCAACTCACCCCTGCTTACTCGCTAAATCTGGCCCTTTATTATGCATTTCCAGCACACAGCTCGCAGGTTCGGTGCCAACCTACGCGTGCCGGGCAGCCTCGGTTGGCGAGGGATGGCCATAACCACAGACCAGATGAGAGCAATTTCGGACTCCGATGCCACTATGGCGCGCGAAGGGAGGCAAGCCGCCACTCGCAAAGGAGGACTGACGAGCTTCGGAGGAAATTGACACTGTAGGGGACACCTTTGCGTTCATCTTGCCGCAAGATGACAGTCCGTGAAGCCCTGGATCAAGCAATGGAGGAGGGAATGAGAAAGGGCAAACGTGTCTTCTTGCTCGGGGAAGACGTTGTTCAGTTCCACGGTGCCTAACAAAGTCTGAAAGGGTCTCCTGAACAAGTTTGGACCACAGCGAGTGGTTGATACGCCGATAACCGAGGCGGGGTTCGCCGGCCTAGCGGTCGGGGCCGCGACGGCTAGACTCGAGCCCGTTTGCGGGTTCATGACTTTCAACTTTGCGATGCAGGTGGGAAAGACCCTTTGGCTCGCTGAATCGCGATGCAGAATCCATGTCTAAATCTTACCAGGTGAAAGGCATCGACCACATCGTCAATTCTGCAGCGAAAACGCGTTACATGTCAGGCGAGTTCCTTTTCTTTTCCAATCGTCTGCGGAGGACCAAACGCTGCTGCGGCAGGAGTAGGAGCGCAACATTCGCAGGAAGTTGTTGCATGGTACGGCCGCATACCGGGATTGAAGGTCGTCAGCCCTTGGAACGCACAGGATGCAAACGAAGCTTTTGAAAGCGGCGCTTCACTGACCCGGTCCTTGTGCTGGGGAATGAACTCATGTACGGAGTACTTTTCGACGTCTCCGATGACGTTGTCAAGGACAACTTTGTTCTACCGATTGGAAAGGCAAAAGTGGAGCATTCGAGGGCTGTCGGACAAAGCTTGAAAGTTGCCCAGGAATTGGAAAGGCACGGCATTGAAGTGGAGGTACCCGATAGTTACCCGACTATGGAACGGCAAACGGGACTGCGTCGAATGCGTATCTTTATTCTTGGCGCACTCTTACCCAAGTCATCAATCTGCGCTCTATTCGTGCCTTGGATATTGATACCATCATAAAACCAGTGACGAAAACATGTCACTTGATCAGCCCGTCAACAGGGTCACTGGAGCTGACGTTCCAACGCCATATGCAAAGAACCTGGAGTATCTCACCTTTCCGCGCCCCGAAGTTATCAGGAACCCCATCTTAAAGACTCTGAACCAGAAATGATCTTCAATCGTACTATCATTGTTTTCCAGCAACATCGTTTCAAGGCTTTTGTGTTGTGGTATCTCCGGATGTCTATTCGTACCCACATACCCGCGGGTCCATCCGCACATAAATCGCCCGGCCAAGCATTTGTTAGGGGCATCCTCGTCTTGACGCTTTGCTTCTTCCCCGTGTATTGTTTATATATGCCACATGTACAGTACTGTGCATTTTACATATATAGTCGAAGGATATCGCCAAGACCTCCTTCAGCCCTCCTGTTTCACCTCCTTCAGCCCTCCTTGAAGCTCCTTCGCGTCGCGTCATAAAAAGAGGCCGCAGGAATGGGCGGCGGCCCCTCACTCAACGGCGTTCCCACGTTCAAGCAAACACCCGCAAATCCTCTCAACTCATATCCTTTCACAAGAAACAGGACCGCTCCCTGTTCGTCGTCGCAGAATGTGGCACACCAAGCTCGGCAAGGCCCACGAGTGGTCAGGCCCTCTCAAGCAACAAAACGGCCATTTCCGCGACCAACACGGCCGCGTCCTTCAATTGCGCGGGGTCAATGCATCAGGAAACTCCAAGCTGCCCACCAGCCCGCCAGGTTCCACTCACCTCAGCGAAGGCTTCTTCGAGCACAGGAACGTATCCTTTATCGGACGCCCGTTCCCTCTCGACGAGGCGGACCAGCACTTTTCACGACTGCGATCTTGGGGCCTAACGTTTGTCCGGCTGTGTGTGACGTGGGAAGCGTTGGAGCATAGCGGGCCGGGCGCGTACGATGAGGAGTTTATAGATTACTTGATTGAGTTGCTGGCTGTTGCGGAGAAGTATGGCATTCATTGCTTTATTGATCCGCACCAGGATACGTGGAGCAGGTTTTCGGGAGGGAGTGGAGCACCTGGGTGGACATTTGAAGTCGTTGGAATGGATGTGACCAAGTTCATGGACACGAATGCAGCGTATGTGCACCAATGTGCCCAGCCAGAGGATTCTGGACACTCTGCATGGCCGACGAACTATCAGAAACTGGCGTCAGCAACCATGTTTACGATATTCTTCGGTGGGAAGATCTTCGCTCCCAAAGCGATTTACAAAGGCGAGCATCCGCAAGACTACCTTCAACGGCATTTCATCGCGAGTTTCCAGCATCTAGCAAAGCGGCTCCGGAACGTGCCGTGCGTCATCGGTTTTGAAGTCATTAACGAGCCCCACCCCGGCTTTATTGGGCTGGAAAGCGTACACGCATTCGATCCGCTCAAGGACCTGCATATCGGACCAGTGCCGTCCGCATTCCAGTCCATGGCGCTCGCATCGGGCATCCCTCAGGAAGTGGATTTCTGGGTGCGGAGCTGGCCGTGGCCCACCAGGCGGGCAGGAAAGCGGCTCTTGAACCAGGGGAAGGCGTCTGCGTGGTTGCCTGGGCGGGAATGTGTATGGAAGCAGCATGGCGTATGGGACATTGGACCTGACGGTGTACCGCGGTGTCTCAACGCAAACTACTTCGCGCGCGTGCCGAGCACAGGCGAACGGGTCAATTTCGACCAGGACTGCTACGTCCCCTTCATCAAGAGATACACGGACGCCATCGTGGCCGCCAACCCATCCCTCTTCGTCTTCTTCGAGCCCGTCCCCAACGAAGCCGCTTTCCCCATATCGAAAGAGAACGACAGCCCACAATTGGTGTACGCGCCGCACTGGTACGATCTCAAAGTCCTCTTCAACAAAGCCTTCAACAGCCTGGTCACCCACGACGTGCGGAAACTGCAGCAGGGGGCATTGAACCTCTTCACAGCAACCTACGTCGGTGTGACCGGCACCAACAAGAACTACATGGGCCAGATCAAGTCCATCACAGACGCAGGGCGGAAACTGTACCCCGAGAAGGCGATCGTGTTTGGGGAATGCGGACTGGCGATGGATATCAACTCGAAACACGCGTTCGATACGGGGGATTACACCCAGCATACCATCTTCCTGAACGCGATGTTGAGCGCTATGGAGGGGAGTTTGGTCAATTTTACATTGTGGAATTACAACCCGCACAATGATAATGTGTACGGGGACCATTGGAATGGGGAAGACTTTTCCATCTTCTCGCGTATCCCCGCCGTGACCGCGAAAGCGTCATCCACAGGCGGGGCTGCCTCATCCGCGATGAGCGCCGAAGAACCAGAACTGATAACCCACGCCGCACCATTCGACATCACCGAACGGCACTACGAAGAAGGCCATCGACTCCACGAACACCACGTTGGCGGACGCGCGCTGGACGCCGTCGTCAGACCGTACGCGGCCAAGATCGCGGGGGAACCGGTCTTCATGCGGTTTGATATCAACACGTTGGAATTCGTGCTTGAATTCACCACCCCTCGGCTGAGTTCCAGCGTGAATCAGACCGCGACGGCAGATACAGTGGACATCACCCGCATCACTGAAATCTTCGTCCCGGGCTTCCACTACACACACCCAAGCGCCACGGTCCACGTCGAAGTCTCCGACGGCGAATGGATGTACGACGCAACGAGGCAGACGTTGTACTACAAACTAGATCCAGCGTACCAGGGTGCTGTCGAAGGCGCTGGAAAGCCGGGAAACAGCGGATTTTGGAACTCGATTTGGGCCCCGTCGACGGAGGCGTCGGTCGGGGAGGATAGGGTGCTGCATAGGATTGTTGTAAGGCCGGTTGAGAAGGATGAGGCGAAGGCGAGCTGGTGGACTGCGTGGTGGACTTAGTGGACTTGAAGGGGATGTGGGGCGGCAGTATGGATCTTAGTCGCGTAGGCGTCATTTAGACATGTAGATGCATTCTTATCACACGTATATAACATTTCATACCCCTGCGATGTCTCCTCATAGAAATACGGCGGATATCGATATCCATCATGGTTTATCGGTCAGCGGCTGATGCGAACGACGATGGAGCTTGGTATCACCAGTGGGGAAAATCACCACAAGTGTTCTGACCGCTCATCCCAAACGCAAGAAAAATAAATCTCCACCACCTGTAGCTATCGCGAGAAGTTGAGACGAAGGATGCGAAAGGCTCATGGCAAATGGAAGCGGGAACTCCGTGATTCCGTGAATACTCAACTTCGCTTTACGCGTCTGCGCAACGCGTAAGACAATTCTTCACTTTCGCCCACGAGGAAACGTGAACCTAGCTCTCCGGACGCTCCCGAATGCAAAGGCAAATGGATGGGACAGAGGACGTGAGTAGTGCCCTATATGGCTCTCGTATGCATCCTGAAGAAATCTGGACGTGTACGGCCTGCGGCAGGGGTTCGTAGATGGGTAGCGTCCGGACCGCTTGATTTCTTAGAGCTTCGCGCAACGAGCATAATGACTCCTTCAGCTGAACATGCGGCATCGTCTAGTTGCCATGCCTGATACCAGGGACCAGCGTGCTTTCTGCAACTTTGGGTATCTTGTGAGACGGTGCGTACGCCAAAAGTCGATTTTTATCAAGAGAAAAAAAATCGCCACAGTATTTTGAAAGATGGAAGCTTTCGTATTGGCAAAAAGGAATGAAACAAATGATGATACATGAAATGAATGAATAATCTTGTTGAGACCGGCATGATGACGGAAGAGTCAACTATCAGCTATGCTATATGGTGGGTCTCATTCGAAGGTGTCACTACTCGAAAAGAAATCGGATGCTACTCTTTCCTTGATGGGGCGAGAACCATCCTGTGTATATTGTACGAGCCGCTCTTTTGTGGGGTATATAAATGTTATGTCTGGGGGACGGAGGGGGCCTACGGTAAGCATCGGAGTGGGTTTAAATGCCCCGAAAGGTGACCCTGGTCCCATGCCCATGCGAAGCCGTTCCCTGGTGTTTCAAAACACCTTTAACGTTCGCAGCCGCCGCCATCGATTCCGCGCTGGCGCTAGTAGGGCTAGTGGAGGAAGAGGAGGAACCTCCACGCGTCTTGCTCACACCACCGCTCCGACTTCGCAGTTCGTATGGCGTGACATCGGTCGGTTTCGCCGCACTCCGGCTGCTTGTCGCGCGACTCTTCAAGCTGGTGCTTGCTCCCGGAGCGCTTTTCAGGATGTTAAGGTTAACGCCCGTGGCTCTGACGACGTGGACGCTGCCGGTAAAGTCGATTCGGACGACTATGTATCCCGTTTCGCCCTTCGCGTGTGAATGGGCACGGCAGGTGGAGGCTGTGGGTGAGCGGCACGGGATATCCGCCTTGCGCTTGTTGCGACGCGGGGGTTGAAGGGTGGGCAAGTCTGGCGTGACGACGGGGATGGCGGCGGGAGTGGGGGTGAGGGCGTCTGCGGAGAAGCTCGTGCGAAGGTGGGAGGAGCGAGCTGGGGCGTGCGGGGCAGCTGCATGCACTTGTGAGGTGCGGTTCAAGAGGGAAGATGCAGCGCGGCGGGTGGAGGGTTGCTTGGAAGCTTTTGTGTTGCGAGCCATTGCTTTGTCAATCCACCTTTTTTTTTGGCGTGTGATGGTGAACCGGATGCCGGTTTTGAAGCTCCGAGTTAACACGAGGTTGCAAATATAACGTGTTGGTGGTCTGCGAGAATCCCTTTTGTCACCGTGTGGTTGCGAGGGAGGAAGAAGATGCTTCGAGGGTGAGGAGTTAACGAGAGCCATTGCACAAGCCAGCAGGGGGCCCAGCCAAAGTCGAAAAAAGCCTCGGTGGTCGCTGTTGCGTCTGTTCGCATATGCATCATCCTCCCGGTCGTGCACAGTAATCAAACGGTGCGCAAAAGCGCAGGCGTCCCAATTTGGGATTTGCTTAAAATTTTAATCTCGGTGATCGACGTTCGACTCGACAGATACGAAGAAGACATTCCCAGCTCAATCTCGGAGCCCCCCTAATATTCGATGATTTATTACGCACACAGTTCGCGCGTCATCATATCCTGGCTGCACTTTCCATTCGTCGCGAGCATTTAAGATTCGTACAACAGCCCAGTTTTGCATTCGTCAGACCAAGTAGCTTTCGCACAGCCTTAGCAAATCATATTCGGCGCCTTGGCCAGCGGAGTTCGTACACACGGCGTTCGTACGAGGCATAATGACCATGGCGGCACTGGCGAGGATGGATATCGATAAGCAGAAGTGTAACGTCAGAGGAAACGTAGACGATAATGGGCCTTTCTGAGAGGGCTGAGAACAGTGTATTGAAGTGAAGAAAAAAGTACGACCGACAGCTTTATATATGGCTGCCAGTGGGGCTTGCGTGGCTTCTGTGAGGCTTGGCGCCTTATGTAATGTATGACCGAGAGCTTGGGTGGCCAGCCCGGGTCTCGGATCGTGTAGAAGTAAAGAAGTGTAATATGAAATACAAGTGAATATGAGATATCCCCGACAAGAAGGATGTGGAGACGGTCACTGTCGGCCTTGAGATGAAAGTCGAGACGTCCCTCGAGTGTGTCATCCGGGGGCTCTGCATCGGGATGCCAGGCCCCTAGCAGCGGCTCTCGAAAGCACAGCGCAGCGCGGCGCACCTTGGGAACGAGTTTCATAGCGTCACGAAGACGTTCGCGTAAGGCGGGGCTCCACTGAAGAAGGTCCGCTAGGGTTAAGCCGCGGACTTCCGTTTCATTCAAGAAGTTGACGATGTCGAAGTTCTTCTTGTCGATCAACGCCCGAATGGGTGCTGGGATGCGCGGGTCATCACCACCCAACGGAGAATCGGCACGCGGAGGGGGTGGTGAGGGGGACTTTCGGGACGGGACCGTTGATGACGACGGCATCTTAGAGGCCTGACCGGGCTTCTCGCGGGGATCGATCTCCATCGGGGTACTCATGGGCGTGTTGAATCATACCGACTTTGATGGTGGGACAACGCAAGGGAGCTCCACAACCACCCGGTTGGCGAGGAGGTAACCGTGCCGGCGGTGGCGGAAGGCCAGGAGGACGAGGAGCAGAGGGGCGCATCTTTAACGGAGGCCGTGGAGGGAACGGTAGTGGATGCACGAGGTGTTCAATCGTTTAGACGCTGGTTCCGGGATCTCGTCGGCTTTTCGCTTTTCGGCCATGAACACCGCCAACGTGATGGGGAGGGGATCATCCGGAGGATCGTATGGCGGGAGTTCGGAGTCCCCTACTCCGAGCTCCCATTGGGAAAATCCGACTCCTCAGGATCCGCGTAATAATGGCCCACATCGTGGAGAACCATTGAATAGTAGTCGGTATGATCTTCGTCGTACTCATGAACGTCGTCAGGATAAAAGGCAGCAGCTAACCGGTATCCACGCCAGGTATCCAATTTCGTGGTTGATTGGCAATCCCGGAAGATATGGCCGGATTGTCCGCATCGAAAGCAAGCGGGGTCGCGGCGTTGAGGGCGCGCGCTGGGAAGGCCCGGAGGATACTGGTTGCTATTACCGGCGGTCTTGATCGAAAGGTCACGCATGCGGGCAGTCAAGTCATCCGGACCAGACGCTGCCGGAGCCGCCGAAGTCGTCGGCATCACTATCGAGTCGATCACTGGGCGATCCATACGCCCTACACCCATGCGCCAACTCAAGGTCGGCACTCGCACCTTCCAGGTTGCCGAAGATTTACCACCTGCGGTCGTTGCCGAGTTAAAACAACTTCTTCAAGAGTATCACGACGAGTCCTGCAATAAAGACGAAGTGCCCCGCACCTTCAAGAATGTGCCCGAAATGAATCCGGTCTTGAAGCCCGACCCTTCCGGTCAACGCAAACTCCCTTTCCTTAAGACGCGCGCGCACAGCCCCAAGGATACCAAGGTGTCAAACGAATGGTGCGATCGGATGCTCCGGTGGGACAAGATCGAGCCGGTTACCGATCCACCAGTGGTCGCTGCGCTGCCCATCGTCGTCTAACCATCGTCGGCTGCCCATCGAGTCGTGGAGAGGTGGTGGTTTCCATGACAGCTTGAACGACGTTATACTTGTAAAATTTACAATATGCTATAGTCCTCGTTCCGACTTAAACATTGCTGACCACTGCTCGCCATAAAACATGGGTGAGATACAGAGGGGATGCAAGCGGCCTAGATGTATGGCCGTCCCTAAAATGAATGTCCAACAGCGAGAACGGCCGATCTGGTCCACAGAACTATTTGGTCAAGCCCGGGCAGCTTGGCGAACAGCTGTTCCGGCGTGTAATAGTCCACATATTGTTTCCGCGAAAAATGACGAAAACGGCGTAGGTCGTCGAGCGCAGTCCAAGTGTCGTTTGGCATGGGAGGAATCGACAACACGTCGCCGCTGTTGACATATGCGACACCACCGTCTCTGAAGGCATTCACGATAGCTTTGTGCGATTCTCCCCCGTTAGACCGCGGAAGATTCTTATACTTAAACAAAAAGCGTTCCGCATAGTTCTCAAACTGCTGGTAGAACATTTCGAGACACTTGGCCAGGCCGGGTGAATCAGCGGTGGGGCGAAAAGAGTCTCCGTCCACGAACGATGGAGCTGGTCGCGTAGCTCACCCATGCGTCGTGCAGCGCGTAGCATGAGCTCCTGGTGGTTTTTGAAATCTGGGTCGTCCGATAGTCCTCCATGCGGTTCGATGTACCGACCGTTCCGGCGGATGGCGAGCATGTCGTCGTTAAACGAGCCTGCCAAGTCAATAACTTCAACGGGCTTCCCAACCTGATCACTCAAACTCTCTGCCCAATCCACTAATGCACTGGGATCTTGAGCGAAGCGACATTCTATGGAAATGTCGATATCCCGAGCAACGTTCGGGTCTTTCAAACAGGAACCGAAAAGCAAAACGCGCCATACGCCCGGCCTGGCAATCAGAAATGATCGGATCGTTTTCAGAATATCCGAGAAGGGAGGAACCGTGGTGTCGGTATCTTTATCGCTCTCTGCGTCGCTGGTCGGTGGCGTGTGATTGGAGAGAACGAGCTGCGCATCGGCGTCAGCGCCGAACTCAACGGTGTCGATGTCTAAGAGCTCTCGCCAATACCGGACACCTTCGTGCATTTGGCAGCGAAACACTTGCCGGGGGAGGCGCACGCTGGGGTCGGCTTGCTTCCCAACTTCAAACTCTGGGACACCGAGGTTGGGAAGAGGCGGGTCCTTGGCCGGGGCAACGAATGCAGCAAAGTTTCCAACGACGTCTCTTTCGAACTCTCAAAGTTGGCGGGACGGCGAAAACAAACTTTGGACCAATGGGCCACTGCTGCACGTGCAGAGTCGTTACTGACATGAGCGGTTCTTTTGCAAAGTGGGTTACTGATGCTGTTCTAGAGAATGTCACGGCAGCCTTTACAACGAAGGCCAAGACGGCCGACGAGGAGAAGGCTCCGAAACAATGTAACGCGAATTGGCTAGCTCTCACGTGATCTGGAGACAACGGTAATCGACAGCAGCATATATATTAGACAGTTTATACAGCCCGCGACGACAACGAGTTCGCCGTTAAAACGAGTAGCCCGGGAATCTGGTACTCGTTCTCGTCGTAACGTTTATACAACCCGTCTCAGCTTGCAACGAGTAGTACGTAGCATAACCACTCACCTCTATCATCGCAGGCCATCTCGCTCGATCTGCCAGTGTGTCAGTGGATGGCTCTGATGGGAACTCTCGAAATCCTCACACAAACCAACCCCTCCTCTAAAATAATTGCGAATGAAACTGACTAAAAGCTACCCTCGTCAAAAATTGACGGGCATGGCTATCTACGCCGTCCGGAGGGTGATCCGAGCCCAGCCTGATATCCAAAACTCCCTCTTGTGAAACAGCCATCCTACTGAAAGGCCACCTAAAAGAATTTCCAATGTAAAGGCTGAGTATCGTCGAAACCCACCTACACGCCTACACATGTCTCGTTGCGGTGGATATGGATCAGTGTTTTTCATAGGGAATAGCAAAGCATGTCGACACTGCAGAGCGCGAGAACGAGACCGCCCGCTCGTTGCCCCACTTCTGGAACGTCCAACCTGCGAGCGACGCCCCATCCGCACACGTTTTGGCGAAATAAACTGCCCCGCTTTACGCGGATCATCATCTTTGACAAAGGCTGGTCCCAGCGGCGCCACCAGCCCTCGACCCGATCCTTGTCCTGCCCGTGACCGCCCCATAGTGACACCCTGCGTCTTCTCTTAGGTAAACCCCTGAGTTGCTCCAGACATATTCAGACTGATACCATTCCAAGTCACGCTCGTCAAGCCTCTCAGTAGGCTCAAAATTATACTCCGCCCCCTGAGTAAGCGCCCACCACATTCGCTGAGCTCCGTGGGCTTTGCTTCGTCCGCTGGCGCACCCTCAGATGCAGCCACCGCCATTCCCAAATCAAACAGCAGCGTACCAAACGTTTCCGCGTCGTCACGTTGCCATGCGAACGTGTTGGTCCGCGTGGCAGGATCAAGCGGTTGCACTCTGATCGGCACCGCGGCATGTTGACCCCGCGCATCCGTCCGTTGCCGCGCCGCTCGTACATGTGGTGCGTGTACAGTACATTGCCATTGCAAAGAAACAGTCGTCGTTGAAGATGGAAAAGCGCCCCACACCGCCCGCCTGTCAAACGCTTTTGGACACGGCACTGCCTGCCCTCAAATAAGCCACCCAATTGCCACCAACCAGCACGTGGTGCTGAAAACCGCCCCAAGCAAGCAACCCAAGCCACTAACCAACCGTCAGAGCGCCAATGGTGACAAAAGTGGTAAGCGGTGTACAGTGCTGTTCATAAAGCAAGACCGCATTTGACAGTGCCGTCAGAGAAGTGCTCGACCGCGTCGCCGGCCGGACGCTCCGGACAACCCGAGCGAGATCTCGAGAGCAGCTAGAGGCCATTGCACAGCAGACATTTCAGGATATTGAGCCAGATGTGCTAGAAAAACTTGTGTCGAGCATGCCCCGGCGTATAGCGGCAGTCATAGCAGCTAGAGGAGGATTCACTAGATACTAGGCGTAGATCTATATGGAGAGGCGCGTCCAGGGGGCCGGTGAATCAAATTGACAGCGGTCTTGCTTTATGAACAGCACTGTACAGTCACCTCGCAAAACGCTGTGCCCCCCCGTCCTGTCGCATGGCCGCGTCCCAACGGGAATGCCCATTCTGCGTTGAACCGTCGGGCGTCAACCGCGCTCAACTGCCGTGCTTGCCAAACCTTTCCGTGCCACAACGAGGTCGACACCCACTCCTACAAAAAGCGAAAATCAGTATTCGGCAGGCTTACCTTGATATCCCGCGATGTCATCAAGTATTGTTTTGATCGAGGTTATTCACCCAATGCGTCTTGTGCGCAACAAGTCCCGTCGTTGGGACCGGCGAATATCCTCATATTCTCGTTACTCGCTCACTACCTCCAATTATGTGGATGAGTAGGCGAGACCTAAAAACGATAAGCAAGAAAAGAGAAGAAAGTCAATTTGATAGGCGCACATACCTCCGTAAAAGTGTCGCGAGGGGTCTGAGAACAGAAAGAAGAGAATCAACGGTTAGAGGGAAAAGGGGCGCATATAATGGTTATTGACGTGCCTGGGAAGGGAATGTTACCCATTGTTTGAATCTTGCCACCGACCTGAGGCAGTGAGGGAAGCTCAAACATTGCTCATTCTTGGAGAATCCGAGAACGCGAGCAATTGATCAGAAGAAGAAACGAAAGATGAAAGGGCGCGAGGGCTACACTGGACCTACACAGGAGAACGTACCTGTTGTCCGGCCTTTGCGACTGATTGGCTGATGGGAAGAAGAAAGTTGCCCCGGCAGGCGCCGATATGAAGGAAGAAGCTTACCTACTGTCTCAGCCTTGTGGCCGGATTATAAGAGAGAAGGAAAGTGTAATACTGCGTAAAGGTACAACATACAGAAGTAAAGTCGCATATCTTGCGATGCACGCAGGTCCGTGTGCCTGCCCAAAGCGGAGTTACATTTGCAAAATTGCTTACGATCTCACGCGTGGGAACAGCAACGCGCGAGCCTAGGATGATTACGTAGCCCCGCTGTCAAAATGAATCGAGACTCGGATTGAATTCGGACAAGCCTGCGCTTTGAACTTCCCAAACACCATCCGTCGGCTCCAATACAGACCAGCTCCATTTCAACTGTGAGGAGTATTTTACGATCGAGACCGCGTACGGAAGCCAGCATCAAGGGCATATCGTTACCCGGTCCAACTATTCCGTCAAGCCTTTGTCAAGATGTTGGCCAGCAACCAGGCCGAGTGTGCTTTAGCACCCGCTCAGAAAGTGGAACTTTTAAGAAACCTGGAGGTAGAACGTATGTAGCATGTAGAGCTATGGCTGTTGTGTTTGTTTTGCGGTCCATGTATGCTGAGTCACCTGTGTGCCCCCCAGTGGACCTACGACGCCGACAATTCGAAGAAGAAACACGCCGATTGGAAGAGGATCTCATCCTTCGCTGCGAGGAAGCTTGGGTCAGCTTACCCATGGAGCTGCGCCAGCTCGCTGTGGGCGATTTCGTCACTCAGTATGCCGGGGATGTGCAAATATGGAAGAAGAAACTCTTTGCGTCGAAAATGAAGGACTTTAGGGCTGGGAAGGACAGACTAGAGTCGGATTATGAATCGGATAGCAATGCCTCAGTATCTCAGGTACGTCTTTGCCTTCTGGAGGAGAGAGGTAACACCATTACCGACATCGACTGCCAAAACAGAGCGAAGCGATGACGTTCAGCCAGGACCTTCCCCAGACACCCGCCACATCACGAGCACAACAATCCACAAACACCGACACCCGAGACTCCCTCGCCTCCGTATCCACAGTCAGCTCGCGTCGCATGACACTCCGCTCCTACACCCGGAAAGATGCAACCGACACAGCACCGCCGACTCCACGAGTTGCTGTTCCAATCCGCAATGGAACTATGGTGTGTGATTTTGATCCGACGCAGTTTGAGTCGGTGGAGGATATGCGGGAAGAGTTGGGAGAAGAGTGTGATGAGGCATTGGAGAGTATCAAGGCGATGCATAATCAGCTGAGTAGGCTTCTTGGGTTTTGAGTGAGCATACCTCGCCAGTGAATTGGCGAGTACAGCTGGGACAAGGCCTTGGGTATTCGACAAGGATGTGCAACCTGTGAGGGGAACACCGCTCGCCCAACATGTCCTTTCTGGGAACATGGGTCATGATTCGGCGTAACTCAGTGTCTGAATCATTGCGGATAGATTAGGTTATTCTTGTTTTGCTTAAAAACTAATGTGTATATACAAGAGAACGGGGTTGAAACTGGATTCCTTTTCCGGCGTTCCTACGAATCATCTTCGTCGTCCGAATCGCTGTAAGCCCCGCCAAGTATTGCAAGTGCTGACGGAGCCTGAGGGCCAGCTGCCTGGCTCGGTTTTGCAGGTTCAGCCTTCTTCAGTACTACACCTATCGACGGCGCCGGCTTCTCCTTGACCACAATCCCAAATTCAGACGCCGCAGTCTTTTTTTTCTGGCCTGCATGAATGAAATCGTCCTGACCCTCGTTCAGCAGTGCCTGCCTTTTTGCCGCCCGTTCCAGCTCCGCCTCCTCTTCGTCCTCGTCCAAGATCCGTTTGACGCTCTGCCCATCAGCGCTATGGAATATGCTCTGCGCCAACCTATCGTCCTCCTCCTCCTGCAGCCTCTTTGCCAGTTCCCTTTCCTCTATTCCCGTCAAAATGATATTCTGCAACACCCCATCGCTATCCACCCTCTCGTTCTTTGCATTCCGCATCCGAATTTCATCCAAAGCGTCTAGGATATCCATCTCTCGCTTCGAGTCGAGCGTCCGGTTCTCAAGCGCAGCCATCGGGTTGTTCTCCTCCTGCTGAGCCCGCTCGGCTTTCTCCGCCTCCGTAGCGTCCCCATCGTCACGCCATGGCTCAAAGTTTCGCTGGGCACCATGTTCAGCGACGTAATCGGCGTTCTTTGGGTCCGTTTTGAACGTAATCTCGCCGGAGCACCGTGGACAGCGGATGTAGAAACGGAAGACCTGAATTCCGAGATAGTTCTCCCCGTCCACCCGTTCCTTCCTAGCGTTGAACTTTTTTCCTTTGTAGACGTATTCGCCGCAGATGGTGCATTGCATGGAGAAGGGCGTCATGAGACGGACTTTGTGCTGCTGGTCTTTGGGAAGCTTTCGGCGGGGAATTTTGCTGGGATCGAAGTCCGGCGGGAAGTACTTGTTGAGGACTTTGCGTTCTGACATGTTTGTGTTGAGTTCTTTGCAAAATTATGAATGAGTGCAGCGGTTCTGGGTCGGCCAGCGACGGAAGAGGAGGGGTTGCGGCTGGACTTTTTATATCGGTTATGTGTTGGGAACAAGAGTTTGCGGACAACAGGCTGTCTGCCGTTCGACGTCGAAAACCGGGGAAGTCGTCGGCGGGGAAGCAGGGGAAGTTGTCAGGGAAGTTGTCGCGACAAAAGCGACCAACTTGGAGCGTCACGTCTCTGGTCGGTCACGTCTGGGGAATTGTGCCAACCCTGGACTGGAGCATCCCTGGGAGCATCCGCAGTCATCCTCCGGCTGGCTTAACGCTGCACATGTTTGCAAAGGCCGTATCGTCAGGCGACATTAGCGCTGTGAGGGCTATCCTCTCCTCCACAGGTGAAATTGGACTGGTCGACGTTGCCGTTAACGACAAAGGCGATAGACCCCTGCATTTCGCCGCTCGTGCTCAACGCCTGGACCTTATAAAGTGCCTGATAGACGAAGGTAGCGCGAACCCGAACTTGGCTAATGCCTTCGGTAATGGTCGCCTAGGGAACGGACGGTGGTGCACTGTACAGCTGCTGATGTGAAACACTACTGCTAGGCAGAAGACCGCTACATGAAGCAATAGACAGTGAGGAATGCGTGGAGTTTCTCTTGCAAAGCGGGGCCGATCCGAACGGGTTCAAAGTAAGGAAGTCAGATTTCTTTGTCAAAAGTTTGTTTGAATCCGCAAATGCAAATGCATATACACATAACGCACAACGAAGCACGGCACCTGGACACCCGCCATGATCGCTTCTGGGAAAAACCTTCTCCCAACGCTTAGCCTTCTTGTTCGTCACGGAGCGCTCCTTACACCGGCGAACAAGGACGGGTGGACAGCTCTTCATATCGCCGCTCATCACGCGGCTACGGAATGTTTGGAATACCTTCTCACCTGTGCCCCGGAACTCTCGATCGCAAAGTCCAAATGCGATAGAACTCCACTGCATATGGCAGCAAGTACCGGGTTTGCTGCTGGGTTGGAAATGCTGCTAAGGAACGCCAAGACCTTTTACGAGGACACCAATGTCTGTGATCTGAAAGATGCGGAAGGCGCGACGGTGTTTCACGCGGCGGCCGTTGGGGGCTCCTTGGAGTGCATCGACATGTGCGTGCAGAATGGATGTGATGTGCATGCGACGTCGAAAGGCGGGTTGGGGGCCGCGCATTATGCGGCGATGGTGGGACGGGTGGAAGTTCTGCGGCATTTGTGTGGCAGTCGCATGGATGCAACCGGCGGCAGCGCCGAGACGGTGAGGAAGTTGGTGGAACACGACACGATGGAAGGATTCACGCCAGCGCACTATGCTGCTCGTGAGGGACACACCGGTGTGATTCGTCAAATGTTCGACCCTGTCCCTGAAGGATTTGGTCTGAACCCGACAATTCAAGACTTCAGAGGCCGAACACCTCTGGACATAGGTACGTATGGGTGTTGCCTGCCGTAGCCACGTCTGCCCGCGCGGAAGCAGCGCATTGACCACCGATCACCACTTCAGCACGGGCGTGGAAGAGAGAAGATGTCATTCGCTATCTCGAGCCCCTTTGTTGAGGGTGGTCGGTGCATCGGCTATGGTATCTATGCATGGTTCTCCTGGCTGGTCAGGACTTAAATGAATGGTGTTTGCATGATGCTGTATATGTAGCTGCGTGCGCTTCTCACCGGTGTGCTGTATCTCCAAGTTTTCGTCTTAATGCAGAAAACGCGTGTGGGGGTTCGCTGAGTGATGTCACTTTTGTTGTCTCCAAGGCTTCATCTCACAACAATCTCTTGGGTCACCGTAAAGCATACATACATAGTGCTACGTCCCTTGTCCTCGGAAAGCTGCCTACCATGCCCCTTCTAGCTTGCGGGTGAGTGCTCAGAACTCATCATTCACAGGTACGTGCCAACCAGTCTTACGTCGAATATTTCGCCGAAACTCTTCGCCACAGCTCCAACGCCCACGGCCAACTCGGCATCAATTCCACAACGGACGTGCACACGCCGACACAATGCGAGATCGCCCTGCCAGCGTTCACACACCCAATATCCATCTCCGGCGGCGCTAACCATACCATCATCATCACCTCATCAAGGGAGCTCTTCGCCGCTGGACACAATGAAAGCGGGCAACTAGGTCTGGATGGCGGTGACCGCCACGTGTTTACGCCCATCCCTTGGTCGCGCGACGAGCGGGGCGTACCGGTGCTGGCGGCTTGCGGATGGGACCACACGGTTGTGTTGAACGCGGAAGGGAGGGTGTGGGGGTTTGGAAACAATGTGTATGGCCAGCTGGGGTTAGGGCCTGATGTCGCTAAGACGCACGAGGCGGTGGAGATCCCGCTTCCAGAGGGCAGCGGCGAGATTGTGAGGATTGCGTGCGGGATGCGATTTACGGTTTTTCTGGATGAAGCTGGCAAAGTGTACGCGTGCGGTGCCAACAAAGCCGGAGAGTTGCTGCCATTGCGGGCTGAGGCGGAGTTGGATGTGGTCTTCAATGTCCGGCCGCTGGTGCTCCCGCCATGTCGGGACGTGGCTTGCGGGCAGTACCATGTGGTTTTCGCGGAGGAGGACCGTGGTATTCTGAGCCAGGGGAGGAATCGGCATGGGCAGCTGGGCCCGGCAGACGGGCTGCTGTCGGGTGACTCCGCTGAGGAGGGTAGCACATCCCGACGGCGAAGTAGTCGGTTCTGCCGGTTCGACGAGGATCGTGCGAAAGATTGTTCGGAGCTGTTCTCCGGATGGAATTTCTCGGGATATGTTTCTCAAAGCAAGCGGTTGATCCTATGGGGCCGCAATAATTTCGGTCAACTCGGTATAGGGACAATCGACGACAACCAGCCTCCGACACAGTCACCCATAGAAGATGTGATGCAGATTGCGTGTGGTGCGGAGCATACCGTGGCCTTGACCGCGAACGGGCAATGCTTCATCTGGGGCTGGAATGAACATGGCAACTGCGGGTTGGGACATACGACTGACGTGCATACGCCGACGGAAATACCATACAGTGGAGGGAATGTGAGGATCGTTGGCTGTGGCTACGGCCATACGCTTCTGTACACCGACGGGTAGGAAGCAGAACATCAATCAATGACACCCCGATCGAGAAAGGGAGAATCCGAAGGTGCTGGGGTAATAGTTCTTGGCGGACCGGTGGAAGTGACAATACAGAGTAGCGTTAGACAGAAGGGATAAGTAGAAACACGAAGTTGCATCCATAGCACACTGCGAACGATGTACATCAAGAAGGTTGCGGCTGATAGCCGATATGTATAACTTGGATAATCTGGACAAAGGCTAAGAGCTCCACAAACACGCTCACTGCGTAGCACTCAATAAATCGCCCACAACCGCCAGCGATTCCCCCTGATTCCCCTCCAAAACCTTCTTTATCTCATCCATCCACCGCTTCACCACCGAGTGCCCTCTCAGATCCTCACCCAGCAGGACCGTTTCCTCCTCCTCGATGGACAAGTTATGCTGGTCATCGGCCCTCCACGCCGCCATCCACGACTCGCGCATGAGGTTGAGGTTCAGCACGCGCTTCCGTTCTACCGCGTCGTTGTTGATGGATCCGAACCGGGAGTACAGGAGCCGGACCGCCTCCGACGCGGTGCCGACGTCCGCTGGTGGGTCGGGTAAAACGATCCCACCGGCGGGCGGGTAGTCTATGCTGAAGCGTTTGAGGCGTTTACAGCCGATGCATAGATGCAAAAACGGCACGATGTCTTCTGAGCGGAGGATCTTGGGGCAGAACGATACATCTAGTTCTTCCAGGTTTTTCGCATGCCGTGCGAGACTTGACAGCCCTGATGTGGTAGGATGTGCGCAGCGGGAGAGGTCAAGGTACTCCAGTGATGGACATCGGAGGGCGAGTTCCTGCACGCATGTGTCATCTATCTTCGTTCGTCCGGCGTCGAGATATGTGAGCCGAGGACAACTGCGAGCGGCGGCGGTGATGAAATCGTTGGCAAGGCGGTTGTTGCTCGAGATGATCAGCTTTGTGAGTTTTTTGAAGGCGACGCGTCGGATGTCTTTCCCCATTGGCGTTGGTGGCCATACCAGGATGCTGAGGGATCGGAGCTCACGGCCTTCCTCGCTCACAATTTGAAGCATTTGGTGTGCGCGCTCAGGCGCCAGTGGAACTCCGCGCAGTCGCAGTCGTCTCAATCGTTTTGTGCGCTGCATCAATACTCGCAGGTCGTCGCAGAAGTTCCGTAGAATCTCCATGTCATTCGTCTGTGACCCTTCTTCCATTGGCAGATCCAGCCATAGATCCATCAACTGGTTGTTGTGTTCGGCGATTATTCCCAACAGCTGGTCGTGAAGTGATGGTATATAGAGTGCCAGACTTTGCAACTTCGGTGCGCGCTGAGAATAGGACGTGAGCAGAACAGTCATATGCTAAATGCATCGCGAGAAAAAATGCCAACCTTCAAAAGGTACTTCAATCCGGCCGCCGTGCATCCCATACATTTGGTGAGATGCAAATCCGTGACGACTTCTCCAAACCGTTCGGCCAGGGCTGCGCATTGTGAGTCGAGTATGGCTACACCAGCCAATTTGAGCCATAGGGACACCGCTGGCGGTGTTATCCTTATCAGCCTCTCTAGAAAGACGCTTACAGTTGCCTGTAATGGAATCGTCGCCTCCTCCACTCGTAGAGTGAGCCCTAGATCCCGAATATTTGGGAAGTATTTGATGATCCCAGGAACAAGCTGATACGAGACAATAGCGTGAGCATGCATTCGATATCAAATCTAGGGTTAACGGTTGACAATACATACCTCAACTATCCTGGAAAACTCCTCCAAATGCCTCCTTGGCACAAATTCGTTATTCTTGAGATGTAACTGAATTGCTACCGCCCGCGGAAATGAAGCATAGTCGTGACTGGTTTTCGGGCTCGACAACGTTCTCCACAATCGATCCAGAGAGCGCACGATAAGCGGCAGTGGAAAATTGCTAGAAAGGAACACCTCTGCTTGTGAGCCGTGACCACCTGATATTCGGACATAGCGGAACGACCCACACCTTCTCGGAGCGATCCTCTCCCACAGGACGGGTAGAGCACAGCTCGCCCACTCCTTGTTCACCAAAGCGTTGTATAAGAACTGACGTCGTGAGTTTGCGTATGCGAAACGCAAAATGTGCGTAAGGATTTCAGGGGGTAGGCGCAGTGAGCGGTGGCGCTGATTGCTGGCTAGGTACTGCTGTATGGGCACCGGACTGACGTGCCGGTCTTCTGCGGCGGGAAACTGCATTGCGTCGGCCTCTGGGTCCTCGCCGTCAGCTGCTACGGCGTCCCATAAGGACTCTGCTGGCGGGGTAGACGCCATTGTTGTGACGTTGTCCGTCTCCATTGCGTCGGGCTCCGTTGGGTCCGGTGAGCTCATCGAAAGAACGGCTAACAAGCGGTGTAGCGAAGGCGAGAGGGGGGCGAGAGAGCGACAGACGGATATGTAGACGACGGGCTGATGTTTGGCAGTAGGTGCAGCAGTACTGTACTGTAGGTGAGCAAGTAGGGCGAAGGAGAGCTGTTTGAGAGCGAGTTTGTGCATGTCCAGATCCAGCTGGTGGCGCCCCAGACATTTGACGGGCGTCCGAACCGTGCTGACAGGCAAACACCTGTCTCGCGGCCCAACAACCCTCTCTTTCCGTGCAAGCTTCACCAACAGGGACATACTTGTCCTTCGGCCCTAAAAATAAACGAGCGTAGTCCTAGTCGCGGTGTAGTGCAGTCGCAATGCGAAGTCGGGGCTTCCTACGCGTGTTGGCGTATGCGGTGGGATCGTTGGCCATCTTGGCCGTGGCCCTCGACTCCTTCTTCCGGAGAGGCAGGGACGTCGGCGGATGCGCCATGACCTATATGTGGCCGGACTATGTGCACATGTCCTCGTTTCGGCCAAGTCGGAAGGGGCTGGATAGGTACGCTTTGTATCTCTATAAGGAACGGGACGGTCGTCACCCAGGAGACCAGGTTCGGACGATATGGTGCTATGATGGGGGCAGGTGGGACCGGGATATACTCAAACTATCGCCGGGCGATAGCCATTAGGTATTCCGGTTCTTTTCATACCTGGAAATGCTGGCAGCTACAAGCAAGCCCGGTCTTTAGGCTCCGTGCTTGCCAGCCAGTACTTTCAACGATTGGAGAAGACGCCAGCAGCCGGGCACTCGCTCGTTCCTCGCTTTGATTTTTTCGCCGGTAAAGAGAAGGGTGCCCAGCCTTCAGCAGCCCATGAATCCACCGTAACGACAACATTGACGTCTAGTTGATAACCAGGAGGAATTGGCAGCCTTCAAGCAATCGATACTGTCAGATCAAGCAGAATATGTCAACGAGGCTCTAGCCTTCATCCTCTCTCTATACCCCACTCTCTCTCAAACTCCGTTACCACATCCAACCTCTGTGATCATCGTCGCCCACTCGATGGGTGGTATGGTCGCGAGACTCCTGCCAACACTGGAGAACTACAACGGTGGTGCCGTTCGAGCCATCGTAACGTTAGCGACTCCGCATCTCGCTCCTCCAGCACCACTGGAATGGCGAATGGCCTCGATGTATGGTAGGCTTCAGAGCACTTGGTTCGAAGGCACCTCCTCGTCCGATGGAGCTTTACGCAACATCAGTATAATCTCGATCGCCGGCGGGACTCACGACACCATGATATCCTCAGCCACAACCGAGATTTCGCCCTTCATCTCTCCGAAGAATGGATTTGCAGTCTACTCGATGTCGGTTCCTTACGTATGGACGCCCGCTGATCATAAAGCCATCTTGTGGTGCAACCAGCTTACTCGGGCAGTTGGCCAATCTCTCTACGACATCGCAAGGATTGATGAGGCTTCCAAAGTCGCTGCACTTGAGGAGAGGATGCGGATTTTGCGGAATACGTTTCTGAGCGGCATGGATGGCGGGTTCAGTGAAGCGCCAGATTCTTGGAATGGTGGGTCTGTGCAATAAGATGCACTTCTGAGTCGCAATGCTGATCCTTGCTCACAGCGAACGCGATTCCACCAAACGTTCCACGGACTCCGTTCAAGTCGCGATTGTTCCTGAATTCAGGCGCGAAACTCGACTCCCCACGCATATTCGATTTTGGGCAGGTCGGAGATGGCGGTTTCGTTCTGCTCACGGATAAGCCTGCACTTGGCAAGGAAATCATGGTGTACGTCTGCCGTTCCGCTGAGGCCGGTTATCAATGCCGTTCTTTGGCGTTTAGCGCGGAGAGAGCAGTGCCTTCTTCTGAAGGAAGTCGGACTCTGTACCTCACACGCGTGCGCCGTAGTGCCGTGCAGACAGAAGAATATTTGCTGTTGTCCGTAAGCGAATGGGCGCAAGGAGATATCTTATTTGCGGAAATGCCCGACATAGGTCCCATCGAAGATCGCTCGTCGGGTAAGTAAATGCATCGAGACTTTCCCACTTGCGCTCGTCGGCTGATATTGGTTATACATAGGCATGTTCGGTAAGATCCATCTCTCTGTTCCCGTTCGAAGGCTATTGACGGAAGTAAGGGTTCCCGCAATCTCAAAACCGCTCGTGAAGTATCAAATGCGATGGGCGATAGACTGCAAGCCCGACATCTCACAGCATTTCGGGCCAGTCATACATCAGTCAATGGACGGTGATTCATCGGAAGAGCGATTTCTGGGCAAAGCGGAAGGATCCCTACTGGCAGCTTATAGTCATCCTGGTGCAGTCTCTGTGAACGCCGGAGCACTGGTCTTGCGAATTTTCACTGACGGGCAATGCGACAATTTGCGGATCGATATCACACCGGATTGGCAATCGAGCGTGGGCGTGCTGATTGGACGTTATGCGATGACGTTGGTTGCATATTCCCTTGTCGTAGTCATACAGATGAGGCAACATCTGACCGGGACCGGCGGTGAGTAGTGGTGGTGCATCCTTTGTCCAGCACTTTCAGACCCAAGGCTAAACGGTACCGACAGGCATGTTCACACTCCATAAACACCTACTCATGGACGGCACCCTTTTCCGGACCTCTCTCTTCCTCGTCGGTGCCGGAGCGTCGCAGGCATTTGCCGCAAACTGGCTGCTTCCTGAAGCGTGGTCAAGTCAAGTGCGGCAGATGTTCTTGGCCGCCCCAAGCCTGTACTCGGCGGCGGTTTCCGTGGGGATATACCAGATGGCATTCGGGCTTGTGACAACACTCAGTGCCGTTCTTTACCTACTAAACTTCCTGGTTGGTCTTTTGATGCGGAAGCTGCCGCACGGATCGGCAGACGGCTGGAGGAGAGGATCCCAACCGTTTTGGAACGGCGGGTACGGTTTTCCCAGGCTATTCCAGTTCCCGCTTTGCTGCGAAACATAACACCAACCCTGAATTCGATGTAGTTTGAAGCTCCTTTGGGTCTCACTCGCCGTGTGCTGCGCGGTATTGCCATCTCACGCCGGTTACCTGCTGCTCTTATTCCTGAGTCTGGTCGTGTGGTCCCAAACCGAACCCGTAAGAGATATTCTCGCGTCGACCTGAAAGAAGGACCACGTTGGAAAGGCACTGAACTCCCTCTCATCCAACATCAGACACACAGCAACCTCGGCCACTGGACAACATTGTTATTAGCGATTCTGCAGCTGTACACCGTTCCAAGCCTTGTCATCGACATTAAATCGATCTTGAGTGGGAGCTATATCTGGACGTGGGATTTCATGGACAGGTTACAAGCGCTGGCCCCGTGGCTTTATCTTGGAATAGACCGGTACGCATCCATTTGGCTTTGCTTGTCGAATCTCTGTCAACCTGCTCATTGTCCTGCACATCCTTTCATATTCAAAGACAAAGATATCGACAGATTGTACCCACACCATGGCTGGTAAAGTTGATTGCAGCGGTTGGTCTTTGCTACGGAACGACCGAGACGTATCTGCTCTTCCACGCATCATACCTCCTATTTGCGTGGCTCTGTTTTCAGGAAGGTACCAATCTGTTGACTAGCCATAGTGCGAAGTCAAAGTGAGATCAAGGCGCTACTGTAGCCTGTAGCCGAAGATTTCAGTATACACATAGTTGATTTTAAGATAAAGATTCTCACGATATGCCACTACCAACTCGTTGCCCGCTGTAGCCATCACTGAGTGACAAGCTCCCAGCGCTTCCTCCCCGACTTGATGCGCTTCACAGACATCCCCACGCCTCCAACAACCTCTATAGACCTGTTCCACTCGCAAAACCAAGCTACCAAGTCCCTAACGAATAACCGCTCAAGCCTAAAATACCAAGGAGAACCAACGCCAAAGTAAGCTAGTGTCCTTTAGGCGGTATATGCAATGATAGCGGTAAAACCGTGAAGGTGCATATGTACGTATCAGTGTAACTATGACTATATTGCTACCCTCCCCGCTCAAAGACTAACCAAGACGGTTGCCAAAATAAGAGCTCAGGATGCGATGGAGTTTTTGCATCAAGTACAGCAACCTTCATGATGGGTCTGTCCCGCTCTACTCTAGGGGAAGTGAGGATGGAGGGAATAACGTTCTGCTTACCTGAGCGACTGGAGTAAAGTTCCTTAGCCTGTCCGAGCCTGCCAAAAGCTGCAAAACACAGTAATCAGCACTGTCAGTACGTCGCCCAGTGCGCCGCCGATGTCCAGATGTCCAGTGATAGCTAACATCCATCACAGGTGAAACGTTGACCGAGGCGGAACAGAAAAAAAGCACATTCGACGAGGGCAGTTTTTTTTCACGTGACTGCTAATAAACCACGCGTCCGCTAACGGAGACGATGATGCAACTGGAATTTCGCTTGCTGAACTTGGGCCAGCGTCCAAGCGTAACTCAGACTGCAGTAGCAGAAGGAATACATAGTCTTTGTGTCCATCGTATAGAGAAGCTATGCGGTCTCCGTCCGCAGTAATCTTGCTCCTGGCTGGAGCAAGCGCCGCATGGGCAAAGTCATCCTCCGGTGATCACCATTGGACGCCCGAAGTTGCTCTGAGAGGTGTAGACCCAGCAAGTACGTTCAACGCCTTCCTGACCGCATATATAGCCAGGTTTTCTTCCCAGGATGTAAGCGTAACCAATTTTACCCTAACAGAGAAAACCTTATATACCGCTGCCGAAGCTTCGGATACTTTCAAGTGCCTGGATGGGTCAAAGTCGATACTTTTCGCCTCGGTGAACGACGACTATTGCGACTGCCCCGATGGGACCGACGAGCCAGGTGTGTAGACTTGCGACCGAGATCATGACTCTCGTGGTTTGCGTGCGTTTGGCGAATTGACGAGTTTTCCGCTGCCTCGCTATTCTAGGAACGTCGGCGTGCGCGAACGGGGTGTTTCACTGCAAGAACGAGCGTCACGTCGGCGCGGACATCCCTTCATCACGCGTCAACGACGGAATCTGCGGTACGTCGTCTGCAAACGTTCACAAATGTTCACGTTCAAGGATTTCGAGGTCATGTCTGCTCACGCTGTGGTGTAGATCCCGAATGTTGTGATGGGTCCGATGAATATCTCGGAATTGTGAAATGCCCCAATACATGCATGGAAGTCGGCGCGGCTCATCGAAAGGAGGTTGAAGCTCAGAGAGTACTACTAGCAGAGGTAGTTGATGAATCAGATTGGAGGCCCGCGAGCTTCGAAACGCTGACCTTCACTGCGTAGAGTGAAAAAATTGCCAAAGGTTACGCCGAATATGCGGCCCAGCAGTCGGCAAGTCGAGGAGGTGAAATAGCCAAGTTGGAGCGCAAGCTGCGGGACCTCAACGCGCGTGTGGATGAATTGAAGGGTATGCGGGGCGGTATCTGCACGTGATTGGCTTCAGCATACTGACCAACCGGGTTTCCAGAGTTGAAGAAGGCAGCTGAAGACTTCGCCGAACGGGAGAAAGGCAGAGGTGGAGCCGCCGACTGCTGTCCCAAGATCGAAACGTGCAAGGCTTTGATAGAGCAGCATACCGAGATTGTCGACAAATTGGATAATCGCCTGGAATTCCTCAAGGAAGCTGCCCAGCAGTTTGAGAATTTTGCGGAAGAGTCCATATCCGAAGACGATGCAGCCAAGAAAGCCTTTGATTTGTACTCAGAGTACAAGGCGCTTGAAGAACCGGATGTTGAGGTGACCGATCCCGACGCCGAAGATTCTGAAGGGGACACGTGTTGCGCAAAGCTTGACAGCTGCCGCGCTAGCCTTTCCAGGAAACGGGATGAGTTCTCGCGAGGCAAGGAAAGACTGAACCAGCTGGTGGCCGCTTATGCAGCTCTGGAAGCGATCAGACCCGAAATCGGAAGTGCTGACAGCGCTGTGAAGAGCGTGAATCGCAAATACGCTGATTACCTACAAATCTTCAACAAGGAAGAAATAGCGGCTCTCCCAAACGCCGCGGAAATAGATGATGAGAAATCTACGAACCAGCCGACGGAAGAGGAATGCAAAGACCCTCTCACGAAGATTACCCGGTGTTTGCCTGGAAAGGCTGTCGAATCCGCCAAGTCTCTGTGGAGCAAAGTTGTGACACAGGTCAAGAAGGTGACCGAAGGCGAAGACAATACAGCGTTGGCACATGATGCCGGGAAGGCCGCTGCCAAGTTGTCCAAAGTGGAGTCCGAGATCAGCGATGTGCAGGGGCAGCTGGATGAAAAGAAGAAGCTGCGGGACACCGATTTTGGACCCGCCGGTGTATGGGAGAAGATCTTCAAAGATTGCGTCAGCCTTGACACCTCCGAGTGAGTATATTGAAGGTCGCTACTTGGAAAGCAGCTGGTCTTTGGTAACACGCTGCATCTCTAGGTACACCTACGAGGTCTGCTTGCTAGACAGAGCGTCACAAAAGCAGAAGAACGGGGGCCATGGACCCAGCCTCGGGTATGTAGAGTACAGTAACCTTTGGAACTTCCGTCATCCTGCATCTGACAAACTGGCTCTCAGCTCGTTCCAAAAGTGGGGACGACGAGATGGAAAAGAGACAGCGGCAGACAAGTACAAGTATATGATGTACGACCACGGCGAGAGGTGCTGGAATGGACCTGAGCGTTCAGTCCAGGTGAGTTTCGACAACCTTACCTTATTCTACATGCATAGCGACGGAAAGCTCACCCATCTCAATCTCTCAGGTCCAAGTTGAATGCGGCAGGGAAACGAAGCTGCTCTCCGTCGTGGAAATGAGTAAATGTGAATACGATGCCAAAATGACTTCACCGGCCGCGTGCGAGCTTGCAAAGAAGAGTGCCCACTCGTCATCTGGGAAGGAGAATGTAAAGGACGAGCTGTGAGGATAAACGGCAGTTCCTTGATTCCCAATGCATATCCATTTCTACTATCTGTACTATACAGTTCCCCCGGTAGCCCCTGTCCCATACATATATGTACATGAGCGCCCTATTTCTGCATAGTTACTCTAGCGTAGCAGAATCCGGTCGGTGGATGTAGAGCGACGGATAGAGCGGGTGGAGAAATACATAACCCATTTCCTGCGTTGCCACTATGCACTTGCCCCACCTCCTTCCACACAAAAGGCCCAAGTCCGCCTAGCGCTTTGCTTCCACGTGTCGCAGAGCGGATCGATGCGAAGGGACGAAGGAAGCGGCCTTGGAACCTGATATGCGCTTCTCGCAAGGAACGCAGCACGGAATCCGTAAGGGTCAGCCGTTGCCAGCGTTCTCAGATTTGCACCAGAACTATCAGCTGGTTATGAGTTATTTCTTCGAGGTGCCGAATCCACTGCCGTAGGCGAGAATGAGTTAAAAGCGAGAAAGGTCACTCCCGAATTCGCACGGACGAAGGGGAAGGAAGCCACCCACCCAAAGCCCATCAGAGCCATCATATCCGCATCCGGATCAACCGGTTCCTCGCTTGCGGACGACTTTTGTTTCTTCTTCTTCTCCTTCTTCTCCCTTTTCTTTGCCCTCTTCGCCTCCTCCTCCTCTTCTTTCGCCTTTTCTATCCTTGCATCAAAGTCTGAAAATGAGAAGCAACTGAGTGAGTATCATCGTGCTTGTCGCTGACCACTAATTGCGATGACATACCTAATTCCGGAACAGCTGCCTTCCTCTTCAACGCTTCTAATCTGGCTTTCACCTGATCCACTGTGCTGCGCTCCACGTTCATCGACATTCCCATGTTCTTTTGATCTGCGCCGGTACCATCAGAGACTCGTCAGTGCTTTGGTCCATCCAGTCTCACACCCTTTCAAAACGCCTGAAACTCACGTTTCCACCCGTTGATATGGTCCAGGTAATTGACACTGTCCTTTACCGTACAGTCGCAGACTTTACAGTAGAAGCCCGGTTGCTGGGCACCTGACGCCTGTACAATCTGCGTCTTGTTCAGATTACTCGTCAAGTCGATGGGGCCTTCCCTTGCTTGCAGCAAGCCCCGCTCCACAGGCTCGTCATCCTCGTCATCATCGTCTGCATTGCCACCTGCAAGTGTAATGTGATGAGCAACTTGGTCGTTTCAGACGCTCTCCCGAAAACTTGCAGTACCCCTCCGTCCCCGCTCGTTGCCCTTTTGACCCTTCCCGGAGCTCTTTTCCCGCTCGGCAGCCCGTTTTGCCAATTCCTCACGGTCCCATTTCCGGCGGAAGTTGGTGTCCCCTGCGCTGCTCTCGTAGACTCCTCGTTGGGCATTTCCAGACATAGTTTGCTGTTTATTGGTTGTGCGATCGGATGGCCTAACGCTGGACTTTACCGAGAGAAGTGCAAGCAAATTGCGACCAAGGAACGCGTTGGTCTGGGTGGCAAATTCCAGTTCAACGACCAGGCGGCGTTAAGGTGAGTTGACACAGGGCCCTGTGATCTAGTCGGTCGACCCTTCGTCAGAGTTATGGGGTGGAGAGCTGGAGATATCGGTAGGGCGGAGACAGGATTTCGTTACCTGAACCTTCTCTAATCAGCTTCCATTCCGGGCACAGTTCACCATGACGGCAACCACTCCATACACCCCCTTCCGTCTTGCGACGTCTCATAACCTCGAGTCGACGGGGTACATACTGGACGTCCAGGTGTCGCCACACGGAGGGAATCTAGTAGCGCCGACGTCTTCGGGAGCGGTGCATGTGTTCGACGCTGGGACTTTGGAGGGGGTCAATACCTTGAACGTAACGGACGGTTCCAGTCGAGACGTGCTCTCTGAGGTTGCGTTTGACACCGCAAATCCGTCGCTGTTATGGTCGGGATCAAAATCTGGGCATATCAAGCTATGGGATCTAAGGAGCGGCGAGGCGGGTCTTACACTGGATGGTAGGGTGATCTTTCCCTGCAAAAGGAGCCTTCAAGCAATGCTGAGCAGTCGTACATGATTTCAGCCAGGGCTCCTGTCCTATGTCTGGCAGTCAATAGTACACGTACGCTTCTTGCTGCTGGGACTGAGCTGGTTGGAGAGGATGCTATGATTCCAATATGGTGAGAAGGCAATCTTCGCCAAGGCCGTATGATGAGATCTATCTAATCTCTGGTGCACATGCAGGGACATCAGAGCTCATCCAACTCCTGCCACCACCTTCATGGAGTGTCACTCTGACGATATCACTCAGCTTCGGTAATGTTCCATCGCTATTGCCTCTCGTAGGACGAACTTGTCTCATATCTGCAACACTCTATCTGACAGCTTCCACCCGAGCGACCCGAATGCCATGATATCCGGATCCACGGATGGACTGATCTGCCTTTACAACCTTGCGACATTAGAGGAAGACGATGCACTGTATCAGGTCATCAAGGAGGACTCCATTAGCAAGATCGGATTCTTCGGACCGGCATACGAGTATATTTATTGCCTCAGTCATATGGAGACATTCTCGCTATACAAGTTCCTGGAAGGCGACAAGGTCTTTTCGTTTGGGGATGTGAGGGCGGATAGTGAGGCTCAGCAAATGAAGGTGGACTACCTGATTGACTGTGTCTATGACGCTGCTGGTCAGCGTATGTTTTTGGTGACTGGGGATCAGAGGTTTGTCTGTTGCGTGCACACTTCGGATGATGTCGGGCCTGACTGACATGCTGACTCCCTGACTGTCCAGCGGAAACATGGGTGTCCTCCACGTCAACCTCGGCCGGCTAGAACTGGTTCACACCATCAACGGGGGCCACACAGATATCGTTCGGGGCGTGCATTGGGACCTGCAGGTAAATGGAAGAAAAGTCGTCCATATTAGCCCCTATGGACCAAAGCTGACATTCGTCACTTCTAGCGAGGAAGCCTCGTGTCAGGCGGCGAAGACGGGATCGTTTCTTTATGGCAGAATTCGTAGACCCTTCATATAATTTATCAAGTAGTGCAGTATAGGTAGCTCGATAGGGTGCAAATTAGAGGTTTGTACAATATGCGTGTCCGGATCCAGCGAGTCCATGGTCGTTCAGTATCCGCCCCCGGCCTACTTCCTCCGCACACGGGCATTGATGCCACGCACGACGGACATGAGCTTCTATAACTGGGAGACGCAGACATGCACCAGCAACGCGACGCCCAATTTCCAGGTGATTGCGGACAATGAGAGCGGGATACTGTTCAAAAATAAGCGAGATCGGAAGATATTTAATGTCAATCCGAAGGTAGGGATGTTTTAGGCCATATCTTTTGGGTGGTGGTATGGGTTGGCCGGTGAACTGATTTCCCTTTGAGGGGTTTAGGAACCGAAACCGGGGGATAATACAACCAGAACACATATTGTGACGGATGAGCATATCCAGGTTGTCATATATGACCATCTCACCCGGCGGAAGACATAGGACGAGTGATGGGTCCGACGACTCATGTACATATATATTACCCAGATAATACTCGCTGTTCATCGACCTATCAGGCTAAACCGCTGCGATACACCTATCCCAAATGAGTGTTTGACTTTTGCCGGGTTTACGAGTTAGCAGGTTGGAAAACGGGGGTCTGCAGGCAGATTCCCGCATATACCCCGCATATACCCGTGCCTCAGCAGTTGTGCATTACCACTCCCCGTCAAGTACACCTCCCCTCATAGCCCTCCCCACATTTCTCATCTGAGAGCTTCACCGCCAGAACGCCCCAGTACGCGTGCTTATGCTCACACATCTACAATGTCTTCGAAGGACGATCCGGAATGCCGACCCGCTGGCATCGCGCCGCCAGACGTTTTGGTGACCGCTCATACGTTTCCGGCATTGCTTGATGCGCCTGAGAGGCTGGCCATTGACCATCGGTATGTCTCGTAGCCGCTGTGTCCCATATTGCCCGCCGTGTGCTCTTTCCGGCAACCTATGGGCCTCCGCTCCAGATTTTCATTTTCCCGAAGCCGCTCCAACCACCTGCTCCCCTTCCTCCCCCTTCCCCCGAAGCCATCGTCCCTGTTTTCGACCCAGCGAACTTCATCACCCCCCATGCAGCGTCGAAATGAAAACAATCACATCCCCGTCTCTCAAGACATAATCCAACTCCCCCTCCAGTTCCCAGTCCGCATCATTTATCAACACCAAGATTCCCGGTCGTCTAAGAAAAGCAGTATCCGGTATATGAGTTTTACCGTCGCCCCCCAAGCATGATAACGGAGGTTTGTTTTCGGGGTACATACACGGTATCACCCTGCATGAACAGCTCGGCCCGTTCGGTCAGCAGCGTGTCGCGGATGTAAGGGAGGAGATGGCGGAGTTCTGCTTCCGAGGTTGAAGTTGACTCTGACGGATTGGATTTGGCGTAGTGGGCAAGCAGGTCGGAGGGTGTGGTTTGGAGGGCGAGCTCTTTTTGATTGGAGAAGAGGAGTTCCATGCCTCCGCTGCGAAGGTGACAAAACGAGGTTAGGCGTGGCAGAGGTTTGACAAACAGGGCGAGCGATGGTATGGGGGCGAGGTCTGCACCTGAATTGGAGAGTGAGGTTTAGCGTCATTGTGGGTGGTGGGTTTTCTTGGGGATGTAAATACATGGTCCACTCGTCACCACTTTCCGAATTTTTCCTGCCCCCGGCGACTCCGATGCGCGTTTTGCGACGTTGTAAGTTTTGAGACCAGCAGAAATCGGAATTCGCCCCACCGGCTCCACTTTGAACGCCGCTTCGACAAATACAGTCCACCTGCCAGGTCTGTCTAGGACGATGACAGCCCTATCAGTTCGTTGCCTTCGCTCAGCGCGGTGCCTACTGCCACCTCAGCGCAACAGTGTGCTACGATTTAGCCGGCGAACATTCAGCTCCGAAGTCGCGAGGACGAAAGAAGAATTGACACCACTCATGAAGCATCTTTGCGAGGAGATCAAGTTCAAAGGGCCAATATCTGTGGCGGAGTTCATGAGATCTGCCTTGACGCACCCGCTGGGGGGTTACTATATGAAGGGCGACGTTTTTGGCATTGCGGGTGATTTTACGACTTCTCCGGAGATTAGTCAAGTTTTTGGGGAGGTGCGTCCTGAGAAGCAGCTGGACAAAAGTTTTCGATTTCTTTGAACGAGAGACACAAAGGGAAGGAGGCTGATTTGCGTTGACTTCAGTTAGTCGGCATATGGTTCATCACATTATGGAAGCAACTGGGGTCGCCGAAGGACATACAAATTGTAGAGATGGGTCCGGGCCGTGGAACTCTGATGGCTGATATGCTTGGGGTGAATGAAAAATGTTCTCTTTGTCCAAGGAAGGCTTCGCAAGCTGATCGTCGATGCATGACAGGCATTAGGGCACTTTCCCGATGTGAAATCAGCCATCCATGGGGTCCACATGGTTGACGCGAGTCCTGGGTTGCAGGAGGTACAAGCGCAAAAGCTTGCCCCAAATGCTACCTTGGACAAATCGACAGCGTCAATCCGGCGTGATGATGATATAACGGTGCATTGGCACGAAAGTTTGGAGACAGTTCCTGAAGGTACTGCATCTCACGGATCCGCGCAAACTGACATTGCAGCTCATGCGAGTATGACATTAGGAATGTGCACGATGTTTGTTGCCCACGAATTCTTCGATGCCATGCCTATCTTCAAGTTCAAGGTAACTATGCTCAAGTAATGTATCCGATGTCTCTCACAGATGCTGACATTGGTCGCATAGTTGACGAAAGATGGATGGCGTGAGATTGTCGTCGGTTTGGACAAGTCCCCGGACAGGTGAGCTCACGTTCACAATCTCAGCGACCTTGGACTTCCTAGGACACGTGTTGACTTGATCTTGTAGCCAATATCATTTTTGCTTCACATTAGCCGACGGGCCAACGAAACCGTCCGCGATCATTATGCAATACGAGAAGTTTCAGAAGAACTTCAAAGAAGATGACCGGGTGGAAGTCTCCCCGGATTCTTATGCCGTGTCAAATCGGATAGCGCGAAGAATACAGAAGAATGGTGGTGGCGCGTTGTTTGTCGACTACGGCCGCAACTACACAGTGGGAGATAGTTTACGGGTTAGTGTGTATTTCGTCAGTTTGCTACGTCTGATGGTCGTGTTTCTCACACTCGAAGATCTAGGGTATTCGAAATCATAAGTTCACCGATGTGCTGAGTAAGCCCGGGGAGGCAGATCTGAGTGCGGATGTGGACTTCTCTTTCCTGCGAGAGTCTACCCATGGCATTGGTGAGTAACCATAAGGTGTCATTGTCCGAGGAAACGTGTCTCACCTTAGCCCACCAGCTGCCGCACATGGACCAATCACACAGTCAACGTTCCTGAGAGCGATGGGTATTGCACCGCGAATGAACATGTTGCTTCAGAACGCAGACGCGAAAACGAGAAAGGAACTGGCTACAGCCTTCGACCGACTGGTGAGTCCATCACAGATGGGCACGGTGTACAAAGTAATGGCGATAACGCAGGAGGGAGTGGAGGTTCCTTATCCATTTCAAGATGATCCATTGATGGAGAAGGCTTGATTCCCAACACATGTTCGAATGCAAGTGTAACATCCCATCAACCACAGCAGTAATCCCTGCCGCGTTCAACGATATACGGCTTATGTTTAACATAGACATTCCGGCGGAATTCCGCCTTAACATTGCAAATAGATAGTAACCCACAATCATTATGTGCAAGTCAAATCCAGGCGACCCGAATAGTACAATTTTGAAAGGGAATTTCTACATAACGGAAGAGAAGAACTCGAGATGCCTCATTCTGGCAGAGTTTGGCCACTGTCACCGAAAGGTGCTTCTTCGGCATTCGATCCAGATCGACTGCCCCCATCAGCATCAATATCCTCATGTCGTCCCGCGACTTCATTGCCTTTCCGGTCACCTACGGATGCAATTCCCGGTGTCTTCTCGTCATCACCGCTGTCTTCATCCTCCTCCTCCTCCTCAGGATGCCTGAATGCCCCATCCCGCTCTATATGCGGTGTTTGTGCTCTCGTGGGCGGCTGTGACCGTACCACCCTAGCAACCAGAGGCGACGAGAGAAGTCCTTCCTTCTCGAATTCTTGGGCATATGTTTCCGGGTATTTGGTCGTGTTTGCGAAGTAGATAAGGTTCCTCCGCCGATCCTCGTGCCAAGCTTCGCGGCTGTAGACGGGGTGGCTGCTTGCGAGTCTGCGGTGAAGCACCTGAGCGCGTGAGGGGTTATTGATTTCCACGCAGGAAGCGAGGACTGGGGAATGAATTGAAAGGTTTGATGCAGGCTCTGTTCCGCTTAGTTACGTACCTCGTTCGCTTCCTGTAACTCCTCGATTTGTCGTCGTTTAGCATATGAGCTTGGAGATGGTTTCTGAACCATAGGTTTGACCTGAAATTTCGAGTCCACGTTTGAGAATCCTCGCGGTGCTTGCATCTGTCGGGCCATGCGGTTAAGTAGAATGAGATTTTCCTCCTGGATGCGGTTCGCTCGTTCTACCATTGAGAGTTTCATTTAAGATGTTTTAGGACTTATTCGGGAGACTTGGCAATTCATTCATTCCCTCAGGTCAGAACCCTTGCATAACATGTGCATACCTTGCTCCTGTCTCATCTTTTTCAACCTCATGTCCAAATGTGAACATTTTTGGGGAGGTTTGTTGTCAATCGCGGGCTTCATACTCGCAATCTTTTCACGATGGCGCCGATTTGCTGTATCATCCCATCGTTTTGCCAGAAGGCGATTAGCACACTTATATACCGGACTGTATCTCCGGTGTAGTGTCCCGGGCGTCGCGGGGGGTAGCTTCTTTGGCAGTTCATTCGTCAATATTGATGAAATGGTGCTTTGGAGGGGTGGGCTGAGACCGCGATGTGCTGCGCTCGTCGGACGTGATTGCGGGGTTCTGCGCGGAGACGTTGACAGCTGATGGTGGTGTGAGGCCTCTGCTGCTCGCGATGCCTCATGTAAAGCTGGTTCTTTCGAGTTCGGTACGCCGTGGACGATGCGCTTGGGCGGGCTTGCTGGAGCGGATGACGGTCTCGTCAGCGTGAGTGGATGGGGATCCACTCGAACTGCCTGTCTCTCTCCACGCATTGTGCTTGCGTTGTGTCTCTGTTAGAAGCGATGTTGAGCGGAATGCTGAAGTTCCAGGGTGAACGCAAAAGCTTTTGCGCTCCGGTTGGAGATTCCCTTTCTCATCTTGCCGTCGACAGCAATTGAACTCCGCTGAGGATGACATAAGCGTGTCCGAATTATGAAGCATATCGGACATCAACGCACGACCAGGTTAGTGCCTTCACAGCCACCTGCCGAGATCAGCCATAAGGCCTTCGTGGTGGGAAAAAGTGCAACTCAGGCATCGTTCGAGCGGTGGTTGAAAATACGTTCTGGCACCAAAGGAGCATTGTGGTTCTTACCCCTCTATATCACCAGCAAAACACGGCTTGGCATTATCAGGCGGTGCGCGTGAAGTGGAAAGCATCTCGTTAAGGCGAGAACGGAAAAACACCACTACAAAATGGCAACCCCAGGGTATCAGGAGGAGCAGGCGGGCCTGGAGGAGGAGGAACAAGATCAGAATATGCCTATGAGAGTGCATAAGCTCGAGGTAATGGTTGCACTAGGTTGTCAGAGGAAACACGGCGCATCATCAACTTGGGAGCCTCTGCCAGGAATTTGGAATATCGTCCGGAGATATTTCGAAACTAGCCGGGGCCGGCTTCCACACGGTTGAAAGCATTGCTTTCACGCCAAAGAAGGCACTGCTGCTGATCAAAGGCATCTCCGAGGCCAAAGCGGACAAAATTCTCGCTGAAGGTACGAAGTTCTAGAACAGGTGGTCACATTGAGCGCATGTGCTCACTTTGGATTGATGTAGCGACGAAGCTTGTACCAATGCACTTCACCACTGCAACGGAGTTCTACCAACGGCGCAATGAGGTCATCATGATTCAAACAGGATCGAAAGAATTGGACAAATTGCTTGGAGGTGGGTCAAGTGTTCGCGTCAACGTCTCACACCTACCGCAGATATGAACGTCATGCCATCGTCTATAGGTGGTATCGAAACAGGCAGCATCACAGAAATCTTTGGCGAATTTAGAACAGGGAAAACGCAACTCTGTCACACGCTCGCGGTAATATGTCAGCTACCGACATCTATGGGTGGAGGGGAGGGGAAATGCCTATATATTGACACGGAGGGTACATTCCGGCCGGAGCGGTTGCTGTCTGTGGCAGAAAGGTACTAGGATAGGGGACAGCACGCTGATTTGACTCTGGAGGGTGGCTTTCCGTGTTCTAACGCATTCCCGACCAGATTTGGACTCAACGGGGAAGAGGTACTCGACAACGTCGCATACGCACGCGCACATCACACCGACCATCAGAAGCAACTGCTGATACAAGCAGCCGCCATGATGGCCGAGACGCGTTACAGCCTTTTGATAGTCGACAGTGCAACTGCATTGTACAGGACGGACTTTTCCGGACGTGGGGAATTGTCAGCGCGACAAATGCATCTCGCGCAATTCCTGCGGTTGTTGATGAGAATGGCGGATGAGGTGTGTATGATGATGTGACGATTCGATGCTGTGGCCCTCGGTTCTCAACAGATGCGTGTCTCTGCAATCTTAGTTCGGAGTTGCCGTGGTGATCACAAATCAAGTTGTGGCTCAAGTGGATGGCGCTGCAATGTTCAACACCGATCCCAAGAAGCCCATAGGCGGGAACATCATGGCGCATGCCTCAACAACTCGGTACGTTCTGTTCGAAAGCAAAAGCGGGAGGTCTTCCCTACCATCTGCTCACACATCTGTTCGCAGGCTATATTTGCGGAAAGGAAGGGCCGAGAACCGTATATGCAAAATCTATGATTCGCCCAATCTGCCGGAGGCAGAAGCCATGTTCTCCATCGGCGAAAATGGAATCGATGATCCCAAGGATTGAGATGTGTCGACTGGTGTAGATACTATTGTACGCGGCGAAGGTGTAGTGGGATGGAGTTGATGAAGGATTTGTACATGCAGGTACTGCGAATGTTTTTTTGATAATTCTGGAGTTATCATAACGGGACAACTGTAAAACATGTATGTAAAATAGACAGTGCACACACATATAATGAACATAACCACGAGTTTCGCGTTGGCAAGCGATACGTAGTTTTCCACGTCATGGCCGTGGGCATTTGGCATACATCAGCTACCATCCGGGGGGTCTGCGGCCCAAAGCGAGCTCCCACATTTCGCAGTCAGGCTTTAAGCGACAAAGGAATCATGTGTTCAATGTTATATTTTGTGTAGAGACGTCACAGTTCGAGGATTCCCTACGGCAAGCTTAGAACTTGGCGAAAGACTTGGCACCCTTGATGACCTTCTTCTGCACACGCAAAACGTTGAAGCGGACGGTCTTGGACAACGGCCTAAGTGAACAAAAATCATGATCAGCAAAGGAAAGAGAAACGTGGGAACCACACTCAAAAAACAGTTCAGCTTACCTGCACTGGCCAACGGTCACGACATCACCAACTTCGACACCGATGAAGGCGGGCGACATGTGAGCGGCCAAGTTCTTGTGACGCTTCTCGTAACGGTTGTACTTGGAGATGTAGTGCAGGTATTCACGACGAATAACGATGGTGCGCTCCATCTTTCCCACGGAGATGACGACTCCGGACAAGATACGACCACGGATGGAGACCTTGTCGGAGGTGAAGGGGCACTTCTTGTCGATGTAGTGGCCTTCGATGGCTTCACGAGGGGTCTTGAAGCCGAGACCGACTTCCTTGTACCACCTCTTGACGGTGGTCTTCTTCTTACCGCCAAGCTTGGGGTTCTGGAAGATACCCACTTGGGTCTGGAAGGCCTTTTGCGTCTATTGTTTGTGGGTTGGTCGAAAAAGGAACGGAGTAGGGTCAGCAATGCGCTATGTTGCAATGCCTATTGTAACCCTTCTCAGCGATTCCTTTGAGATCTTGGTTTTGCCAACTTGAAGAGAGTCTTTCCCTAGAGGTATGTAGACAGATTGCTAGTATCCCCACACTGCGACCCTTCGTTCTAGGATATCACCCCCAAGCCTCAGTCAAGACATTTCGAACAGGGTCGCCGCAGTGGGTCAAAGTAGCAAGCCTTTCCACTCCTCATACCTAGAGACACCTTCTACTAGTCCCAGCCTACTCTACCCGTTACGAAGTCCCGCTTCCCCACACACTTCCCGGCTCTTGTTGTCCTCTTTCTGCTTTTCGTCGAATTCGCCGTCTCCCTCGCTCCTCTATGCCCGACGTATCTGACCTATCTCCGCAAATACGGTCAAACCCAAGGCAGACTAAGAAGAGTGCCTACCTGTTCAGCCATCGTGCCTGCTTTGAGAGTCCGCTCGTGCTATGGGTGCCTGTGAGATTGGACTTTTTGGTAGAGGATTTCGGTCTTCGAGAGGGACGAGGGGAAGAAAACTCTTGAGGGCAGCTGGTCCAATCACGTGACTCACGGGGATGAGCCTAATCGAGACCCTTCCGCTTTGACAGCAGCGACTTCGAAATTCACAGATCCTCGTCCCAGTTTCACGTCGACTGCCTTGCACTACTACGAATTCGATCCCAACGTAGGAAACGATAACACGCCAAGTCCCTCAACGTTAACCCGCTAGCCATGGACGTAGACTCTCCGGTGCCTTCTGAGTTGGTCCCCGAGGTCATGGCCGACCTCGCACCGCCTCTCCCCGAAAGTGGGTACCCGCATAAGCGGAAACGCAGCAGATCAGACGGCATCCCGGCCAACTCCTTCAACAAGCGCCCGGAAAATGGCGCCCTACCAGCTACGAATGGATCAGAAATCGACGTCATTCCTCAGCACGCCCCGCAATGGCAGCAGACGATCGAGCAATCCATCCTATCCATTGTCAGTATTCGATTTTCCCAGGTCGCTTCTTTTGACACTGACGGGACAGATAGCTCCGAGGGTAAGCATATACTCTCACAGCTGATACAGGAATGGTTGCGCGGTACTTACTTGAGACCTCTTATTCTCTGCTCATATAGCTTCCGGGTTCGTGGTCGATGCGACAAGAGGGTTGATCTTAACGAACAGACACGTCGCTTGTGCAGGTCCCTTCTTTGGTGAAGCTGTGTTCCATGATCATGAGGAGGTGGACGTGTTTCCAGTGTACAGGGACCCAGTGCATGATTTCGGAATCCTCAAATTTGACCCAAGGAAAATTCGGTACATGCAAGTCCGGGAAGTCGAACTAGCTCCGCATTTAGCGCGGGTCGGTCTGGACATCCGAGTGGTTGGAAATGACGCTGGAGAGAAACTCAGCATTTTGGCTGGATCGATATCGCGACTGGACCGAAATGCGCCAGAATACGGAGAAATGACGTACAACGACTTCAATACCTTCTATCTCCAAGCTGCGTCTAGCACTAGTGGAGGGTCTTCGGGGTCGCCTGTGCTGAATATTGAGGGCAAAGCAGTGGCTTTGCAAGCGGGCGGTCATATGCGGGCCGCCACCGACTTCTTCTTCCCATTAGATCGTATGTTGGCGTATGAGCAGGGAAGATTTGGTGTATTCTCTTTTTGCTGAACTGGTGAGATCTTTCATACAGGGGTGGCGCGCGCCTTGAAATTCATCCAGGAAGGGAGAGCAGTTCCAAGGGGTACTATCCAAACGCAATTCATGTAAGTTGTAGAGGCGGTGTCCCCAGATCCCTTGGACACCATTGACTCTTAGCGCAGGCACCGACCATTCGATGAAGTTCGGCGGCTAGGATTGAAACAGGAAACAGAAGCATTCGTGCGCAAAACCTTCCCGAAGGAGGTTGGAATGCTTGTGGCGGAAACGGTGGTCCCCAAGGGCCCAGCGTCGGCAGTATTGGAGGAAGGAGATATACTCCTCAGTGTAAACGGCGTACATATTACCAAGTTTGTGCCTCTGGAGTCCATTCTCGATGACAGTGTTGGGAAGGCGATCACAGTTGTCATTCAGCGTGGCGGTGTAGACATGGAGTTTACTATCACGGTGCAGGATCTGCATACCATGTAAGCCAGCATTGCGGGGATGCCTATGGTGGTCGAAATGCCTCTTACTCGTGATTTCCGCACCATCCAGCACCCCAGATCGGTATCTCGAAGTTGGGGGAGCTAAGCTAAACGATGTCTCGTACCAGCTGGCGCGTCAATTTTGTGTTCCGGTGGAGGGTGTCTATGTGGCGGAGCCATCCGGCATGTTCCGGTTAGACGGAGCCGACCAAGGGTGGATCATCAGTTCAATCGACACGAGGCCGACACCGAACTTGGACGCCTTCATTGAAGCATTCAAAAACATCCCAGATCGCGAGCGCATTCCTGTGGAGTACTACTCTATTCTGGATGTCCACACTAAGAGTGTGGCGATCGTTGACGCTGAGAGACACTGGAGCGGCTTCAGACTTGCAGTCAGAAATGATAAAACCGGTTTCTGGGATTACACTAAACTGCCGGAGGGGCCAGCTCCCAAAGTCTGGAAACCCATTACCGCTACGTTTGCCACTCTCGACCAGAGCCTCGGAGTATCCGCAACTCTGTTCCATTCATTGGTAAGTTCTGCAGCATCAAACCGAGCGTATAGACAAACTCCCTGATCCTTCTTATATTCTTGCAGGTAAAGGTCAGCATCTACATTCCGTGTCGTATTGAGGGGTTCCCGAAGTCCAGGGTAAGTTGTGCGCTCTGCACTGGCTCTTGTAAGGTCGGCTCTTAACTGTCCTTCATTCGTGTAGAAAATGGGGGCTGGTCTTGTGCTAGATGCCGAGAAAGGACTTGTTGTTGTTGGTCGTAGCGTCGTCCCATACACTTTGGGGGACATTATGCTCACATTTGCGGACTCCATCATCATTCCCGGAAAAGCCATTTTCCTCCACCCCATCAACAATTTCGCCATCATTCAGTACGATCCCAGCCTTCTTGGCGCAACACCTGTTAAGAGTGCCCCTGTCAGTGACGTCAAGCTTGGCCAAGGGCATCGCGTCACTCTCATCGCACTGAATCACAATCAGAGGCCCGTCGGCGTTGAGACGACAGTCACGGACATAACAGCTGTGACGATTCCTTATTCCGGCACCCCGCGTTTCAGAGCCATCAACTTCGATGCCATAACGTTGGACACACCCTTGGCTCAGCAATGTTCTGCTGGAGTTTTGGCGGACTCGAAAGGAAAGGTGCAGGGAATCTGGTTGAGCTTCCTTGGCGAGCATACAACGTCGGGACATGACCAGGAGTATCATCTCGGCTTCGACATCAACTCTGTCATCCCCATCCTTCGAAAGCTACAGGCCGGTGGTGTTCCCCGTCTTCGTGGACTGGCCATCGAAGTGACGCCTGTGCAAATGTCGCAAGCACGGCATATGGGTTTGAGTGACGAATGGGTCCACCGAGTCCAGGAAGCGAACAAGGAGAGGCGTCAGCTGTTCCTCATTCGTCGTACGGAAAATGAGAGCGCCACGTCTCGTGTTCTCAAAGATCTGGACGTCATTCTCAGCGTTTCGGGCAAAGTGGTTACACGCGTCCAAGAGTTGGAGCTGTCCGAAGAGTGGCCCGAGGAAGTTGATATGGTCATTTTGCGGAACAAGACGGAGATGAGCATTAGGGTTCCCACAACCGAATTCGACAACGAAGGTGTCAAGCGGGTTGTCTTCTGGGCAGGCGCGGTTCTCCACGAACCCCACCGTGCTTGTCTGCAGCAGTCGCGAAGTCTACCTTCTAAGATCTACGTTTCAAGCCGATCCAAAGGAAGTCCTGCATACATGTATGGCATTACCACCACGCACTGGATTGTCGCCGTCAACGGGCAGAGCGTTACCACGCTCGATGACTTCGTCGACGCCGTGCGCGGTCTGAAGGATGGTGAATACGTCCGTGTCAAATGCATCAGCTTCGATCTTGTTCCATGTGTCTTGAGCGTCAAGTTGTGTCTGCACTACTGGCCCACATCTGAGGTAAGGGCGGCCTGTATATTGCGCATTCCAGGCTTTCGTCACTGTGAGATTCGGAGCTTCGCCCCTGATTACTGTACTCCAGATCGTCCGAGACCCGGAAGCGAACTCCGGATGGAAGAAGAACGTCATCGAATGAAAGAAGGCAACGACTCACGAGGTTGTCTAACCCGCGCACAACTCTCCGCTCCGCCAATTGTAAAAAGCATCATCCTGAAGCTTAGAGGAACCCATTCCTGACTAGTCACAATCACATAGCCCAAAGCCAAACCCTGCAACCACACCCCTCTGTATATTTTACCAGCCATATCTCCACGAGTCACACATTAAGATAGTGTATTTAATCATCATTTTGTTTCTTGGGGACGTTTGGCCGCTTGTCGGTTTCTCTTACAAACAGTACTGTCGAATGTGTTGAAACTCCCACTGGACGCGGAATGGCCTTTTTCCTCCAGCAACTGCAAACGTGACGGAGATAGCTCTTACATTGTATCGCTGAAGGGGTGCGGGCTCCTTTACAAAGCTTGCACATGAACGTCGGCTCCATTCCTGAACATCCCCGTACAGGCATTATGAATATCATCATTCAAGATCGTGCGCGTTTCTATTCACAATACCAAACTATTGACTTAATGTTATTGTCTACTGTAGTCTGATGGGATGTCCTGCGCGAACTGGGCAAGGGGCGATAGGTTCTACCGATCTACCACGAGCTCCATTCCATCTTGGGAGTGAGAATGCCATCCCGCATATCTCGCTAGTCTAGAAGCTGTCATCGCTACTCTGGTACGCCGTGTCGAGGGAATACCGCTGGACAGTCGACAAGGGCCAACGCCTAAGGCACTCCTCCGCGTCTACGCAGCGTCCGTCTTCCTCCTCCACCATTCCTAGTATCCTCTCGTACTTTCGTCTATTTTTGCTCATCGCTTTGGAGATCATCGTACACCGCATAGAGGCATCTGCTAATTGAGTAAGTGGACGGGAGAACGCCGTTTGAGGAAGCAAAGGATGCCTTACCAAGGTCGCCAAAACGCACGACTCGACTGGGGGCGACGTCGAAGCTGGTTGCTCCGTGAGATCTATACATCCGCAACGTGTCGGCGGACGATCTAACGGTCATCAAGGGCAGTAAGGCGTCTGCTTTTGGCGGTGGGAATCCCAAATCGTCGTTTTCGCTTCCTTCCTCGTCCTGTGTGAGAATCATCTGTTTCTGATCGGTCGAAGCGCATAAAACTGTCAAGAAGGTGATGGGTCCCGGCATTGGCGGCGTGACCGGTCTGCTAAGCTCGTCGTAGAAAATGGAGTCGAATATCGACGGCCGCAGCGGCAGCAGAGGGACATGAAGCAGCGGAAGTACCGGGGAACCGTCGTACTTCTCAGACTGTCGAACTTGCTTTCGCGCGCGCCATCCTTTTCCTAGACTGAGCGCCTTCCGTGGGAATCCGACCATCGCCTGCTGGGTGCTATCTGTGGCCTCGGACAAGAGGACTAGTCTTCGCCTATGGATGCTCAGCGCGAACTAACTGGATGGAGCGGGCAGCGATGGTGGAGGGTATTCGAGACCTTTTTTTTTCGTGGGAACCTGGTCAAGTCTGGAGGAAAGCGTGGGAAAATGGAATGTGGCTTCGAAGTAAATGGCTGCTCCTGGAGGATCCCGCTGAGCACGTGACTACGCGGTGTCGAATTCCTGTCAATTGGGCCTGTGCACACGTCACCCCCAAGCGGAGAGTCATTCCGCTGCAAATTGTGGGTGCGGCGCGGGGGGACGGAACGGCCACCGGGTGACCCGACCCGTCAAGGGTACTCCAAGCCTTGGTACTGTTTCCTAGCGTTTATTCACCGGGTCGTCTCCCTCTTTCTACTCTCTTGGCGTTTTCCAGTGGAGGTAACATTTAACTCACGCACCACGCAGTTTCCATAACAGTACCGTTTTCAAGAATTCCTGGTAAAGCATCGTTTCTGGAAAACTCTGCTGGGGACTTCCTACAACTTTTTCGGTTACCAGGGATAAATGGGTAGTGCTAAGCCCATTTACTGAAGCAAAAGAAGATGCCAGACCTCGCAGAGGCAGTTGGTCAGTAAGACGAGACCTAACTTTTGAGATGGTGTTGTCATTGAACTGAGGATTTGCGAAGTAAAGCAAAATGCCCGATCGCCTAACAGCGCAATCTCTTTTCCAAGCAGAACAGCGTACCTCTCAGAAACGGCCGTTCCCGGACGACCTGAGCAATAGCATATCCCTAAATTCCGGCAGCTATGCTGGTGTTGTCCCTACCTCGCAAAAGATTGGAACTTCCGATCATCATCATCATCAGAACGGCAACAAGAAGGTAGAAAAATCAGATGGAGAACTCGCTGCCGGATGTCCTCTCACTCTCATCTGTTTAAAGATCTGTATATCACCTTCGGATTCATTTATGGCATCACCATTCGAGCCCTCCTTTGCCTCTTATGTAGAACAAACGCCATCCACACCCTCATCCAGGGACTTTACTGCATCAAATCCGCCTCTTGCCAACACTACTATCATCTCCAGCGGAGTGGGACCAACACCTGCTGCCTCCCCGAGAAATCAACCACAGACGCCAGGAGCCCCAGCAGTGACCCCAACAGCATCCACTACCACTACTAAGCTCCGAACTGCATCCGGACCCAGCAGTGGCGCATCTCTCGATGAGCTGCAGGCAGAGAATAAGCTGTTGCGGCAGCGGCTGGCAAAATTCCAGTCAGAACTGGAGAAAAGATCCCAACCGGAGAGCTCCATGATTCTCAAGTTGGCGAAGAAGGACCAAGATATCGGCGCTTTAACGGTACCCTCTGAGTGAAGTGCAGAGCCGCTTCGGATAAACCATAATGATTTCAATCCGTAGGCCGAATTGCAAGCCCTCAGACGTCAGCAATCAGATCGCGACCTGGAAAGTTCGCCCACGAAGCTGCTGGATCCAACATGGGCTCTACTGTACGGTGCAATGAAGAAAGAAGTTGAGGAGAAAAACAAAAAGATCGAACATCTGCAGCGAGAGATATTGGGCGTGAGCTTCACGCCGTATAGGTAACGAGGCGAAGTCTCCGTTCGCACGATAGTGATGTGAAACTGGATGCTTATCGGCAGCTTCCGCTCTCGCATATATGGCTCACAGCATCACCGGCAAAAAGCTCGTATCGAAGCTCAAAGCTCTTCAGACCGAGAACGAAGAGCTAGGCAAGCAGCTGTACCAAGGAAGAGTCGAGCAACTGCAGACAGCGCTCGCCATGGAGAAGGCCGTTGTTGAGAAGTTGGAGAGAAGATTGAGAGGCAAGGGTCTGTCCGTCAGCGCGCATCGCAAACGACAACTGATCGGTAACGTCCGCATAGAATCCGACCAGCTGTCTTTGGAGCTTGACCGGGAAAACGAGGCAATGCAAGAAACCATCTTCGAGCTGCAGCACCGCCTCCATGACCATGAACCTAAAGGCCTGCATGAGCGGCCACAGCAACAGCTTCACGAGAGATCTGGCGGTGCACGAGACGAATCTGAACCTTCTGTCGTCCGGGGCCTACAGGAAAGTGTGGACAGTCGGAAACCACAGGGGAGCTCGGATTCTGAGGCTGATGCTCCGGAGGTCGAAGATGCCGCCTTGGAGGAATGATTGCAGGATGAAGACTTGCGGCAGATGGAGATCTGAACCAAGAAACAATCTCTCTGCGAACTGAAGCACCGAAGGGGAAGACACCGTGGGGGTGGGTTAGCAGACCGTAGCAAGAACATGAGGGCGGGAGCGAAGCAATTGACGGTCTGACCTCTTTTGGCGTTGGGTGTGTGCGAGCTTTTCAGCCTGTAGCTATTTACCTATTCTTGGAATGATTTTGTAAAACTTTCATTCCGGCTGTCCGAAACCGGGAGCGATTGAGGCGACGTAGGTGTCCTTTCACCTTCTAACTGAGGAGTGTCCATAGCTATACATAGCGAACTATTTCTAGACTAGGTCCTCCTCGCCCTTGAAGGTAAGGGCATACTCTCAGAGAGTCTCATACCATCACTATTTCGTTTTTGACGATCGCTCGAAGTCCGACATTGAAACACCCAACGTTGTCCCTCCTACCCTCGAAGCCGCACGCTTCGTTCCCGCACTTGAACACCTTGTTCGATCCAATTTTGTGGTGAACAAGGTCGCAGAAAGGACATTGTTTGGTGGTGTACTCCTCCGTCGTGCACAGGACATCCTTCGTCTCGCGAGGATCGGCCAAGGCCTTGGCGAACATCCTCTGGCGAAAGGCGTGGTGCGATATCCATCGCATCGCCTTGCGAGTGGTCTTGTGGAGCGTGAACCTGCCCTCCTTGGGGGGTGCGTTCAACGCCTCTCGTTCTCGCAAGGGCGGGAGTTTGAGCTGCTTTCGTGGCTTCCGGACCATCCCTGCCGTCATGAATTCGGGGAGGACGACCATGTCATAACATCGGACGGGATGGTTGGCAAACGCCCCGTGCGCTTGGCCCCGTGCGCTCACAATGGTCTTCATCCGGTCGTATAGCCTGGATATGTGACGTTCGCGGTTCTTTCGCCAGTGCCGTTTCTTCTTCCGTTTCTTCCCCTTCGCTCGTTTTCTCTGCCTCTTGCGCCTCCGGTGAGCCGGACGACCTCCCGGCATGGTCGCTCCCGAATCCTTGCGGCTTGGCAGGGTGATTTCGTTGTGAAGGTTGGAGAGTTTGTCCACCAAATCTGGGTAGATGTCGTAAAACCTGCGGCGATGCGCGTCGAAACACGTCCATGGCACTCTGCTCCCCGGATCGATGGAACACTGGTTGCCGTCAGGACGGGTAGAGCCACTCGTGACGTCGGATCCAGCTTTTCGCACGTCTAGGTACGCAGTCAATTATCACCACATCATAACTTAACTATAGAAATCAAACCTAAGGTTCGAATAGGACGTTGGTCACTAGGGTGAATTTGAGTTAGTCACAATAACCAGATATTATGAAAAGATTTTGGGATTTGTCGATCCAAGTCTCCTACAAAAAATACATGAGAAGGGACGATCGGAAAAACGCGCGCAAGAGAATGCAAGGATACCTTGTTGTTTGCGCGAAGAAACTCTGCAATATATATACAGTCAAGTACAATAAAGCAGGTCACCCACGTGAGGCGACGGTCGGCCCCCAGAGCAAACAGCCAACGCCGTCGCCAAGATTGCCAAGAGGCCGACATTCTTCGACATTTTGACAACCCCAGGCAAGTATGGCTGATCTCTTCTGGGAAATCAGTACTCTCCCCATTGTGTGCTGGTGTGGTTGTCGAGTGCTGGGGTTGTCAAAATGTCGGAGGCAATGTCGGCATCTCGCCCGTGGCTGTTTGCTCCGGGGGCCGACCGTCGACGACGTGGGTAACCTGCATTATTGTACTTGACTGTACTTAGTTCTTCTTTCGTGCCTTTCTCGGTGCTGGTAGAGTTGAAGAACTCTTCTGGCGTCGGGAGTGCTGTCGTTGTGAGCGAGGGAGCCGACGTCGTAAAGGCGGACATTTCCTGGCGACCGAACGCGGGGTAGAACGCGGCCTTCGCACCTCCTCTTCCTTCCAGCAGGAGGCTTATAGTCCTCGTCTTCCGCGTCGTCCACCCCGGCAACAGGGTGCTTCCCCTCCGGCTTCGCGCGTTCCACCACCTCCACCACCCCTTCATCGTCCGACAACGATATGCCCGCCTCCACCGGTGATTGCGCTCGACTGCCCCTCCTGCTCCCACGACGACTCTCCACCTCCTCATCCAGCTCCACCGCCTTTCTCCTCTTTGTAGCGAGCTCGGAATGCTCGCGGGCTGCGGTCGCAGGCTGCCGGCGGTGAGTGGACTCGGCTGTTGGCGTAGACGACGACGACGTGGCAGCGGCTCGCTTGGGTTTTGCGGCCTGGGCTCTCAGCTCCTTCATTCTCTTTGCCTGCGCTGCGCGCGCTGCCTCCTGGGCTGCGATCTCCGCGGCAAGGTCCGCTTCATCTTCCAACGCCATTTCCAAACTGGGACAAGATGTTGCTGCCGCTGACTTCACTACCCTACTGCTGTTTGCTTCGAGGTTGTGCTTTCGACGTGCTCAGAATGCTCCCTGGCAGGATGCGGGGCTCAGAATGCTCTCTGCCCTTCGCAATTGCTGCCCTTCGCAACGGCGGGCCTACGAAGTATAGTGCGGTAGAAGAAAAGTGACGTATCACAGTGTAGCATAGGGCTCCAAGGCGCGCGCGAGAGTGCGTTCCCCTTCTTAGAGTATCTCCAGCCGAAGGATGGCGATTGAAGAATATGCGGGCTGGGAGGATAGCCGAAACGATTGCGCTACGGACGCCGTTGTCGGATACGAGGTTGCCGAAACGAGGTTGCCGAGACGAGGATGCTCTGGAATTCGTTGCCGGATGGATGGATTGTTGTTGGGAAGGGATGGATGGATCGATGTCCGTTCGTCGCCGTGGATACTTATGAAAATCGATAAGAGCGCGCGGTACGGCGTAGGAATGTCGTGGAAATGGCCAAACTCGAAGTCAGGCGCCCGGAGGAAACGATTGGTTCGTTGGACTGCGACGGTTGCGGTTATCTATGGATTGCTGTACTTCCCCAGTGGTCTACGTCTCCATTCTCCACCAGAATGTGGTAGGCAGGGGATATAGATGTGGGCTTCAGGACTCGTTGGGAGTGCTGTAGGAGGTATCCCCAACGTTGTTTGAGTGGACTGAGCAATTTGATTCGGATGATCTTTGTGAAGTGGATTGCAATTGCGAGATCTTGGTTGGTTTCAAAGTGACGGTGACGGCAGCAAGTCAAAGCAGCCCTGGCCGGTGACTTTTGGGTTGCACACGGAGGCTTGGCGAACCCGTCGTACCCGGATATCTGGCTGGCCTACTGGATGTGCACCCTTGCGCACCATGTCCGGATGGGGATTCTGTGAAGCATTCCGCAAAGTTGGGCAAGGAGGTAGAAGATGCATATGGGGATGCATACCTGGTGTCTCCTGCAGATATATATCCATCCCCATATTCGCTGCACACACGACAGCATGAACACAATGCCAGCATCCACCGACAAGCCGACAGCCAGGCTTCCCAGTACTCTTCCTATAGTTCTTCCTACGCAGGGTACAGCGGCAGCGCTAGTCAGTCTTTCGCTATGTGAATATCTTTGCTTCCGGGGTCCCCGATCTGATCGACCTCAACCATAGAGGTCCGGCTCCACAAAAAGCCCAGATTCTCCATCTACTTTACATTCTACGCTTTTCGCTCTTCACGGTCTTCTTCTTCTGGTTCTCCTTGTCGAGCCTCTGTTTTTCCAGCAACTCTTTGTCTCGCTGCACTTTCTTCTGATGATCGGCCTGCGCTTTGGCTCTGTAAGACCGAAGTGCAAGGTAAGTTGACCTGGGAAGGTAAGGCGCGGTACCCTAAGACGCACCTCTTCGCCTGTTCTTCCTGCCGTATCCGTTCCGCATTATCGTTTTTAGCTAACACTACCGGAAATGGAGATCAGCCCACCACTGGCGCAATGAGATGGTCCTGGTTAGTGGCCTCGCATACTCACAGTCTCTCTCACCGCCCTTTTTCCGTGTAGACACGGACTCCGCCGCCCCATCAGCTGTTTCGACAATATCGTCCGTCTCATATGCGTACTGCCATCGAAACTATTCAGCTTGTCAGCACTCATCTAGCTACTTCAATGTTCTATTTACCTGCGCTAGTAACCGTTCTCGGGCCAGTCTTTCGGAACTTGACATGGCCTTTTTCGTCTTTGATTGATCGTCGTGCTGGGGGTCTTTGGATGAACGATTCGATTGCAATGCCTCCAGTTCCTTCTCTACAAAGGAATTATAGGAAACGCAGCCATAGGATCCATCCGGTTTCTGCAGGTGGCAACGTACGCTTCGCGGCTTCTAATGCCTTCAGTCTTTCCTCCTCTTCTCGCTTGGCCGCCTTTTCCCGAAACTCCGCATTTCGCTTCAACAGCTCGTCGACGACTGGCTCCACGTTCGCTTCGTCGGACGTTGCCTCACCGAGGAACTCCACTATCACTTCGCGTTTTTCCTCTTCCTCTATCGTATCCTGTTCTACCCCGTTACATGCCACCAGTGAGAAGTTGCACTAGTTCGCCCAGAAGGAAAGGTGTGGGGCACGTGGCGCCGCAAAAGGCAAAAGCGGCGAAAGCTACAAACCTCAGTGCAGAGTTGGGTTATATATTCAGCAAACGTCTAGACAGCGGAATATGCGACCACGTTGTTATTGTTAGCACATTGGCCGAGGTGGGAAGCATTGTCAGTCACGACAGCCTACCTCGTCGGTAATCTTCAGTTCACTCTCCAGCTTGCTGGCCAGCCAAGTATCCCAGTCAATATCTGCCATTTTTTTTTGCCGCACAACCGAGTCCTCTATTCTATGGCTGCAAAGCAGACAGAGTCTTAGGGCGAATCCGGCAGTGGTCCGGTGTGCCGACCGGGGGAAAAGGCAGGGCTCATATGACCAGCGGCTCGCCGCGACGGCGCGCCGCATCTGTGACTCTTCTACCATTTCACCGACAAGGCAGGCCCCGGCTTGACGCTTCCTTCCCAACACAATTTGCGAGCATCGTCACCACCAAATCACCAGCAGGTAATAACCACAATCCCTCACCGTTGTCAGCTTCATTGCCACAGAATTGATGTGGTTTCTTTTGACACACAGCTATCCCAGCAATCAAACAACCCTGCAAGACTGTACTGATCTTGGCTGTGCTGGAGCGAGCAACTGACCTTGACACAATCATGGTGTTGGAATCAGCTTGTTCTGCTAGAGTGGTCTACAACAGACATCATCTCTAGCAGGCACGCAAAGGGACACGCTTAGATCTGTACCCACCACGGTTGCTTGAGGCAGCGTGCATTGGGGTGCCCTTGTGGTTGGCTACTGTGGTGGCCTTGTGGTTTTCACCATGGCCAGAAAACCATGCAACCGAGTTGGAGTGCAACCGAGCTGGAGATGCCTACGTCGGTGCAGCTGCTTTGAACGGGGGAGGAGGAGGTGGGGGAGGAGGAGACCAGGGACCCGGCGGGAGTGTGGATAGGAGGATTGCACAATCAGTGGCCGGTGCACCACTTCTGCTGTTCGCCGGGGGGTGCATCGCTGAGCTGAACTGAGGCAAGCGCAGAGCTGAGGCAGAGACTTATGACAGCGGCATGGAGAACCAAAGCGCCGGTGAGAATGATGTGGAGAACAAAGGTGACAACTCTTACAGCCTGCATTCGATGTTATGAATGGGCGGAGCCGATGGAAATAGAGGCGACTTGTGGTGCAGGTTGTTGACAGGTAATGGTATTCAGACCGAAACAAGAACTAGAACAAGACTAGGAAGAACTGGTGTTGATCTGCTGGGGGATCAGGAAGTGGGGAGCTCAGGGGAGGCGGCTATTTATGTTTTTCTGGGAAGGCTGGGGAAGCGTGGGGAAGCAGAAGGGTACGGAATGAGAGGGAAGCCAAGAGAAGCGCCAAGGGTGGGGAAGCATAGAAACAGAAGACTGGGGATGGGGTGGCTACGCTGAGGCTGTGGGCGGGTACGTGGGGAAGTATGGAGAAGGGTTTGTAAGCACCGAGTGTTGGGAGGTGTGGCTACGTGCGGCTGCGTGGAGAAATGAAGGCAGTAGCAGGTGTGGGGTAGCGCGGCTGCGTGCGGCTGCGAGGTTTGGCAGATGTCAGGTTTTGACAGGGAATTGACATTGACTGACTGTTGGGATGCTGTCATGAGGTAAGCGCATGGTATGGACGCGTCGTCAATAACATTCAAGGCATCAGCATCCAATATGTTGCATGGTCTAGCGGCACGGTGATGAAGCCACAACCATGATGGAACCGCTTTCTGAAGAAGACTCCCATTACTTCACGCCGCCCACCATCTCTGGTGAGATCCGATGATTAGACTATGGGTGAAAAAATGCGTGCATTTCATCAATCTCCCGAGAAGCGCATATTGATTCCCACATTCACGTAGCTTAGCTTTTTGCGAATCACTGTGGTTGGACTGTGTAGGGAGGGTCAGTGGAGGGCATAGGGGAGGGTCAGTGTATAGCGCAGTGTAGCGCTTGCCAACCTGACATACTTTGCTGCCATAGGGTCTCCCGCCTCCGGCGGCTCCCAATAGGGATAATGCCGAAGCTTTTTGCGCATGAGCCATGGGAAAACGAAACGACTGACGCTTTGACCGCATCGAGTCAAAACAATTAAATGCGCGTTATGATTTTGGCACGTGATACAAGAGCAAAAAACTCGGCGGAAGGCTTTGCGCAACGTCCAACGGTCGGCGAAACCGAAAGCGTTTGAAATTCAGAACCAGACGCTGGAAGATCACCTGCATCCGACCGTCACAATGTCTCCCGTACCGTAAGTACCCCAGCCGAGTGCTGGTTGCCAGTTGCGGAGAGCAGTCATTCTGAATTGGAACGGGTTTTCCTCGTTTAGTGAACCAGCAGCTAAGCTCAACTGGGCCGACGTCGACGAAGATAACGAAGTTGACGCCGATGCCTTGCCCGCTCCGGAGACCCGAGAAGAGGCCGATGGAACACGAGTCACAATCGAATACAAAATCAACGAGGATGGGAAGAAGGTTAAGATCACCCGAAAGACGAAATTGCGCCTGATCAAGTCTCAAGTGAACCACGCTGTTGCTGAGCGAAAGGTACGGACGGCGCGAGGAGAAGGGCGTTCCGGCTCGAGTTCTGATGGTCCTTTTTCGCTGTATCAGAAAAACTGGAAGAAGTTTGGCGAAGTTGCGGGAGTGCCAGCAGGTCCTGACGCGAACAGCACAAGTCACGCTGAGAAGGTGTTCCTGAAGCTGTCTTCGACCATCAAGGATCACGATGCCGCACCCGTGGAAGACGAGGCCGACGCGCTGAAGAAGATTTTGGCAAACGCCGGAAAGTCTAAGATCACTTGTCGTATTTGCCAGGGTGATCACTGGACCAGCAAGTGTCCATTCAAGGACACACATCAGCCTTTGGGAGACCTTGCGCCTGTGGAATCGACCGATTCTGGTACGATTTGAGTATTGTATTCAAGCTGGAGTTCGGAAATCTCCCGGACTAACCAGACCAACTTTAGTGGCGGACGTGGCCGGGGATGACAAGGCCGGGGGCAAGTATGTCCCACCAAGCTTGCGGAATCGTGGCCCTGGAGAATCGATGCGGGGTGCAGAAAGGCGAGACGAATTCCCGACCGTCCGCATTACGAACTTGTCGGAAGATGCGCAGGACCAAGACGTGAAGGACCTTGTCAACCGATTTGGACACACCTCCAGAGTGGTAAGCCATGCGAGTTGGTTTGGTTTGCCAGATAGAAGTAGCATGACTGACTCCCATCTTTTCTGTACAGTTCGTGTCGAGGGACCGTGAGACGAATCTTTGCAAGGGTCTCGCTTTCATTAGCTTCTACCACAAGGAGGACGCAGAGAAGGCTATCGAGAAGTTGAACGGGTTCGGATATGACAACTTGATTCTTCAAGTTGACTGGGCTAGAAGCAGCAGGGATTAGATGCCAGCAGATAGAAGTGGTGCATGGTGGTGAAGCGAGATCATCCCATTTCGCAGTCTAGGAAGTTGTATTTACGCCCCTTCTCCCTTTTTATTGCATCCCATAATATCAATGTATATACAACACATGTGGCAGCGGTGGAGGGCGGGGCCCTCCCGGCTTGAGTGGATGCTGACAATCGACCGGCTTTTGATCGGCGTCACTCTGTAAGTGCCACTCCAAAAAGGACTCCAAAACTATCAACCCTTCACGAAAAGATGATCAATCTGATGGCCATCAATACGCAACACAGCGAAACATATGGGCTCAATCGTTCCCCTGCAAGATATGGCGGTCAGAGTGGCACTGAATAGATCGATGCTCCCCACATGAAAATTACATACCGATCCTCGCCGCCTTCCAGAATAATCCTAGCACACCCGTCTTATTCCGATCCAGTATTGACGGGAATTGTCCCCGTATATACGTGCACGTGCATATGATGAGTAGTATCACGAACAGCAAGGAAGGGAAGTTGAACAGGGCGGACTGCAGAGTCCTTTTGTTAGCTGCAATTGACCACTTATCACATCCCAACCAAGATTGAACCGTTCGCCCCAATACCTACCATATTGTATCGCGGCGAGGTTTGGGGCTGTCGGTGGAGAGTGTTCTAGAGCAAGGGCCTGCTTGAGGTGGGCTGGAATAGTACGTATTGGCAACGGGCAATGTCAAAGGGAAATTGAAACGGCGAACGAAGAGACGAAGTCTGCGCGACTGACCTTAGGCTGCCCATTCGAATCCCATTTCACTTTCCCACGCTCCATTCTTCGACCTTTTTCGCTTTATTCCACACCACTGAGCAATCTAGGCGAGAACCCGACCAGGACTGTCGCCCTCTCGAGGACGTCTTTCCGCAGGTATCGCACGCCGGACTTATCGCTGCTCGAGCCTTCAGGACTTGTGGGGTGAACCAGTCGTCTGGTGGTCGTCTTGGTCGTCCATCCTCAAGTCTGCTTTGCGTGCCACTTCGTCCTCAACCGTTTAGCCAAGTCGATAGCTAGCGCTCTTCCCTAGGATCTTGGCCATGGCAGAACAAACAGCTCTCATGCTGCTGAACGCAGCTCGGACGGCCGCAGATCCGGCACAGCGGCCCGTAATCCTCCATCAGTTTCACGAACTGATGAAAAGGGAACCCCTCCTCTTACCAACGTTCTATCCGCACGCATTGGGGCTGGCAGTGGATCCATCTCCGCAACTGAGATCTGGACTAGCAAGACTGGTGGAAGACACGATTTGCAGAATGACTATCCCAGATGAGTCCAAACTGCTAGGTATGCGGGTTCGGCAGTTGGCACTTGCAATTATTGGAGTCCGGGTGGAGGCCCTTGTTAAAGTCTACACTGAGAGGATGACAGAACGACCTTTGGTCGTGTCTAAATAATCATATTCATTTCATTTGCTCCCCTGTTGATGGATTCCAGTCTCTGCGCGCAGTGTTGAGGCCCTGGTCTTCTTGCTGAACGATGGTAACGCAGAGGTGATCAAAAGAGTTATCCGGAGTCTCACATCCATATATCCTATCGTTTTCAAATGGCTGTGAGTCCTTCCATTGCGCATTTATAGCAAAGGGGGTTGTCATTGAACGGTTTGCCCACGCTTTAGATGTCGGCTGCCCGCAGATCCAACCATATGGCAAAATTTAGCGACGCTGAAAGGCAAAGCGTTCGGCCTGCTAGTGCATTTCAACGATGGAGTCAGAGAGAGCGTCGTACGCTTCCTACACAGGCTAACAGCTGTACAATCTTTGAAAGACGACAGCGTGGTAATTCTCATTGAACCCGTCTTCCGTTTCGACCGCGGCTTACTTGGATTTCTCCCTTCAGGCCGCAATAGGTGTTGATGGTGTGTCTCTAGACCTCGTTCCTCCGAATCATCCGTTCATCAATGCTGCTGAGATGAGCACAGAGGCAGTAGGGGTGTTTGCTCGACTGCAAGCGTTCCTCAATATCCCGGGGGTGTACGTTGTCGGACTCAACCCTTAGAGCTTGGACTCGCGCGTGCTACCGACCGGCGTTCTGATCGTATTCACTTCCATAGTTCTGCAGGGCCACTCACCGCGAACATTAACTGCTTGGGGGGCCTGATGAAGATCAGACCGCAGTATACCCCTGCCGTCCTGACAACGCTTATACAGTGGGCGGTGACCCCGTCGCCATTGACGCCAACCCAGCGCAGAAGCGTCGAAAGGACCATCAAAATCGTTTTACTGGCGGCATTAAGGTACATTCCGTTGGACTTCGTTAGGCGTGTCCCGTCCGCCCGCTCAAGATGTGGTAATCACAGGATGAATGCCGCCGCGCCTTTCATGCCCGTCTTGACTGAGGCACTGATGAAGTTGGGAGCAAAACCGCACGAGTTGCAAAGCAGGCGACGTGATTTGAAACGACCGGCGCCCTCAGAAGTCCCGCCTGTAACCGACACGAAGCGCCCGCGAACTGACACTCCTCCAGTGGATACAACCTCTGCTGGACTCCAGACACCTGCAGCGTCACTTCCCCCGGATGCATGGAAGGCTATTGATGTAACAAAATTGCCTGCAGCACTTGTTGCGCAACTTGTAGTGCAGATCTTGGCGTCTTGCAATCAATCCGATTGGGAGAGGGGATTGCAGGTTTGGCGGACAGTTCAGTCTACCGTTGCGTCAGATATCAAGGTACTAACCACCTTTTTTAGAGGTTCAGTGATTTTACCAGCACGGGACGTGCCCCTCTACAACCTGGTAACCTTCAGATCGCCGAGGGTTCCTCATCCGCCGATACTACTATAGTGAAACAGGAGCCGCACAATCCTCTTGAGCAGGATGACATTGAGGAAGAGCTCGACAGCGGCATCTATAAAGAGGCAACTCCCGTACCCCTCGCAGCCCCCGGAGCCGATGCTAGCAAAGCCGAGCCCGTTGATACTTCGCCACAAGAAGACGAGATGGCTGACATCGATGAACAAGCCAGATCCGCGGTCTTCACCATGTCGGACGAAGACAAGGCAGAACTCACTCACGAGCAGCGTGCGGCGATAATAAAAGGATCTGTCGCGCGAATACTACAACTGGAAACTGCTTTTATGGGACAAAATGCAGTTGCAGTGAACGGAACGGATGCAACCTCTGATGCTGCCATTCGGAATGCCGCATCCGCCAAGAACGCCTGGATGGTAATTTTGTCCCGCTTGACCACTCGACTGAGTGGGCGGGGCGTTAGCGGGGGAACTGAGGGGCACGATCTACCTAGCGGGCAGAAAGATGAAATCAAGACCATCATCGTTGAAACCCTACTCGAAGATTTCCGCGGGAGGTGAGGCCTCGTTGTCAGTCCCCAGCTCAGCCCTATATATGCGCAAGTCTTACACACTTCCATTGCAGACTGGACTTAGCCGTTATGTGGCTGCACCATCTGTGGCTTTCCGATCAAAAGTCATTACATGCCGATAGTCCTACATCGGACGGGCAGGAAAGCTTGTCGAGCTCGGAATATGCCAAGTGGTTGCACATTATCCTCGATTCTCTGAAAGAGAAACTGGATCATAAGGATAAAACGTTCGCCAAATTCCTTATCGACGTTCCCGAAGTCACTCCCGAAGCCATCGATAATGTCGTAAGGGGTTACTGCGAAAGCGCAGAGCGGATGCAGCTCGGTCTATTTACCTTGCAAGGGTTAATCAACCACAGACCTGCTGTCCGCGACCATGCGCTCCGGCTCCTGCTAGACTATAGTGTATACTCCGTACGTCTGACACGGTCAACGGCCATTGTGATGTGTAAACGGATCTATAGCGATCATAAGGTTCTTGGACAACAAATCGAGATGTTCGCCATCGAGTGCCTTCATAAGTTGAAGACAGCCCCTCCCATCAAGACAGTCGTCGTTTCCGAAGAAACGATGGAAGTGAAGCCAGAGCAGGAAACAGATCGGACCGGCGGAACACTTCAGGACGTCGTTGGAAATATACAGGTGAAGAAGGAGGTCAACGCCGAGGATATGAAGCCCGTACAGAGCGCCGCGAACGAGTGGCATGACGACGATGTGATACCACTTCTTGAACTGTATTTCGCGCTTTGCAGCAAGAACCACGATCTTCTGCTGGAGTAAGTTGACCGATGTCTTTCGCACACTGCCATCTCCGAAGCTCATCCGCTACCTTTGCAGAGTATTCCATCTTTACAAGGACTACTCACCGCCGGTACAACGTGCGTTGCGGACTGGCATAGAACCCCTCATCAAAGCGCTGGCAGCTCAACCGGCACGTCTGTACCCAATCATTCGCGCATTTCCGGCAGGATCAGACGCGCTGGCGTTAAAGGTGCTGACCTGTCTCACGGAGAAAGCTACACCTACCCCACAACTTGTTGGGATTGTGCGGACGGTCTTCGTTCAAAAACACCTCAGCGCACACTTCATTATACCAGTAATGTCCATGCTCAACAAGGTATGTGGTTCTCTGCTACCCATGTTTTGGCCATTCACCTGTGGCATGCGGCAGCCACGTAGTTATCACTGATTACTGGGCTCGGTCTTTGCAGAAGGAAGTCTTACAATATTTGCCGAACATCGTAAACTTATTGGATGGAACTGAGACGCAACGCAAACACGTCCGGGAAGCGTTCTTGAGGATGGTAGATGCCAGTCCAGCGGAACTTGACGCATCATCGCCTACGTCAGAAAAGGCACCTGCGGGAAATCATGTGACCCCATCAGAGCTGCTTGTTTTGTTGCACAACATGGAGGAGACTGTCGGCCTGAAGCGGGCGGTGGAAGGTAACGGGCATCGACAATTAATGGCACATCGTCTGCCCGCGTGCTAATCGAGTTGTTTACGATACAGCGACAAGCATATGTTTGGCAGCTCAAAACGTTTTCAAGCAGGAGGTCTTGGCAGTCGTCCTTCAACAGCTCGTGGATCAGTCGAAACTACCGACCCTCTTCATGCGAACGGTCATCCAAACTGTGAATCAGTTCCCGGGATTGACAAATTTTGTCGCAAACATCCTACTGAAACTCATTAACAAGAAGGTGTGGAAGTTTCAGAAACTATGGGAAGGATTCATTCGGTGTTGCACGGTAAGTGAATATTGTGCATTTCTGCGTGTCTGCTGTTTCGGGCGGGGATGGGAGGCGTTAGCGCACGGCGTGCAAAGGGACGTATCGATAGTTTGCGGCGGATGGGAACGCTGGGCTGGCAGCGCTGTTTGTGCACAATCATGTATACAATCCCTTGCCCCACTCGTTGGTTGGTCAAATACACGCTTTGTCGTGGTTGAACTGCCGGACCATTCCGAATTTACGACGGCCGAAGGATCTCGACTGGCGGCATCGACATGACTGCGACCCGATGACACCCGACTTTACACGTAGATATGGACTCATCGGCATTCACAGCTTGGAAACTCACAACCGACCCTTCCTCTTCCCCATCATTCCCCCACAATTTCGTGTACTTCACTCAGATAATATTCCCATCGTCAACCCAACTCCTGCAATCATTACCGCGCGAACAAGCCCAGGACGCTCTGAAACGATCCCCAAAGCTTAAGCACTCTCTCAACGAGTACCTCACGAATCTGAGTCCAGAGGAGCGAGTTCGGAGAGAAAGAGACGTTGTTGCGCTGAAAGCATTGCTGGGTGTTGATGGGGAAGCGGATGGCCTGCAGGTGAAAATGGAGAGGGGGGATGAGGGCGAGAGGTGAGGTTGGAACAGCATTGGTTTATACCGGCATTCTAGCATAAAAGCAGCGGGTGGGAAGGAGGGCGAGCGAGGCGATCAGTTGCATCCTGCACATTCTGGTCGGTCGGGCAATATCAGGAAGACCGATGGCCGAAGGTCATTGCGCTCCCGTCTTGCCAATACTCTAGCGAAGCAGTTCCTCACGAACTGAACAAACAGACGCACTGAAGCCCCTCACATGTACATATATCAGAAACTTGTACTAATGAATCCATTATCATCATACGACGTCGATACCGCTTGTACGATTCCTTTGCCATAGGAGTTGTGAAGATTGGGACAGGTTTACGCCGTCGAAGGTTTTTTCACACTGGTTCCGGTTATTCAATAAGGAAGTCCCCGACAATCCTTAGTGCGTCCATTGCTTGCCTTTGAACCTTGACGGTGCATGAAGCATCAGCTTCACAATTTGAAAGCATTGATGTACCGCACGTCGGGGCGGGGCGGCGTTTTTCTTATCCAACTCTGGGCGGTGACTGCATCATCGATATCGGCCGAGACTGGAGCAAGGTTCGAGATAGGACCTCAAAACGCCAAAGTTCATCGAAGTTGTTAGGCCTGGAAGATGTACATAGCCGGCATTAGACGGCATCAAACTTTCTAAGAACGCATTTGAGTCTTGACAACATCACGCACCACTGTTGCTGGGCACTTCTGCGATCTTTGGCCAATTACATCATGGGACTTGCTTTTTGATGCAACGCTGGTCTTGAACGATGATATGCATTTCAGCATTTGAGGAAGTAAAACACAAAACGCGGACTGTTCGGAAGAGCATTTATGTTGCAATTCAAACCGTTTCATCCTTTGCCTCACTCGCAAAGCTGATCGTGCGAGATTCGCCACTTGAGCTGCTCCCCTCGCCGTTACCAGGCGCCCCTCCCTAGAACTGTTCTCTACTGGCAGGACATTTTCTGCGATCCCGAAGAGTCATTATGCCATGCAATCGTTAGAAGTGGCCGGCAGAGTGTACATGAAGAAGTCTCTTCATCATGTCACATCACATCCCTCACTCTCGGTCGCTCGCTACATCCGACGCACTTGTTCTGGTTTTGCTCGTCAATGTTCTTGATTACTTCGGATTTGAAATCCTTTCCTTCGTGCTCTGCAGCAGAATGGTTCCAAAAGCAAACGAACACTGACCCCCGTCCCCCCCTTTTCTCAGTCCGTCCCACGTGGCCCGTCCCTTCCTTCGGCGGGGGGTGTTGAAAGCAGCTGGGTATTATAAATGGGACGGAGCTGCGCTGGATTGTTGTCAACCATTAGCTCCATCAACCTGTACTGACGCTATCCGCTCTGAAGGAAGAAAGGGCAGGACTCGCATTCATCTCCTGCCGCTCCCCTGCCGCTCTGCTGTCGCGCTCCTGCCGCCCTCCCACTCCTCCCCTATCCCTCTCCTGTCCCGCCAGGAGTCGACCTTCCAAAGTCCGTTTGGGAAACGTCTTGGTGATCGTCGGATTTCACTTCTGGGGATTACGCAAGACGCGCGCGTCAACGCCCACAGCCTTCATCTCGTCCAGTGCATGGCTCGCGTCCCGTTTCCGCCCTTATGATAGCCCGCATCGCGTTATTCTACGGCTTCACATATTATCCCCGGGCCAAACAACTTTCTTTGAACCCTTCTCACGTAGAGGAATCCTGTCCCGATGCATCGCGTGGCTTGCTGGTCCTGTCCGCAGGCCTCGTTTGGTTGTCGAATACTTTGTAATTGCTGGCGCATTCAATGAAATATCACCCCTTGGGGAACAAAGTTGTCACCAGGTTTTGGACGACTACTAACCCGCACATGCAAAGACCTATGGACCTGGCGCGCCAGGGGAATTGGAGCAGGGCACTTGTAGTGTATATGGTAAAGTGTACGGCAGGCGCTCAGAAATGCCCATCGAGTTTGGCAAGTCTGTGCTGCGTGAAACGTGATGACGGCGTTCCCTGTCGGAATCGGGAATTTACAATTGAGACGCGCTGTCGTGTTTCGAGACAGTCTGAAACAAAATGACAGCCGTCAGTTTTCGGGTTCTCTTCCAATGTGAAAAAAATGTTTCGATAATTCATTGCAGTCAATGTACATGAATAAGCACCCAAAGTACGTACAAAGGACGTAGGACGTCAAATTGTCTAGATTCAGGACCACGGGCAAGTTTCTAGATACGGGTTTAGGGAAGGTGGAGAGCCAGGCTCGGAATACGGCGAGAACCTCTTCCCTTCCCCGCCAAAGGAGACCCCACAGAACCTCTATATCGCCAAAGGGTACAAGACAGGGAGAAAAAAAGAGGAGCCAACCCAAAACGGTAAAGTTCTCAGAAAGTGTAGGACAAAACAGTACGCCGATAAAAGTAGAAAAGTCCATGTCCTCTCTCTCCCTGTCTTTCCCCATCTCACGAGAACGGCGATGAAGGTTCCCTCATTCCCCCCTGTGCTCCACGCCCAGCCGCAGCGGCAGCCAGCTCGTCGTATTTCGGGTCGAGAAGAGCGCGTACGGCTAGGGCGTCCATATACTCGTCGTAGCGGTCATCGTCCTCGGTGGGCACGTAGTATTCGTAGTCCAGGTCGCCAGGACGCGGGGAGCCGTGCGAGTCATTATCGCTGTCGTCCATCGCGTCTTCGTCCTCTGGTTCTGTTTCTTCGTCTTCGTCCATGTCTGATGATGTGTGTGTGGTGTGGTTGTTATTATTGGTGTGTGTGCGGGTATTGTTTGTGGTATGTGTGGTACGAGCTTTGACAGGTGTGGCTAGACCGTGTCGGACCCTCGTGGTATGGTGGCTTGCTTCACGTTGTTGCTGTTGTTGTTGAAGCAGCTGTTGTTTTCGACATTGAGCGTCATAAGCTGCTTGCCGTTCTCGCTCTGCACTTCGGCGGGTGCATTCCATCAAGTTAACGGGGTCTTGCCAGCCAAGAATGGCGGTGACGGCTTGAGTGCACGCTAGTATTTCATTCTGTTGTAATGAAGTTATAGATGGGTAGGAGGTCAGTTTGAATCCAGTCGTGAGGTAGCAATGGGGGTGATTACCATGCGGGGTATGCTGACATTGCTGACCAGGGCGGCTGTTTCGAGTGATCGCGAATTCAACTCATGGCACAAGAGCTCGTTGAAACCATCAATTTTGTGCCATTGGAAGGAGCATTTCAGAGCGGCAGCGGCCTGTACGGAAGGTTTGTATCGTACAAAATGGTAATCTGCGAAAGAGAGAGTCGACGTTAGGAATGGGGACGACATAGCACGAGGTAAAAGAGCGCAGCTCCACCTTTCTGCAAGGCATTAAGCCATTGATCAGCTTTGACAAACAATGTTTCTTTCATTGCCGTAGGTATAGGAAAGATCTCCAAGTAAAGTTCCAAAAACATGTTGGGTGTTGGTGGGTTGAGTAACCATTCTAGCACCCCGAGAACCCATAGTTCCATTCCCTATGTGAGTTGATGGGGATGTCAGTCTCCGAATGACTTGCTTATGGATGAAAGACAAACACGCATGTTACCTTGAGGCTCTCGGAGGAGAATGCTCCTGCTGCTAGTTCTTCGAGCTCAGTGCAGCCTGGTGAACGCGTCTCAACACTCTTACTAGCAATCATGAAGCATGCTGCCCCCAGTGCTTGATATTGGCCGAGTAAGAGCGGTCGCTGACTACACACTCTATCGACGAGATTTACTGCCAACTGTAAAGGAAGGGGATGGGATCGTCGCGTTAGCAGACACGAAGAAGTTTGGAACACTCGACAAATGCTTCGAACGGTCCCCAAGACGTAACACTGCGCGCGACTGTGCTTGATCACCGCCTGCTCTCACCTGAAATGCTTCACTATTTGCCCGGAAGTAGTGTCGCGAAATCTCATAAAGCCACTCGACCAGGTCACTCCGGTGTTGTCTCTTAATCTTTCTGGTTTCCGGGCCAGGGGCAGCGTCTTGAACCTCTTCGAGGAAGCGCTCGTTTATCTTATAGTAGCGCCTGTTCTCTTGACTGAACAGGTATAGTTTCTGAAGGTCAGCCAGGTCTGCGTCTCTTGCATTTCGTGGTGGGGATGGGAAGGGCTGGGGTTGCCGTTGTTGTTGTGCTGGCGGTAGTTGGGCAAGTGTCTGTGTTACAGGACGAGACGGCGCTCGGACCGACATGGGGGCAGCAGCTCCAGACGAGGCCGATGGCCAGTGAGGGTCATTTCGAGTAACGGCGAGTACGCTGGCGTCAGCTGTCGCAGAACGCATTGCTTCGTATATGTTGCGAGGCGGTATGAGCACTTGCTTTGGCTTATGGACGAGACCTTGGAGGCGGCGGGTCAAAGAGCGAGTGTGCTCGACGATATGCTCAGCACCGATCTTTTTGTCCGAGAATTTGTGTTCCTTGCATAGGCTTTTGAATTCCGACGGGGAGGGTTGTGAATGAAAGGATGCCCTGCACACGCGAAGACTACAAGACAGAGAGATGGCTGTGTGTCGTCCGTCGTCTTCTTCCACCGAACAGAGAGGCTACCGAGACGGTTGAGACGAGAAGGTAGCTACGGAACGGAACGAGAGGCAGGCTGAGGTTCCTGGAAAGAATGGGCCTGGGAGAGGGATGTTTGGAGCAGGCACAAGTGCGAACGACGTACGTCCGAGAAAGCTCAGCAACAGAGAGCGACAAGGAGAGCGAGAAAACAAGCGCACCCGCGCACCCTCTCACCCTAACAGTTCGTGAGTGGCGCACACCCCCTGTGAGGGTATTGCGAGGGCCTCATTGAGACGGGGCCCATGGTGCGCGTGTCTCGCTCCTCAAGTGCGCTGTGATGTCCGAAGCGAAGGAGACGAGCAGACGGACAACAAACAAGGACAATCAATCGACCACTCGTTGGTCGGACATGGGGTCAACTCGGGCGCGGAGATAAACTCAGGCGCGCGGTCACGTGTGTCGCATGCGAGCGAGAGAGGGAGAGGCAGAGAGAGAGAGAGCGTCATGCTCGCTCGGGACCTTCTTGGGCTGCTCATAAGACCATAGCAAAACGTCTCACGGGCTCGCAACATTAGAGTCGCCACTCCCGGAAGTACACTGGTAGAACGAGCGCTCGGCCATGTCCTCGAACCGCTCCGTCCGGCGGCAGGCCAGCTTTCCGCCAGAAAAGCCCGGTAACAGCAGCACCACCACGAACAATGGCAACAACAACAACAACAACAACGAGTCTGCCACCCCTACGGGAGTCACAGCGCCCACTGCCTCTTTCCTTCGGCGTAGGGAAGAGAACTTGCAAAAGATAGCGGAAAGGGAGGAGGCAACTCGCCAAGCCGCAGCAACCAGGAACGCCCTTGCAAGAAGGTCCCGGCAGTCCTTGAAAAGCGACACCTCCGCCACTTCGTCCCCTCAGTCGACTCTTGCGTCAAGTCCAAAACCACTGGCGAGGCGAACCTCGGCGTCCGGGTCAAAACCGGCTCAGGAACGGACCTTGAGGAGAACAAAGACGTTCGAAAATGTGTCAGAACCACCCAGCCCACGACCCGAACGTGAACGACCGTCTTCTCTGGTGTTGCCAGTCCCACTCCCGATCCCTGCCGAACCTGCAAACACTGGAATTGTAGCGGGGATGAACCCGGAGCCGGCAGTGGCGCTACAATCCACTGCCAAGGTCTTTGAAGCCGCCGCCTACATGGCCGCCAAACGGCAGGATGCTGTGTTGATTGTCGATGAAGACAGCCATCTCGTAGGGATTCTTACGGATAAAGACCTTGCGTACAGGGTGGTGGCTGAGGGGCTTGATGCCCAGACAACGCTGGTCTCACAGGTCATGACTGCTAATCCTGTGAGTGTGACCAGGTCAACAACATCGACCGACGCACTAAACAAAATGATTGGAGGGCAGTTCCGTCACCTGCCCGTTGTAGAGAGTGATGATGAGAACAGTGACGACGACGATGAATATGAGGACGATGACGATGAAGTCCATCAAGAGCGGCTCTCGCGGCGCCGGCACTCCCAGGCGTCCACCGCGGCTTCGACCGCCACCGGAGGCGGCGTCGTGGGTGTTTTGGACATTACCAAATGTCTCTACACAGCGTTGGAAAAACTGGAGCGCGCGTACGAGTCTTCGCGCAAACTAAACGAAGCCATCCAAGGTGTCGAGCGCGAGTGGTCTATCAAATCCGGTTCAGGCTCCATAGGTCGCTACGCAGAAGTACTCCGCGATCAACTGGCATGTCCTGACTTGGCGGGCCTGCTCGCCACACAAAGTGCCAGTCCGCCGGTGATTGGAGTGGAAGGGACGATCCACGAAGCTGCTCAGAAGATGAGACAAAGCCGCGAAACCGCCGTGCTAGTGTTTGATGCCGACGAGGACGGTATGGGGACACTGGCCGGAATTTTTACCAGTAAAGATCTTACCCTGCGCGTTCTGGCCGCTGGTCTGGACCCCTCGACGACGCTCGTCTCTCACGTCATGACCCCGCATCCGGACTGCGTCACGCCTACGACGCCTGTCGTCGAGGCTTTGAGGAAGATGCATGCGGGCAAATACCTCCACTTGCCTGTGATTGACGAGAATGGGGTTGTCGAGGGTTTAGTGGACGTGCTCAAACTGACATATACCACCCTGGCCCAAATGACCAATGTGCAAGGCGAGCCCGGCGAAGGACCCGTATGGAACAAATTTTGGGCCTCCGGAACCGGCGGTGCAGAAGCCTACGACCCCTTCACCGACCAGATCCGCCTTCGAGGCGGCCACAGCGAAGGGCGCACCAACAGCCTCGTCGACCTCGAGCACGAAGGCGACCAGGAGGACGGCGACGATGACAAATACTCCGAACTATCCTCTCACGTCCTCCGCACCTCCCTCCCTTCCACCTTCAACTTCCCGGACGACTCGACCGTTGCCCCAGACGATTCGGCGAGCATGTCGCCCCGACGAACCCTTAACCGCCGCAGTCTCTTGCTCCACAGCCATAACAACTCACACCACCTTGCTCACAATACCTCCCACCATCACGGTGCGGCACCTTCCCACCTCACACCCGCCCCAACAACTCTCTCCACAACCTCAACCCCGCTCCCACCCCACCTGTACACATTCAAACTCACCCACCCCATCACCCACCAAACTCACCGCTTCACCTCCCCCTTCGATTCCCTCCCCACTTTACGCCAGATCATCGCCCGTAAGCTAGGCGTGAGCGCCGCGCAGCTCGGGGGGTTGAGTTATACCGATGACGAGGGCGATCATGTTGCGGTTGTGGATGATGAGGGGCTGGTTGATGCGGTGAGAATGGCAGCCGCGGGGGGGTGGGGGAGGTTGGTTGTAAACGTGGAGCTGGTGGGGGGAAGGGAGGAGGGGGGGGATGCAGGGCGGGAGGGGAGGAGGGAGGGGAGGGGTATGATGAGTGTTCTGATGGGTGGTGGGTTAGCCGTGGCGTGTGCGTTTATACTAGGGAGGAGTTTCAGGTAGCATGGACCACCGCTTGAGAGACGGCAAAGGCTTTGCAACACCTATTATTGACTTAGGCGGCGTACAAGCGTACGACTCATGTATATATTGGCTCGGATTTCGGGGACCTTCCTCCACCATGTTCTGACGTATGGCGCTACTTCATGTAAATAAGTTTGCTCTTCTTTTTTGGACTTCTATGCAACACAGACACTTTTTGATCACTCGAGTGTTAAGCTGACGATGTATTGTTCCTCTGTCATGAACGTCCTGTTGACTCAACGAGTGTCCAATGAATGTCCTTACAGCTAGTTCGAGGTGTGTCCCCTCTTCCTCAACTCTTTAACCACACGAGAATCAGAGATCAAAAGCATCCAAGAAGATCTGGTTCTCAGCACCCTCCAACAATCGCGTGACGGGCACCTGCGGGGGACGGTCGTTTTGTTTGATGTATTCCTGTAATTTGAAACGTTAGTGCGCCATCTGTGCTTTTAAGGGATGGAAGCATTGCGAAGTGGTGTACCAGTGCGTATTGCAAGGATTTCTTGCGTTCTTCAGCGTCAGTGGCTTTTCCGACCCATACGAAGACTGTAATACGGGAATCGGTTACGGCGTGCGTTCTTCCACATTTACAGGCATTGAGGTGGTGATGGAGGGAGATCAGCAAACTCGTACCTTCGACTCCACAATCAAAGACAAACACATCATTCCCATCCAACGAAGTCATCTTGACTTTGCCCTTCGCCTCCTCGCTAAACTTCAACTCGCCACCAGCGTTGGACAAGCGGAACAGCGCCTTCTCATGGTTCAGATCGGTCAAGGAGGTTGCCTTGGCTAGACGCGCGGCTCCCTCGGCAGCTGAAGCGATCGGGCCCGATGTGCCGCCCAATTTCGCGTAGAAGCGGGCGGTGTCGGCTTCGCGTTCGTCTGCAATGCCCAGTCGTGTCAGTAGGAAGGGGCGTTGACGCGACAAGCGGTGCCATCACATTGTGCCTACCGAAGACAGTAACACTAGCCCCCTTCCTCTCATCATCCAACTTCCTCACATACTCCGCCGCCTTATTCCTCTCCATTCCCGCCGACTCGGCCCCATTCCACTGCCAGATCTCCTTGCCGCCATCCAACACAAACACGTCGCCCGAGTTGAGGCTCGCTGTGGTCGCAGGCACCTGTTTGACGATGAGCGTCTTTGCGGGCTTCTTGCCGGGGAGGCAGGGGGTGGTCGAGGGGAGGGTGTAGATGTGGAGGAGGCGGGGGGTGAACTGTTTTTCTTGCTCGACGTGGCGGAAGCCGGTGTTGGTGCCGCCTTCGAGGATTGTGAAGAACTGGGTGGTTGGATGGGGTGTGAGGATGAGAAAAGGGGATGGAGGAGCGGACTTGGACATGTTGACCGTGTAAACGCACCTTGAAGTACGACAAGAACAACATGGATTCGGCTCCTTGAACCTAAATCGTCGCTTGCCACATAAGTGTCAACCCACAAGCCCTAAAGAAATCATCTTAAAGTCACCTCGCGATGCTGGACAGCCGAGGTCCTCAGAACTGGGAATATCCTTCCGTCAGCACCAAACAATACGTTCCAGGATCCACGTCAACCATCATGAACGTACAATCATCGAGCTCCACAGTCTTGTAAGCCGCAGTCCCCGCTTCGTCCTAAGACCGAGATTGCTATATCAATCACGCGTCCTGACGAGCATGATCGCATCCTATGTTTACCTGCGTTGTCTCAAGACCCAGCCAGAAGTGAACATCGTAGAGCAACGCGTCGGTATTGGGCTTCTTGTACGTCTGAACTCCATCGGATGAGCATGCATGCATTGACATGAAACCTCATGAAGACGGGTAGCCTACGTTCAGCACAATGTAAGAGTCCCCGGTATGAAAGCTGCCATATTGAGCCTCGGGCCACGCGACCACTTTGAACTGCTCGATGCGCCAGACTCGGAGCCCGCTGTGATTTTCATCGATGTCACTGGGCTAGCCCAGGTGAAGACTTTCCAGTTTTCCAACGCTTACGGCTTCTTCCCAACGCCCTCCCAAGCCTTCTCCGTCTCAGCGGCCGAAAGACGAACTTTCTTCTCGAGCTGCAATACAACATACAGTACGCTTCCCCCCGGTGAGATGAACGCCACGATGATGGTTAACTGGTATGACGCAAGTAAGGCTTACGTCTGTTCCCAAACCGGCGATGTTGGTCTCACTGAGGTCTACAGGGAAACTACGTGAGAATTGGGTCCTTCATCTACTCGCTTTCCAAAGTAGCATTCTCAAGATGGACTCAGATGGGAGAATACGCGTGGTACGAGAGCAGCACCTGACAAGGCACGTACCCAACTGTCTAACTTTGTTCATCTTGGAGATATCGGCTTTGGCAGCGAGGTGCAGGATGGGCTACTGTACTGTACAGTAGTCAGACCTTTCGGGAAAGCAGCGGCGGGGAAGATATGGAGGAGCGAGAGGCAAGCCGCAGACAGGAGAGCAGGAGGAGGCGAGGGGAAAACACCATACGGCACAGCTTTATAACGGGTTGGAGTACATACGTCACTGTTCTCTTCGCCACTATTTACGCCAATCCCGACCGTTTGTTGGAAGGTTGGATTGCACGCGCGTGAGGATGGTTAGTAACAACCGCTGCGTGCGCCGGAGATGGCCGCCACGTCAAATTGTCAAATTGGAACTTGGAGGAAGCATTTGCCATTCCACCAGCCAGCGAACACCGCTTCGAAACCCTGAACGCATATCACCCGCCTCAGCGCCCATCGCATTCTACCAGTTCTCTCCTCCTGAACTCTGCTGTTTTGAGGGTCTATCTTTTGGAACAATGTCTGCAGCGGTTGCTAAGCCCAGCACGAAGCTGCTCCAGTAAGTAGCCAGCGGATCACTCACCTTCTACCCCACGATCCCTCTTTAACACCCTGCTTGTAGGAACTTGGTAGCCTCGAAGACTGTGGCGGAGTCCTCCCTTCACGTAAAGACTCCTAAAGAGTGGCATATTTACGGTTTTCCCATTCTGCCGCTGTATGCCGTCTGGTTCTATGTCTACTTCATTGCCTACGAGCGCTTCTTCTCCGGTCCTGAGGTCGGAAGGCTCCTGTTTATCCTGGTCGGCGCCATCCACTCCTTGGCCTTCCTTGTCTGCCAATGGAGCGTGAAAGCCGCCGCACGTCTAACCTGCAAAAAGGTGAGTTAGGATGGACGATTGTCCGCCACAGATCTTCGCCGGCACCGGCAATCCGCGGAAGAACAGCAACGATAGACTCTTGCAAAGGATGATCATTCGCTAAAGATACCTCGATTGCCCGTTATATCTAGGTCACCTCTGTTCACAACGCTGAGATCATCAAAATCATCCCAACTGCTCATAACGGCGCGGGAGCACTTTGCGACATCAAGCGTGTCGAGGACCCGAAGACACACAAGAAGTTGTTATACTTCTTTTTCCAACAACGCAAGTTCGTGTACAACGATGAAACTGGATTATTCGAGAAGCTGGCTTACCCGACCGATGAGCCGCGTACGATCGAGCATTTCAGTAAGCTTCGCGGTCTCCCGTCGGAGGTCGATATTGCAGCCGCCAATGAGAGATATGGTGCCAATAAGTATGTTCTTCTGCTTGACGTGTATGGAAGAGTGCCGTCGAATCGTCTGATTGTTGACAACTATCAACTTCAGATTCGACATCCCGATTCCCACGTTCCAGGAGTTGTTCAAGGAGCACATGATGGCACCTTTCTTTGTGTTCCAGCTCTTTTGTGTGGCTTTATGGTTCCTTGACGACATGTGGTACTATTCGCTGTTCACTCTGGCAATGTTGTTTGTCTTCGAATCGACGGTCGTTCTCCAGGTTAGAGGAATATCGGGAATGGATCTCACCCGTCTATCATTCATATTAACAGCTATCCGTTTCGCAGCGCTTGAGGAACTTGCAGGAGTTCCGTTCCATGTCCATCAAACCATATCCCATCCATGTGTATCGGGCAGGGAGATGGCATCTCATTCAAACAGACCGCCTACTACCCGGAGACATCGTATCTATTGTTCGGCAAAAGGATGAGTCACCCGTGGCTGCTGATATGATTCTACTCAATGGATCGTGCATAGCCAATGAGGCCATGTTGTCTGGAGAGTCTACACCGCAGTTGAAAGAGCCGATCACTTCCCGCGAAAGTGATGACATCTTCAACCACGTGGAGGACAAAAACAACTTGCTGTACGGAGGAACAAAGGTTCTCCAGGTCACGGGCGCAAAGGAAGAAGGGGGCATCCCAATCCCGCCTGACAACGGAGCTCTCGCTTATGTCGTACGAACTGGCTTTGCCACGCAGCAGGGAAAGCTTGTGCAGACAATTATCTACAGTACGGAGCGCATAACCGCCAACAACCTCGAATCCTTACTATTCATCGTCTTTCTCCTTGTCTTTGCCATTGCCGCATCGGCGTACGTTTGGATTGAAGGCACGAAGAACGAAGAGCGCAACCGCAACAAGGTTCTATTGGACTGTATTCTCATCATTACCGCCGTGGTTCCTCCGGAACTGCCTATGGAACTGTCGCTTGCCGTCAACAACTCATTGATCGGACTGGCAAAGTCGTACATCTATTGCACGGAGCCCTTCCGCATTCCATTCGCAGGGAAAATTGACGTCGCTTGCTTCGATAAAACCGGGACTTTGACCGCCGAGAATTTGATTGTCGAGGGAGTGACGGGACTGGACCCTAACAACGTTGACCAATTGTTGAAGCCCAATGCGCTTCCCGAAAGGACGACCCAAACCCTTGCAGCTGCGCACGCTTTAGTCATGTTGGATGATGGGATCATTGGAGATCCCATGGAGAAGAACACACTTGAGAGCGTTCAGTGGGATCTGACTAAGGGCGACATCCTGCATCCGAAGGCGGAAGCCCGGATCGGGGGGATCGGGGGCAAAAACTCCCTGCGGATCCTGCGACGTTTCCACTTCTCATCCGCTCTGAAACGCATGTCCACGTTGTCCGCCCGTAACGAAGATGGCAAAGAGAAGATCTTTGTCGCAGTTAAAGGTGCACCGGAAACGATCAAAGATATGCTCGTGTCTGTTCCCAAAGGCTACGACGAGCATTACAAAACGTGGGCAAGGCGCGGAAAGCGTGTCTTAGCACTCGGATACAAAGTCGTCGACCCGAAAGGCTCTGTCGAATCGGTTGCCCGCGATCTGCACCGTGACCAAGCGGAAAGTGCTCTCCACTTTGTCGGTTTCCTGGTCTTCGGCTGTCCCCTGAAGGATGACGCCGTCAAGGCCGTCAGGATGCTCAACAAGTCTTCCCATAGAACCGTGATGATCACGGGTGACAACGCCCTGACAGCATGTCACGTCGCCCACCAAGTCGAAATTGTCAAGAATGAAGTGCTTATTGCAGACGTTTGGGAGAACGGCAAGCTTGCGTGGCGGTCTATCGATGAGAAGACCGAGTTGGAGCCCCGATTGGAGCAGACAGCTTTCGACTCTCGTCTGGAAGAGTACGATCTTTGCTGTACCGGCAAAGCCCTGGAGCAGCTTCTAGGATCTCCCGCCTTTGCATCGCTTTTGCCCCGGTTGTGGGTGTACGCCCGTGTCTCCCCAGGCCAGAAGGAGACGATTCTCACCGAGCTCAAGCAGGCTGGTTACACGACCCTCATGTGCGGAGACGGTACCAACGATGTAGGGGCTCTGAAGCAAGCGCACGTTGGTATCGCGCTGCTAGATGGCAAAGCCGAAGACATCGAAAAGATGAACAACAAGATGAAAGCCATGCGACAGAAGGCTATCTTGGAGCAGCAGGCCAAGCTGCGGGAGAAGTGGGGGTTGCCGCCAGTGGACGGCCAACCTGGACAGTCAAAGCAACAGGTTACAAACGGTCCTAGCGCGCCGGGCTCATCAGGGTCACCGGGGTCCGTCACGGCCGCTGGAGCAAACGCGACCAAACCCAAGAAACCGCCAGGATTGCAGGATACCTTGTCGGTGAGTTCACGGTTTGGTTCTATGCGCACACGTCAAGTGCTCGACATTGACCCCTATTCTTCCAGGCCGCTATGGAAGCAATGGACGACCAAGAGGGCGATGTCCCCAAGATCAAATTCGGCGATGCCTCCGTCGCCGCTCCATTCACGTCCAAGATCTCCTCCGTCATGAGCGTCGTCAACATCGTTCGTCAAGGCCGTGCCACACTGGTCGCCATGGTTCAAATGTACAAGATCCTCGCCCTGAACTGTCTCATTTCCGCCTTCTCCATGTCCGTCCTATACCTAGCCGGCATCAAGCAAGGCGATTGGCAAGCCACCATTGGGGGCATGATGATCACTGCCTGCTTCTTCGGTATCGCAAAGTCGACCGCTTTGGAGGAGCTTTCCCGCCAACGTCCCCAATCGAACGTGTTCAACCACTACGTCATCATCTCCGTGCTGGGCCAAGTCAGCTGTCACGTCGCTTCGCTGATGTACATCCAGCAACAGGCCGCGTACTACTCTGACGATCTTGACGAGGAAATCAAGCTCGACGCTGAGTTCCAGCCGAACCTGCTGAACAGTGGTGTCTACCTCGTCTCGCTCATCATGCAGATCTCGACGTTTGCCATCAACTACCAAGGACTACCTTTCCGTGAGAGTATCCGGAATAACAAGGCTTTGTACAACAGTCTCATGATTGTGGGAGGCATTGCGATTGCGGCCGCGACTGAGGTTTCCGATGAGCTGAACGAGTGGATGCAGCTGGTGCCGTTCCCTGATAAGGTATATTCCGCTGCAAATGCCCTTGCTCGCACCACAATGAGGACTTTCCATATTGATTTTCGTGTTCGCCTCCCCATAGTTCCGGACAAAACTCGTCATCACGATGGCACTTGATTTCTTCGGCGCATGGGTCGTCGAGCAGATCTGCAACTACTTCTTCTCGGATAGCAAGCCGAAAATGAGCTTGTTCCCGCGAGGAAATCAGTAGACAGGGCCCAAAAGAAGCAGATCGCTATAACCTAGACATATACACGTACCGCCGATTTCTCTTCCATTGTTAAATAGTACTACTTTCTATTTATGTTTGGCGACTCTATCTAGTGCAACTTCAATTGAAATATGTCTAGACTGGATTAGCGAGAGAATATCGCCGTTGTAGGTCCTGGCTGAAAAAATGCATGGGTCAAGTACATGTCTGTCCCAGCCGGTCCGCCTCCCATCGTTGGAGAGCTCATAATCCAAGCTCCTTCAAAAATTGTTCGGAGCATCTAGTAACCTGGGCGAAATTCCTATCAAAGCCCTCCGGTCCGCCGTAGTAGGGGTCGCGAATAATGCGATCGCCCTCCGGGTCAAAGTCACCGAACAGTTGCACTGATATGGAACGACAAAGTTCAATGACGAGTAACAGTTCAGATCTACGATGAGACACATCCTTACCCTTCGCTTTCGATCCCTTCGGTTGAATCCTCTGCAGATCCCTCAGGTTCGACTCATCCATGCAGAGCACCCAATCAAAGTCTGTGAAATCTGACTTCGATACCTGTCTCCCTACGTGCGATACGTCGACGCCGTTCTTCCTGCATGTTGCCATCGACCGGGTGTCGGGGGAGTCGCCGACCTATCGTATGTTGGAGTTTCTGCTCGTTAGCGGCTCGGATACGCGGACAGGCAAGGCATGGTCAGTCCAGCCCACCCTCTGACGCCTCGCCGCTGACGACCATATGCCAGTTATGGAACCTCCAACCCTAGTCTACATACGTGGTATCCGGCGGTCCCTGCGCTATCGATTTTGAACTGCGAGCTCAGTCCTCGCTCCTTCGTGATATGAGCAAATACGGCTATCGGATACGTTCAGACAAGTGATGCGGCTACTGTCTTTTTCGGGTGTGCTGTCTTACCTTCCGCCATGGGCGACCGGCAGATATTTCCTTGAAATGCCGCAGGTCAGTACATGGAAATGGACCGGCAGCGAAAAAAGAAATGGACCAGTGCCGTACCTAAACACACAAAGAGGACTCTGTGAACACCGGCCGAGTCCCCGGCAGCGACGTCTTTGCCTGCTCCCATTTTGTGTAGGTTATGTCAAACTAGTCTATGAAGTATGTACAGTACCACCGCTTGGCTCCGCTTGGAGCTAAAACTCGGTTTGGAGTTTGACCGGAAGGATAACTTGTCACTGCGCGGCGGACGCCAGCTTGCAAGTCTGACAATCTTACCGCTCTTACCGACTTCACAGACTTCACTATCCCCACATTCCTTGCCCAGACGCCGTGCTCCTGCAATCTTAGCTCTCCCCTCGATCGACCAACAAGAAACCCACCAATGGCCCTCCTCCTCACGCCCTCAGAAAACTTCGGCCAAGTCGAACGCGGCATCTACCGCTCCGCCCCCATCCACCCCGCCCACTTCCCTTACCTCCGCACCCTCGGCCTCAAAACCCTTCTCACGCTGTCCCCGGAACCCATCCCCTCCTCCATCCAGACCTTCTGCGACGATAGAGGTATCAAGACAGTCCCACTAGGCCACCAAACATGGCGACCAAACCGCAGCTGGCGTCCCGTAAGCGAGGAGATGATAAAGGAAGGCCTAGAAACGCTGCTGAACAGTGAGAATCACCCGGTCTTGGTGACGTGCCTGACGGGGCTGCACGACACGGGAACGCTGATAGGCTGTCTGCGCAAACTGCAGGGGTGGAATTTCAACACCATCATTGTTGAGTATCGGAGCTATACGGGCGGGCAAGGGCGGTATGGGAACGAGCAGTTTATTGAGCTGTTTGATATGGACCTTGTGACGCTGCCGAGGTCGTTGCCGGCTTGGTTTACGTTTCATCAGAGTTTGCTGGAGGAGGAGGAGCAGAAATTGCTGACGGATGGGCCAGGGTGAGGATTGCCCGGGGAGATGTAAACGTATCCGACTCTTGCATGAAGAGGTATATGCACACGTGCCGGACGGACGTTGCTGAGACACCACGTCCCATTCAGCTGCGAACATGCGACTCAGAGCTGCGAGCGAAGGCACTAAATAACAACAGTCCCCCTTGTCGGCGTTGCACCCCGTTTGCTGCAGCTACGGAGACTTCCGATGACGTCGCAACATGGAGGTTGCGCGTATACACCGCAAGCCTGGGTGTGCGCTATGATTCGTGGTTCTTGCGTACGGACGACGGGATGCGCTGGTGATTCCAGGACGTCATCAGCGACACGCAGGTGTGTTGGATGGTGGCATGGAGAAGCTAATGATCTGTATGGTCGTAGGCGTAGAGATGTATGCCAGACATGCAACGTCGGATGTTGTGGTTTGGCAATGGGCGCTGGGCTATTTGAGGGGGAGGTCGATTGGGTTGTCTCCGTGCGATGCGGGGCCGGCAATGCTGCTGCGTAGGTCAGGCAATGGGAAGGAGACTCAATGCGATCAGAATGGCGTCGAAGCAGTCTGCGGCAATAGCTTGGAACCCCCGTCGCAAAATGAAGTATAATGAAAATGCATATAAATTACAAAAACTAATGGTCGAGCGATCACTATACAATGGCCGTAAGCAAACTCTAGATACGACTGAGTATGCCCATCCGTTGAATACTTCTACATATGGATGCCAATCTATCTTCTTCCCGTCCCGCGGCCACCATCTCGGCCACCACCTCGGCCACCACCCCTGCCGCCGCGCCCACCGCCCTTGCCATGGCGCCCAGTCTTCTCTCGTCTCTTCTCCTTCTCCTTCCTTTCCTTGGCGATCTGCTGCACAGTCTTCAATTCCGACTTAGCAGGCTGTCCGCCAGAGGCCTTGGATCCCTTTGGAGGTTTGCCACCCTCTGGTCCAGCCTTCGCAGGTGTGCCATTGATACGGGCTTCTCGCTCAGCCCGCATTTGCTTTCGGGCGAAGTTCTTAGAGGTGGCGTCTGGAGCGGTGATTTTGTTGTGGCGGTAGCGACGGACGCCAGTGGATGTACCGCCGGATGTGTGCCGGTAGGTACTGTCTGCGAGTTCCTGGTCGCCTGCTTTGGGAAGTGATACTTTCGTGCGCTTCTGCCAGTCCTCGAATCTAAGGGAAACCTCGGAGTGAGAAATCTACCAAACGTACTTTTGCGACACAATCTCAAAACGTACCTTCTTGATTTGAAAGAAGCGTTCACCACAGCTCCACTCTCCGTCCTCATCTTCTTCTTATTGTCTGATCCAATGGTAGGTCTGACAAAGTCGTGCTTGGTCTTGTCCCAGACCAAAGCGCCACGAGCCGGTTTCCGGAGACCATCACCATCCTCAGCCGTGAGCTCCAACGTAGCAGCCTTGGCTCGCTCCATGAAGGATGCTGCGGGACCCTCTCCTGTCTGCACCGCGTACCCACGTTCGGTATCTGCGTCGGCTTGCGTGTACGAGATGTAATTTTCGTCACGGAAGGAGGTTGGTCGCTTTCGTTTACGGCTTTCCAGCGTTTCGAAACCGCTCTGCATAGCGCCACAATGTCATTAACGCCGTAAACCTCTGCAAAAGAATACCAAGCATACCACATACCTCCAAATCCGCCTCGTCGGCCGCCTCCAAGGTTCCCTTCCCAATAACTTCACTTTGGTGCTTGGCAAGCTTGGCGTCCTTCTCCTCACGTTGCGCCCTCCAAGCAGTTACGCTGTTTCCAAACTGTCCACGGCGCTTCTGCATCAGAAGAGCTTCCGGTGTCTTCAAGCCCTTTTTCGTTGTTTCAAACACCGTTTCCGATGGCCTGAAGCGAGAGATGGAGGCAATCATCTCCGCTTGAGCGTGCTCCGCCGCATTCGTCGTCGCGGCCAGTAGTGGGTGTATCCCTAGATGAACGTCCGAAATCTCCTTGGCCTTTGCATACGAGTCTTTGGAGGCCAGTGGTCTCGACTTGTGGTACATCTTGTAAGCGTTCTTGACCCCCTGTTGCAGATTCTCAAGATTCACGTTGCCCTTGACGGTGGAGACCACCGTTTCGATCTCCAACGCCAGAGTAGACGGCGGCATGAGCCCGTAGACGAATTCGGAAGTATAGTCGGGCTCGCGTACGACGGACACACCACCGGCATCCGCTTTCGTATACGAGGTAGCAAATACTAACGGTCGTCCTGTGAACAGCTGCAAATCAAACAAGAACGGCACTTCGTCCGACGCAACCAGCGAGTACGCTTTTCCGCTACGACCCGCACGAGCAGCACGACCGACTCGGTGGACGAAAACTTTGTTGGACGCCGGGAAATCGTAGTTGATGACGTTGTCCAAAAGCGGGACGTCGATACCACGAGCGGCAACATCCGTCACAATTAACGTCTTCACTTTTCCTGCTCTGAACCTGGCAAGATGGATTTTACGGGCGGCCTGATCGAGGGCACCGTAAATGTACGTATTTGGAACACCGGCTGCGGTCAGAAGCTCTTGCATATACTCCACGTGGTGTTTTGTCGCGACGAAAATAACAGTCATCTCATCCTCTTTCGAGATGGTCGTGCGGAAGAGTGACAGCAGAGCGGCCTCTTTGTCTTCCTGTTTGACTGACAAGAAGTACATCTGCAGGTCCTTGCTGATTTTCGTATCGACGTCTAAGCGGATAAGTGCTGGGTCGGTCAAACCGGCTTTCGCAAAGTCGACAAGGAGTTTCGGCAGCGTTGCAGAGAACAGTAACGTCTGTCGCGCCTCCGGAAGCCTGAACAAGATTTCTCTCAGCTGCTCAGCGAAACCCATCTCGAACAAGCGATCGGCCTCATCGAAGACAATATACTCGATGGTCTTCAGGTCGAGGTTCATCTCTATGATCAAGTGCATAAGACGTCCAGGGGTTGCGATCAAGATGTCGGGGTTGCTTGCAATTGCAGAGAACTGATCGTCCATGTTGTCACCTCCAACGAGAACGCAGGAGCGTAGATCCGTGTGCTTTCCGAGGTCCTTCACAAACTTCAGAGTTTGCAGGGCCAATTCTCGAGATGGCGACAGAATCAGACCACGGGCGCCAACTTTCGCAGAGTGCGACTTCAGCTTTTCCAGCAGGGGGATAATAAACGCGGCGGTTTTTCCGGAACCTGTCCGTGCCATAGCGACTACATCGCGACCTTCCATGATGACGGGAATCGCGCGTCTTTGCACAGGAGTAGGCACTTTGTATCCCTTGTGCCCTATTGCTTTGTAGACGGGGTAACTCAAACCCATAGATTGGAAACCTCCAGACTTCTTGCCTTTTCGGTTCGCAGCCTTCACTTTCTCTGCCATATCTTTTGCCTCGTCGTCTCCGTTATCATCGTCGTCCTCCGATTCATCCTCCGATTCACCGGCCTCAGCCTCGGAAGGCTCAGATGCTTCGGAAGCATCCGAGTCTCCGCCGTCGTCCACTTGAGAGTCATGTGCCTTCGACGAAGCTCGGCGCATCAGAGCGCGGGTCTCCGCTTCAACGTCCTCATCTTCATCTTCCCATCCGTCCCCGCTCTCATCGTCCGAAGCAATGTCGGACCCACTTTGCCAGACGTCATCGTCGTCTACCGTGTCTTTTTCTAATGGAACCGTTTCGAAATCAGATTCCTCCTCCTTATCATCGTCGTTCTTCTTCTTCCCATTCTTTCTATCGAACTTCTTGGATCCCTTCCCTTTCTCGTTGCGGTCGGCTTTGGAGTCCTGCTCGCGGGCAAGTTTTTTTGCTTTACCCTTGCCTCGATCTTCCTTTGGCCGCCTTTCGTGTTTTGCGACTGCGGAAGGCGCGCCATCCTCTTTGGGATACCTTCCCTTGCCGTTTTTGCCGTTTTTGTTATCGTTTCGACCTTTCTTCCCATCCTTGCTGACACCGCCGTCCCTTGTTTTCCGAAGTGCGTCGCCTCGTCCAAGAACCTTCGCCCCAACACCTTTGCCGCGAGTGTTGGACGGTGGTCTCTGTGGTCCTCCGGGTTTCGAACGCCCGCCCCTCGCCTTTCCACCCCGACCTGCTGGTCGCGCCATGCCTCTGGGAGGGTATGAGTTTGGAGTTCTCTAGAAGCTCGCACACAGGCCGGCTGCGGTTGAGAGTTCGGTGGGAATTCGGTTGAAGTGATTGCTAGGATCCGCCTCAGACAGCTCTGTATGTACGTTCTCTTTGACGGCTCTATTCCTAAACGGGCAAGGTCGCCAAAAGCCCAAATGCGAAGGAAGTGAAAGTGGAAACGCGCTGCTGCGCCACTCGAACCTTCTGCCTCTTCTGCCCGTCTGACCCTTGAGGTCCTCCCCCATCGACATGGGGCTGGGGCATCCAGGACAACCTGGTCATCATGGTCGTCGACAGCACAACAACTGGAGGACAGCATGCGAGCGACGCACCCCCAAGGGAGGGAAACGGGCTCCCAGAGCCAGCCAAGGCGCCTGGGCATTTTGTATGCACACCTTTCCTCCCGTTGAAGCTACGTGACTTTTTCCTCACGATTATCCGGTGTTCATACAGGGAGATATCATGTCGTCCAGGGAAACGAGTATCACGTTCCCACCAGGTTTCACCCCACTAGAGCGTATACTCCTGACTGCCAATGGTAATGTACAGAGAATATTAAGGTTGGTTCATGTGCAATATGAGGACTGGTTGGCCTCTGGCTCTGGTAATTTCCGTCTCGATATTCAAAGAGTTATGAATAACAGCGCCTACTACAACGCCAAGATTGTAGTGAAGATCATAAAGAACGAGAAGGTTTCCGCCCAAGCCAGCGTCTTTGAGCGCGAAGTTGACCTCTTGTTGCAGGACAAAGTAAGGACATAGTTCTCCCTGCATCCGCTTTCACCGCTTACGGCTAATCAACCATAATGCATCACATCAAAAGGTATGCTGCAAGGCAACGAGCGTTGTCACCATTAGCGACGCAAAGTATCAACGGATGCTTGTAGAGGAGAACATAGCCATCGGACAACTGTTTCGATATCTGAACATTTTGCCCGAGTATGAGCTGAAGAACGTCGAGAGGAGAGAGAACGGCGGATTTTGGAGGCAGTATACATTGAAGTCGCCTGGGATTGTTTGCGACATATTGGAGGACTTTCCAGCGTCCGTTTTTGAACTAGAGCCCAACAGTTAGAATATCTGAGTGATAGGGTATATCATGTAGATGCTCATTGTGTAGCCAAAAAAGTTAAGTTACAAGTGGGGCATGCTCTATATGATGCTCCCAGAGGGCAGTCTATCCACCAGCACCTGTACCCTTCGCATCTCGGCGGCATCACATCCTGCAAGAAGCGTAACGGCTCGCACATATCGTACCGCCGTTACAAGAACCAGCAACCCCCTCCCCCCAGCGATGCGTACGTCTGTAGACCCAACCAATGCTCTGGCGCCCTCAGTCCTCGTTGCGCCGTGATTCCGTGCAGCAAAGTATTCGCAAATCTGAAGTCCGGCCTCTACGACCACCCGCGCGAAGTTCTCCACAATTGATCTCGTCTCAGGGTCGTGCTCTGTGGAGGTTGAAAAGAGGACATTGTGGGTGTTTGCGTTTGTTTCGGAGTGTGATGATCTCACCGAAGCTGGTGATGATCGTGGTCTGACTGCTGCCTGATGGCTACCTGCCGCATGGTTGACTGCTTGATCACCCCGATTTTGAGGACTCCCTCCTCCGAGGTCCTTAGTCGGTGCCCAATCGTCTCCACTGTCTTGAGGTTCGCTATCACTTCCCAAATGCGACTTGTCTGGTGCTCCCGCACTAAGTCTCCGAAAATGACCAAGCCGAGTCTGCTTGCTTTTCCCAAGCGAGCACAACTTTGCAGATGTCTCGAGAGGCGTCCCGGCGTTCGTCATCACCTCGAGCGCCTCCAAAAGCTTCACCAGGTTGCCAAAGTATTGTACAGCGTGAGCTTCACCCATTTTACCGCGGCCAGCGCTCGCAAGTGTGGTCGGCGGAGCGAGTGCAGTGGTTGCCGATGTCGAGGGGGCGTCCGCGGCGGTAAGGGATTTGCTCTCGAAGAAAGAGATTGTGAAACTGAAGAAGACGGTAACCAGGCTCAACGCGCCAACCTGTATGCGCTTGTTCATCGGGCGTCCGACGAATTCCGCACAGTCGCGTGCGAACAGGATGCCGTCAAAAACTCTCTCCATAAGCTGCATGCAGAAACTATATGAGAAGGTCGAACTCAGAATTACGCAACTGATCCATGGTTACCAACCACATGCAGCCTGGGATGTGCTGCCTCATCCATAGTCTGCCCTTGCAACGTTTGCAGCTCCGCGTCCAGTCGAGCAAGGTGATTCCAAGGGAGTCCGTAGATCCAAGTACCGGCGGCATTGATCAATGGCTGTAGCTCATCGATGGGGAACCCCATTGTCCTCCATCTCGCACCGTCGGTGCTCAATAAGTCACCCCACGCTTCCTTCTTTGCCTGCAAGAGATCCGAGGGCAGGTCTCCGTCGGGTTGGTAACCAGTTGCGATCGTTGATTTCATGTCTTCGACGACCTGCTCCAATGTGAGTAAGGGTGCAAGCTGACATGAAAGACGAATCTTTCATACCTTCACGAAATGGATCACATTCTCTATATTGGTCTGCGTCGATCGCCACATCGGGACATAGTCCCCAAGCTCTTCATGATTCCCTCCTGACAGCCAATTGGCCGTTTCTATGATCTGGGTCGTGATCAGCTTCAGGTCCTGGTACGAATCGCTCGGGACCCCATTGACCAGTTGACCCAAGTTGTATTCCAACTCCTTCTTTTTGAGCTCCCAGGTTGCCTGCATTTTCTCCAATGGAACCCGATTTCGACGAGCTTGGCATAAGATCCAATCTGATATGCTAGATGCATCTAGGTCATTTGAGCTAGTTCCCCTGGAAAGCGGGCGAGATGGTGATGCCACCCCAGGCGACATATCGGCAGATCCAGGTGTCCCATCCGAAAACGAACTATGGCTGTCACTGCAAGCTAATCGGGAGGGCCTGCGAGAACGAAACTCTACTCCGGAATCGGACAAAGATCCGGACGCATGCAGGTGCTCCAAGCTACTGAAGTCGGCCGATTCCTCAGGCGGATGACTCTCATGTACGCGTAAACTTCGCTGCATGCGGGAGGAGAGAGATGCCGAGGTTCGCTGAGACTTGGCGTCGGGCAATGGGAATCCGGAGTCCAGCTTCCGTTTGAGCGGGGAAGGTCCTGTGGACACCCCGCCCCAACTGCCAGAGAAACCTTCCGCCTCTGTTGTCTTTGTCAGACCACCGGTAGGCCGGCTCCCTAAATCCACGTCGATTGCCATGGCGCTGTCCTCAATCGGAGCCGCCGGGCGAAGTACTGGGTCGGAGATTCCCACGGCCTTCTCGTGTGCGTGGTGCGCTAGCTTTGAGGCCTCGCCAAGACCGTCCAGCTGGTCCAGTGCGCTCAAGAGGATGCGGGCAGCGTGCTTGAGCGACGAAGCCATTGCACATAAGGCTCTTCCGTAGTCGAGGTCACTTGCCAAGTGTGTTATCGTTCGCGAGCGATGAGCCGTTGATGTTGCTTGCGAACTCCATGTCGAGACTCGAGAGAGAGAGCGCGAAAACGTCGAAAACGCGTGTGGATTGACGCGTGGGAGGTGTGAGATATCTTCCCCTTCTTCCCCCCCCTTTCCTCCTGCACTCCTTTTTTCGCCACAGGCCAACAAGCCACTACGACGTTGGCTTCTGGCTCTTGAACTGCTTTCGCTCGCTCGTCAGCCTCGTCTACCTTCTTCATACATACCCTGCGAGAAACTTGCAGGCAGAATGGATCCCATAACTACCCCGCTCTCCCTCGAGATGGCGGCTGCCGACTCGCCTCAGTTCCGTGCCGCCGTCATCCGCTTCGAAATAGACTTGGATACTTTCATAGGGTGGCTCGAGAAGTTCATTGCCGTTTGGAGACACTATTTTCGCGAGTACATAAGTAAATAGAGAAAGCTTTATTGTGGTTTTTCCTTTCATTTATTATTCTTGCTGATTTTGCTCAATACAACAGAGAAAAACGAAGCGCTCGCTGCTATCGTCAGCACAACCTCCGAAATTCACTTCCATCAAAGTATGTGGACTGAGCGGTGTGATTGAGTGGAGCGACCGAGCATAGCGAGGGCTCGGGGTTCGGTCCGGGAGACCGGGCATAGAGACGGAGCGAGCGAGCCACATTGCGCCGAAGGCGCAATACTCCCCTCACCCCCGTGGTTGTCGATACGCGGTTGGTGGTTGACATTCGACCGGTGATGGCTGGTGATTGATGGGTTGATGGGTTGGTGGGTTGATGGTTGTTGATGGGTTTATGGTCGATGGTTGATGGGTTTATGGTCGATGGTTGATAGGTTGATGGGTTGATGGGTTGATGTGTTGTTGGTTGTTGATAATACTGACGCTTCGGGTTTGCAGACCCACAACTGTGGAAGTCTTGCGCCAGCAGACTCCAAGCCACCTATCACGCCCAGAATAAGCTCGTGGACGACATGTTGGACAAGATAGAACCGCTTGAGCGACTTCTCAAGGACTCTCGAAGAATAAAAAGCGATCTGAGAAATTTCGAGCGGTCATTAGAGAGGTTCGAAACTGCGCTACAAAGGTTTTCCGCCGTCTCCCCTTCAAAGGAACCAAGTGTTCTCAAAGAAGAGTCGTCCGTGCTGTTTGAGTACCGCAAGCAATACATCCACGCGGCTCTTGGCATATGCACTACGATCATCGTATTCCGAACCAGTCTATATGAAAAGCTACTGGAAGTACTGCATGAGACTGCGGTTTGCACCATGCAGTTCCACAAAGATGTAACGCAGATGCAAGAGGTCGCGTTGGCGGATACCTTGGAAGCTCGCAAAAACACCCTCCACTCTCGCCTTCTCTCGCAAATTGAAACCAAGCGGAAAACCTTGGAAGAGGTACGAGAACAGAGTCTTTGACCGTTTGCAAGCAGACGGATGAAAATGGAGGGACTGACGTCCATGTATCAGGGCACCATAGCGAAATGCAATCCCGCACAAAGCAGCCCCTCCGAACCATCGGCCCCCATAGACTCCGAGGGGACCACCGTGTACAAAGAGGGCTACATTTTCAGCCGCGCAGCGCGGGGCTGGACAAGGAAGTGGCTTCGATTATCAACCGGGGGGTTGTCCTATAGGACTCTTTCTGTCACAAAACCCGGCGTGCTCTTGACGTCATTGGCCCTGAACGTCCTCATTTGTAACGTTCGCGCTGTACAAATTGAGGACCGGCGCAATTGCTTCGAACTGGCCGTTGCTAGAAGGTGGGATATCCCGAATTGTTTGGCCGTGAAGGCCTCCTTGCTGACGCGGTTCGCATTTAGAAAGCCCGTTCAGTTCCAAGCCGAGACGGAGGACGATTTGCGAGAATGGATATCTGCCATCGAGCAGGCGAAGAAAGACGCGCTCAAAAATCCGTCGTCGGACTTTGTCCTCAGCAACACGCCTGCCAATGGCACCATTATTGAATACGATGATGAGGGAGGGCCGCTCTCAACTATCAACGAATTGCCACCCGTCACGCCCGCGGACGGAGAGTCTGAAGATGAGGATGCTGAGGAAACGCCATTTGAAGCACAGCAGAACGATGCTGCGGCGGAATCGATGGAGTTGGTTTATTCGGACCCTGCACTCCGCAAAGAGAATGTCAAATTGCACCGGATCCTGCGCCAGGTTCCGCGCGACGATTTTGTCATGGATGGTAAAGTGGCTTTGTACGGTATTCGGATGATAGCGGCCATACGCGACCTACTAATCTTTCACTGCAGCATTCTCGCTCGGATGGCAGAAAGATATAGTGATACATGGCAAGCTGTATCTAACGTACGACCGGATTTGCTGTACGTACGATCAGCCCAGCCCTCCCTTGCATCCTCCACTTCAATATCCCTCACCTAACCCCCTCTTCCCCCGCACCAGTTCATTCGAACATCTTGGGGTTTGTCAACATTGTAAGCGAGCACTCGTCAATATTCAGGAATCATGACGTGGAGTCTTATGACTTCAAAACCTCCAGCTTGTGGTGGACACCGCCGACGTTGAAGACGTCGTCTTGAGAAGAGGCCCGTTATACAGCTCGCTCATCATCACCTGCAAGGACAACTCGGTAAGCCAGTCCCGGCTTTTGGAAATGAGCAGGTGACTTACATCTCTATGTCGCGGCCTATCAACAGCAACATACTTTCAAGCTGTTCCTCAAAGACGAGCAGAAGTTCAACGCGATCAAACTCGCATGGCAGAATGTGAAGGCTGAGGTACACATTTCCCTGCATTACCGCTACTATCTTTGTTCCAGAGCTAAGCCACTTTTCGAGCTTAGCCACGACTAAGTCGTCAAGATTTGCTCCATGCGATTCATCAACGGAAGCCTTCTCCGGCTCCTCGTTCCGTCGAAGACACCACTGCTCTAAGCCTGTCGGATGCTAGGGAACCCACTTTGCCCACGACGGAAGAAGAAGTACCCAAAACTGAGACAGATGATTCTGGTGAGTAATGCACCGAGCTGGATGTTGATGAAGCGATACTGACCAGTGTTTCATAAGCCCTACCCCCGGATTTCCAGGCCCCCTCTTCGCCGGTCGATTGTGGATGCGGAGCGGATCATCAAGAGAAAAGGGAGGTTGATGATATCATACAGGCACCGGCGAAGGTAAAGTCACTAGAACAGAGCTCCAACGCGCCAGGATGCGGGACCTAATCATTACTCTCAATGCACCCTATAGAAAGTGTTCGAAACTCTATTCAGCGACACCACGAAGTTCTGGGCTGAGCGGTTCCATCCACCCAGAGGTGAAACAGGTCAGTTGGACGTCCATGGTGATAGATAACCACTATCAGGCATTCGTGCTCATATCCTTGTTTCGTTAGGGAGGCAACAAAAGCCCTGGGTAAATGATACTCGTGAGGTCCGATATACGATGCCAGTCAACAACCCCATGGGTAGGCAAGGTCGAACCTAAGCACGTAACTCCGGCAGCACCTAACCTTTGATCCGTCGGCTGCAGTCAAAGTAAAGGAAGCAGAGGTGATAACGAAGCAGACTATCATCAAGCAACAGCCGCATATGTGAGTATAACGTCCGTTGACGTACAATCAACACCGAGACTCATGCTCTGCAAAGTCTTTACATCGTCCAACAACAATCCGAAACGCCCGCCCTCCCATATCCGGACGCCTTCTCTCCCGTGACGCGGTTCTGCATCACCTGGGTCAGTCCCACTTCGTGCCGGTTTGTGATCACAAGTGGGGTGATCTTCTTCAAGGTAAATGCGAGTGACGCGCTCTTCCGTGCTGGCAGTCTCAAGTGTAACTGACGATTGATCCAGAGCCCTATGATGAAAGGAATCATCAAGAAAGCGGCGATGGCCGGGTTGGCAGGTATGGCAGTGTTTCAGTGATTTCGGCTGATCCTTCAGGAACTAAACACAATCAACAGAAAGCGCCGCGCAGACGCTCCCCTTGCTGAAAGCGGAGGTCGAGCAGAAGACACAAGGGAAACCGGTTCCCGCAACAGCAACTCTACCAAACGGGTCGACGAGCGAAAGTGCAAAACGATCTTCGGAAGTTAGTCAAGGGGCCGCCACCACTCCTGGTGACAGCGCGCCACTGAAAGTAAACGGGACCTCAGATGGGACGAACGGGACTTGGTTTCGGGTGCTATTGGCCCTCCTTCTATGCTCTTTATTGCTTCACGGATGGCAATTGGGGCGTCAGGGAACCACACACAACGACACCCGAGACAACTCTTATACCAGGAGCCGTGTGGGAACGATTAGGGCCGTGGAAGCTGAATGGGCTCGCGTGTTGGGAGTCGGGGCCAATGAACGTCACAGGTACTGTAGGTTAGGGCATAATGTCCCGCATCGGAAAAAACCTTCGATCCAACACTATTTCGCAGGTTCCGCAAGTTTCTAAAACTCCATCATCCATTGATCGTACGCGACGAAATAAATGCCGAAAATTACTCTTCACCTTCGGCGCGCGACGGCCGTCCATCAAGTTCGTACAACGGTCCTCCGGTTCGCGCCAAGTACCGTAACGCCGCTCATTTGACAACATTCCGTATTCTCGCGGACCTACAATCGTACGTAGAAGACCTGAGGACGGAAATCAATGCCTTGGACGCCGATTTGGATGAGGTAGAGGGGTCCCTCATGATGGTGATGTGGCAGAACTGGTTACTGGACGAAGGTCGACCGGGATTACCAGCCTCTGGACGAGTTTAGCTAGGGCTTGCACCACGTTTTGTTGTAGCTAGGCGAGACGAGCATCCAATTCTTCTTGTGATATGGAACAATTTTTGGTTCGGGTGAAAACTCATAAGTAAAAGTCATAGTAAATGTTAAGGAAGTTTGCAAATACGCATTGGTAGAATAAAAATGCCTTATGTACACATTTCCAAAACTAGGACATCGCCAATACAATGTTTCAGACCAGCCCGGAAAGAAAAGCAGACAGTAGAAGATTAGATTTGCCCAGGGGCTTCAGCGCCTGCAGGTCCTCCCCCTCCACCACCACCCCCATTGTTCTGGTAGGTTTTGCCGCCACGACCCCGACCCTGATCGTATACATGGGCCCCACGATGTTGGGCCTGTCCATAAGGACGTCCATACCCTCCTCGATAATTTCCACCATTTTGATATTGTTGTTGGCCGCCATAGGAGCCCTGCTGATAACTTTGATGTTGCCCTTGTTGGTGATAACCGCGTCCACCTCGACCGTATTGATTGGAGTACCCTCGATTGACCGAGTTGCCTCTTCCGCGACCACGACCTTGAAATTGAGGTCCTCCCGTGTTCTGGACTTGCTGGAAGTGGGCTTCGGATGCGTCCGGGCCAGCTTGATCTCCTTCGGCACCGTTGTTCTGCGTGATGTTCTGCGCCGCAGCAGCGGTTGCCTCTTCCGTATTAGGCTGCGACCCGCGTCTATTGCCAGGCACAGCATTCTTGTTCGGCTGATGGCTTGCTGCACGCCCACGGTGTCCTCCAGCGCCTTTATGTTGCACCAACGTTGCGAGCTCGTTCGATGCTTGCGATATGGGGTTGGACGTCGACGCTACTTGATATGGATTGAACCCTCCACCGGGTGACGCGGTCGGTCTGTGAGCACGGGCGGGCTGCAGCATAGCCATCAGCTGTCGGGAAACATCTAGTGCCGAGACTTCATCAAGTTGTTGTTCGACGACAGGTGCTTCCTGAACCGGCGGTTGTTGCGGCGGTTGCTGTGGCGGCGGGACATATGGAGCGAAGCCAGGGCGCTGCGCAGAGTAGGGTTGGTAGTGCTGCGGGGGATAGCCGCCACCATGTGGCGGTCCGTAGTGCTGCGAATATTGTGGATACACACGCTCTGGCGGCGCAAAGTGTTGCTGCGGTTGCGGGTTTGCGTTGCCACCGATATGCAGCATGTTTCTTAAGCTCTGCGTCAGCTGCTCTTCCTGACTCGGTATCCTTTGATGTGCCGCTCGATCCTTTACGGGCACTGACTGCTGTTGTGCATATTGGGGCTGACTGGGAGCGGGCGCAGGGGCTGACGTTTGAGGCGGGGCAGGCTGAACATTGGCTGATTGTCCAGTACCTGCGAGCTTCTCATTGGGGACCGGCTTGGTATTTGCCACCTGTTTCTTGCTCGCCTTAGTAGGAGCTTGTCGCGTGTCGTTAGCAGCCGCAACAGGAGCGACGGTGGTGTTCTCGGCAGGCTTTTGAGATCGCTTAGTGATCTCGATCTGCACGCCTGACTTTGACGCGTACTTCTGTTTCGTATCTCCAAGATGGACGTGCGCATCCCGTTTCCCCGCAGGCTGTTGTCTTGGTTCAAAGCCTCGAACCCCATTAGGGCGTTGGTAGTCGGGTTGGTGTTGTCGTTGCTGGGGTTGATTCGCGTTCTGATAGCTGTTTTGATGCCTGGGCCCATTGTAAACCGCGTCGTTCTTGCGCTGTGGATTCGTCCAGGCGCTGTCCGTAGGCGGAGCATCGAATCCTTTCTTGTGCATCCACTCCTCCCGCTGGTGCTGTTGGTGCTGCTGGGCTGCAACCAAGCCACCTGATTTCATGGCAAACTTAGCAACGGGCTTAAATGCCGGAATGACGTGCACCGGGTGGGTGCCTTTGATCGGCGGCTGGATATGCGTCAGATTCAATAGCGACTCTCGATGTACCGACAGCCCACATGACTCCTTGCATCTGTGTGAAATAGGAAAAATGTCAGACCTCCAAAGCAAGGAACAAAGCAAGGAACATGGAGGTAATAGAAAACATACCGTCCACCCAGTGTGGTACCTCCCAAGAATGCTTTATCGAAGAGAACATCTAGGAATGAGCCCTCGAGACCAACGACCGTGCCGTAAGATCCAAGCGGCACACTGCCAGAATCCACCACAGATATCACACGATCCCCCAAATCAAATTTCTGATGGTTGAGTCTGTGGCGCGCATGAGCTGCCTTCAATACTGCCTGTGAATCAAGTCATATATCAGGTCTGTGCGGTGGAGACTCATCACGAACAATCAAAAGACGAAAACTTACCGGTCTCGGGACGTTCTTCACGATAACCTGCTTGTACTGGAGCGGTTCAGCCGCTTTGTAAGTCTCTCCAACCTGTCTCTCTAAGTCTAACACAACGTCCTTGGTGAGAGCCATGGTTTCTAGAGCCACTTTTTCGAGGTCTTTGACTCCAGCGTTCTTTAACCATTCCTTGATTTGAGTCATCTTCTCGGACGCCGACTGCGGCGGAAAAAAGTCGGTGTCTTGATAAAAATCGGCTTTGGAGCGTTGCTCAATGCCGTCGAAGAAAGCTGGGAATTGTGCCTAGTGATGGAAATGTTCCAGCAAAATTCCCAAATCGTTTCTTTACCGCCATTTTCTAGGCCCTACCTTGTAATCGCTTATGAGTTTCACAGCTTTCTGGGAATACTCCCAGCCCGTCGAAGTCTTCCTCGTGTACCCGAGCACCTTCTGCTTCTTTGACTCGAATTTGAGATTCAGGCCAACGTTGTATCGTTGATCCGACGCCTTGCTGATGACGTGCAAACTAGACGTGACTTTGGACAGCGCAAGGGACGACATCCCGATCGATTTGGCAACCTGCCAGCTCGGAGCGTATCGTTCTCCGCTCTCGGCCTCCATGGCTCTTCTTCGTGTGAAGTGAAGCTCTTTCAAGAATTCATCGTCTATGAGCTTGTTGAGCTTGATGTTCAGCTTTTCGTCACCGTAACCAGACACTTCAGCGACGTTGCCGTATTGTTGAAGGCCTAGGAAGAACACGCTTGCTCCCAAGGGGTAATCCACATCGAGGGCGGGAGCGGGTTGCTCGGCGTAGCGAGGATCCTCCACCTCCACCGACTCCACGATCGTCTGCAAGGCGACAGCTTGCTCTTCGCTGAAAGGCGCAAAGTCCTTGACCAAGGCACCGTCCTCCTGTAAACGCATACCTTTGAAGGAGCGAACGTGCAAAATGATGTCTATGGGACCCGTGATGGTTCCGAACCGCTTGCTATAATAGCCTTCGACCCTCTCGATGGCTTTGTAGAACCGATCTTGCGCCTCGGGGGCTTGCGGAGTCTTTACAACATCGACACGCTTCCCACTTTTCTGAAGCTCGTACTTGAAATACTCGTCTTCGATGAAAGAGACGTAAGCTTCCACCAAGAACGGCCACCCGTAATGGATCCGGTTGCCGATCAACCTCTTGGCGATTTCCTCTGGCGATTTGCCCTCGAATGCATTCTCAATCGAAATTAAGACACTCTCATTGGGGCTTTCCATGTTGAATACCTTGACGCCGTGGAATCCTAACGTCGCAGTGTGTGGCAGTGTATGCATAGACGGAAAGCCAGGTAAGGCGCGCACTCCGAGCTGAACACCTGAAGTCAGCCCTTTGACAAAACCTTCCCCGCCGATTGTCGGAAGGTTATATACTCTCATCTTACAGACGCAGCTGGTAAGATCAGGGAAGAAACCAGGTAGCGACGAGGGGTAGAGATGGGCATTCGCACTATCCAGCGTGAAAGCATAGCTATGACCATGGGTATTCCGGGACTTTTCTTCCCTAGTCAGCTGATTCTCTCTCGCTCCCAACGCAGCGAGGAGTCTCTTCTCATCGATGAACGGAATCTTCACGACGGCTTCCCAATCGGCTTTCTTTCCGTTCATATCCAATTCGAAATCGGTGGGATAGAAGTCGATGATGGGAGATGTCGGGTCCGTCATCAGACCCTGGAAGGCTTCGGGGATATGCTGTTTACTCGCAGCTGGCAACACTCCCATCAACTGATCAAAAGGACGGAACGGAGTGCCAATGTCGAACTTGATATCCAGGTTGGCAATGTTCACAAGATCCGTAATTTTCGGCCCGTAGTGGTATGGATAGAACCATTCCCAAGACGCCACTCCGTTGTAGTAATAGTATGCAACCCATTGCAGTCCTTCAACGTAGTGGTAAACGAATTCGGCCATCTGCTTTGGATCATCGTAGTTGATTTCCAACTTCTCCTTGTAGTACTCGCGCTTCCACTGCACGAATGCGTCGTCCACTTTCTGCTTCTCCTCCCTCTCCAGGTTGGCTGCAATCTCGTCCTCATCGATAACTTCCGCTTTGTCCCATCTCTTCAAGACGCGTTGCCGAGCTTCCATGCTTTCCTCGTCGTCCTCATCATCCTCATCGTCCCATTCCAATATGATGTGATGCTCAGGAAGTCCTTTCCCCTTCCCAATCGCATCTATCGTATGGTTGATGCCCAGCTCAGTGCTCAATCTTATTATGAACGCTCGATCCCTGGCGGGTAAACTCGCAGGAAAGGTCAAACGTCCGTTGTCGCGGGGCGCCAGAACGAATGTTTTGATTTGATCGTATATATCGCTCTGCTGCTTACTCAATACTACAGGGAAATAGGACTAGCTGTTGGTGCACCATCACAACGTGGACAAGATGTCATTATATTCGTACCAATTGAATTCTTGCGAGAGGGAGGGGCTTGACGTTCAGCGTTCTTGCCCCTTAGCCATTTGACGTCACCCACTTCAATGCCGAAAAGTTCGCGTTCGTGATCTCCCAGTTTACGGAGGAAGATCTCGCATCGGCCGAGATGCAGCTTGCCTGCATCATTGAGATAACCGCCGCCCTCGAGAAGCATTTGCTTGTACAGCCTGAAGAGTAACGCCAACGCTCCTTCGTTAATGTGCAGACCCGGCAGGCTCGGCAAGAAATCATTTCCAACAAAGTATGCCATCAAGATGAAGTCGTCGATGATCCTCTCCAGATCGTACTTGAAAGCCAGATTTTCTGCCAAGCTGGAGAATTCCGCATCGATATATTCGCGGAACAGCGAGAGGTGCATGAGGTAGAAATTCTGCGTCTCCAGATTGGCTCCAACGCTCGTCTTCCGCGATTTGCCGAACGAGACTTCCTCTCGCAAAAGAGCGAAATGCGGTTCATGGCTGAGCAGACCCAACATCATGAGATCCGCGTCGAGACCGTACAAACAATGCCGAACGTTCGGCTCGTAGTTTGGCTGCGATTTCGCCAATCGCAAGTATTCCATGATCTTATGTTCACCCTCGCCAGGGACTTCATGTCCTGATAGAATGACTTCGACCGAGTTCCACGCGCTGTCCTCACTAATCTTCTTGTTGATAAAGTACTTCAACTGCTCCTGGAGCCTCACCATAAACGGTGTTCCTGCAATGGGGCAGCGTGTAAGCTTACAATCTCAGATCGAGGGAATGGACGCTCGGAACGAACCAGGAGTGATACAATTTGAATCGAATGGGGCTTCTTTAGGGAGCTCCTCCCCTTTTGCGATTGCACGCTTGCGTTGCTCCGCGGTATCTCTTGCGGTTCTGAATCGCCTCGCACGTTGCTGGTTCATTTTGGCTCTTGGAGCCACTCCATCGACAGCCAAGAAAAACAGCTTTCGAGGCTTTATCCGCGTGAAGATGTGGTCGATGTAGCTGAAGATTGCCAAAAATATCTTGTCCTCGGTCATCCGAAAATGGACATCGTTATCGTTTGGATGTGAGCAGTTATGTATAATGCCGTTCATATCCAGGTAAAGGTTGTCTGAGAGATGGGTCACTTTAGGTCATTATCCGCCCATCAGCAATCTTTGCTCGGTGTTCTGAACCCTACCAAACTCCGGAATGTGGTTTTCCTGAATGAGCTGACTGCAGAGTGGATACCGCTCGGAGATCCATCGGAAAAACTACACATAGCGCCAAGACGAAAGCGGGATCAGTGTCGGCCACCGCTCACAATTTATGTGCCAAGTGCTCTCACCTTGGGAATACCCATCGTGGCAGAAGATTGGGTCCTAAGACTGTATGGGAAGTCGTATGTAGTATGCGTTACTCGCTCGACGCTCCCCAGTGCCCGTCCCCCTGTATATATACGGTATCCAAAGAGCGATACTGGACCTTCCTCTGTGGTGCGTGTGAATCGGGTGAAGCAGCTTGGAGTTTCCGAGAGGGGAGACTCCGCAGGTTGTTGTCGCACGTGGATGAGTCAGGGCATCTTGTGGATGAGCAGCGTCCAATTGCCCCAACGCGTGCTCCATATTCGGACCCCCAGATTCTTCCACCAACTCGCCATCTTGCCTCGTGAGGTCGGCACAGCACCAGAGTTCACCGCCATATTAACCGAGTAGTATATTTGCAGTAGGCAGTTATCGAGCAGCTATGGTAAGGAGGAAGCTGCACGACGCTGTTCGACCTCGCGAGCTTATGCGCAACTTGCAAGCCTTGTCCGATCAGCGTTGGTGGTTCACAGGTGCTTGGCTACACACAGCTATTGACTCGGTCATCTTCTTCCAATGTTCGAAGAGCAAACGAGCAAAAGGTCTCTCCTTCGAAGAAAAGCGGACTAGGTTGGCAGAGTTCTTCTACGAGACTGTAAGTGCGGAGGTAGGGACCACACTCGCAATTTCCCACGCGTTCTGACGAGCTTCCGCATATATAGAAGGACTTTTGGCAACTCAAGGTACACGAGGGGAAACCTTCCGGGACGCATGCGCGGGTTTGGCAGGTAACCTTAGCCGATTCTTCATAAGGATGTGGAAAAGATTGCCGCGAAGAGCAAGGGCATTGGTGAGCATACGTCTCGCGCCAGACGGTTCTACCCGCAGAAGTTTGACCCATGGCCAAAAACCAGTCGCTCAGACGATCAAGGAAGTCCTGGATAGTCTTGTGGTAATTTGTTCAGGACGTTTGTCTAGCTGTGCTGGAAACGTGCTGAAAATGATGCACGTTTGCACCAAATCGCTAGTCAGATAACATTGTGACAATGGAAAAGATCGGTACAAGGTAGCCTGGGGGCCGGTTTCGAGATTTGCACCGGACCGGCGCTAACAAATGGGATCCCGCACATTCCAGCAACTATTACTGGTCGTTTCCGTCGACTGCTGTTCAAACCGTGAGATCAGGACTTCGGCACTTCTCTTGACTGTATCAGTCCTCACGCACGACATTATGTACAGAGGAAGCGCAAAATAGACGAGCTGGAACAAGAATTGGACAAGTTGGAGGTGGGTGGGAGATACCCGAACCTGCAATGGCGGTCGCTCGCTGTCTAACGTAAACACATCTTTCCCAGTCAAAGCGCAAAAAGACAAAGTCGGCCGTCGAACAATCAAAATCTGGGTGCGAGGAGACTGTACGTTGCGCCAAAAACTTATTTGTTGCGGATGTAGACGGATTGGGTGGGCGAAGCTGACAGGCGCACCGACGATAATATAGGAGGATCGCGCTACTTTCATGGAAGAGCTTGCAGCCGCAGAAGCCAAGAGGAAGGAGTACAAAGCGGAGCTGGAGAAGTTCAAAGACTGCGACCCTGCGTTGATTGAGGCTAAGGGTATGGAACCTTTGCTTTGGCTAACGAAACCGCACAGCTTCCCTTCGCTGATGATAAATGTCATATCACAGAACGAGCCGTCGCAACCGCCAAAGCCGCCGCGAACAGATGGACAGGTGCGTCACTTACATCCCTTCACACACTTCCGATCCCCACCTCCCATGTCTCCAAACATAACCCGTATCTCCAGACAATATCTTTGCCCTTCAGTCATACTGCGGGCGCAATTTCGGGATCTCCGCATCACAGTTCGCGGAACAGTTTGGGATGAAGGATGATTTTGATACGCTTCCTTGAGATGATGGGCGGCGTAGCGTTTGTTGGGGAATTGCATATACGGACTCGGCAGGTTTCTTTTGAAAACATGTTGCTTCCTATTATCTTTCACGTTGGCGTGTTGAGTTGAGGCTGGGCCGAACTGTTCCACCAGAAAGGCAGCACTGCAGGGACTCGAAATAGCTTTTTGATGTATTTACTCTTGTCTTCGTGATCTATGAGTAGATCCAAAATTTGGGGTATACAAAGCCGGGGAGGTATCAGATGCCTCAACACCGACTTTCCGTATGGCTAACACATCCAGACCAGGCACACCGCGTCCAATATAGCTAGCGATGATCCTGCTCCCCCTGTTCCTCCCGGTACGCCCCCACCACCTGATAATGCCCCTGCCCCTGCCCCTGCCCCTCCTCACGATTCACACCATGCTCGCCCGGAGCATACGCCTGCTGCGGGGAATGCATAGCAGCATGTGACATGGGCGCCGACACGCCGTGGTGATATTGCTGCTGGGGAGAACTGTGGTAGGCGTATGCATGTGATTGGGCTGGCGAGGCAGGGAGCTCGGGGTGGGATATGTGTTGGGAGTGGTAGTAGGTGGTTTGCTGGTGGGGTGTTGGGGGGTGGTGTTGTGCGCGGGTGAGTTGGGGTGATGGGTGGTTGTATAGGGAAGGTTGGGGGTGGGCGTGTTCGTACTGCCTTTCCCCGTTATTGAGGATTGGGGAAGGGTGCGTCGAGTGGTGGGGATGCGAGGTGTAATCATTGACGATTTGTGAGATGTGGGATGACTCGATGGGCTGGGGGAGATGGTACTGAGAGCTTGGCGATGAATGATGTTGTACAGGTGATGCGTCGTGTCGGGAAAGATAGGCAGGATCAGGATTTAGCACCGCGCCCAGGTGCATATGTGATGCCGTCACCGAGCTCCCACCATCCTCTGACGTTGCTTCCCTTCCGTGCTCTAGGCTGTCCTCCTCCTCCTTCGGTTTGCACTCTCCATATGTCAAATGTGGAACCTGAACATCCGGCGTTATGGCCGGCGTCGCCTCCTGACTCGACGCACCGACATGCCCGCCCGCCCCCGTCTTGTTATGCATCGACGCATAATGCCCCGGCGCGCGCCCTCTCACAACAAGCGGAGCAGACTCTATCGTCGCAATCCGAGTCCGGGATCTATCCTCATGTTCCGCATACAATTCCGCGACAAGCACATGGTACTGCTGCGCCGAGCGGCGTTTGCCATTGTTAGCGGTGGCGGCTTTGAACTGTAGCCGGTCGAAGGTGACGGTATGGATCGTGTCGAGGTGGCCGCGGCCGTAGGCAGCGGGACTGTCCTGTGGCTGGCAGTATCGAGGCTGGGGGGTCAGTTGCGGGCCTTTGTCGCGCTTTGGCGTGCACTGGGTGAGATCGATTGGGCGCTGTCCGTTGGACGTGCGAGCGGTTATTCCGAGGCAGAAGGCAGTTACTACGTGCAGTTGGTTGTCTATTGCAATCAGACAGGGCAGTTCCAGCCGTGCTCCTAATGGGTCCAGCGCCGAGAAACCGACGCTCAACTGGAAGTAGTTCCTTCGATAACAAGTCCAGTCCCCATCTGCTACGAAAAACCCGCGTTCCACCCGGGGATTTATTCTGATGCTGTACCTACGTATGAAGAGAACGTCAGATGCACGAATCACAAGATGGAGGGAACATCACATAATCATATACACCCCGGCGACTTACACTCTCGATCTATCCATGCTATAAACAGCACATGTTTGAACTGTAGAGCCCCAATATGGTGCGGCCTCGGACCATCGAAGAAGCTCGCAGGTGGACGGCGATAACTGAGCCGATGGACTTGGGGAGGCGGCGGCCACTGCTGATACACTGCTCCAAGCGGCCGGAAGGGCATCAGCATACTCTGGTGGGCCTTGGGCCTGGTGTTCTTTAGGGTGGTCTCCGAAGGCTAACCAAGGGTTATTGTATCCGTGTTCTTCCATGTTTAAAGCAGGCGCGGTGTGCTCAGGGTGAGGCAACGTCGTCGTTGAAGGGTCCGTATGGATGGTGTGGGTATCGGCGTCCCCGCCATGAGGTGACTGCGCGGGAGAGTAGGTATCTTTTTCCAGCGATGTTGATGTTTCCCGCAATTCTGCGAAGTCCCCGTTCGTGACATTGGAAGCATGTGGGCTTCCAGAGGGCGACCCAGCGAGTTGGCGCTTTGCGAGGTCACCTGCGTCATTATGTTTCACTCTCCCGCGGACAAATCCGTCATGACGGCCCTCGTCTTCTTCCGTAGACTGCAGCCGTTGTGGTTGAGCGTATGCAGTCGTCCTGGGCCCATCTCGGAGTGACCCTACTATGCTGTTAACGGGGAGTGACTGTTGCTTTTGGATTGTGTCGTTTACAGCCACTGAGACGCCTTCGCTCAGCGGGTCCGGTGGTGGTGCCAACGCCGACGACGAGGGTTGGGACTGAACAATATCGCTTACGGCTGAAGCCTGCTGCTGAGTCTGGTTACTCCTCTCCCTGTTACCGCCGCCGCTTCTGGAGCAGTCAGAAGGTCTGAGGGGTGTTGTGGAGTCGTTATGCATGATGATTCTGCGTTGAATACAAGGCCATGCGGTCTCGTGTGCCCTCGTAATCACTCTGCTCTTCTCGTCTCGCACGACACTCCGATCAATGCGGGCATCCTATGTGAAGGGTTAGGGTTAGGGTGAGGGAACAACTCCCCTTTCCATGCCCCATAGAGCCCTACATACTGTACACAGTACTATCGCCAGAACAAACCCACCCCAAACCCACCCCAATGATGGCAACTACCGTCCTCCCAAAGCCGGAGGTCAAGGTCCCGTCCTTCAACGAAGTTAGTCGCCATAATATTATAGGTCTGCAAACTCAGATACGCAGTACGCTCGACAAGGCCCACCATATCGCTATAGACTGTGAATTCACCGGGCTGGGAAGTACTAAGAATACTAGAGCTACCTGAGTATTGAGAACGAGCGAGACGGTGGGAGATCCTCGGCGCTTTGTAGGATGTGTGAAGGTAAATAGAACGCTCTATAATTGTACATTAATGTGAAATTTACTTTTGGATGGCGAGCGTTTCGCAAATGGTCTTCTCGTAGGCGAATAACAATGTTGTCCTTGAATTTGAAAGTCCATCGCAATGCAAGTCAAAAACTTGAAAGATATTAGAGCAAACTACAAGAATTTACAGATGGGATGCAGATGAAACAAAAGATTAAATAAAAGCGTACGCCGGAGCCAGACACTAGATGATAAGAAAATAGCGCCGATAGAAAAGCAAGCAAGAGGGGGTAATTATAGCTAGGGGAAGTCCGTAACGCCAGTAATGTGGAGAGAGGGCACAATATGTCTCTACAATCGCCCCTGCAGAATATCCTCAATGAATCCGTTGACGGTCGCTTTCCGCGAGTTGAGATCGGTTCCAAACATACTGCTCAGCTCATCCCGAACTTGCTTCTTCGTGACCGTCATCAGGTTCGCGGTCGCAAGGATGCGTCTCGTTTCCCGGAGGATGTCGTCGTCTGTTGGGTAGCCTCCTGCCGAGGCGACGTACGCCGGCGCTGCTCCCAGGCTCAACAAGGAGTTACGGGCGGGTGGTGCTGCTGGACGTTGATACGCGCCTCCGTATGCCGAAGCGGCGTATGCCGATGGTGCTCCGTATCCAGAGTACACTGATGGAGCGGGCTGTGCGCCGTATACCGACCCGTTGTAGAGGGATTGTGCTTCGTAGGCCGACGGAGAGTAGCCAGATGCGACGCTGGGAGCCCGTCGACTGTGGCTAGATCCGGAATGCTTGGAGCCTTGCGAGCCAGATGAGCCTTTCTCCCACGTCTCGCTTTCGTGGTCCGCCCATTTCTTCATGGGAATCGATTTAGGGTTGAACTAATGATCGAGTAGAGCCACCGTTAGAATATTGCACGAAGAAGGAGACACATACGTCCATGACATACCGGTTGGACGTCCGAAGCGTAGACCATCTTTTTCCCTTTGTCTCCCACGACAACACGGGTGTTACCCCACGAGAAATCGTCGACTATGGAGAAACGGATGTAGGTTAGTTCACGGGTCCGATTCTACTACCATTTATGATACCAAAATACTTACAGTGCCAGAACGAGTACAGCGGAATCCAGAAACTAAAGACGGGCATGGCGAGTATGTACTGAAAATGGGAATGATGTGAGACTTCAAACAGTCACCTTGGGATATCAATGCTCCGAAGTACTTACCACAATCATCCATCCGATCTGAGCCCATTGTCGCTTCAGGATGAATATCAACACTTGCAGTCCATAGATGGCGGCCAACATGATGACACTCATCATTGGGAAGATGTCGGGTTCGGTAATCGCAGAGTACACCAAGTACCCGATGTAGAGAAGGATGACCGGCTGCACCAATGTCGAGAACAAATCGATCATAACGATGAATCGCATCGAGAAACAGCAGAATCCACAAAGCTGCTGCAGGTGAATCAGCTCAAACAGGTTGTGAACGGTCGAGTTGATCCATCGACGCCTTTGCGACAGCAGCACAGACCATCTGTCGGGGGCGTTGGTGCGACATTGAGCATCGTTGGTGAAGGAAAGCTTGTGGTTGGGGAAGTGCTTCATCATGAGGGTGGTCAGGTAACGATCCTCTCCAAGGTGAAGCAAGTTCTTCTTGTGCAGTGTGTCCACACGGTTCTCGGAGTAATCCTCAATGACACTTGGCGAGATGAGAAGCGGGATGTTCTTGACGGGTGTGCGGATACGGTACATGCAGAAGCATCCAGGCAGACACGTGACGGAACCAAACAAGCTCTCGAAAGCCTTCGACAAGTGGTGAGAGATAAAGTATTCGTAGACCTGAATCATCGTCGTCAACGACTCCTTCTCGTTGTCAATCAGAGTTTCGCCGCAAATTCCCATGATCTTCGAATCGTGGATCATTGCAGACACCATGCGGTTGAGCGAATCCTTGTAAACTTCGGTATCGGCGTCCACCATTAGCGTGTATTCATAGAAAGACGGGTTGACACCGATGATGTTCTTCATGTGATGGTAAAGCTCAAGTTCCAAGGGGTTCATTTCCAAGTTGAAGTGGACGCGGTTCAAGAAGCGCATGAGGATCATTTGGGAATCGCGTTTGCCACGGTTTCCAGGTCGGTTTCGCTCGCTAGGTTTGCCGACCTTGACAACGACGATATATGGCACAGAGTGTCCCTGGACTTCGTAAAGACCAGAGTAAACCTTCGCCATGTTGTGCTGTTTGTCGCCTTCTCCCAAGGATTGGAAACTGACGGGCTCGGGATCGTGGTTGGGGTCGACGCCCAAAATGTCGAGAACAATGCGAGGGGTCGGTCGATCGTTGCCGCTTCCGATGATGTTTCCATCACAGAGAACGACGATCAATTTGCGTTTGTCGTCATATCGGAGCGTTGCGAGCGACTCGAGCGTTTTCGTCAAGCTTTCAGCGCCCTCCGTGTAACAAGGAACTTGACAGATGACAAACTTGTCGTGGTCTTCTGGCTCCTTCCATCCGCCGAATTGCAAGGCCGCCAAGAACTTGAATCCGATGACCACAACGAGCACAATGGTACTGGCCAGAAGAATGTAGTTCGAGAACCTGCAAACGAAGTCATTCCGGTGGTCGACCACCCCCACGTAAAACAGACCGTTCATGCACTGCACATATCGCTTCGCCTTGGCCGGGTCCGGTTTCGCGATCAATGAATTCCACTGGCTGGTGGCGTCTTTGCCCTTCATTGAGACGATAGTGTTCATGCCTTGGTCGTTGAACAAGCCTCCACTCCGAGCATCGAAATAAGCGGAGAGATCGTAAATGTTGTCGTTGATTATAACCAAGTTGCGAAGGTTTGCTTGGCTCGCAACGTCATCGACGGCCCAAGCAACGCGTTTGCGCGCATACTGATTCATGTAACCGAAGTAGTCTTGCACTCGGCCGTTGGTCCCGGGGATAACCTGCGAATGGTTATATAGGGCCGGAGAGTTTCGCTGCGTTATCGCGAGGTTGCTCCAGCCCGGCGACGGCGCGTCGATTCCTGGGCAGTAGTTGCTGAACAGGGCAGCCTTGTTGAAGAGGTTTGAGACGTCCGTTCCGTAAAAGCTCGCCAATTCGTAGTTCTGCCGGCCGTAGGTCGTGATATGGGTGTCGACAACGTCCTTGATCATGTAAGCATGACCGTAGGCGTACACGTAGGGGTCCTTCGCATCCTTGCGGCCTGCGATTTCCGACGTGCTCAAGACGTCAAGCCTTGGGCAGATCAATCTACCAAGACCGATGATGAAGAACACCAGCGCGCAACAGCAGAAGAAGATGATGAGGCAGAGCGCAACCTTCTCTCGCCAAGCCATCTGGATGTCTTTCCTCTTCATGCCACCACAGATCGACAGGCAGAAAGGAGGGATCCACCACGTGAGGAACCATGTGCAGCAGACCCACTTCCTCCTCGCTGAAGTGACGTGATCCTCCTCCTCAATGAGAGCCTCGTTTGCCTTCTGGCCGGCCTCTAGATCCTTCTCGGTGGACCGCTTTTCCCTGCCCACCAGGGTGACCTGCGAATGCTGATGGCTCAGGCCGCCGTTGTATTCGTACTCGGAATGATAGTGAGATTCACCATCGTCAAACATGGAAACATCGTCACCATATTCGTACTCGCTGCTGTACATGGAAGCGGTGTCGTCCTGAGACCCAGAACCACCGCGAGACTTGTCCGACTTGCGCGCCTTGCGATCCGCCTTCAGTTGGTCTTCGATGGTTCTCAATTCGTCTTCAAGCGATCTCCAGGATGCTTCCGACAAGAAAACCTTGCTGCGTCCAACCGCCATATCCCTGTTGGTCCAGTTGCTGTGCAAAACAAAGTCTTCACATTTCCCGCTCGGGCCGCCGCTGTCGTCCAGGCCCATTGGGTCGATGATTACTCGATACCGTGCAAGGAAGTCATTGATCTCGTAGTGGGCGCTGTAGGAAGCACCTGCCCTTGCTTGGGCGATTTGAGTAATGCCGAAGCGACGAAGCTGCGCTTTGACCTTCTTGGACTCGAACTTGTCCGTTGACAGATCGTCATTGGGCTTCACGCAGAACACGAACCATGGAATCGTCTCGCCGAGCGTTTCGATCATCTCGTCCACACTGGTGCGGAAGTTGTACGCTACGGTGTCACGGTTCGCTCGGTCGTATCCTCCATACTGGCTGTTGTTGCGCTTCAATGAAGGATGGCGGGACGGCTTCTTGGGGGTAGCACCGGTGATCATGGCCCTGTCGCGACCCGCAGACTCTGTCGCAACCGCGCCTTCGGAAAACAGGTTGCGAACAAACCCATTGGCCGACGACGGGATATCCTTTCCGTTTCCGCGGAAAATGGCAACGAAATCTGCGCAGACGACGTCCTTGTTCTTTTCGACCAAAGATGCCGTCTGGTATTCAACCACTCGTGACGAATGCTGCACTCCGAAAGTGGACTCAGTCTTACCCGCGACGAAGTGCTCATCGGTGCCGACCTTTTGCGTCAATCGGTCAAGAAGCGGCTTTTCCTGGGCGTGATCCCCAGTGGCGGCGTCAATGACACCGAGGGCAGTATTGAGGAAATTGACGGTTGCCGTGTTGTCAGTCTGTGGTACGGAAACCGATCGAATTCCCTCCTTCACGTATTCTTCGTGTGGACTAGCGACGGCTTTGTTGACAAACTGCTGTAGACGCTCGTTTGCGTAGTTCGCAAGCAGCTGCTCCATCCCATTGTTCTCGGTATCCTGGAATCCTGACATGTCCACAACGCCGATAAAAGTATCGCATTCATCTTTGCATAGACGGGTGTTGATGTGCTCCACCAACCACGCAAACACCAGCCCGTAAAGCGTGTTAGCCAATTGGTTGCGTTGCTTGGTTGCTTCTTCAGCGTTCATGAAAACGCTCACAACATCTCGCCACACGAGCTTTGTCCGGACGGTCAGCGAGCTCTCCAGATTCTTGGCCGCGACTCCGAGAAGCTCAGCAGCGATTTCGAGTGCCTCGGCGTTTTTTACCACACACGACTCTTTAGGCTTCTCCACATCTTCCTGAAACTCGATGTTGCCGAGATGCAAAACGGCGGCCAGGAGCTGATATATTTGAGCCTGTAAGCGGCGGCCCACCCCAAGAGACTTGAGATGATCGCGCAGCTCGCCAAATTTGATCTGGTCCTCCGTCGTCAATCGGACTGGTCGAGAACCCTTCAGGTATGCGTAGTGTGTTGCGTCCTGCAATCGCCACTGGGTCTTCTCCTCTATAGTGGCTCCCGCAAGAAGGTAGTAGAAGATGTGGAAATTCCGCTCATCGGCCGGTGTGGCAGACACCCTGTCCTTCTCCAGCAGGTAATCCAACATCTTTGCTCCCACCATCCGCCCATGTGAGTCATATTGGTACTCGGTGTATCGACCAAAGCGCGATGAGCTCGGATTCAAGAGCGTCCGTGCCGTTCCGAATGCGTCGAGAATCGTTTCTGTTTTGAGGATGCCAGAGTGCACCTTCGACTTTTTCTTTGCGTTCGTGCTGAGTGCAATGAGCTGGCGAACAAGCAGCTTTCGTGCTTCGGTCTTTCCGCTTCCGCTATCACCCCTGAAAGAAGACTTGTGTCAGTCACACCGGCACAAAGGCAAGTACGCGCTCGCCGCCATAACGATACTTGGGGACTGATAGACTTACGAGAAGACAACGGACTGATCCTGCTGATTTCTCCACATGTGGTTGAAGACTGAAACCGCCAGATCAAAGATGTGAGCAGGCAGTGGGACTTTGTCCTCCGCCGTGTCCTTCGCCCAGTCCGCATATTGAGTGCATGTGCTGTCGGAAAAGGATTCGAGAGTTTTGACCGGGTTGACGACCACCAGAGCTCCGGCGCCGATTCGATTGAAGATGAGGTTTCGAGAGTATCGGTCCTTGATATTAGCGAGAATCGATTCGTCCGTCGGCGTAGGGAGGAGGGTCAAGTCCTCCTTGACATCTCCAGGTGCCAAACGACCCATGGTTGTTCCGCGTTGGTGGCTGTAAGCCGAAGGCTCGTATTCCGACGAAAGCCAATGCTAGCCTATAATATAGCGCAATAAACGAGGAACGGGTTAGGACTTTTGCGGGGGGAAATGCAGAAACCTGAGTCTGACGCAAACCTTGAAGCTCACTCGCTTATCGAGAAGGAAACGGGCTCTATACCTTTCAGCTGGAAAAACTCGAAGAATGAGAAATTGGGACAAAGCAGCGAGCGGGCAGTGAGAAAGGCCCGTGCTATAGTATAGTCAGACCAACCAACCTCTGTTGCCGTGGGAAAGGGGCTTTGGAAGTATGGGTGGTGTGAAGTGTCCTTGCTTTTGCGGGCTGGCTGCCTTTCTTTGCTGCTGCTGCTATTCTCGGCAGCCTGATCAAGCCATTTTCCCGGGGGCGAATTTGTTGGTTTCAGAAGGTCTTTGTGCAAGCAGCCACATCACTTTGCATCAGAGGTCCTCCGTGACTTCATCATGAGGGTCGGCGAACCATCGATTCTGAAATGATTAGCATCCGCTAGCATTTTGATTAGCGCGGGCGGCAAGAAATTCCTTCCCCCTCTGTTGAAGTCGGCCGCTTGCGGACGGCCTGCACGCCCCGTGTTCCACACCCACGCGCGGCGCCAAAATCAGAAGTGCAAAGATGTGCGTAGTGCAACTTAGTTTCTGATTTCGCTTCTTTTTGCAAGCTATATATTATATACTACGTACGGTAACGTACTGCATTCCTTCTCTTCTCAATCCAGCAATGTGCTGAAGCGCCCGTGATCCTGCACGCTGCCCTCCATGACAGATGTCTACCATACGTTATATATACTATTTGCCCTGCTGCAACCCCTATCCGAATTGCTTTATAAGTCCTCCGATAGCTTAACCTCCTGCTTCAGATGGGCTGAGAGCTCCGCTGAGAGTAAGTCAGCAAGACGTTCCCCCGTCCGTAAGTATGTCCAATGCTTTGTTGCTGGGACATAGTCAAACCGCTTGGGGCCACTGCATGAATCAACGCCTGAGGTAATAAGAACGCCATGTACTCGCATCTTTGAACCGCTTGCCAGAATATACCTTATCGGTGAGGACAGCCATATCTGCTTATTTGGCGGTTGCTTGTTGATAACATATGTCCCCATGTCGCCCAGCGACAGATTTAGAACCCCAGCCTGCGGCAAGACTGAGTACTCGATTCTGACTAGGGTAAACACACTTCCACAATCCAGCTTCTTACCGCTACCACAACATCAAACCCCGTGATGTTGGCCTCCTCTCCTATCTCTTCTAACGTGTGCTCCAGATATTCCATGACACTGTCAGCTAGCGCGTGGTATTCGCGATCGGTCAGCGGATGGCTAGGTGAGAACGTTGTGCAAGCGTCAGCAAAGTACGTTCCTATCTGACCAGCCAGCACCGGCAACGTTGGAAGCAAACATACGTATCATCACTTTGAGTGGTTGGAGGGAACGGTGCTTTATGCCGTATAGGTGACGTTGAGAAAGTGCTCACGTTGACTACCCGCCGAGTGATGAACAAGCCATAGATGCCATTACCGCACGTGGAGCATCGGGGTGGCGGTCTGATGCCCCGTGAGTGTCTTGACACGGCACTCAGTGCTCTGCTTATTCGCGGCGTGGCCATTGTGGTGGTACGGATGAGTGTGAGGAACTGAAGTCGAGGCAGGTTCTGCTGTTCTGAGTTCGACTTCCTGCCTGTCGGTGGCCTTTGGGTGGCCTTTGCGACATCCGCTGTCAAAGTGGTGTCACTTCATGTTCAGGGCGGACGCTCGCAGTCCCAACGCCCTCCCAACGCCCAAGTTCTCCCACTTCGTTCTCCTCCAGCAGCGGGTAGTACCATACGGTCCTACAATTTGCGACCCCTGATCGATTTGGCTTCGCTTCAAACACACTTTTGCAACCATGCCACGCCCTCTGAACGCCCTCTTCGCCGTGGTCCTGTTTGTACTCGCCCCAGCCTATCTCTTCTACGTCACGCTGCGATCCCCAGCCTCCACCCCATCCACCGACGCGCACCTGTCCACCCCTTCCTCAGCAAACGCCATCTGCCTAACCGTCGAGGGGTTTGCAGGCTGTCCATATTTCATGGCTGCCGAAAAAGCCGCGATATCCGCCCAAGACGAAAATCGAGTGCAACACGCGGTTGTGAACACCTGGGATCGCGGCACCTGGCAGTCCACCCGCCGCGCCGCTTTACAGGCCAGTGTGCCCGGCGCCCAGTCGCATAGGACTTCGCCTTTTGTTTGGAGACGATCGTGTCAAAAGGTTAGCGGCAGTAGCGCTGAAACGAATCCGGACGCGAAGGTCGCTGAGGGATCGGTGGTGGAGTTTGTGGGCGGGTTCAGCGAACTGTCTCAATATCTGCATAGGCTGAACTGAGCATTATGGGGACGATGTGGCGGGGGTACATCGCTACCAACGTCATGGCGGAAAAGGCTTCTGAATTAGTAGACGCAGCTTCAGAACTCTCTGAAAGGCTGAAGTGGCCTTGTAGCGAAACCCCGTTTGACTAGCTGGTGGGCATATGGAGTGCAGAGTCAATTGGAGAGTACGATGTGACGGTAGCTACACATATCTATCTACATAGAAAGTGCGTGATCTATGTATGCATGGGACTATATACGACAAGGGGACGAATGTACAAAAGTGCGGTCAAGAAAAGGTGTCCGAACAAGGAAGTGATGGCAAAAGTTATTTAGAAATTCAAAGCTTGGCGCTTGTGGCCGACACAAGTGATAGTTCTTGCAGATCCTTCTTGATGGTTTGCGCAACCATGTAGGCCAGACTGTAGGTGGTGATCATTGGGCTATGGAAAAGAACAGGGTCAATCCATCATATCTGAATGAATTTGACGTTCTCGCTCTTCATCAGGCGAGTGTAAACTTACTTGACACCACTGGCAGTCGGAAACAGAGAAGCATCAGCCACGTAGCAATCTCTCATCTCCCACGTCCGTCCATGTGGGTCGCAAGCGCCGCGATGCGCATCGCCTGCGATTCTACACGACCCCATCTGATGTGCACATATCATTGGCGTCCATGTGGATTGGAATCCGAACCGCCGGACGGAATCGATATACGCCGCAAACTCCGGGGTGTTGAGGACGTCCCCGCCGCGAGGAATGTCGAATGGGTCCAACCCAGGCTGGGTGGTGAAGATTTGGGTTGCTCCTGCCGCGATGAGCAGTTTGAGTGCGGCTTCGACACCGGCAGCCATGGTGAGTTGATCCTTGGACCCGAGATTGTAGGTGATATGCCTGGTGTATGTTGTCGTGCCGTCAGCGCCTTTACGGGAGTTGACAGTCACTGTTCCAGTCGATGAATCGCTGTCCCGGCAGAGGGCGATAATTGGCACGGTGTAATGATAGTTAGCCATCATTGCTCGATGTCGAGACGGTGAGTAGAACGGGAGCGACATAGCAAACAGAGCGGGATGCATGGTCGGGATTTCGAGCTTCGCGCCGTAGCCATCCTCGTGAATATCATCGGCAGCAGTCGACAAAGCCGTCATAATGCTTCCACTCCACGGGTTCACCGGCTCGGTGCGGTCTCGGAATACTCCGAAAATAAAGGAAACCGGGTGCAAACGAAGATGCTTGCCGATGTTCGGATTCCTGAAACCCGATCGAAGCAAGAGTGCTGGCGTGTTGATCGAACCGGCGCTCGAGACGACCTTCTTCGCCTTGACAATGATCTTCCGACTAAGCCCCGTGTTCGGGTCCGTAATCTTTCCTTCCACTCCCGTCGCGCGTCCACGATGATGCTGTATCTTTTCCACTTCGCAGTTTTCCACGAAGCGAGCTTTTCCCGTCTCTGCGGCATCCCGCAGATACGTTACATGTGCTCCTTGTTTCTCCCCGTATGGGCACCCAAGACCGCAAAACCCGCAGGTGTGTGGTTTTCCGGCCGTATTTTGCGGAATAGAAACGCATGGCATGCCCAACTTCTGGCATCCTTTCATTAGGAGACTGTTAGGGATATTATGTTGAATAGCGTCGGTTCCCACGCCAAGGCGGGAACAGACCGCATCAAGGGATTTGTTGTACTCGTCGGAGGTGAAGTAAGGCAAATCATACTTTTTTGCCCACTCCTCTCGAGTTTTGTATGGGAGTCTTAGCGATGCACTCCTACCGAAACGAAAGGCGCAATGTTTGAGCAATCGAATGCATCGGACATATACCTCATAAAGGGTATGCACGTACCAGTTGACGAACGTGCCGCCGCCAAACGTGCTGCCTGCAGCAATGCGTATACCGCCATCCTCCGTCAAAAGTCCGCCTGCGGCCTCGTATAATTGCTTATAGCAATCGGCTTCCTCATAGGACAGCTCTGTCGGGTGGTTGTATCGCCCTTTTTCCAGCACGATAACGTTGTATCCCTCCTTTGTCAACTCCGCCGCAACTAAACCTCCTCCAGCTCCCGACCCAACTATCACAACATCACAATGCAGGGTCGCTGGCTCTGCTACAGTTAACGCAGCTGCCTGGTCTTGGAAAAGCTGAACAAAGGTTGGCCGCCAGAGATCGTCGGGCAATGGCCGTTCCAGCTTGGGATGCCTCTGATAACCAACCGTTTTCCACAAGGGATGGGAGACGTTGCCAGTTTCGTCGCGTAACGGGACCCCATAGGCAGTCACCATCGCCAACGATTTGAAGGATTCCGCAACATTTCTGAGCGGTCCCAGACGGCTCGTTCGTAGATTTCGCAAAACCCGAACCCGGTCCTTTTCAGACATATCGAGGACCGAAGAAAAGACTCCAGTCACTATGTAACTCGAGATGGGAGTGGACAAAATTGTCAGGAAAGTCCGTATTGCGTTGATCTGATCGGGTCGGGCCATCAACCCCAGCAGTTCGAGGGCGTCTGGAATTGATATGAATTGGCTTGGCGGTGCTGTGGCATACTTTTCGACGTCACCGGAAGCTGCTTCGCTCAAAGTCGGTGCTCCGCCCTTCCCCGTTATCCCCCCGGCCAAGAAAGCTCGTTGAAACTCCTCCTCGTCGTCGGCGGGGAGTAGATAGGTTTCCAGGACGGTTTGCAGGGTTTTCATTTGCACGTCGGTAAAGTCGAAAGGGTGCGATCCTGAAGCCAAGATGGCGCCAAGTTTTACGGCGGCACTCCGTTCAGCTTCTTGGACGCTGGAGACAACTCCAGGAACCGTCGCCACATTCTTGCTAGAGGCGGCGGAATCGGTGACGCTGTGTGAACCCATTGAAGTGTTTGTTGAATGCCTCTGACGAATGACCTTCTGGTTCTAGCGTGAGCTGCCTTACATACAGCACATGAATATTCGCAGGATGGGGCGCCCAATATACAGCAGCTTGGTTGCCGCAGCCGCGGGGGCGGAGACGGAGCAGCCCCTCACGCGCCGCGAACTGCACGACGATGACACATCCAATTTCAACAATCTTCCGCTCGCGGGGGGTCGGTCGCCGTTCTGTCTTCAAAGCCGTGCTCGAGAGCTACCCCATCCGGTCGACTCCGTTCTCCCGTCTATTCGCTGCGCGTGGGAGATGTACTACATACAGTACACTATACTGTGGCCTCCCGTGGGTTACGGTTCCCTATGATCGCGGGCGTTCTCAAACTCATCACATACTGTATTGTACAATTACATCCCGATGATTCAGGTTACTTCCTTACGACTTGCCTTCGCCTTCGTACAATACCTCCTATATATCTTCCTAAGAGGGCATTCTGGTGATCGGTAGACCAGCATCATTTGACCTCATTCGAGGTAGGACATTTGAAGCCGATACCGACGCTGGTTCCTTCTAGGACCTAGGTCCTCCTCCATCACCGTCTTCAATGTTCACCAAGCGAACTCACCTGGAGGATCGACCGCCGTCATCGCCGAAACGATTCTCTCTTGAGAGCGAGTCTCCTCCATGAGTCCTCACCAAGCGACGAGCATCGGAGCAAATCACCATAGCCCTGCGAGTTGGCGGTTGATCGAGGGTTCGAACGCCCGAAAGGGGCACGTGAGGTGCGGTGTGCGTAAGTTTCCAGTCGTCTGACCGCTTCTCGCCTGGCACAAAACGCGTCCGAAAAAGGTCAGAGGGCGTCTCGACAAGAAACTCACAAATTGCTGTAATTCAGGCCTAACTCCGACCAACGCGTTCTCGCGAAAGTTCCGCGTTGCCCTTGCACGCCTTTCCTCGTTCAACACTGGATCTGGATAGTCAACGTTCGCCGGATCGTCTTTTGTTTCCCAACGACCAACGACACGCCGCTCAGACACAAAATGTGGATTCTCGGCCGGATCACGAAAAAACTCAAATCCCTTTTTGGAGGCTTTGACGCCCACGGAGCGACCGGATGGATTCGATGGAGCTAAAGCGCAGGCCACACTCCCAAGGATGGAAAAATGCAGGCATACTGCAAAGTGTCGCCTTGGATGGGTGAGTTGAGCGTTTCGCATAAAAGAGCCCACCCAGCAAGGCGATTCCCTCACATTCTCTCAGACATCCAGGCAACTGTCCTTCAAACCCAGCAACATCGCAGGCATGCTTTCTCCCGGTTTATCACTCACGAAGGCCGCCCTCATCGCCCTTTCTCTCGTCACTTTCACTTCCGCATCGCCTGTTTACCACCTGGCCAAGAGGGATAATCCGTATGCCGCGAGAGGCGATGTCATGATTCAGGCTTTCTACTGGGAGAGCGTGCATGACCACAAGGGCGGCTGGTACGATATTCTTAACGACAACGTACCAAACTTACAAGGCCATTTCACATACGCCTGGCTCCCCCCCGTCTCGGATGCCGCCGAGGATGACGCGAAGGACGCCCAGGGCTATCTGCCACGCAATTGGAACAAGCTCGACAGCCAGTATGGCACCGAGGTTTCGCTTCGCCGCGTCCTCAAGTCTTTGGCTGGCGCCAACATCAAGTCGATGGCCGATATCGTTGTGAACCATCGCGTCGGCCAATTCAACTGGGGCGATTTTGCCGAACCTTCCTTCGGCGATAACCAGGCAGCTGTGTGCTATACAGATGAATGGGCACATCCTCCCCCAGACGCCAAAGGCGTGGTAGGCTATCCGACTGGCGGACAGGACACCGGCGAACCTTTCATAGGGGGCAGAGACCTCGATCACAATAACCCGGCTGTGCAAAACGGCGTCATTACATACCTGCGGGACAGGTTGAAGGGTGTCGGGTTCACCGCCTGGAGGTGGGTTGGTTTTCCTTATCGAATGTCTCGCATCCCTTGGCTGACTTTGGCTGCCGTATACTAGGTACGATTTCGTCAGGGGATTCGCCCCGCGGTTCATCAAACAGTATAACGACGCGTCGACTCCAGAGATCAGCTTCGGCGAGTTCTGGCTCGATCGCCAACCGGCGCCCGACCCGCAGACGATCTTCAAGTGGATCCAAGACACAGGCAGTGCGTCCGGAGCCATCGACTTCTCAACAAGGTTCTTGCTAAGCTCTGCGATCAACCGAAACCGATACGATCTTCTGAGGAACGGCGAGAACCCCGCAGGTCTGATTGGCTTGGCCCCCGGTTATACCATGACTTTCGTCGACAATCATGATACCGCGAGGAAGGATCCAAAGGCGCCCTCGGTGCCCTTCCCTGGCGATCCAATGGTTGGCTACGCGTACATCTTGACTCATCCCGGTATTCCCTGTGTCTTCTGGCTAGATTGTGAGTTGTGACTTGCGGTTGGTAGTTTACTTGCGTTTCAGATCCATTTACTGATGCGGAGTTTGTTCCTCTTCAGATATCAATAACTTGAAGTCGCAAATCGACCCTCTGATTGAGGCTCGCAAGGCCGCCGGGGTCCATAGCTTGTCGCCCGTTCGTATCGACCAAGCGGACAGCACTGTGTATGCGGCTTACATCGCTGGGACAATCGGACGCTTGGCCGTCAAGATCGGTCCTGGAAACTGGGTCCCTTGCGATACGTCATTTACATTGGTTGGACAAGGGGCGCGTTGGGCTGTCTGGCGCGGCTAGCTTGAGCGCGTCGCAGTTTCTGGGATTGTTAGTCTTTTAGTGTATATAGTTGTTTGCATTCTCTTTTGATGTATCATATAGTATTTTGGACGGAATCGTTGTGGTTGATGTTTGCTGTGTATGTACATGTACGCTCGAAGCAACTCTCTTTCGTCAAGTACTGATGTGTAAATTGTGATTTCCAACTTTGATCCTGTGCAAAGCTAATTGGATCGGGGGATGGTGGTCTACATGCTGACAATAGGCCCACCACATACGCCTTCTTGCATTCTCTCGGACTTCCTCTTAGTACGCATGCATGGTAGCTTCATCCTTCTCCAGCATCGGCTCATCGTCGTCATCCCTCGTGTCCTCGACCGTGTCGCCCTTCGGTCTTTCGACTCTCCTTCCCCGACAATCGCATTCGGCTTTGACTCGCTTGGCTATGTCGTCCATCGTGTCGAGAACCAGCTCGGACACGATCCGCCTTGCTGCCTTCTTACTGGGGCCTTGCGCAACTGCCAGGATTTGCTCATGAACCACCAGATTGGCGACGTACGCGTGCCCTTCCGAGTCGTGCCTTGCCGGTACACGCCATTTATCGCAGCCCATCTCGTTTCGGAAGAACAGCGCAAGCTCGCGGAAGGGGTGTCGGCCGACGAAGTGTGGTTGAACAAACTCAGCCACCCAGGGAAGCCAGACGCGTTCCAGAAATGCCCAGACTGCTTCAGCGTCGAAGCGATTGTCCACGAAGATGGCGCCTGTGATGGCTTCAAAAACGTCGGAGATAGCTTTTGGCGTCTCAATGTTGGTCCAGTAGCTAGGGAGGCAAATTAATCTGATTTGACTCCTTTGAGGTCCCAACGGAAGGAGGTACTTACTGCATCTCTGCTTCCATTTCTCTCTGCAAGTTGTTCCTTTCCACTTTACTCTCGATGAACGTTCCCGCGAGCAGATCCAGCTTTGCCCGCCTAGCGTCCGTCGTGTCGGTGTGCCGCTTAGCTTCAATCCACAAGGCATCGCAATAATCCGCAATGTCCTGATCCATAGGCGCCGACAGTCTGTCGATGTGATAGTGCAGTCCCATGTTGGCCGAAACGCACGCAAGGAAGGCATTGTTGACTGCTGCGTCCTTCAGGTCGACTAGTCGACCCGGTGGAAGCTCAGGATACTTTCGGAAAAAGTAGCGCACAGCTAGGAGACCCAGGATAGCGTCGCCTATCAACACGAAGAAGGGATTAGCGGGGGGTCAAATCCGTCTTTGGTGCAGCACATACCAAGAAACTCCAGCCTTTGATAGTTCTGTACGGTAGGGTCCGGGGAGCTCGGATGCGTTAGCGCCTCCGCAAGAAGCCAAGGGCTCTTGAACTTGTATCCAATGATCTCTTCGACATGGGCAACAGCGTTTCGCTTCTCAATACGCATCTCTCCCGCGGGCTTCGGGTGCTGGTCAAGAGCGAGCATGTAGTCCTCCCAGTTCACGACAAAAGCCGTGCTGTAGACGTTGTGCAGAGCTTGCGCTGCACCTTTTATTCCGTTGTCGTTCAGACAGGCCCCGAGAATGGATTCGACAGAGTCTGCAATTTGCTTCGTTGATAGGCCGTGAGTGGTGGTCACCGCGGAAGGAATCTCCTTCTCCTTCTTGGGAAGCACCCGCTTCCGGTTGTTGTGCGCGTTCTCGTCCTCCAGCTCGGCCCTTTCTAGCATGGTCTCGATATCTTCGTCGTCATATCCTTTGTCGGCAATAATTGGGCGCCATTCCGTTCTGCAAAATTGCCCGTGTGGTTATTTTGCCCCTTCAAGTTTCCACACACGGTCTGAGATGAAGCGTACCTGGCGAGCTTGCTCGTAATCATGTATCCAGTGATATTCCTCAGCTTCCCCTTCTCGTAAAGGGCGAAGTTCGATTGCATGCGATGGGCCATCATCGTCATCACGCCTTCATGACGATGTGGGTGCAAAGCGTACATATGCAAGACTATTGCAATCTTCAAGAATGCGTCTCCAAGCGTCTCCAGACGTTCGTAGTTCGTTTGCAAGACTGCAGACGGGGCGCTGAGGGCAGTGATGAGGGTGTCCAGCTTGGTTGGCAACGCCAAATTCTGTCTCAGCTGTTCTGCGCGACACGCTATCTCCAGGTAGTAGAAGATGGAAGGTAGGATCGTGGCTGACTCCAAGACGTTCTTCTTGATGCTGTAAGGTTGGAGAAACTTCAAACGGCATTGATGAGTTCGCAGTCCAAACCTGCTCCAGACTCCCGTCCCATGCATGAAGAGATACCTGAGGCATGAGGAAGACATCGCCATCCCTGAGAGCATCGACACTTTCGCTTTGTGCGATCTGGATAATGGGATCACCTATTTCAAATATGCGCAGGGTCATATGCTTGACAGAAATGAGCTCTTACGTTGTGATATGCCAGCATGTTAAACTTCCTAGTGACCAGATTGGCTCTAATCACAGGTTGCTGCACTCTGACTTTCGTGTGATCCTTCATTGTAGTGTAGTAGTCCACGGTTCGTTTGAACTTAGGATCCGTGAACGGCACCTCGTCGAACGGAGTGCGGTCGGGAAGAAACTCTTGCACCAGGAATTTCCTCTGCCAGTGCTTTGTGCTGACCACAACTTCATTGATGACCTCCGGGTTGTAGAGCACGCTTCGATGTTGGCGTGGCTCAAAGTTACATGCTTTGTCCATGGATTCCCAATCGACCAGGGTGTCCGCATCCACCTCAGTGACGTTGATAGGAGAACCTCCAGGTTTGACGGTCAAGGGCACCGCAAGAAAGGCGTACTCGCCGTGCTCTGGAAAGATCGTATGCTTCATCATGGGAGATAGGACAAGAAAGTTGTACTTCTTGGCGAGTTTGTACTGGTCCCTCGTCAACGCGAACGGTTTGGAGGTAGTTTGGACACGCACACGGAGTTCGAGAAGGTTTGGCCAGATTGGGAACTCGAAAGGGGCGACCGGCAGAGGGTTGACGGTGAGGAATCCCAATGGTTGACAAGTCGGCGCTCCTTCAAATCCTGCCGTGTCAATCACGTTCAGGTGTGCTGTGATGGTTGCTGTCTTTTCTGGCACCCAGCATTTGATCAGACATTCAGGTAGTGCAATCGGGTATTTTGCTTTCCTCTGCTTCGATTTGAGCGCCAGCAGCTCTTTCTTCAAAGTGGCAACATCTGCATCCTCCACACTGGTGTGACAATAGGTGGTATCGAATATGGGGCGGAGATGATTGTCCAGGTATTTCTTCTGATGCAGAAGTTTCACGGCTTCCAACGCAGCGGATCGGAATGCCAGAGCCTTGGACCGCATCGGATGACCTAAAACGATGCGCATCTCGGGGGGTAAAACGTTCGGGAGAACGACCGTGGCAACAAATTGTACATCTCCGTCGTCCACCGTATGCGACAAGGCATACTCAGGGCGCGCAACAGTATACATATCCACCTCCAAGATGCTGCAAAAGTGATGCAGTGTGGGACTTGCAGAAGTAAGAGAGACGCGCGCCCCAGTACTCTCGATGATGTAGCTGTAGGGCACGGACTTGGTTACGGCCGTGTCTGCCTCATCCAACTGTGGAATGGCGATGCGCGTCTCGATGCGGTCGCGGTGCTTTTCAATCTGAGCGCGGACTTCTCTTTCTTGCTCGCGAAGGGCGCGGAGGTGATGTAGGTGCATCCAGTTGTCTTTCTCGCACATCAGGATGAAACGCGAGTTCGCCGCGCGAGCCCGCCCCCGACTCTGTAGTGGTAAGGTGCCTTTGAGCGAAGAGCAGGTTGGCACTATAGACACTTTGCGCCAAGACTGTACCTGAATGTAGTTAACCAGATTCATGCTGTCCTTTCCCATGTTGAAACGAATCACCAGCTTGCAGCACGGGATATCCAATCCTTCTTCCGCGACCTGAATGGGCGGCGTACGTATTAGTTGTGAATCACCTTCAATGCGAATCCATTGTCCGTACTCACTTTTGTCGCCACGAGTAGATTGATCTTATGCTGCCGAAACTCGCGGAGCGTAGTGTTCTGCACCGTGAGTCGCATGGTTGTATAGTACTCGTCCGCGGTTCCACTTGCATGTCCGATCAATGCCCCAGGCCGGATGCTGCCTTTCAACCTCGGGTGACTGGCAAGAAGGTCCCTCAGACGCTCAGCCGTCTCTCGTCGCTGAACAAAGACGATTCCGGAGAAGGAGGCGTCGCGCCGATAACCTTCCAATATATCCATCAGCCGGTGCACTTTCCTTGAAATCTCAGCGTCGGTCGGGCTATCGGCGGGTCTGTACTTGCTCAGATCCTCGAAAAGCGTTCTTCGCTTGCTTTCCGATCCAGCTAAAAGCGCGGCTTGCCGCACATCCATGCTGTTCAGAATACTCCTGTCGGCCTTTTTGCTCAAACCATCGAGGGCTGCCATCAAGGTGCGTGAGCATGCCCAAGATCCCAATTGATAGTGAATGTATTCCGCATCCGCAATAGCCTTTGCCAGATTGAATCCATGTACCTGAGAAACGTATTCTTTGGCTTTCTCCAGGATCGGAGGCATCTCCATCGAATCCGAAACCTCATACTCGAACTTCACGGGACGGGGCTTCGCCGCATAGAGTGCAGTGGCCTCGTCGCTTAGGGTCACAGTGACCGCTCTACAGTTGAGAGTTTTCTCAAGATTGTCAATCGCGATGAAGGCTTGACTGTCGGAGTTAACTGGTGACGCTGTGAGACCCAGGATCTTTGGGCGGGGTTCCTTGACTGGCCAATAGTGCTCCCTCATCAAGATTGCGTACGGATGGTCTCCAATGGCGTTGTGTGCCTCATCAAAGATGATGAGAGAAACTTGGTCGAGTGTGAGGTATGCATGATTCAACGCTTCGACAACGACCTGCGCGGTTGAGCACAGTGCAACGTGCTTCTGTATGATCTCTTGCCAATCAACCAGTTTGTCCTGCTCCAACACGTTTCCACACAAGCACGCAATCTCTTTCGAAATCTGATGCTTCAGGTAATCCTTTTGTTGCCAGACCAGCGGGACTGTGGGAACCAGGAACAATGCCAGCTTCTTCTTTGCGCCTTCTTTGACCGATTCCTCCTGCACAGCAATCATATGCTTCATCAGCAGGCCCGCAATCAGCGTTTTTCCCGTCCCGGTATCCATCACAGCGATGATGTTTTCCTGTTTCGCCAGTTCCAGAAGGTCGCGCTGATATGGCCTTGGTTCTTCGACAGGTGTGTTGGTAAAGTCCCTCTGTGGGACTTTGTATGTCGCTGTGGCGGGCTCACGAGGAGCTCGCTGACGCAGTACCGCATCGACGTTGACGTTATCACTCGGCTTCAGTCCTGCAGTAATTCTACGAGGGCCTTCCCCTGGGGCGTTTTCGCCCGAGGCCGGTAGGTTCGTGGGAACCGGCATGTCGTGACACCGGTTTCAAACCCTCAAAGTTAGCACTATCCAACCGGTTCAGGATTCCACCGACAGCGGAAGGAGTTCAGGCTGTTTCCGCGACACTGCACCCGATATATATACTCCGAGCAAGATTGTCAGTAGTCTTCCCAGATCGCGGGCGAAATTGCTGAGGCGTGCGGTGTGAGGTTTCAGAGGTTGTGAGCTGTCGAAAATGGGGGACGTGCGCAAACGCGAGAACGAAGGTTGGGGAGATCAACCAGCTCGACGCAGAGAAGTTACCGTACAGAGCCATACTATGCAGGACGTCTCAAACCGGCAGGTTCTCGCTTCGATCAGGCTAAAACCGTGCTGGCGAGACGGTACGGAATCAGCGAACTTCTTATGACATGCCAGCATCGATGGTATTTTGTCCCTCCAGATCCTGGATTTGAAAAGCACGACGAAAGTTCGCAAAAATCACACGCTCTACATACATATGTACTGTATATGGGCTTTCCTTCGGGCCTGCGACTTCCAACATGGAAAGATACGCCGGCTGGCTCCTGATGGAGCTCCTTCCTTACGTACTGTGCTTTTGGGGGTGTCCGCGGTGTGTCTGGGAAGGCGGCAGTACGGCGGACGGGTAAAACAGTTCCTTGTCACGGGCTCCCTTCAAACCGCCGCGGATGACTTTGATGATGATTTGCAAATGATTGTTGCGAGCGTCCCCAGGCTCCCCAAACGCACATCTTCTTTCGCACCGGCTTTCTCAAATACGTGCTTGCCAAGGCCAACACTCATCAGCCCCAGCCAACTCACGCCATCGCAATTCCAGCATACCATACGCAACGTAATATATTCAGTCGCTTTCTCTGACGGTCTGCGCTCACTCTGGACACTCAACAACAATTTGAGACGGTTACAGCTGAGCTCCCGCGTATAGTCAAGTCGCATTAGTTTCGACAAAGTTCCGACGCACGTATATCGTTCAAACTCCCCCTAATCGCTCCGCTCTTGAGCCCTCTGGTCACTCGCCCGGACGATTCCCCTCCCTGCGCCTGTCCTTTCATTGCTGACAAACCCGCAGGGTTGCCGATGAGTTTCGATTTCCCAGGAACTGTGGTGGGGGAGGAGGATCCCGTAATGGACGCCTACACAGTTCTGACGGGCGGGGCACGACGCCCTTCCGCCGACTCGGAAACGAGCCAGGTGTCCGCATACACAGCCGGCACGAATTCCTTGCCAAAGAGCCGAAACCGAACTCGCCATGGCAACGGTGTAGCTTTCAACACTCCGCCAGTGGAGGCAAAGCCATCCCCTCCACCTTCCGATGGGGAGCGGCTCATTGTGCATACGATGCCAAGACGGAGTTATGTGGCGGATAACATTCCACGGCTGGTGTATACAACGAAATTCGGCGGCAAGACGGATTTCCCATTGGTTCGTTCAAGTTCTGTTTCCGAATGCATAAATGGCCTTGTGCTAATCAAATCTTGACCAATACAGATTGGCGATGAGACAACAGTAGGGAGAAGGGATGACAACAATATATCCCTTCCATGTGCGCGGATAAGCAAATATCATGGACTGATCGTCAAAGGCGAGCAGGGATACTATCTGCGTGACAAGAACTCGTCGAACGGCATCAGGGTGAATGACAAGCTGATAGCTCCGAATACTCCACACCTCCTGAGGGAAAATGATAAGATTGAGATTGGGTCTTTCATTCTATACTTCCATGATGGCATACCGCGGAAGATCAAAGTCGAGCCATCATCGCCACTACCGTCCCCATCCACACCAACCACGGCGGTTCCTGGCAGTGTATATGGGGCCGTAGCATCAGGAGCAGCCGCATATCAACAACCACCGCATGCGCTGTCTCCGTCTCGGCGTCCCTCGGCCGCCGGGCAGAATGATGACGATTACAAATATAACAAACTTGTAACAATTTTGCCTTCTGAGCAAAAGTACGATCAGTCGATGACAATTCAAGCGGAGTTGCCGGCAACCGGGACGGATATGGTGTCGAATCAGTTTCAACGAGGGGACGATGTCACGGATATCAACACGTTGAGGGAGGACTACGAGAAACTGCGACTGGCGTACGAGCTCTCCAAAGTGTTTTCCACCAACATCACGTCAGCATTGTCTAAATCCTGCGAGTTGATGTTTGACATTCTCCCCATCGACCGAGCTGTTGTGTTACTACGGGAGGAGGACACCAATATGCTTTGCGTACACTACGTCAAGATTCGCGAAGGGCGGGGCTACGATCATAAGGAAATTTGCCTCTCTTCGACTATCCTGCGGAAGGTGTTCCATTCGCGGAAATGTCTGGTCACCTCGGACGCTTTCGAAGATCCGATGCTTTCAAAGCAAGCCAGTGTGAAAGTCGGACAGATTCGGTCTGTGATTTGCGTGCCGCTCATTTCACATAACAAAGTGCACGGGATTCTGCATTTGGACTCTCGCGACCGAATCAACGCGTTCTCGACGAAAGATGTCTCCTTGGTCCTTACCATCTCAACCCAGACCGCCTTGGCAATCGAGAACTCTTTACTCATTAAAGAGATCCAAAACAAAGCGAAGTTGCAAGAGAACTTGTCTCGTTTCTTGCCGCCACACGTCGTCAGCAAGATGACGCATGCCAAAGGAATCGAAGGGATACGTAAAGGGGGAAGGGAAGTGGTGGGGACGATTCTGTTCGCCGACATTCGTGGATTCACGCAATTGTCGGAAAAGTCAACTCCGTCGGAAGTCGTTTCGCTTTTGAACGACTATTTTGAGCGGGTGAGTTGCCCACTTCCCATCTTTCCTGTTACACCTTTGCGAGGTTAATTTTTGTGTTTTCGCGCAGCTTGTCAATATAGTCTTCAAGTACTCAGGTATTGTCGACAAGTACATTGGCGATGCCCTTATGGCTGCATTTGGGACGTTAGCGGACGAGGGGCCAGATCCGGAATTCAGGGCCGTGAGCGCTGCCCTTGAGTTCAAAGAAGCTATTCGGGATATGAACATTGAAAGGGCGAAAACCGGAAAAGAGCCGGTATCTGTCGGCATCGGGCTCAACACGGGTATGCTATTACGTGCTTGACGTGTTATGCAATATATTCCATCGGCATCAATCATTTTAACATCTTGACATGCATTTCATAGGCGAGCTCCTCACTGGTTTTATAGGATCATCTCAGCGTCTCGAATATACCTGTATCGGCGACACCGTCAACACATCCTCCCGCATCTGCTCGATGGCCTCCACGAATCAAGTGCTAATATCGCAAAGCACATGGGACGCGCTCAATGGGAGATTCGAAGTCCAAGAAGTTGGAGGGAGGATGTTCAAGGGGAAAGAGAGGGAGGTGGTTGTGCACGAGGTCATGGCCAAGTTGGATCTTCCACCACCAGAGCGATTGAGTCCTCCACCGGCTCAGACGTGAGACACCAACTTTATTTTAGGTTTCTTCGCTCCTGATTGCACTGGTGTGTTGATTTTGTACATATCTCGCACATTTTTGGTTTTTGTAAATAGCGTGATTGTGGTACATAACATAACAATCATGGAATTACATGCTGTTTCGTATGTTACGTAGTTAAGAGCTGGCCTTGAAGCGGACTACCCCAGGCGTGGTTCACAATCCAAGTGTCTTCTTTAACCGAAACTTTACTAGTACTAGCCTGCCGGTGTGACAAAAACAATCTGAAGAAAGCAGCCACCTTTTCCTTGCCTCCAAACGTTCAAAATCGCGAACATAACCCGCCTCCCTCCAGAAGTTCATCAGACATCGAAACGGAAATGGGTGACATCAAGAACGCGTTCGAGATTATGTAAGGCGCGCCACCCTTCAGTTTGCTGCAAATGATACAACTTGTGAACAATCCATTCGCCTCTCTCAATTTTCAACCCGAGAACCGCCGGTTTGAGCTACTACCTGATCTCCGGGTCCCACGGTAAGATCTAATGTCAGATGCGATACCGCAAGATCGGCCGTGAGACGAAACGGGGCTGGATGGGAAAGTCTGCGCGCTGATTGGACAAGAGCGGGAAAACACACGGAGCCACGAACGCCTTTCTCACACAGCGTGTCGGGGGCATCTGAACGAAGTTGCTGGCCGGCAGAGAGAGAGACAGACAGAGAGAGACAGAGAGAGAGATGGGGGGCATCGGGTCACGTTCGCTTATGGTATTGGGCCCCGTTAGTATCTATCGCTTTTTCCCCGCTGCCGCCCCCCCCGTCCCCTCCAGATCCAGGCGCCAACCCCCACCCCACCCACCGGCAACAACCCCCTCCGGCCTTTCTTTCAGAGGAAGCTCAGCGGGCTCAGCGGGCTCAGGGGGGCACAAGCGTTTGAGCAAAAGAAGGCAGAAGTTTTGGCTCGCTGGCTGGTTTAATACTGCAGGTGTCCGCGCAAGTCGCCCAAACTCCTGCGAGCGTTCGCAAACCGCTCTTCTTGTAACTCTCTTGCCCTTCCCGTCGTCGGCGCTGGCGTCAGCGGTCCTCCTTCTTTCTGCATCGCACGTTCTCGAATTCTCCCATCAACACCCACCGCCTGAGAAAACGCAAAATATACGCAGCCCTCGCCTCGAACAACAAGCTCAGCAACCATGGTCGCAACAGCAAACACAATCTTCAAGATAAGGGCGATCGCCGACTTTATAGCTCCGAAAGCTACGGACTCGGACTGTCTCCTCTCATTCCGCCAAAGCCAAGCATTCTACGTTCTCTCGACGGACCCCATAAAGCAACTGTATTTTGTGAGTACACAGTATGCGACCCCTTTCTCACGCACAGCCGTGTCAGGGCTGGTGCCCATCTCGCATTTTGAGCTCGTGGATTTGATGAGCAAAGACCCCGACCCGGCGGCGAGGGCACGGACCGCCAGCAAGAACGCAGCAGCACGACCACCGACCACTCACAACGAGAACGCGGGCCACATTGCAGAGTCGATGCCGGCGGCAGCTGCAGCAGAAAACGCAGCTGGGCCTATGGCCAAGATCGGACGGAGAATATATTCATACTTGCAGACAAATGTTCGCCGGCACTCCGAAGGCATGCGCCTTGGACCTGTGGCCGACATGGAGCAGGCTGAGCAAAGGGTTCGGGCCGGCACCGTTCCTCGCAAAGTGTCGGTGCGCCAGAATACCCGATTACGAGAAGGCACCGTTGACAATGGGAGCCGCTCAAACGCATATGGTGGAAGCTTTGCCCATCAGCAATACAACCCGTTATTCGAGAGAGTTGTCAAAGCTCAAGTCGTGTCCATCGTTCGCCAACCCATGTCCCACCACGCTGAATCCCTCGGCTCCATTCACCCCCGCGCCGATCTTTGCTACGTGATCAAAGTCGTACTCCCAAGCAGGACCGTCGTCATCAACCGCTCGTACGAGGACTTTCTCATTCTTAACAACTCCCTCTCACAAAAGTTCGGCTCGTACGCAGAGACAAAAGTCTACATCCCACCACTGCCTCCAGCGCTCTCGGCCATGGTCAGCGAACGCCCTTCAGAGGCACGCCTGACCGACCATCAGGAAGACATTTCAAAGTACCTCTCCCGCCTCTGCCAGATGCCTCCACCATTGCGTGAAAGCGAGATCGTCATCCGCTTCTTTGCATCGAATTCCGGACAAGACGACCCGATTAGCCCGCCAAAAGAAGCCCGATCAAATAGCCACTCGAGGCACGCTCCCACGCTGGGATCCCTCCAGCGAAAACTAGGCCAGCCGACAGTTCGCCACGGTTCGTCAAAGAGCATCGCGGCAGCACAGTCACCCACCGTTGCGATTGCGGAACAGATGGAGGCAGGATTCGCAATCTCCAAAAGTAGTAGCAAACACTTCATGTCCCCAGAGAGGATTGGCGATTTCGACGAAGAGGATTTCCTGCAGGCGTATGCGTAACTGGGAATGCCTCTATTACTCGACACGCCACCGCGACCCTATTTCAATCGCGAAATGCTGCCGCCCAGTCGTAGATTTTTTGTAGAGACACTATGTAGTATCTGAGACGACGGATGGCCCTGCATATAAAACTTAGATAGCTCTGCACAGTTTGGCTCATAAACTCATGTCATAACGCCCGAATGAAATGCCGATTCATGTCCCAAATTAACGTGTGGTATTATGAAGCCTTCAACGGTGCCGTGCCTAGTTATTGGCGTTGAGTCGCATTTGCTGAAACGTCTCGGGACAGATCCGCCCATCAAGTGCATTAGCCGAAATCGACTATGATGTGCTTGCTGCGGGAACGATAAAGAAGAACGGAAGTGAACACACAAATATCGTTTGAGTACGCTCCAGCGGGCATAGGGCATAGGGCATAATGTGGAGGCTATCGCCAGGAGCTTCATTGACCATTACATACCTCGCATCGAGCAACGGCGTGCATTATGAGTATGCCCTCAGTTTCCAAAGCCTTTGCTAAAGTGTTTCGTAAGTCTCTCTCCTCGCCATCTGCTTGTTCACGTCCTTGTGCCCTTGAAAGCACTGCGGCCTCCTGCAAGGCGGAGGATGCGTCCAGAATCGCAGGCGAGCCTACTGTGGCGGTCCTGGTTGCGGCTGCAGCCGGCTCCAATGAGAACTTCATGTTTTTCTTAAACAGTGTGGGAAAGGCAGTTCAAGGATGAGATCTTCCAAGATGGCACGCAACTGAATTGAGTGAGATGGAAACCCATTGCTGTCACTTCCTACTCGATCGATCGACCACGTGACTTGTCGGCAGAAAGGAGAATTGATTGAGTACTTCCCGTCCTTTTCCCCGTTCATGTCCGATTCGAGACGGCCAGACCCGCTGAAACTGCCCGTGTGTGGTGCAGCAACGAGGTGCTTGACACAGATCGATATGTGGATGTGCGCTGGTGAACGGGAAAAGCCTGAGGAAGAGCTTTTCGAACACCGCCGAGGCAGACCTTGCACAAATCCCCAGCGCGAACTCTGCCCCTGTGGGGACGATCCTTATCCGGAACGACCACATTCAGCAACCGGCACCTGTACAGTACGTGTAACATGTTTGTCGTCTGTCTGCGGTCCACAGACTACAGTATATTCGATGTAGTTCAGTATAGTCCGTACTGGATCGATACGGAGTATGCACGGAAGATGCGTCGCGCCGTACGCCATAGGATGTGCATGTTATTCGAACTTTGACAGGAATGCATGTGCAAATGTTCTGGATTTATCGGCCCACTGCCCGGTCGGAAGAGCGGACTATGCAGACGGTGATTTGGCAGCTGATGCAGTATGCATATGATGTGTGGCCCGGTGTGAAATCGATGTTTCCGCTCGTACCATCTTTCGACGAACCAGTCGGATGCCATTGGCGCGCAGTAAAGGGTAAATGGCGGAGCGGACGCGTTTTCTCCCCCGGCTGCAATGATTCATTCACCATTACCTCCCTAATACCCCTCCCCTCCCTCACTTATCGCTTGTCATCTGTAAGGTCGAAGGAGAGTAGGACGGATGTGTGGCATGCTGTGTGCTTCTGGCCTTTCCTTGTGTGCATGTGCGAGAGAGAGCGAGGGGAAGTCGCTGATTGCTGCGATAAGTGGGCGACCATGATGCGTGTGTCAGAGGCGGAGGACGACCCAAACGCGCGGTCCCTCCTCCCACACAGATCCAGGAATCGTATAAAAGCTCACACCGACAAGGCTTCGTCCCTTGCCTCCGTCCAAACCCACAAACCTTCTGACCAAACTCAGAATAACATTCCGCTGGCAGGTATATATCCCCATCAAAGTCCCATGGCCGGATCTCAGCGAGTCCTATAAACTTCGCGGTTGTCCCTGACGTTTCTCGTACCATCCTTGCTCGTTCCGATCTAGCAGTTCAGCCAAGCTACTATATCCGAAAACATCGAGTGGTCCAGCAGTTTCGCTTGCATACTGAACGCACTTTCAAACCAACTTCACACGCACATGTAAGTCATCCTTGCGCCTCACTCCCGCTGTTTATGGTGGAACTGCTGGATACCTTGATCTACTTGGCTTGGGCCGAAGAGTCAGTAATAACTCAGTTTCCTTTTCCCAGACCCTATTACCTCGCCGTCCGAATTTTTTCACTGCCTGAGCCGTGATTGCTCATCATGTCGGCCAAACCGATCCGTGAGTTTGATGGGAAGCACCTCCTGGCGTACTGGCTTCCCCGCCTGTCGCATCCTTCGCAGGGTATTGGTGCCACCACCGGCTCTGCCACATCACCAGCGACGTCGAACGGAGAGCACTCAGTCAAGTCCAACGGCAAAGCCAGCCTCCCCAGTCCCACCGCAACTTCTCCCACCAACCCCGCCGCCACTTTCCTCGCTCCCAACCGCATGGTCCACCTCGCATTCGACACCTCCCTCCTCGTAAATGAGCAGCAATTCCAGAACCACGTACTGGAAGTCTTCGACATCGCCGAAAAGGAGAATCCTTGGGTTCTTTCGCAAAAGCTTGTCTGCAAGCCTGACCAACTGATCAAGCGTAGGGGGAAGAACGGACTCTTGGGCATCAACCTGGACTGGGCAGGTGTGAAGGAGTGGATCTCCAAGCGTGCAGGGAAGCCCTTCAAACTCGAGAAGACGGAGGGCCTCCTACACACTTTCCTTGTCGAGCCCCTTTGCATCCATCCGCAAGACTCGGAATACTACGTTGCGATCAACTCGGTTCGTGAAGGTGACTGGATCCTTTTCACGCACGAGGGAGGTGTTGATGTCGGAGACGTCGACGCCAAGGCCCGAAAGTTCCTGGTGCAGGTCGACCAGCCTTTCCCCGAACCGAGCGTTATCGAAAAGGCTCTCCTCTTCGACGTGAAATCCGCCACTCAAAAGGCCACTCTGGTTGAGTTCATCACACGCCTGTATGCCGTCTACTCCGAGCTGCAGTTTACCTACCTCGAAATCAACCCTCTCGTTGTCCTCGACTCGCCCAACGGCACAGGTCCTGCACAAGTCTTCTACCTCGATCTCGCGGCGAAGCTGGACCAAACCGCTGAGTTCGAGTGCGGAAAGTACTGGGCGATGGCACGGAAAAACGCATACCGCACCACCGTTTCTGGGCCTTCCCACGGTCCCGCCATGGAGTTCCCGGCACCGTTCGGCAGGGAGCTAACGAAGGAAGAGGCCTACATTGCTGACCTTGACGCGAAGACGGGGGCCTCCCTGAAGCTCACGGTTCTCAACCCGACTGGTCGCATTTGGACGATGGTTGCTGGAGGTGGTGCTTCCGTGGTCTACTCCGATGCCATCGCAGCACTTGGCTACGCACACGAGCTCGCCAACTACGGAGAGTATTCTGGCGCTCCTTCGGAATCGCAAACCTATGAGTACGGCAAAACCATCCTCGACCTCATGACGCGTGGTAACCCGCATCCCGAGGGCAAGTTCCTCTTCATCGGAGGAGGAATTGCCAACTTCACCAACGTCGCCGCCACATTCAAGGGAATCATCCGCGCCATGAAGGAATACCAACGACCTTTGCAAGAGCACCACGTTCGCGTTTTCGTCCGACGTGCCGGCCCGAACTACCAAGAAGGTCTTCGCATGATGCGCAACCTCGGCGAGAATCTCGGTGTCGAGATCAACGTTTTTGGTCCTGAAATGCACGTCACCGGTATTGTGCCCTTGGCTTTGAAGGGAGGTGATGTTGCCAAGGCTCTCAACGGACACGCCAATGCTTCTACCGGTTTGTTGGACGGTGCGCAGCCTTCTTCCGGTGCTCAGGCTACCAACGATCCAAGCCACGGTGCGCAGACTGTTCAAGAGGACACAACGTTGCCGGCCGGGGTTGTACCTTTCACGTCCAGGACCCGCGCTTTCATCTACGGGATGCAGCCTCGCGCCGTGCAAGGCATGCTGGACTTTGACTTCATGTGCAACCGCAAGGAGCCTTCCGTCGCCTGCATGATCTACCCGTTCGGTGGTCACCACGTGCAAAAATTCTACTGGGGCACCAAGGAGATGCTCATCCCCGTCTACACTACCGTACAAGAGGCCGTCGACCGTTTCCCGGGAGTTGATGTCGTCGTCAACTTTGCGTCCTGCCGAAGTGTGTACGAATCGACAACTCAGCTTCTGTCGTTCCCCGCTATCCGCACCATCGCTATCATTGCCGAGGGTGTACCAGAGAAGCGCGCACGCGCTCTCCTCCACGAAGCTACCCAGAGAAACGTTCTTCTAATCGGTCCCGCCACTGTCGGTGGTATCAAACCTGGATGCTTCAAGATCGGCAACACCGGTGGAATGATGGACAACATTGTATCTTCGAAACTCTACCGACCGGGATCCGTTGCGTACGTCTCGAAGTCTGGCGGTATGTCCAACGAGCTCAACAACATTGTCTCACGCGCTACCGATGGCGTATACGAGGGAGTTGCTATTGGAGGAGACCGATACCCGGGTTCCACCTTCATCGACCACATGCTTCGTTATGAGAAGGACCCCAACGCCAAGATCCTCGTTCTTCTTGGAGAGGTCGGTGGGGTGGAAGAATACCACATCGCAAGAGCTGTGAAGGAGGGCCGCATCACCAAGCCCGTCGTCGCTTGGTGTATCGGTACCTGCGCCAAGATGTTCACCACCGACGTGCAATTCGGCCACGCCGGCAGTTTCGCGAACTCGGACGTTGAAACCGCAGAGGCGAAGAACCGCGCGCTCAAGGCTGCTGGTGTCATCGTCCCCGACACCTTCGAAGATCTCCCAGCAGCTCTCGAAGAAGTTTACCGCAAATTGACTTCCAACAAGACCATCGTCCCCCGAGCAGAGCCCCCTGTTCCCAAGATTCCCATCGACTACTCTTGGGCGCAGGAACTCGGTCTCATCCGCAAACCTGCATCCTTCATCTCGACCATCTGCGATGACCGTGGCCAAGAACTTCTCTACGCAGGCATGGCCATCAGCGAAGTATTCAAGGAGGACATTGGCATCGGAGGCGTCCTCAGTTTGCTCTGGTTCAAGCGTCGGTTGCCCAGCTACGCCGCCAAGTTCATTGAGATGGTTCTTATGCTGACAGCCGACCACGGACCCGCTGTTTCTGGAGCGCACAACACCATCGTTACAGCTCGTGCCGGCAAAGACCTCATCTCCTCTCTCGTTGCCGGTCTGCTCACCATCGGCGATCGTTTCGGTGGAGCTCTGGATGGCGCCGCGAGGGACTTCTCCACAGCCTATGACTCCAACCTGGCGCCTTCAGAGTTTGTGACTGCCAAGCGGAAGGCCAACCAGCTCATCTTGGGTATCGGCCACAAGATCAAGTCGAGGACGAACCCCGATCTCCGCGTGGAAATTGTAAAGGACTTTGTGCTGAACAACTTCCCCAACACCGAAATCTTCCGTTACGCCCTCGAGGTCGAGAAATTTACGACCGCGAAGAAGGACAATCTGATTCTCAATGTTGATGGCGCAGTCGGGGTGGCCTTCGTTGATCTCTTGAGGGGATGCGGCGCTTTCAGCAGGGAAGAGGCCGAGGAGTACATCAAGGTATGTAAGGGTGCTTTCACCAATACCCAGTTGTTAAGCTCTATCTCACCATCCATTCTCATTTGAACATTCAGATCGGTACTTTGAACGGTCTCTTCGTCCTTGGCCGCTCTATCGGTTTCATCGGACATTACCTTGACCAGAAGCGTCTCAAGCAAGGATTGTACCGCCACCCTTGGGACGATATCTCGTACTTGACTCCCGAGACCTCTGGTTTTGGCAGCCATGAACGCACATTAGCAGAAGGCAGTGTAGTTATGGAGCGCGGCGCCCAGCGGAACTGATACCAGCATGGGTTACGCCCTCGCCATTTTCCTGCAAACGTTCTCGTTCCATGGGCTTAGATCCTCCTAACATAGATTTTTCTCCAACAATTCCGCGCATTTACCCCGCTGCAGTCATCGTAGTTTCTTCCACCTTGCCCATTTCTGTAGTATTTTGCCATCATATGCGAGCGACCCAAATTTTGTTCAATGTCTCTCATTCGAAATTAATTCATCCCAACTATAGCTCATGCCCGCTGCTACCGCCGTTTGGCAATTTCAATGGCAACCAATTGGCGTTCCGACTGGTGTGCTCTACGATATCGGGGCGGAAAACATGGCGGTAATTGACAGTCCATTCCCCACGACCACGTCGGGCAATCCAATTCCAGTTGAGGAAAGATATGGTACCATCAAACATTTCCAACTCTGTCTATGTACAAACATAAATTATTGATGAAAGGTATGCCAAGACCAGCTGACACAGTGTCGACATAAATACAAGCTACTCTTCGTCTGGGGCATACGGGTAGTGCGGAGGAAGTCGGCCTTGATCCTGCGATGCAGAACCTCCATGGGGATAAGCTGACGCGATGTCCGAGCAGCACTGGCAGCGTTGCTCCCCAGTCGGTGTCGGGGGCTGGAACCGCCCATGTCGTCGGCTTGATCGTGCGGTCGCGGCGGATGCAGGTCCAGCGCCGAAAAGATAAGGAGAGAGAGCGTAAGAGTAAGGCAGCGACGATGGCATCGGCGAAAGGCTTGCGTAGGCAAGAACGTCGGCAGGGGAAGCGAGAAGTCCATAAGGATCCGCGGCAGCAGCTGCAGCCGCCGCCATGATTGTGACATCATCGAATCGACGGAAGCTGGAAGCTCCAGCAGGAATAGCTGTAGCAGAACCACGCCCGGACTTTATCGAACGCTGATGGGTCAAACGAGCCGCGTCGGTGGGAAGACAGATCGCTGATTTAGGGTCGGAGGGAGCGATCATCGGCGCCCTGGATGAACCTTCTTGGTATCGCCCAGAGAGCACCGGGTTGGCGGACATATGTCCTTTGTGCAGTAGCCTGTTCAGGCCTTTATGTTCTCTATATGTTGCGAGCTGACCGGCATCTTCGTCCGTAGTGGTTGTTGGAAATGGATCTGCGGGAATCGAGGCGGCCCGAAGATCAACTTCGTAAGGCCCCGAAACGTCTGCTTTGACCAAAGGGGGGAGGCTGATATGGGTCAACTTCGGCGGATCGAAGGCTGTAAAAATCGGTGGCGGTGGCTGCGCTCGTCGATGAAAGGAAAGCTGCTTATGCTTCGCGAAGCTCTCGGGTATATGTGTGTGGGAGATGTTGCTGGTATCCAGGCTACCAACTGATCCGGCGTTGAGCTCAGTTTGGTCGTCCGACGTTTGTGTGTCCTGCTCCAGTTCACGTGCCGATTGCGGGGAATGGAACTCTGTGTCTTCTTCTTCTATGTGACTCAGCTTATTTTGATGCTGCTGAAGCTCCTCGTCCTGGGTATACATGTCTGAAGAACTGTCGAAATCTTTTTGCATTGGTTAGTTTTGCTTCCCTATCTCAAGGCATCCGAATACAATGGTAGTGAGGTCAACCCACCAATAGGATCTGTCGTAAAGTCCTCTGCGTGCTGTGCGCCCACCCGAAGCACAGGCGGCCATGCCTGCTCCTCAAAATGGAGCCCATGAGATCTCACCATTGTCCTCGCATCGTGAGCGGTTGGCGATCCGAAGGCTCCAGCAATCACTGAGGGCTGTGGAAACTGATAGGGGTATAGTTGCGGGTGTGGGAAAAAATGTCTCAAGTGCTGCATGCTTCGACGAGCTGCCTCAACCCGTCGTTGGTGTTCGAGCGTCTTTTGCGCATGCACGTCGTAAGATGAGGATGGCCGCCCGGGAAACATCTGGAGACCGTGCGATAAATGATGCGGCTCATGAATGTCAAACATCATTTGATGTTCTTCGTTCGAGGAAGCAGCGTCTATTGGTTCCATGAAGTCAATCTCCGAATGAAGGTCCGTCTGCAGCTCGTGCTCTCGAGAGGCCGCTTTCTCAGCATACACTCTTTTCAACTCCTTCTTCGAGCCTACTTTGCGACGTATCAAGGGGAGGAGGTCTTTCCTGCCCTTCTTAAAGTAGTTGTGTGAGAATACGCAGGCCTCTTTGCTGCGGACCAGGGGAGTTTTGCGGGCATCCGAAACTCGATAAAAGCCGTATATCTGCATTTGATGTGTCAGCATATGTGTCATATGAGAGCGAGAAACGAAGACAGAGGGTTGCGTTCATACATTGAGTTGACGAACGAATGAAGGAAATTTGCAGTGCTTGAAGTATTTGGGAAGGACCTAACATCGCCAGATGTCATAACAGATGCTCGTGAGTTTCCTATTTTTGACATTCACTCAATCGACTTCGTTTACCGTTTTGGCGAACTCCTCACTGTGGAAAACGATGAAAACGTCGCCGGCAGCGTTCCATTGAACGAATCGAGTATGCTCCGGGGCGTCGACAAGGCTAAATGACAGGTTAAGCGTGATTGGAAGCTGAATCGGGGTTGGGGATTACCAGTAGACATACGTATAGAGCTTCTGAATAAACGAGCAGATGTTTTCCATCTCGATATGATTGGTCACTTCTTTCCGCCGGGGTCCCCGATCCCGTGATTGAACAGCTGAGGATAGCGGTGCTCGTGTATTTACATTGGGACCTGTGTGGCTCACCGGCGCCACATTCCTGGATACGGTTTCACTGCTGTTTTCCACAGCACTGGCGCTGGTAAGGTCGTTCGCCTTAGGGCACTCGGTGCGAGACATGAGGTCAAGAGTAAAATTCATCTATTGGGACAGTCAGGGAGAAGACCGATGCATATTTGACAGTCAATTCACAACATACCGAGTAGATAAGCAGCAAGGAAAGAAAGCAAGATTCTGGTGCTTCCACGCGCACACGGACTGTTGGAAACCGAATAGTTCGAGGATAAGGGAAGGTTTTGTCGTGCGAAAGGGTGGTCTTAGATCGCCTGTAGAACAATGTGTCGATGTGATGTTGGCCTGCCTTTGCACTCATAGAAGGCGGATCTTAGAAACTATTTTCGAAGGAAAGCCGCACCGCGGAAAAGCGTCGCGGAATCTTTCGGCTCTATAAATACGCAAAGGCTTCACGTTCACCAAGCCCAGCAGTAAGCGCAAGAAGGGAAGGGGTTCGTCCAGAGCGACGGGGTCTTACGCGTCCGACGCGTTCCTGCTTACGCGAATTCTACGGAACTGGCGGCCATTTTACCCCTTGCCTTTTCCCCTTGCTTCTGCATCATCATTTAAGCTGTCCGAAATTACAGGAATCACTTTAAATGGCTGCATGCGGCAATGGTCCCAACCGCCCCTTCCCTCTGACACGACTACGTTTATGTCAATCTACCCCGTTCGAATGACAGGCCCTACATACAGTACATACATGCGACCCTGCTCAAGAAGTACCCTTTGAAGAGAGGAAACTATCATACAAAGCGGAGATGTGAAAAACATTCGGGGAATAATGATACGACCTAAGATTGAACACGAAAAAAATCACTGCACGCTCTATACATGGTGGATAGTGGGTAGGAGTGCCTAATTAGTCAATATGTATACGGATCCGTAGCAGCTCCTCGACTTGGGACTGATCTAACTTGATCTGCAGCCTAGTTGGCATACCATACGCCGGAAAAAACAGGCATAAACCGGTTCCGACGCGCATTTGCGGACATCCATCATTTTGCGCTTGACATTCTGCAAAATACGCTGGAGAGAGGAAAGGATGTTGCATTGCGTTCATCTTTTCTGATCCTTATGAACTTCATCATCGCTCACTTTGTCGTTCGCTTTTAACCTTGGTATTTTAAATATGTTGTTCTATTGGGTAATCGGTGTCCTAAGGGATAAAATCCTTCATGACGAGTTCCGGGTCTTGAGTGATCTTGTTGAGGTAGTCGAAAACTTTAGCGCGGAGGCTCGGATGGAACGCCAGATACGGGAGGATCTTATAATAGCTTGGCTAGTCTGCGTCCCTGTCGGAATGCATGTCGTCCTCATCGGAATCTAAGGCCACCAGTTGTCATCGTCTTCCTTATCATCTTCTTCTACCTTGTCGTCAGCTTCGTAATGATCGTCCTCCCCGCGCTCATTCTCTTCCTTGTCCTCATTGCCCTCATCATCAGCTCCTCTTCATCCGTATCTTCCTCTACGTCATGCACATGAAGACTTCGACTCAATTCGATATCTCGCAGGATGAACGGAAGAAGTCTGTCCTCAGACACTTTTTCGACGAAGAACGCTGCAAAGCTTTGCTGGGAAGCTCGATAGTTTTCGTCGTATACATTTTCTAACGGGTAGTACAAGTTACGGAGTTTGCAATGCATCCATTTCCCGACAACTTGTATTAGGCAACGTGGGATATGAAGCACACCCGTTGCATTCACAGCTGGGACGCGCACTGCCGGTAGCAGGCAGCGTGGACAGCAATTACCATAGGATCAAATGGTTTGCAAGACCCACGACGGTCTCTCCAGGTGAATGACATACTATCCTGACGTCCGAGGTCGCAACATGTTCCGCTATAAGGACCGGAACATGTTCCACCATGAGGACCGGGACATGTCCACCGTGAGGACCATTGAGGATTGCGCTGGTGTGCGATCCCGGACACCTTCATATTCTACTTTGCTTTGCTGGAGTAGGTTCGCACCGTAGAATCTGGGGGGGGGGGGGGGGGGGGTAATGTGGGTTGTCCGGTTGGGGAACCACGCGCCTGTGAGACGTCTGACGGTCTGAGCATGTGTCTCCAGTGGACTCCAGCCTCACGGGTACAGTACTTTAACAGTGCTCCCGCGCGTTCCTATCGAACAAGCAGTTCCTCTTTTACTGCATACCGAATAGCAGCGTCGGCGATCACCCAGTCCATCTCCAATACCTTACAGCAACGTAGTTATCGTATACGACATCAGTTAACAACCCGTGTTGAAGGTAGTCCACAGCACAGCGAACCTTCAAAATCTGATCGAGGCCCGGCTCAAAGCCCTGACCTACACGAATAGTTTGGCCACATACATCGCAAACTACAACACTCTCCTCGCCCAGATCGCCACGGTGGATGCGAAAGAGGCGGCCCTGACCCCCAGACAGCAAAGGGTGTACTTTTGCAATGGCCTCAAAACCTATATAGTCGGCAGGGTCGTGGCGAACTACTTATTCGAACAAATCGCCCGCGCCAATAGCGAGGGCAGGGAGCTCACGATCAATGACCTCCAGGTCCAGGCCTGTGCCATCTACAACGCATGGGGCTATGCCAACGACGTCGCAGGTGTTACCCCCGATGGCCTCTCTGACAGGCCTCAGCCACGGCGACGTATGTAGCCAAGCGCCAGAAGTTAAGCGGCAATAGCGCTAACTGTACCCCTATCGGGAATCGGGACCATGACCACGACCGATGGGAACCGAAGAGACATGGCCGCGATAACAACCTTTGGATGCTATGCGGCGCCTCGGACCACTACACACCCCAGTGCCCTCTGGAAAAGAACAACAAAAGGCCCGGGCCCGGCTATCGACATGGTTGAGGCTGAGCTCCACGAAGATGGCGAGATGATGGGGAACGGCGACGGCGACCAAAGTGATTGCAGCACCGTCCGAAGCGCAGATTTTCGGGTTTGAAGTTGACCGCCTGCAACATCTCAAACTTCCCACCACGACTGCAGGACCATATCCCAGACGATCACCCTGGACCACGGATCTCAGCCAACACTTTTATGGTCCACGGCAAGTTCAAGGGGAAGTGCGCTTGAATCCTGATCGACATCGGATGCAACACTGTAATTATTAGCGATACGTGGGTCGACCGCCACAGGTTCGAATCGTATGCACCTAGAACCAAACTCGAAGTACGCTGGGGCGATAAGACTGGGAAGCACGGAGCCAGCCGGATGGTCGCCGGCCAGCTCTCGGTCTTCACCCAAGGGAAAACCTCCTATGTCAAGGAAAACGTACCCTTCGTTATCGCCCCCATCTGTGTGGATATCATCCTTGGCCTACCCTTTATCCTCGCACTCAACATCGCGAAACTCTGGACCGACGATGACTTCCCCGCACTTAAATTCACGCAAGGCACGGACGAGTTTACCATCAAGACACGTTCCACAAACAGGAAATGGGAAACTCTTACGTCCACGTTTCCTCTGGCGTTACACAAGGCGTCCCTAAGCGGACGTTGTGTGTGATGTGTGTCAGGTCGGTTCTGGCGAGGCCACATGTGATGTGATGTAGTTTACTTTGCTATTGGGAGCGGTGTGATTGATAGTGAGCGGTTCTTGCGGCGTTGCGCGTGTGATGTGATATGAGATGATCGGTTCTTGTGTCGTCGCGCTGGTCTGGTGCGTTTATGCTGTTTGTTTCCGTAAGACCAACGAGCGTGGGTGTGCTCTACGCCATTGTCGGTAGGCAGGCGTTTGACAAAGTGCGGATTTGGGTTCCCATGTAGGGTCAGGATATCCCGTCCATTTGACTAGAAAGTTTTGTACGGCGTGTCGTTCGTCGATGATATCTTCCACAACCCAAAAAGGTTGTCCGCGTACTTCAATTGGTTCAGGAGGCTGTGGAACAACACGTCGCAGGTACTCTTCTTTGCGATGTGGCGAGAAAATACCGACATGAAAGATAGGCCAGATGCCGCTGATCTTCGATGGCGATAAATCGAGTTTGTAGGTATCCGGATGTGTTCCGAGTGCGATAATTTTGAATGGTCCGATCCATGTAGCTGAGAATCAAAGCCCTCTTTGTTTGTTGATTTCTAGGTTGATACCTTGTCGATTTAAATCAACAAGATCACTGATTTTATAGGCAATTGGCGTTCAACCTTGGGAGAACGTCCGAGATCTACTTCGAATGGCGATAAACCTTCATGAGCTCAGGAAACAAATCACTGTTATGCTCGAAAAAGGATGGATACAACACCTTTGTTGTGTTGACGTGCAAATTGGTCTTGTGCACTCTGAAGGTTTTCGCGCACGATGCAGGTGATGTCTTCCTGCCCTTTCTTGTAGAGTTCGATTTCGTTCCAATCAACAGCTCAAAGTTTGAGTTCTTGTCCTTTGAGAGTGGGATTCCAATCCGGTAGGATTGGAGAACGTCCAAGATCTACTTTGAATGGCGATAAACCTTCATATTCCTCCCTTGGAGCGGTATTGTAAGCGAATTTGACTAAGGGCAATAGCTTGACCCAATTGGTTTTGTCTATTGGTTTTGTGAGATATTGCTTCCAAATCGTTTTGAGGGTTTGGATGGCTCCCTCAACTTTACCGTCGGTCTGTTGATGTCGAGGGGTAGCAAATTCGTGTTTGACACCAAGGAGAATATCAAATGCGAGGAAGAAGTCGGAGAGTGCGCAACGTTCACAATCAGTAACAAAGACTTTTGGCATACGGACATGTTTCCATACACAATCTAAGAAAACTTGAGCTAATTTGCGTCCAGTGATAGTCTACTAGTTAGCGGTAGCTGGCAAAGGAATGTAGATAGCGATCAGAACCCCATGTAGGCAAGGCAAAGCCCTATATTTTATGAAGTTATACAGTCTTGTCTTAAAACAGGAAGGAGGACGCGAGGTCCGGTGAAGTAAGAAAAGGGTGAAGTCACGTATGCGGAAGCATGGCGTAAGCGGGAGTGGGATCACGTGAGGAAATAAACTACAGGAACTCGAGAGGATGATACCTCCAACATTTCTTGAGTGGTGTTAGGATCACACGTCTGGAGAGATAACGATGCAGGCAAGACAAGCATTAAGCTGATCTGCAGTTCTTCCAACTTCAAAAATATCAAATCCGACCGTATGCCATCTTCCTTATGGAATAGGAAGAGGTCAAAGAAATCCGTATTGATGATGACCAGGTTTGAATTGTTGACAGGATTTGCAAGTTCCAATGTTATAAGCGTCCTTCATGTCGTACTATTCCACTTTCAAAGGCGTAGCAAAATTCTCTACAAGTTTTCTCGTGTTGAGGTTTCCGAGAAATTTCATCAAGGTAATCCACATATGGATCTTCCCGTAGCGCTTTTCTCCATTCTGCTTCAGAGTAGGTAGGTGAGCTTTGGGGATTGTCTGTCGTAGCGTTGGAGGAAGTGTCACCAGCAAGCATGTTGCTG